CAATTTTAATGGACATAAATCATCAAAATTATAAAGTATTTTTGTTTTGCCCCACGTGCCTCGTGCTTTACAATTCCCCTGATAACAATACCATACTTGCAATTACAATCAACACTGATTGACAATATTCGTAATGGGATAATGCCAATTGAAGTTATTGCCAGAGATGCAGTTTTCATTATCATCAAGATCTACTCCCTCCACATCCATCATAATCCTTGGTTAAAATACTCTGGGAAAAACCCTGAAGAAGTCTTGCATCTGATGTAAGGTACATGTATATTACTATCCTCAAACAGGTTTAAAGTACCACCCTAAAAAGGAAAATATAAGAATTAAAAATTGAAGAACAATCCAGGGCTTGCATTAACGGCGTCCCGTACATGTTAAGGACTCAAAAATAATTTGGAGGACGCAAAAATTGAAAATATTTCCGTTTTTTTGGAGGCAAATTTTTTTTAGGTCAATACTACAATGTGTTTACAACGATACCTAACATAAACAAATAATTATGATCTCTCACCTTTATTTGAATCGTAAATAAGGCTCAACATGTTGAGTATTTACAAATAATCATGATTCTCTCGAATTTTTTCGACTTTGTTTATTTTTAGATTTGAAACCATGACACGCCACAGTTTTTCCTATTCAGAAACAAATATTAGGTTATTCATGAAATAAAATGTATTCATTGTCGAATGAACGAACATGCATTTATTCAGTCTGTACTTAACGTTTACTTCCATTTTAAATTCGCGGCAAGAAATCAAAAACTGAAAAATAAGGGACACACTTTTTTTTCAAAGGACACACTTTTTAAAAGAAAATTGCGTCCTTGGGACTCACAAATTTTCTAATCTAATGCAAGCGCTGACAATCAATAAACACGACAGAAATACTTTTGATCTGAAAAGTACAAGTCTAGCTTGGCTTTTACTGCTCCTAGGGCCCTGCAGTTCCTAGTATGCTTGTATGTCAATATTACTGCATAAATCAAGTACCAGCCTTTAATCTATAGGCTCAGATAACTTTTACTTAATCACTGTTTATGTAACACTTTTATTTTATTGATTCGCTTAACAGCGATAATTGTTTTTATTTCACTGCGGTGGCTTGATGTGTCATGTTGATTAAATGCAATATGTCACTAAAATCTCAACAAAAGAATATTTTGTTTAATAGGCAAGTAGAAATTTTGAATAGTTTGTTAAAACCTTACATCAGATCAACCAATTGCATTAAAGATCACTTCGGTACATAGACCCAACCTCGTACATTTTTATGAAGGCCCCCACAAAGTATGCACTGCCATTCGTACTTTGGAATGGGCTTGGACCATTCATGTGACCTTAGTCCCGCCTTTATTAGCTTATATGGCAAATCATCAAGGCAACTGCCAAGTCATCAAATGATGTGATATCTAATTATCGAACATGACAGATTTCACAGATTTTCATGTGACAAGTAAATCTGATTGACTTTAAGTGAGTCATGAAAAGAGAAACAAGGCATTAACAAGCAAAATGTCACCACCTACCATTTGTTACAGATACCATCCACCGAACATGAATGCCAAATGCCGAACACCAACCACAAAAAAGTTGATGACTATAACAATATGTCACCACTTGTGATGGTGATATAAAAACAGGTTAAGTTACTCAGTATGAGAGTAAATTTCATTTCCATATAAAAAATGATAGCTTTCCATGCTCTAACACTTAATAACCCTTGATCTTATAATAATTTGTGAATTAAAAAAAACAAAGAAACAGTCAATCGCAAAGAACATTATTATAACTGTATAACGATGACTAGTCTTGCTCAAAGAGTGTATCCACCCCCCCCCCCCCGTCACCTTCACTCTCTTTACCTGGCAGGGAGTACAGGGTCTTTTAAGCAAGACTAAACTCTGAAATGCAATTTACTTTTTACAAGTTGAACAAATACTACTAAACCATCAGTGGTTTGAAAATTGCTTCAAATCAGCCCTGTTAATCCAAAATCCCTCCCTACTAGAGTTACTGTATTGAATGTCATCATGCCTTTGAATAACATTTGCATTAGATCTACATGTTGATAAAAACCACAAAAGCTGCTTCAGTGGGAGGCACTACTTTTCTCTTGGGTAATTGACCTTGAGAGAATCAGATGCTTAAGTTTTTGCACACAAAAAATAGTCTCTTAATGTTTTATATGTCTCTGATTAGGCAGAATCAGATCTATAGGGGTTGACAAAATTAAAAGCAATATGTTCGACTGACCTTGTAATCGGATTCCTTACAATCTCAAATATAATATCACCAAAAAGATCCACAACGTTATGAATTGGAGAAGTTACATGCCCGGGGGGTTCACTATATATAAACCTTGACGGGGATCCTCGGCGCATGTGGGGTACCTTTTTCAACGTTTGGTATGGCAATGGACCCATATTTTAGGATTTGGTATGTGCCCGGAAATTTCTGACTTCTGAGGTATGACAATGGTCAGACTTTTGCTCGTCTGGTATGAGAATGGTCGTTGTAGATACGTTACCTAACATTCGTGGTATGGCATTGGTCCAGTAGTTGCAAATTTGTATGACATTGATCCTATATTTCATTTACTTTGAATTAAGGTATGGCATTGGTCCCATATTTGGACATTTGGTATGGCATTGGTCCCATAATTCGGCATTTGGTATGGCATTGGTCCTATATTTGGACATTTGGTATGGCATTGGTCCTATATTTGGACATTTGGTATTGCCTTTGGGCGTTATTTTGGTTGGTATGGGAACATATTGAAATTTGACAGATTGGTATGGGAACATATTGATATTTGAGGCTTCAGCCTAGGACCCCCGTCGAGTTTTATATACAGTGAACCCCCCAGGGTTACATGTAAGCTATCTAAGATTCAAAGTACAATAATGGGGGAAAATATTTAAATTATCCCAAATAATAAATGGGGTTACTTAATTTATAGACAAGGCAAATGTCATTGTTAGTTATTGGAAGTGTAAGATTTTGTAACAGACAGCAACAACTGAATGCCAACTACCATTCACCAACCACCAAACACCACTCTCACTGTGGAGTGAGATCATTGACATACATGTGCATACATACATTTACTTGTATAAAGCTAACATTGAGTAATTGTTCTATAAACATATGATAATAACTAGAGGTGTCACACCGAGTCTACCCGAATCTCACTCAGAAGGCTCGGGTCACAAACACCTACTTACCAATTTCGAGTCAGGTCAGAACACTCAGGACTATCATAAATTATGGTAAAATGCTTTATCACTGGTGGATCTGGGGGGGAGGCCTGGAAGCCCGGGCTGGATGGGCCCAGAAAAAAAATTGGGCCCAAAAAAGTTTTTTCTCTGACCTGAAATTTGCCCCCCCCCCCCTTGTTGGTTCCCAGATCCGCCCCTGTTTATATTCCCAGCAAAGATTTCAAACTTCTAACTGGCCTATTTCTTGTATACGTATAAATTCGGAACAGAAAATAATTTACAGTTCTTCCCAAATGATTTAATGCTAAGATCAATTTTCCTTTAGCAAAGCATCATATCAGGCTTAAGTCTAATAATATGCCATGTATTCACCCAGTTGTTTCAGTTCCTCATACTAAATTCATTTTTCTGTTTTCTTTTGACTGGACCCAAAATTACCAGACCCGCACACTTTTTTCTGGCCCTACCCGTCACAAAAAATATCTGACCCGTGACACCTTTGACTATATCCTTTAGTCCTGAAATTTGAAATGAAAATATTCAAGATATTTGGTCTATTGGATATAGACTACATGGGCGTAGCACTACTTTTCTAAGTAGTACGCCACCACCACAGGAACAAGAGTTGAGTGAATTAAAAAAACAATCATTCGGGGGGTCTAGGGGTTCTCCCCCATGAAAATTTTGAAATTTGGTTGTATTTGGAGTGAATTTGCAACCATCTGGTACGCCTGTGCGTACCCAGCGTACCGGGCGCTACGCCCATGGACTATGTGACACCTTTAATAATAGCTACACTGTACATCTGTAGTGCCAAAAATATTAACTTTTGGAAGATAATGTGGGGTTGAACCAGACATCTACATGACTACACTTTGATCAACAATCCTCATCACTGTGATACTTGATAGTTTCCATTTTTGGAGAGGGTTCTAGAGCCTTCTAGATCTAGTAGCTAATATTGAATAATTGTCTATGTCAATAATCTGCAAAAGGCTAAGCCCATATAAAGCAGATACATAATTTACTTACCATTTAAAATAGATCTATGTTTTATAACTCATTTAAAATTGAAAAGAACCTTCCTGGTTGCCCCCTGTACCCACTAGGAAGTCCCTTTATGGTGAGAAAACCTGGGGCAATTGTCAGGCTAACTGCGTTAATCTCCGAGTTCCCTCTTTACCCGGTACCAAATTGACCCTCTTTTTTCGATCTCATCGATCCACTAATCGTTTTCAAAAACATTACTCCTCATTTAAATAAATATAGAAATTTGATGAGTTATCATATTTTAAACAACATCTCATAAAGAAGATAATGATGTGATACATACATGTACAAATACCACATAAATCATAATAATGGGTCATAAATAATTATTCCCGGGAACAATAGATGAGCACGTAACCACCTTCAACTTGAATATTAGAACGAGAATATTAAATCTTCAATAATTTATTGAGACACGATTATTGAGTACTGTAACATATGACTTCAGATTACAACTAAGGCACGTCATTTATCATAATCTAAGATAAAGATACAACCTATAGATTTTAAACTTTTTACCTGTCCCGCTAAGAAGTAACGTTTCGTGCAGTGTTAAATAGTGATTACAAATTCCTGTACAAATTCCTTAAATATAATCACGGTCTCCTTTTAGGATCGTTTTTTCTAAAATCATAGTTGAATATAATAATTTTATATTTTCTATGAAATTATTATCGAAGTTTATATTTTCTGAGTGAGTAAATCGAATTCCATTTTGACTTTGAGACTAAGCTAACATTTTACAAAAATAAACTTTAGAATATCTGTATCAAAACAACGTAAGTACAAGTCTTTGTATGATTTTTGATAATACCTAATATGGTTAATTGTGAGTGTGTATCTTTGTTATTAATCTTAAAGAATTTGAATGGGATTTCAGTCACCTAAATTGAGAAAACCACAATTTTTCAAAACAGGAAGTGAAAAAAACTTTTTTGTGCCGCCCATTTTTACTTTTGTAACATATATACACAGACCTCTGTCAGATTACCTCTTCTTGGTAGTGTCTAGGCTCAATAAATATACTCAAGGACAAGACACGAACTCTTCGGAAAATTTGTATTTCCTTGATTTTGGAGTCAGTTCCGCTGTTCAAATGTTTATTCCCAAAGTCAAATGCCTTTTCTGAGAATGTGACGCCACTCCGGATGACGTCACATCAGATATTACCGAGAAATCCCATGATGTTTCTTTAAACTCTTGTAGAAACAATAACAACGGTTTGATAGGCTAAGCGATCCTTTACTTTCATTGGCTGTTTGCTGCGATGTGACGTAATTCAAGAGAGGAACACTTCGGACACTGCCGGAAATTTCCGAAGCACTCCATTATCTTTACGCTCTGAAAATTTGAAATAACTGTCCCCTGGAAAATTTGATTTACAATAATTGATATCATGCAACCATTCAAACTAATACACAAAGAAACGATTACAGGGTAAATATTGATCACTCAATGTGTGAGAGATGGAAAGATAAAGGTCAGTACGAGCGTCATATCACCTCTCATCCTCTGAGTACGTAATTCAGGTCTGTCCTCTGATTTATCCAAGAGGAAATAACAAGCCACAGTCTGAATCAACCTTAAAAACATATACCAGGGAATATGTAAAATATGTATGTCATGTGACAAAGCTTAAAGTGATACAATATTTTATTAATGGATAGAAAAACCGATTCGGACTATAAGTTTATAGTTGACAATGGCCTTATAATACCATGTACCTCTTCCTTTTGTACTTGTACCCCATTTGTTTCATGCAAATCCATTAGCAAGCAATAATTACTCAGATGCGAGTAGGTAGTTACCAGTTTCGCCACCAGGTGGACCTTTGGTAGTTAGTTAAAAGTTCAAAATTTTGACATATGAAATTACTTCAATTAGTGCAATACTAGGGTCAAATGTTACATCCATCAAGATGTTCAATTTCACACCTTGTATGGTTTTAATAAATCGCAATGTGATAACATAATGTTACATCAATAACATAGAAATGAAATGCCATATGTCAACCACAGCTGCGTTTTAGACCAACAACCCTATAGGGAAATCAGATACAGTAAAACCTGTCTAATCCGAACATATCTCAGACAAATCTCGGACAAAAATGTTCAGATAAACAGGTGTCATCCTTATTGCAATGTTTTGGAAACATGTAGGTCGATGGAAGATAACAAAGGACGATTCTCGGTTTGGAGAACGAAGTTCATCAATCTAAATGAGCATTATCCCTGCTTCGGACAAATTTGATTTTTTTACATAATATAGATTTGAATGTCTTCTTTTGAATAGTCATAATTTAATTTGGGTAATATTTCTAATTTTTTCGCAAGAAAATATTAGCGCAGTACACTAATGAACTTCTTTCCCCAAATCGAGACTTGTATTTTATTGCATCGGTCTAATTGAGCATTACCCCTGCTTCAGACCAATTTGTTATTTTTACATCTTGTAGATTTAAATGTCCTCTTTTGAATAATCACAGTTTAATTTGGGTAATATTTTTCATGAAAAAAGGTATTAGCCCAGGAGACTGTTCTCCAAACCGAGAATCGTCCTTTGGGACTGAGAAAAGTGTTCACAATTAGAGGTATTCATTTGGAAAAGTGTTCATTTGGAGAGGTGTTCACAATGAGAGGTGTTAATTTGGAGAGGTGTTTGGATATGCAGGTTTCACAGCACCATATTGTTAATTATAAATGGAATAGAATTGAACTTATAAAGAATAGATAATAATAGGCATGGATGCTATGATCTCATCGTGAGAGCCTTCTTTCAGTTTCCTTTCTATTCTTGTGCATTGCAGAGATGGTCTGAGTATCAGAATGCTATGATCTAAATTGTTTAGAAACTTGGTATGAGATAAGAATGGCCAGACATTTTAAGTTCAAGAAGTCCGTGTACATATCATAACTTGCTTGTACATTTGGTATTGAACAATTACAATTGATTTTAAAGATGCTGTCTAATTAACTTTTGATTTTTCATAGTATTTGTCAAGCCAATATATTCATTTCTACATATAATATTATATGTCATATAATACAGTATATTACTTGTATTATGAAGTAAAGAATATTTGCAGGTCTTGGTAAGGGGGGGGGGGGCAATGACACAATTGCAGGATGAAATATTCTGTCTAAACTAATAGTATAATCTTGGTATTTTTAACATATAGAATTTTGCGTTTTCTCTCAACACCTGATTTTAACGTTATACAATTTCATCTTTGATAAATACACATATTTGCGGCTTGCGCTTTGAAATTTGACGAGAAGTTGTTGCGTGTGAATATGGATATTACCAGAGCTGCAGTGTACAATTTATTTTCTTGAGTGAGTCTGCATCTTTATTGATGAAGCAGTCTGAAGATGATGTAACATATTGAATTCTGCAGCACAGATTCTTTCCATTTCATTCTACATATTCTACGTGTTTACTCTAAAAGTTCATCATGACATTTTCTGTAACAGTGCACATGTATGTAGTTATTGGTATTGTAGTTATGCAATATGTTAGATTACACCAGTTATAGAGATATCTGCATATACGACTAATTTCATGCAAACATTTTTTTGGAATATGCTATGAGTATAGGTTATTACTTACAAAGTTCCTCAGCATGATTAATTTGGAAATTCTTAGTAGGATATATTTATGTTCACAGAGTGAGTTTATTTTTACCAGTTAATTAAAGCTAGATGATTTTGTAATGATGTTTAACTGCAGTGATCTGTTCAAATAAATGACAAATAAAGGAGAAGTTAACATTTCAGTAAATATAATGATCTAAATATTTAGTATTTCTTTATTTTAGTTGTGTCTTCATAGATACTCAGAAGAATTCTTAGCAGTCTTTTGTTTTCTTTATATACTATCCCTCAGTGGGTTAATAATGAATATATTTTTTTAGTTTCAGTTCCCTAGTGTAGAGATGGCGCCAGATGGACTGTGTTGCGATACCTGTCACAATAGGATGTATTTAACAATATGGCACTAGATCAGAGAGCAATACCTCCCCTCCATCCACATATAACGCCAGAAATGGAGCAAGAGATGAGAGATATCGAACTCGCTAAAAAGTTGAGTCTGGAGACTGCAGAAGAAGATAGGCTCCGTAGATTAGAGCGTCAATGGAACTCAGGACGTCTTGGTATTCCTGAGTCAAATATGGCAAGAGCTGGCTCAGTTCCAGATTTCATGTGTCATTTTTCAGACTCTGGGTTATCGAGGGCTGCATCTGCATCACCTTCCCCAACCACTGCAACTAGTCAAGTTAATACTCTAGCAGCTCCAAAGTTGCCCCCTCCCAGAGCCATACCCAGGCCTAGGTCATCTAATAACCTACGAGGGATAGTAGGTCAAGGTCCCGTCGTAGCAACTAAAAGTGCACTTGCCCCCACAAACATAAGTGCTGCCTCAGCAAATAAGTTAAATAATGATGCAGTTAAAAACGCTACAATTGAACAGGATAAAGGGGGAAGAGAAAGGACAAACAGTGCAGATATGATCTTGGAGGATATTCCCCCTTCATCATCCCTACCTGATAAACCTCTCATAAGTTTCTCACCTACTGAGAAGATGAAAAATTTTGATTTTGATTTGAGCAGTTTGGATCCATTAAATGTAGAGGGTGCTTCAGCTCTGAGTGCATTTTTAAAGGATGATGTTGATAGTAGGATTAAACAACATTCTACACCTAATTCTCCCACTAGGAGTCATCGTGTATCAACTGGGATGCATGCTGGTACAGTGGCTATAGCTAATCAACATATGGGTAGAGGAAATCAATTCAATTTCCCCACACGAGGGGCACATATTGGCAGTGGTAGGGGGGTGGGGGCACAACAAAGGGTGATAAGCGATCCAACAGGAATGTATGCCCTACCCCCTAGACTGCCCCAAAGGAGTAAGACATATACGCCATGTCTTACAGATGTGCCTCCCCCTCCCCCTGCCAGGCCTCCAGTTGACCTCTCAAGGCTATCTGTACTTTACAATCCCCAACAGGGACAACCAGGGGACCCAGAACCCTCCCCCACAGAGGCCTCAATTCAGTTCTCCAATAAATCAGTAGAGGAAGGGAACTTACTGGATGTTTACTATGAGGATCACGACTACATGAGCCTTGAAAGTTTTGATCCTCTATTTGATGATAATGATACTAACTTTGAAGCAGTTAGTGACCATAGTACATTTTTACATAACATTTTACTCAACAATAAACCACCAGAGACATATATGAAAGTACGCACAAAAAGTACACGTGCAGAGTCCCAAAAAGTGCCAACAACTACAACAAAAAGTCATTCAGCTGATGTAGATATTCTAGATCCATTCTCAGTTAGTGAACTCTCAGCTTTAAGAGCCAGCCAAAAGCAGAAGGAAGTTGAACCTAAAACTAAAGTCAGTACTGTTAAAACTAATCTAAAGTCTGAGCCAAATAAGTTTGGACAAGACAATGCAGAACAACCTGTTAGACCTCCGAGACCAAGAAAGGTATCAAAAAGCAAGGTCAGTTTGATTTATGATATTTTGAAATAATAAAGTGGAAACATTATCTGTAAGGGGCTGGGCTAGGTGGCTCTGTACTTATTTCTGCAGGGATACCAACATTTGACAATCTTCTCTTCGTCCATTAAGCTTTACCTTCATTTTCATCTGAAATCTAAAAATGATATCCCACTTTGCAGTTCATATATTTCTGTACAATTTTGAGTATACACTTTTTTGTTTGTTTATTGTAAGATCTTGTTATTCCAACCTTTGGAAGATTTTCATCATGCAACAACTGATAATATTTTGTGCATAACTGTTATAGCCACCGATTTTTGGGACTGGTATTTTGCATTAGCATCTGTAACAATTTTAGCATCTGTCACACTTTTCTGGGAGGGAAATTATATTTTGTTGCTTAAAGGGGCAATAAGGACTGTAGAGAGAAAATTCAAATTTTTTTATTTTTTCTGAGCTATCAGGTCAATATTTGGCTTAATACCTTCTTTGACATACCTATTTTCATACTATGTATGTATAAACTATCAATTTCAGCATTAAGAAGTGTAAATTCAATTCAAAGCTTCTATAAAGGGAGTCCCACTTATAGATTTTTAAGATCCACCATGTTTCAAGAGGAATATCAGCTGAAATAATGTTCATCCAGAGGGTTTCTTTGTAGATAATGAAAATATATGTTATTCTTGATGAAATATCCAAACCTAAATATATTTTGACACTTGTCGATGATCGTTGAATGGTCCCCCTGCACTATTTGTAGCACCTTTAAGAGGAGTAAATTGTTTTTACTGAACTGTCTTGCCTTATTGGAAATCGTACACCCATGCCTCCAATGTTTGACGTCAGTTATACAAGAAGCAATTATCACAACGTGTTTTTGCTGATCACTTTTATGATTCATTTTTTATTCTTTATTACTTTTTATGACAGATTTGATTAAAACTACAGCATAAAATTGCATTTTTGGCAATTTTGGTTTTTTGGCATGCTGGGTAAATTTCTTGGTGGCCACGCTGAATTTTCCAATACAAAAGTATAATATTAATCACTGTGTATCAGGTTTTACCATGGTGTGAGCCTACCAAATGGTGTCATTTTTTTGTCACTACCACAATTGTTAAAGTCTCTAACTCTTTTTTTGTGGCATTGGTTGGTTTTGGCATTCAACGACTGTAACAAATAACAGATGGTGACATTAGACATTTTGCGTGTTAATGTCTTGTTAGTGTTTGGTGTTAATAGTACAATAACATCATTTCGAAGGGCGATATAGTGAAATATTGGACCGAGGGCCGAATGCCCGCAGAAATGACGTTATTAGTATTATTACCACCGTTAATGCCCAGGGCTGAAATAACAAGAACTGAACGAAATCTAATTTCCTGCAGAAAATTGCTGGGCATTAATGCATTATTGGCTAGCCACTATGGCCCGACACTATGACGTCACATATTGCTCAGGTCAATATAGTAAAATAAATGCCTTCTAAACTCGCACTAATACCCCTAGAACAGGCCCGGCAAGGTGGTAATAATAGATGTATGTTGTGATGTACATATTATTGTTTTGCTCATCACTTGTTGAAATTGTTACTATCTGCCACTGACATGTGTAGTGTTTTATCAGATTAAGAGTATTTACAACATGTTTTATAATTGAACTTGTTAAACATTGTACTGCATTGTTTTAAGACATCGTTCGTGTTTCATATAAATGTCATTTAAAATTTATGAAAATTTCAACATCTCCTTCAAAGAGATCAATATTTCTTTTTACAACACATGTAACATAATCATTTTCACATTGAATTAACATGTAAGGGGAGGCATCAAAAGTTCCATGTCAAATCGGAAAATAAACAAATCTAGTTTTGACTCTGACCCCCCCCCCCCCCCTTCCCCCCAATACCATGAAAGTTGATCGCTGACTTCTGGTTTGATAATTTGAAAAATGATTGCTAAACACGATCTAGTTTTTGTTAATTCCTATTTTAATTTGCGGCTTTTAACAACTATTGATAGAATAGAATCTTTTGGAATGATCTTGACGAAGAAAGCATCAGGTAAAATCTTTATTTTTAAACCATTCCAAGGCATTCTGAGTCGAAATTGCCAAAATTTGAAATGTTGAAATTTGTCGGATAGCAAACTGAAATGGTTTTGAACCCCCTCCCCCCTAACTAGATTTATTTAGTTTTCTATCCGACATCGAACTTTTGATACCTCCCCTAAAGCTTCACTCTCAGAATCTGTTATTGCACACTAGCTCCACTGGATTTTACATCGAGATTACATGTAGATGTTCTAGGTTGTTGTTTAACTCTCAAAGATATGATCATTTCTACATCTATGGAGATTTAAAGGACTAACAAAGTGATAGATATTATCACTTTAAGCTGAGAAGAGACACACATATTCCCCTCCTATTTCTTTGTCTTTCTGAGAATCTGAAGTAGGCACTGAGCCTGTAATATTGAAGAACTACCAAAATAACTAGTCTCTTACCAATCCAACACAAACACCTCCTCAGTGGGAACACAATCCGCTGCGTTAAAGGAATCACTTGTGTAACTTGTTTATTTACTTGATTTTGCTTATCACTAATAAAAAGAAATTGTGTTTGTCTGTAGTTAAAAAACAGTAAAGATTGTTTAAATGTACATACGTACCTCAGTGATCTTTCCAACATTGGAGCAACTGGGTGTCCTTCATAAAATTCAAAAACGTTGCACCCTCTGAAAATTGTAAAATACTGTCACATTTTGACATTTCTTCTCAGTTATCAGCCAGATGTGCCACAGCATAATTTGGTAGATCAGTTTTATTACAAATTGGTGAATAATTTACTTGTTTTGGATTTGTTGAGCTGTTCATATTTTCTTATGTCAAACTGTAGATTAATATGTTGACAAAGGTTTGCTATAATCTGAGTCATGTTTGAAAGATGAACTGAGATAAACCTAAATGACGGTTATTAACTCCTCATTTTTCTTGTTTTGAAAACATCAGGGTGAGCTACCTCTCATTTCTATGAACTAAATTCACAGGGCAATGTTTTAAACATGTTATTATGTTATTACATATTATGTTTTCTAGATGTTTCACCCCTAGACTGTTCACCACTAAGACTTTTCACCGTATGGATATTTTACCTCCTAGACATTTCACCCCCTTGACATTTCACCCTATGGATGTTTCACCTCCTAGACCCTAGGAATGTTCCTTCTAGACATTTCACCCTATGGATGTTTCACCTCCTAGACATTTCATCCCCTTGAGATTTCACCCTATGAATGTTCCTCCTAGACATTTCACCCCCTTGACATTTCAGCGATTTCACCCTCATTATTTTACTCCTACATATTTCATTATAGCATTTATTATCATCAGAGCTTAATAAATGGTGTATTTAATGCAACATATTTTTATCAACACAGGTTGGCCACACAAAATTGAATAAAAAATCAAACAGCATCATATATTTTCTTGTAAATGTTAGATTCTAAGCAATTTTATGACAATGATACAATGTATTATTTAACATTAAAACAGTCTAGGGGTGAAGCATTTAAGGGGTGAAACATCCAGTGGATGAAATGTCTAAAGGTTGAACAGTCTAGGAGTGAAACGTCAATGGAGTGGACAGTCTAGGGGTGAAATGTCAATGGAGTGAATAGCCTAGGGGTGAAACGTCTAAGGGGTGAACAGTCTAGGGGTGAAACGTCAATGGAGTGAACAGTCTAGGGGTGAAACGTCTAAGGGGTTAACAGTCTTTGGTCGAAATGTCTAAGGGGTGAACAGTCTTGGGGTGAAACGTCTAAGGGATGAACAGTCTTGGGGTGAAACGTCTTAAGGGGTGAACAGTCTTGGGGTGAAATGTCTAAGGGCTTAAACATGTTGATACCATTGTTTTCACTCCCTATATTACTATGTAGGAATATTAGTTTACTTATGTGGACAATTTAGATACTATTCCATTATAACTGCCATCATTGTCTGTAATTTATTTTTCAGGATGATTCTGGTGACAGATTGCGTCATACAACAGATATTGATGAATCTACTCAGGCATTCTGCGCCATGGTTGCCAGGTGGGAATACACTGATTTTTAAATATTTATATGTATATACAGGCCAGGGAGGGTTTGATGGGTTCCCTCCCCCCCCCCCCGGCCAAAAATTCTTTCAAAATCATGCAGTTTTTCATCATTCTGAGCACATTTTAAGTTTTGGCCAATGTTGGACCAAAATTGTCAAAGATCAGTCCATATTTAAGCATATAGAGCCCACTGCATTTAGTTCAGATTCAGTTCATGTTAGCAATAAAATTGAGAAAAATTGTAAAATTGAGATTTTAGAATGAATTTTTTATAATCTCCATTATTTTACTTGTCAGAAAGGCCTATGGGTAACATATCAAAAGAACAATTAGATAATTCATTTAAATGATATATGACTAATTAGACTCTATGGCTACAGAAAATGCAAAGGTCTCATAAGATACCAACAAAGATGTATAAATATATAATGTTGTTAGGTTTAAAACACTCTATTATGAGTTCTATGACAAATTACATACATGTTTCATTTTTTCAATTCCATTTCCTAATCTATTGTATTATGTATAAGTTGTATAACATGCAACCCAAGAGGATGCACATTTATATACAGTAGAACTAGTAGTTACCTTATAGGTGAAAACCTTTGTATATGACCTTAACATAAAACCCAATCTTTCAGATTTCATCTGATAGAATTGAATTGATATAGAAATGAGTTGTTATAATTTCCAAACAAAATGTTCTCACAGGTTGGACCAAGAGTTAAATGCTGGGTAAGAAAAGATGTGTTTGAATTAGTTGGTTGTTGGAAAAATCATCTGATTAACATTTCGCACTTTGGTGTTTGGTGTATTTGGGGTTGATTATTTGTAAAATGTTATGATAAGGCATGTAAGAAATACTAAAATGGATACTATGCATGTACTAATCAGATTAAGACACAAAATGGTGTCTTTATCCTGGAAGAAAATGAAAGGGTTTGAATGGTGTCTTGTGTGGATATTGGATTAGGTGTCTAGAGGAGGGGTAAATGACCAGGGTTATTTATATAATGTCCTGATTGGAAAATGGTGTGCCTTTATTATGTCACCAACAGGTGATATATTATGGTCTCCAACTTTTTTGTGGATGGCAGTTTGGTGTTCGGTTGGTGTTCGGCATCTTGCATGTTAATGCCTTGTGTTACTTGGCAATGGAAAAATAGTTTATATAAGAGAAATTAGAGAATATTTAGAGGTTATTTACTGGGAGAGATTCAATATGCTTTTATTCCAAGGGACAATATGATATTACCCAAGGCCCCAAAGGGCCAGATGGAAATATCATATTGTCACGAGGAATAAACCCACATTTAATCTTGACCAGGAAATAAGTTTTTTATCACATGATATTCATGACTCTTCATAAAATCATTAGTTCAAAGTCCAATATCTGTTTTTTGTATGAAACAAAACCAGACTATATATTTAGTCTACAAGATACGACTTAACTTCATGACATTTTGAAATATAAAAAAATTATTATATAACATAAACATATCAACATCAAAAAATTTAACCATATGTATACATGTCAATCACAGGGCATTCGCATATTGCTCAGATTTCTATGACGTTGACTGTCAGTGTCAGAGCATGCTTTATCGACCCAACTGAACGTAATAGGTTTTTGGTAAAAATTCCTGGGAGGTGAATACCATTTTCGTTAGCGGGATTGGATGGGAAGATATAATTTTTTCAATATCAAAATTAATCCCAGGTGTTATTCCGCGATCCGGGAAGTAGTAGTATCATGGGATAAATAGAGGATATCCTATGCTTTATGAGTAATATGACTTATATCCATGAATGGATATGATATCAATATCCAAGAGTTGATTAAAATTGTATCATGAGTAAATTTTATTTTGACATGATGTCCTATGAAAATCAAGGTAACTATGGAATAAAAGTGCTAATAGCTGAGCAAAATAAATGTGAAAATCTCTAAATTATTTACGTTTGAATAAATGTTTGCTTGAATTTGTTTGAAACCACCCATTTGATCAGTGATTTTCATGGGCTGGCATGCATTGAGATAATAAAAGAAAGAAAAACAGTTTTGTTGCATCATGTACATGTATGTACTGTATCCTTTTATAAATAATGGAAAGATAAGTTTATTAGTAGGCAGGTAATGACGGAAATTTTAACTTATCATAGTATATATTGATATAAAGAAACCCAAAATTACATATAAAATATAAACAGGGTGCACAAATGAACCTCAGTACTCTCTTATAAGCTTTAAATTAACTCAAATTATTTAACTCTGTCTTTTCTTCTCTTCCAGAATAAGTAATCGGTATTCACCAAGTGATCTTCAGACAAACCATGGTATTATAATAAGCCCTCGTCTAACAAATATGCCCTGTGACCCTATACAGGTCAAGGTGATCATAAGTGCCAAATTTGCCCCAGAGCCAGTGAAGTTTACATGTGATGGTAAGTTATAGCTAGGTTGAAGAAAGGATTTCTATGTTATGGACTATTTATTCATGGCGTCAAAAATGAAAATATATTTCAGGTTAAGAGTGCTGTCCAAGAACCCCAAACGTAGAAAGAGGGAAAGTGAAATTTGATTTGTAATGGATGTTTTCAAATCATATTATATTGGAGAAGGGAGGGAGGGATAGACCATAATGAAATTAAATTTGTTTTTACCAAATAACAATAGGACAGTATCCCTCAATACTGAGAAAAGATATCCGAAATGTGTAAATTGATTATAGTCCTTCTATTCATAATAACTGTCAGTCAACCAAAACAAGACTACCTAGCATTGTTAAATGGATCCAGCACCAGCATTTTTAAATATAATGAATAGATCTCAGAAATTCAATACTAGTCTTGCATTAAGTCTCTCCCCCACCCCCTCATCTAAATCACCTCAGGAATTGAGGTATGTAGGGGTGACTGGCCACAAGGGATTGGAGCAAGCCAAATTAATTCCATATTAACATTCATATTTTGCAGTCTTGCGTGGAACATGCAAATCTAATTCCATATTTATGTTTCGTATTTTGTTTCAGTGCACTCTGCTGTAGAACATGTGATCAGTAATGTATTATACACACTGTGTGATGATTTAGGACAACTCACCACCGATGACTTCATACTCAAAGTCCATGGAAGATCAGAGTACCTACTCAAGTAAGAACACTTTATTGCCTCCAGCATATTTCATTGTGTATTGTATCAACTGGAACTTTCGTGAGTACATTCTCTTATATCATGTTTCAGTGAGTTTATTCTCTGGGAGTATGAGTACATACAGAACTGTATGAAGATGGACATAGACATCAAACTGGAACTCTTGGAGATTAAGAAGATGAAAAGACCCCTTCTAAGAACTGTAAGTATAAGGGAAGACCCCTTCTGAGGACTTTAGTAGTTACGCTTAAAACTTATGCAAGGTGGTTATAATCAAATAATGGCTGAAACCTGCGAATAGACACAATTCAATTGTTTTCAAGATGGAAGTTCAGAAATGTCTTTCTTGTCTCATGATGCATGTTTACTTTGTCAGACATGCTGTTACTCTTGTATTTATGTAATAAAGCATGAAATTGAAGTACATTGTATTATTTAAAACCTATTTATTGTAGCCTCAAGACTCAAGACAGCCAATGTACTTGCCAAAGTTACGGCCCAAAGAAGGACAGGCCGTGACCAAAGCTACAATGACCATCTTACTTGATACATTCTACAAGGAAGTGGAAAAATTGAGGGATAAATGTATCAAGGTAAATCCAGGCTCTAATTGTCATAAAACATACAATTTATTCATCAGCTTAAAAAAAGTCCAAAGCCATTAAAGGCAACTGACCTAAACTGTAATTCAAGATTTCACTATAGAATGTCTGCTAGACGTATGCCTTTGACAGATTTTGATATGTTACAATTTGCCTTATGTGCCTTTTTGAATTTATTGTTCCTATTTATTGTTCTTTTCTCAGGCTGAGAAGGTCCAGACCAGTGCAGTTATTCAATCCATAAAGGCGATATGTTCAATCCTGGCTGCCATTGAGACTAATGATATCACAAAGGCCATCAAGAGGCTTGTGTCTCTAACTGGGGTATGTACCATATGAATCTTGGTCTAGAGCACTGCCTCAAGAAATTCTTCTAATTTGTACACTCATACCTTTATTTACATGGGACTATTCACTAATGCGTCATGTTTTCTTAAATCTGTGTTGGACCATATACTGGATCTTTAGGATTTGTGACTCTGTAATACCCAGACTTTCTAAGTCTATAAATCATGCACTAGGTTTCAATCTCTTATCCAGATTATTTCAGTGTTTTTGTCAAGGTAAGTTGATATGCAGAACATCCCATAATGCAACTTTGTTATATTTCAGGATACATCAAAAGACCAAGTGACCCAAGATGTAGTAGATGGGGACTCTAAGTTTTCTATGGTGGACTCAAGGTATGTTTGTCTACTATTCTTAACTCCTAAACATTGAACTGGTTAAAAAGTACAACAGGGTTAAGCGCAAACAATATGTACAGTGAAATCTGTTTATCTGAACACCTCTTTGATCTAAACACCTCTCTGTGTGAACTCATTTCCCTATCCCTATTTTGTAATCTCCGATCCCATTGACCAAGAATAACTTGAAATGTGAACATCTGCTAATATTTATTAATTTTTGTTATTTGAATTAGAATTTATTTGTATGGTGCTTATACTTCAAATCCTGCATTCTGATTGGTTTATGTCTGGCCTTTAATTTACCATTCTTGATATATTTAAGATCAAGGTCAGCCAGTGATATCGTAGAAGATATATTGGACTGTTTAGAGAACTTAACACGTGCAGTAGAACAATTGCTCTCCATGTTCTGTGCAACATTCCTTACAGACTTTAACCTCAACGAAAGTAATAAACATCATAAAGGTAGGAACGTATATTTTGAATCCTCCAACGCATAAATCCATACCTAGTCATACTAAAACAAAATAAATGCAATATACTGTATAGGTTGTTAAAGTGTCTCACATATTCGATCAAAATTTGCCATGCAAACATGTTAGTCTACTTTACTGGCCCCCCTTGCTGTAACACGGAACACAAAACACATTAAAACGTAAACATAAACCAATTAGTCACTTCACTATGAAAGTGAGGGGTGTTAGTGTATTAGCAGTGGTCATTTACTGTGTCAACTTAGTAACCCTTGCATATCGTGCTCACTCAAGTATTGAATATTTTTTATGATCTAAATGATTGTGGTTTATCAAAAAAGTGATATATTTTAGTTAGAAATACATTAATAAATATATTCATTCAAATAGCACTAGAATGCGGGAAGAAAGAGCAATGATGACAAAATGCAGACAGAATTTTCCGTAAGGGTTTCAAACATTTCTGGACACAATCATAAATGTACTTCATGTGTACTGTTATTTTTAGTGCTGTATTTATAGATATAATTTCACGTATTAAAATCATATTTTCCAGCAATGACTTCAAATTCGGAACCACACCCATATCACATTTTCTTCAATAACTCCAAACATGTGTAAACATTGACCATGTGCATATAAATTCAGATTTCACGAGCTCTTTTCTATTTGAGTACCTCATACACCCCTGCATGGATTTGAGTTGGATTCGCCTTTTATACGTGAGCCGATACACATCGCAAACGCTGATTGGATAAAGATTGCGAGAATCTTTAAGATAGCTACTCAGAAATTTGTATATTGTATTAACTTTTCATGGTTTTTTATCGCCACCTCAAATGGTGACATATTGTTAAAGAGTCTCCAACTTTTTTATGGCTATGGTTTGGTGTTTGGCATATTAAAAAAATGGCAGGTAGTGGCAATTTGCATGTTAATGCCTTGTTTCCTTTTTCCAGATGATCAGATAGACTCTGCCACAAGTTATCCATCAAATGGAATCTTTGAATAATACAAAGTTGTATGTATTTTATTTCTAGAGGCTCAGTGTTAAGATAACTGACAACATCATTGTTGTGATAATCTCTATCCACAGGTTGTCTGTCCAATGGAAACCTGTCAATGAAAACTACTAACTTGTCATATGTATCTTGTTTCTAGAGGACCAAAGTTGTGCAAATATGACTGACAGCATCATTGTTCAAATAGGCTCCGCCCACAGACTGCCTATCCAATGGAAGAATGTCTATGAAAACTACAAAGTCATATGTGGCCTTTATTATGGTGGGAAACTCATATGTCAAGAGAAAGTCAGCAAGACAACGCATATTTTAAGAGGAGGCTTCCAGGAGAAAATCAGTTGGGATGAATGGTGAGTTTTTTGAACAGCAACTTAGATCCATGAAATTCATTTTTTAAAGTTTCCAAAATGTATCTAAATATCTAAATAAATCATAACGTAAAAATGGAGTCAGATATACAGTAACCCTTTAATAGAACAGTACCCCTTTTTAAAAGCCAGAGAAATAGAACACTGAGTACTTTATTTTTCCATTGCCATTGGAGCCTTCAAATCCAGATCTTTTGAGTCATGAGTTGATATTTAAAATCATATATTTGGTATTTATAGGGTAGAGTTTGATGGTCTATGTGTTGGTACAATCCCCAGAGAGACCAGGCTCTGTATGACACTTTATGGTATCAGGACTGTTCCCACAGACAGTAAACAACACACTGCAGGGCACCAAATGAATGATGCATTAGGTTGGGCGACTGTGCAGCTTTTTAACTACAGAGGGTAAGAGATTTAATTGTTTTGTTTATTATTATCAGAACACACAAAATCATAAAATAATGTTAATGCTTGAATGCCAATCTTTAATTGATGATGGTCAGTAGTTTTTTTTAATACAATAGAACATTCCCATGCAGCATTCAGCATTCCCTAAGACATCCCCAAACAATCCCATCATTTTTTTGCATGTTAAACAATCTGAGACTGATAATTACTGATAGTAACAATATCTTATTCAAAAATGAATATTGATTTTTTGTTAAAACATGTCATATTATCTTTAATTTGGTATATCATAAGTTCAGATTTATTATAATGTCTGTCAACCAGCGTCCATAATATAAATGACGTCATTTTCATTTCAAAACGGGTTTTCCAAAACTTGCAAAAACAAGTTTTATTGTCAACTTTATTTACATAAACAGACATTCAATATGTCAACTTTTTGATAAATTGATAAATTGGCCAATAGCATCATTGATATGCTGTTAAGACAATGCATTTCACTTCTCCTTAATTCAATTCTGTCCTAAAGAGACTGAAAGGATTCATGGAATACCAATTCTGTTAGTTCTTGCCATACGTGGTAGTCGCTGACGTTGGATGAACGTGTGATCTAGGGGAGGCAGTGATTAGGGGGATGAATCTAGGCACATTTTCCTTTAAACATTTGACCCTCTTGTGAGATCTATTGCTTGGAGCCCCATCTTGTTGAAAAATGTAATGATTCGGTAGTAATGATTTGGGAGAACTAAAAGAATTGGGTTTACCATGAACCCATTACATCTACTCAGTCCCTTATTAAGAATAGACTTGTTGAGAAGTGGAATTCATTGTTTCAACAGTATTTCAATGATGTTTTTGACCAGCCAAAATTGAGGGCCATAATTGATCAAAATGGTGGACATATTGAACGTCTGTTTGTGTACATAAAGTTGACAAAAAAACTTGTTTTTTGCAAGTTTTGGAAAACCTGTTTTGAAACTAAAATGATGTCATTTATATAACGGACGCTTGTTGACAGACGTTATAATAAATTTGAACTTATGATATACCAAAATAAAGATAAGTAAATTCCCTATCCACTGGTATATAATATGACATGTTTTCATCAAGAAAATCAATATTTATCTTTGAAATACGAGTGTCCCATTTTTTTTGACCACCCTGTACATTCATCCCTGCTTTCATTTCAGACATTTGACTCAAGGCCACCAAATAGCTGGGACTGTGGCCAGATGGGCAGGCCAAACCAACAGGAACTTGCCAGAGCTTCTTAACAACATACATTCATATCCTGCTTTCATTTCAGACATTTGACACAAGGCCCCCAATTGCTGGGACTGTGGCCAGATGGGCAGGCCAAACCCACAGGGACTTGCCAGAGCTTCTTAACAACATACATTCATATCCTGCTTTGATATCAGACATTTGACTCAAGGCCCTCAATTGCTGGGGATGTGGCCAGATGGGCAGGCCAAACCCACAGGGACATGCCAGAGATTCTTAACAACATACATTAATATCCTGCTTTCATTTCAGACATTTGACTCAAGGCCCCCCAATTGCTGGGACTGTGGCCAGATGGGCAGGCCAAACCCACTGGGACTTGCCAGAGCTTCTTAACAACATACATTCATATCCTGCTTTCATTTCAGACATTTGACTCAAGGCCCCCAATTGCTGGGACTGTGACCAGATGGGCAGGCCAAACCCACAGGGACATGCCATAGGTTCTTAACAACATACATTCATATCCTGCTTTCATTTCAGACATTTGACTCAAGGCCCCCAATTGCTGGGACTGTGGCCAGATGGGCAGGCCAAACCCACTGGGACTTGCCAGAGCTTCTTAACAACATACATTCATATCCTGCTTTCATTTCAGACATTTGACTCAAGGCCCTCAATTGCTGGGACTGTGGCCAGATGGGCAGGCCAAACCCACAGGAACATGCCAGAGCTTCTTAACAACATACATTCATATCCTGCTTTTGTTTCAGACATTTGACTCAAGGCCCCCAATTGCTTGGACTGTGGCCAGATGGGCAGGCTAAACCCACAAGGACTTGCCAGAGCTTCTTAACAACATACATTCATATCCTGCTTTTGTTTCAGACATTTGACTCAAGGCCCCCAATTGCTTGGACTGTGGCCAGATGGGCAGGCCAAACCGACAGGGACTTGCCAGAGCTTCGTTGATAACTCAGACAGTGTGCTTCTTCAGGTGTCTCTTCCTGACTTTGAACATGTTGTCTACTTCCCTGCAGTAGAAGTTGGAGAAATAAAGTATGTCAGTTTCAAATGACCTTGAACCTTCATTATTGTTTCACCCCTTGTCAAATGGTAAAATATAATTTTGGTTTTTATAAATCTCTTTAATAAGTTCATGTTATTTCTTTTTTATCATCACACATGTAGATATATGGCAAATTTGAAAAATCTTTATGTTTGCATCTTATTATATTACTATCTATTGTTTAATGTGTTTAAGTGACCCACAGCCATTTGCGAACCTACATCCTGACTCTAAAGAACAACTACAAGAGATCTTGGAGCGTGATTGTATCTCTCTGTAAGTAAAATATGACCCAATAATCTGAAATATGTACAACAAAAGCCTGTAAAGTGGAATGCCTCCAATTTGAGGCACCTAATGAGTTTGACACATACATACAGATTTCCAGAATCAGTACCTCTTGTAAAAAGGAAGAATATATTCTGGATTTTGAAGCCCTCTGATGGAGGATGATTATTATGCTATGTAGAATAATCACATAACAAATCCAAATAGGTTGTGAAATCTTAATGGAATTGATGCTATACAAGTATGTATAATTGAATCTATAAAATCTTTATATCAGAATCCTTAAGTTTGTTTTGTTATTCCAGATGTAATGCCTATGAGAAAGAAGTCCTTTGGGAGAAGCGCCATTACCTGTATGGCCACCCTGAGGCACTTGCGAGAGTGCTTGCAGCCTGTACCTCATGGGAGTGGGCCTCCCTTGCCGATACCTATACCATGGTGCAACAGTGGTCTCCTCTGACACCCATACAGGCTATGACACTACTACTTCCAAGGTAGGAAAACTGCTGCAGTTGAATTAACAATGGGAATTTTTTAATTGAATTTAATAGATTATGGAAAAGATTGCACCACAGTGAAGATATTGCCTTGATGATGAAATATGCAATATTCAATGTTTACCTCATTTGCTGCATGAGAAATAACAAGTGGCTTTTTCAGCAATCCATATTCTGTAAAATTGCCATAAAATTAACTGCCTCAATCCAACCTTCAGTAGAAACTGGGCATTCGTTTACTAGGGGTGCAGTAAATTGCTGTTAAATCACATAACATGAGCCATTGCTATTTTGCAGCTATGCTGATATTCAGATCCGCACAGCTGCAGTTGAGTGGATCAAAGACATTGAGAGTGATGAATTGGTGGATGTTCTGCCACAGTTGGTGCAGGTTTGTAGGCTATTTTAGTTTTTTAATAACAGTGCAGATTTTTACCCTATTTCAACTGTTGTTTTTTGTCTCTGCTTCACAGTGTCTTGCACTACTTAATTTTTCAGCCTTATTTAACAAGTATATCCATGTATTGCTCATATATTTTCTGCTATAAAGACAATTGAAGACTATTGGTGAACCATTACATTATGAAACGATTTTTTGATGAAATGAATTGTCTATGATTAAGAAATGTATATACATGTATTTTCTTTTTTATGTTAGGCGCTGAAGTATGAGAGCTACCACGACTCTGCCTTATCTAGATTCCTCCTAGATAGATCTGCCAGCAACATCAGGGTGGCACATCAGCTCTACTGGTGAGCTCATCTCATTTTTCAATTTAATGGTACCTTTGCCATAGCGACCATTTTTTGGTCAACAGTTTTGACAATTGACATCAGTGTTGGTATCTGTATAAATAGTTACTGACCTTTGTAATTGCAACTGTGTGGTGACATTTTGTCACTTCACTGTCTTTTCTATATTATTCTTTAGTATCATTTGTATCTAGCTTTTTTCAACCATAGTTAACTTGGACAAAATAAAAGTTCTATGTTCTTTACTCCAATACTTTTAAAATTAGTATGCATCATAAAGATTTCATCTGCCAGTCAAAATGTTAGTCTTTTAGTCAAAATTGAATTATGGCCAAGTCATGATGTTTTCATATAATACACTTACTGGAAATGAAAAACTTGACAGTCTGAATATACAAGTACAAACTGATTCCAGTGAGTCCTGGGTTTTGTTGGATATTGACATTTTCGTTGATAAATTAGTGGATTAACGTTGTGTGATCGCAATACACTTTCTAAAAAATACTCTATTGAATTATTTGCCGTGGCTTCCACTTTCTCATCAACATCGTATTTTCCAGGCTATTGAAGGAGGCAGCTGAGAATGTAATGTCCCGGAAAAGATACCAGTTGATGTTTGGCGCTTTGATGAGCATTGTGGGTAAATCATTGAGGAAAGAATTTGAGAAACAGGAAGAGCTCGTGAAGAAACTTGCCATCATTGCTGAGACTGTCAAAATGGCCAAAGATAAAGATGTAAGAGATGTGAAATATTAAAGAATTAGGAATGGAGAGGGTAAAAGGAAAGATGAGAGCAAAAATAACATTTACATAACTTTCTCAATTCATCTCTGTCTGTTCTAGTCCCATAAATGTGACATTTTGCAGATTGCATCTTAAACAGTAGCATACCCAGGGTTCAACAATAAATGCCATCAGTAATGTCATCTATTTTCTGTTATCGTAGAATATTAAGATTCATTAGTTATGGGACAGGATTCAATGGTTGCAGTAATGTCATCTATGTCCTGTTATTGTCATGGTCATTATAAATGCTGACCAATAATATGTGTATATATATTGGTCATGTAATTTATTGTACTGCAGGATGCACTGAATCGTGAGCTTGAGATGATTTATGAGATGCTGTATGAAGAAACAGCCCGTCTGCCACTCAGCCCAAGTCTAGAGATCAGTGGAATAGATAGAAAGGTACTCACATTTCTCTGAATTTCTCACTAAAATTTGAATAAAGACAATGATTTTCTTGAGCTACTATACAATTTAGAATTTGGGGGTAATGTCCATTTCCTTTTGTTTTTATTCTGCATTTCAAAACACAACCATGATTTTATGCTTGGTTTTAGGATGATCATGAATAACACATGGAGCAACAATTTAAAGCGCAAACTAAAATATATCTAAACTAACCAATGCAGAATGAGCAAATTACAATTTAGATACAAATTATATCAATAATAAATGTTTTCATATTTTATTTCAGTCATGCTCATATTTTGCATCCAATGCAACTCCATTGAAGCTTGTTTTCAAAAATGTAGACCCCAAAGCTGTGTCCATATACACCATGTTTAAGGTAAGTCTCATTAAGCTTCACTGATTGTAACATTCACTTTTAGATTTGGCATTGATAAATGAGTTTGGAAGTGGGGGTGGTATTTTTATTTATTTATTTATATCTATCATTCTTCACATTCACATTATTTTTCTGATATTGCTATTTTGTTCTGTATGCTGATTATGAAAAACATTAATTATGGAAAGAATTATGTTTTATAATATCTTCAAAATGTATTCTTACTATTAACACAAATATTGGATTTTTCGAGAAATTATTATAATTTCCATGAATTATCAATTTACAAATATTAATATGTATTGTAATATGTTAATAAATTGTTTACCTTGTATTTTAGGTAGGGGATGACTTGAGGCAAGACCTGCTTACACTACAGCTGATACGCATTATGGACAAACTCTGGCTAAAGGAGGGCTTGGATCTCAAGATGATCACATTTGGGGTTCTGCCCACTGGCAACAAAAGAGGTAAGCACATTCCATCAGAAATGAGGTCATAGAGGTCATGTTTTGAGATGCAAAATGAAGCATTAAACAGTGGAATCTGCAGGAAATAAAGTAAATAGATGTATAACAGAGATTTTAACTTCATTCTATAAAATAAAAATGTCAGAAAATGAGATACTTTAGTCAAATTTTAGAGAGATTTGGTGTGGAATAAGCACAAACGAACATATATTTTATGACATATTTAATATTCCTATTTGTTTAGGTCTCATTGAATTGATAACAGAGTCTGAAACTCTGCGGAAGATCCAAGTGTCTCATGATGGTGTGACTGGTTCTTTTAGAAATAGACCAGTGGGTGTTTGGCTTCAAAAACACAACCCTACAGAGCTAGAGTACAAAAAGGTTAGTATAAACATACAGAGCCAGCAGGAAAAACAGGAATCAATAACATTCTGTTTGTTTTATGATTAATTAATATTGGCTATTACAAGATGGTTGCTCTGTAAAAGAAATATGAGGCATTTGTTTTAAAAATGAAATACAGAATATAAGATTTCCATGAAACTGCAAAACCAAAGGCTACAGTCCATATTGAATCACCCTTTGAATAGTTCATTGCATTACGAGAATGATAACAGATCCTTAAATATTGCAATTTGTCATGAAATCAGTCGGTCCTCTGACAGAGAATGTTTTAAGATTATTGAAGTTATCCTTTTTATTATTTCCCTTTCAGGCTGTGAGCCATTTTACAAGATCTTGTGCAGGTTATTGTGTGGCTACATACATTCTTGGTATCTGTGATCGCCATAACGACAACATCATGCTGAAAGAGTCAGGGCACATGTTCCATATAGACTTTGGCAAGTTTTTAGGTGACGCTCAAAAGTTTGGGAATATTAGTAGGTAGGTAATATAGAATTTTGATCCTGGGATCGCAAATTAATTTTAGCTATTATAATATGTTTTATTTGTGAAATGTACATATATACAAATGTACTGTATAAGTATACTAAGAACAAATAATGTAGCAACAAATACAATTTAAACATGTCCAATTTATTTCCAGAGACCGTGTACCATTTGTGTTCACAGCAGATATGGCATATGTCATAAATGGCGGAGACAAACCCAGTAGTATGTTCCAGAACTTTGTAGACTTGTGCTGCAATGCATTTAACATCATCAGGAAAAATGGCAATCTCTTTATGACTCTGCTTGAAATGGTAAGACCATTTGTCGTGTAATGAAGCAGGTTCATCAGCAATTACAATGTACTTGACCATTTCATATGAACGATATATGGATCTTTTAATTTGGAAAAGAAGCAATTAATATTATTGTTTACTCACAATTTCTTTACTCATAAGACTCCAGTTTATGTTTATCAATGTGTATCAAAAATAGTAATTATTTTAGTCTTTATATTTACTTTTGATTTGCCCAAGTGGCACATGTTCAATTGGTGAACTGAACTCACTCCATGTTAATCCCTTTTATATTTGTTTCATGAGAATATTTTAAAATAAAATAGACCAAATCATACTGAACCCACCCAGGTCAATAGTACAATTATTGGATTAAAACAGTTTGTAAATTTCTAAATTTGAATCCTGCATGTTTAGATGGCCGATTCTGGTATTCCTGGTGTGAACCACAATGCTGTAGAATATGTCCAGAAGAACCTTATGCCCCAGAGCTCTGATGCTGAAGCTACAGCTGCATTTACAAGGTACTGTAAACATCTGTACATCTGGCTTATTAACATCTGCTTGAAATGTCTCTCTGTTCACACATATTTCACCCCATTTCTATAAGATTTGAATTAAGTATTTGATCTTTAAAATGCAATTGTTAGATATTTGTTAAAGAACAGTGGTCAATTTGAGATTGATCCCTGATTTGTGCATCATTTTTGTAACATGATGGAGAATGGGGATGTATCTCAGCATACACATGCCTAAATATGAAGAAGGCTTTCATAAATGCTCAAGGATGTTCAATGAAAACCAATCTATTTAAGATTTATATAAATATTATTTTACTTTATATTGTAGGATGATTGAAAGTAGTTTAAATTCAGTGTCCACAAAATTTAATTTCTTCATTCACAACCTGGCTCAGTGGAAGTTCAAGGGACACCAGGAGGGGGCGCTGTTGTCATTTATTCCAAAGACATACAGTATGCAGACAGATGGCCTTATAACAGACATCAAGGTCCATAACTTCCAAAAACGCTACAACCCAGAGAAGTATTATGTAAGTCCATGTTATAGTATACAGGCATATATGTAAATGGGTACAGGCAATGTAATAATTGAAGGTTGGCTCAGACTGAATCATTTTTGAAGCATTATAGTAGATTAGACTGAGCAAATGAATTTCGGTTATTTTACATATTTGAAAATAAACCCTTGTTTGATGCTTTTAGCAAAACACTTTGTCATGAATACACTGTCAGTGATGCAGCGATATTATATTGTCATGGGCTTTCAATTGAAATTCCATTGTACTGAAGAGAATTTTGAGTATAGTTGTTTACTAGAGTAGCTAGAGTAGGAATTTAAATAAAGAATGACAATTTGTGATTGTTCAAATGTTTTTTGTTCAAGATCTACATCATCAAGATATTTAGAGAAGGTCAAAGGGTACCCTCTCACATATTCCGGCGCTACTCAGAGTTCTATGAATTCCATAGCAAACTAGTGATGACATTCCCTTTAGCGACCATCCCCCCTCTGCCTGGGAAGATTTTACTAGGAAGAACACATATAAAGACAGTGGCAGAAAAGCGAAAGATGGAATTAGAGAATTTTATGAGAGAATTGCTGCTACTTGCACCTGAAATATCACAGGTACTCAATTTTACCCCTCTTATATTAAATATTATATAAATTCATGTACATTCACCCCTTTTTGAGATATTATTTGTCGTGAACATGTTTTTAGCAAGACTTATTGAGCACAATTGATAATTGAAAATGCCCTGCTACATTGAATGCCAGAATTGCTTTGTAATAACTTCGACCATTCATCCATTCATGGGTGACTATCCCAATATGATGAAAATTTTGGCGCTTCAAAGCATGCCTTTATACTACATTGTGTCTCATGAAATTAATTATTCTGTGTTTTCTTTCCAGCATGATCTTATATATACATTTTTCCATCCAATGTTGAGGGATGAAACAGAAGTGGATAAAATGGACAAGCAAAAAGTTAGAGGTAAGAACACAGGTTAAATGGTTGGATTCCTTGTGATCCATATTTGTATTGATGTATGCTGTGCTAATAATAATAAATGCTTTGATTGACATTACATTAAAGGTCAGTGTTTCAATATTGTCCAAAATGTAATTTATTTTGGATTGACCCACTCCCTTCTCTTTAAATATATAGCATTGAATGATTTTTATCAATTTTAAATCCTTTTCATATAAAGATAAATCTTTCATATTTTATAGAAATATAATAGATTCTTGTAAAAATCGTTATTGTTTCTGAAATTAAGTGTGCACATTTTGGATTTTTAGAATGATGTGAGCCAGAAATATTCTAAAATTGAAGCAATTTTTTGTTGGCCTGCTCGCTAGATCTAATTCTCTCTTGAGTCATGTCATTTTACCATCATTTAAACATAAATTGCACTTTTGAGATTCAAAGATATATTTTTCTTTATATATTGACCTTACTTTCATTTTGTTTTCAGAACCCACATCACCTAGAGAACTAAATAGGTCTATACAAGGGGAAGTGAAACTGTCTCTGTTATATAAAAGTGATTCTCTATACATCATGGTTATGCACGCCAAAGACATTGTGAGTAAACAAATTATTCTATAGGTAATGTATAGATCTGTTATACAGTATTTGTAATGGGGTTCTTTTTTTCAAATTACCCCCCAAATATAGCTGGTGTGTTTCCACCAATGACTCAGGGGTCCTCAGATATGCTAAAGAATAAGTGATGTTACTGCAGTAGTAGAAATGAGTATGTCTTAAGCATAACTGATCACGAGGAAAATTAAACTGACATACATGTAGTAATAAGTTTAAATTATTTTTGATTTGTTATATTTTAAAGTGACAATTTCAATTTAACACAATCTATAAGATACATGTTATGCCATTATGCTATATGGTATGCTGTTATGTGTATGTTACAAAGAAGTTTGATTAATTCATAATTAAATGTGTTTGTTGTAGGCCAATGGATGTGGGGAGCCTCCAGATCCATATATTAAAACATACCTACTTCCTGATCGTGGCAAGTTCACCAAGAAAAAGACAAGAATTGTCGAGAGGACTTTCCATCCAACATTCAATGAAATGGTTTGTATTGTGCAAGATTAGTACGGTTGCTATTATTGGGATAGAGTAACCTCTAGAATTACACTCTCTACCCAGATATATATAGCTGATAATGCTCTCACAGTGTCACACATGTAATTTCAATTTTCACACATCATTTTGTGAATTAGAAATTCTAATTTAAATTTAGTCTTGAAAATTTCTTCTGGTCTTACCCCAGAAAGGCCACAATTTGAGTTCAGGATTCATTTCTTGACCAGGTGCTTTTTATGTCATCACCAGTCTCCAACTTTTTTGTGAATGGTGTTCTTTGGTCAGTATCTGTAACAAATGGCAGGTGGTGACATTTTGCATGTATAATGCCTTGTTTCTTTTTTGTCTGGAAATGCAAAAAGGAATGACAAAATGAAAAATATATGAAAAGACATGGAAAGGTTTTGGGTTAAACAGGCAGGCACTGTTAAACAAACAAGGTCTATAAGCTCATTGTCTTTCATGAGAGCTAGAATTAACGGAAAAATAAATTTATCATTCCAGCTCATATACCGAATGCCATATGACCAGATCACTACTCGAACTTTACAAGTGACGATCTGGAACTATGATAGACTGAAAGAAAATGAATTCATGGGTGCCGTTTATATAAAACTAAGTGAAGTGAATCTTTTGAAGGAGGAAGCCAAGTGGTATACTGTTGGGAATTTACAGCTGATTGCATGAGGAAGCAGTCACGTTGGAGGAAATGTCATTGGTGATACTTCAATTTGCAAAATAGAACAGAACAGTGTAAAGATACCAAGGAACAAATACATGTGTGAAAGACTGCCAAGAAATTGACGGACATCTGAAATTAATTGAATTTTGAGGAGAAATATCGTAGAATAAGCATGAACAGTCTGACTAGTAATCCTTGCATGCTAAGCACTTGTAAGATTGTCCCTAAATTTTAATTAATGCAAAAATGGCAGTAAAGTAGTCCAGGATGTCAGAGCTGTGATGTCATAAATATTTATATACCTGATAATATATATACAGTGTATATATAGAATGAAAAATTGAACTGGAAAAGGATTTATACTGAAATGAAATTATGAGACACACATTTTACTTTGTATTCTAAATTATTGCAAACATCGTTCTTAACTCATTTTTGACATGCAATCTAGAAGAGAGCCTAAACATGGGCTTTCAAAATGGCCTATTGTAAGCCTTAATTTTTGGAAATTCAATTCTACAGTTTTTGAGAATTGTAAAATATGGCTGTGATGAATTTTAGCCTAATAGAAAAAGAGCCATTGCATTGATCAATAAATTTTTGTTGGCCAATATATATTATGGAAATTATTTGGTAGTCCAACTTTGTTTTGTCTATTATTGTATTGTGGAATATTGCAAAAATGTTAATTTTATTCATGTAATTTTATGTACATGTAAAGAAAGGTAGTACAAAGTGGGATCAAGCATGGAATGGATGTATCCAGGATAAAAAAAGGAAAAATAGTCGGGACAGAGTAATGCTTTCTCTGTTACTCTGTTCTCTATTACATGTTAACAATGTCTACTATATGTACATGGTAACACATATTTACAATATATATGGTAAAATAATGTTCATTATTATACAAGGTAACCTATTTATTTATACATGGTCTAGTGCTTGACCATATCTACTCTACAGGGTGGGCCAAAAGTATTTATCTATATTATTCTGAAAATAGAGTAGTCATCTGATAACCAATCAGATCACAGTTAAAGGTTCAATTTATAATGCAAAATTTAGCGAAAACTGCCCAATGCACGGAGCTTTATTTATGAAATGAATGAATGAATGTGTATGCACAAAATTAAAATATCTACTTGAAATGAATTAAAATGTTTTTAATAAAATTAAAGAAGTAAATTATTTTCTTATTTCTCTTGGATGAAAAATTTCTTAGATAAAATTCCACGATTCCACAAATCAATAATAAAGGGCCACTGTACAAGTTGCATTTTTATGAACTTACATGTACATATAATATATTGAAAGCTCTGTATTTGAGAAATGCCCTACTGTATGTATTTTGCAGAGAATGAAAACTTCTAACTTAATAATGTCACTGTTAATAAATGGCTTACATGAAGGTTTCTTTAATTATAATTGTACAAATCATCTTAAAATTATATGAAACAATGCTTTAAAGTATATAGGCTTATAAGTACCTTGCATGTACTTTAAATGCAGTAAGTGAATGAAATAAAGTATGAATTGTGTGAATATTGCAAACATAATAGTTTTCTTGTTAGACTTTGTTGAATAGATGTTTTGGCTAAATAACACCGATGAGCTTGTCACCCATCCAAGTATCATGCTTGAAATTGCATAATTTTAGTGATTGAACAAGAACTGGTGTCTTCAACATGATATGATTGTTAGCTGAAGGTAGTAGTTATGAATAGTTAAAGGAATGTACCAAATACATATTAATTTTCTAAGGATTTATTGGCGTACCATTTACAAATTACCAAATACATATTAATTTTCTAAGGATTTATTGGCGTACCATTTACAAATTACCAAATGCATATTAATTTTCTAAGGTTTTATTGGCGTACCATTTACAAATTACCAAATGCATATTAATTTTCTAAGGTTTTATTGGCGTACCATTTACAAATTACCAAATGCATATTAATTTTCTAAGGTTTTATTGGCGTACCATTTACAAATTACCAAATGCATATTAATTTTCTAAAGTTTTATTGGCGTACCATTTACAAATTACCAAATGCATATTAATTTTCTAAGGTTTTATTGGCGTACCATTTACAAATTACCAAATGCATATTAATTTTCTAAAGTTTTATTGGCATACCATTTACAAATTGAATACTACTGAACTCTTCTTCATTCTTTCCATCCCATCTTCCATCTAAGCACAATCTTGGCTCTGTAACAAACCATCTTTCTAAATTATTGTACCATTTTCTAGTGCGAGTCTTATCATGCATCATTGCACACAAGCGGCACCAAGATTGTGTATTGATAAATTCACCTGTTCCTTTCCATTGAAACAACTTGTTATATTCATCATCATTTTGGTCAAGGTAGTTAATATGCTCAGCAAGTTCAGCAGGATTGGGAAAGTCTTCAACATGAATAAAACTGTTTTCAGGAGCAACTCTTCTGTAATCATCTGGGTGTGCCCCCATCACGACTGGTACAACATCATTCCTGAAATTGGGAGCTGCATTAATTATGTCAACGATAAGCGATTTTACTATTGGAATCTTTTGGAGATAGAATTGGTTAGAAGTTCTGAATATGTTTATGTGATTTTAAGAATATGATTAGTATGGCCTTATGTTTTCTTATCTCTTCAACACTTAACTGGTTGTGCATTAAATAAAACAAATTTTTATTTAAGACGTAATTTTCCCAAAATTGTCATTTTCAAAAATAAACAGCATTTTGAAAAAGGACCCCCATTTTCAAAAGCTGCCTAGAAAAGGTTCCAGAGTTTAAAAACTAGTTGTTTCCTCAACCCTGTAAACTTCCATGTACAATATTGCTCAATTCAAAAATATTCAATACTTACATTAATGCATTGCTGAATAGTTTTTCAGTGATGTAATCTCTACAGTTTGTGTTTTCAAAAGCGAGATAAAACTTATAATCCTTTTTTAGCATTTCATAGCACTGCTGCATCTTGTTTCTTGGACATTCTTTATCACCGCAATTTCCATAAATATCAACATCAATATATTCTTGCAATTTTTTCGCGTAATTCATCCTTCCATTGTTGTCATAGCAATGTGAAATGAACCAAGCTATTTTTTTCGTTTTACCTTCAGCATAGTTTTTCTCAATCCTGCTTTGGGGTAAAGAGTCATACTGTTTGAATTTTCCATATACAATAGGTATATCTGAATCGTGCCGATAGGTCATCGTATAATTGAAGCGATCCTTATATGGATCTAACCAGGCTGTATTAAGGGCCGATTCAAGCTCATGATATACCCAAACTTGGTTGTTCTGTTTGTAAAAACTTGGGAACGGCTCTACTCTTGAATGACCATCTTTTCCTGGATGTGGTCGAAATATAATCGCGTCAGCAAAAGAACTGGTCCTATTATCATCAGTTAATTCACAGCGACTGAAAGGGCAATCTTTAAAGAATTGTTGACCATTTTTAAATTGACGTTCATTGACTTTATCCCATCCATGATACATCAGTATCCTAATAAGACGTTGCTTATATGGATCCCTAGTCTTATTTAGGTGATCAGCGAACCTGAGTTGTTTAACTATTCTGTCATCCCTGGGATCAGACTGTTCTGGCCATATCCTGAATCCTTCAGAATCACTTGGCATTTTAACCCCACTTGTTGCTACATAGTCATCCCCTCTTGATTTAAGTTCAGTCATGACCTCAAGCTTTGATTTAAATGGCTTCAGCACATCAGTTTTCATTTCAGGCTCGATATATCCAACTGTAGTAGGTACATCTTCATAGTAGTATTCAGGTGTCCAATTTACATTTGACCTATTTTGATATTTCCGTTTAATTTCATCACGTTCATTCACCCCAATCGCCATCGCATGCGTGTAAATACCTGGCACTTTATAATCGCTATCTTTAAGGTCAGCATAGTCACTCTCTACAGACGTTTCCCTTGTTCTTGATTCTTGAGTCATTTGCATTATGCAATGTAGATTTGCACATATGAAAAGTCCTACGAACAATTTGATACATTTCGTATGGTGTCTTGACCATAACCTCACTATGACTGTATGAATCATTTTTTCAAATGTCTTTTCTTATAAACTGGTCAATTTGACACTGATCTATTTCAAAACTGATCTTTTCCACTCTTACTTTAGACTGTTCTATTATAAATTGTTTATAACATGCCTGACTTTCTCAAATGGTAGTTTGTCACTACTACTTGCTGATGTATTCAAGATTTATTGAATTTATTTGTATTCCGCACCATTCCAAACTGTTTAAAATAATTGATGTTTTTAATCCAAAATGATCAAATTCAAAGTTAATATTCAAATTGATCTATGGCATGCTGGTCTTTTGAAACTGTCACGTTTCAACCCTTATCTTTATGTAACCCATATTTAACCAACTCACTCTAATATGTTTTTAAAGAAATTGATTTAAAAAACAGTGAAATACAAATAATTCACGAAGTTACTTTTAACAATGCTTTTACTGGTCACTACTTACAACTGTTATTTTAAAACCCATTTGCCATTGACTAATTAGGTACAGTAAATGCCAAACCCTTAGGGAAACATTAATTCCCTGCCGCAGTTAACATGACAAAGTCCTTCCCATTTTATTGCAATAAATCAAGACCTGTTTTAGCATAACAAATTATATTGTCCCCCAGTAATTACTACCTACTATACTGACCCTAATTGGGTATATAAATAAGAAAGTGTTGTAGAAATTTGGTTTCGAAAATTGTTTATCAACTTTGAAAATTTAATTTTTTTTTGAAAATATGACTTCTTGTTCGGGGAGATACCCCAAAGACCCATGTTAAAAGATCACAAAAAGTGAGCCACCTGGTGGTGAAACTGATAACTACCTACTTGCATCTGATTCTATTAAATTTTGAAATTAACATTGCTGATTCTATATCATTTCAATGTCCATTCACTGTTTGGGTATGTGAAAAGATGTAATCAGTATTATTCCATAAAAAAAAATTATCTTTGTTTCAATGTTTCTGATACCAGTACTTCAGTGCAATTTGGTATTTTCACTTTTTGGATTTCAAAATCACTGTATTGCCAGCAATATCTGATTGACCCCCCCCCCCAACCAATGAAAATATAACCATTAGATAGAGGAAGAAAAGAGCTTTAAAATGCTATTTATTTGAAGCTTCTAGACTGAAAACCGAAATTTTTTTGGCAATTGCACCCCCTGACTGAAAGCTGGCTACACCTTTGTCTAATAATGTAATGTTCTTATAATTAAGATGTTCTTCTGGTAACATGGGAAATGTTGGACTCATGGATGATATTGCTATCTATAGAACAATCATCAAATAGTTGACAAAATCATATTTCCTCAACAATGAGTATACAATAAACCATCTTAAGTACAAACAATGTTAACATTTATTTCACAAAGTAATAAGCTTTTAGCTCAATTAAATACATGTACAGGTAACAGTATTAGAATAAATACACAAAATTGAGATAACTCAAACTAACAATAAAATTCAAGTTTAGCATTCTTTAGTTTCAGTTAAAGTACCAGGTTTAGTATGGCAATTGATTTTAGATGGTCATATCTTTCTGTACTTTATCAATTTAAGTATGACATTTCTCATTAATACAATATGTTACCTTTCAATTAAATTCTTAAGGATATTAAAAATATCAATCTAACAATTCAAAAAATTAAGAATAGGGACCCCCTGTCAACATTTTTTCAAAATGTTGAACCTATTTATTCAAAAGAGGATTTCCTTTTTCAGATTTTTATTGCATGAAAATATTATTCAACAAGGGGTCTAAAACTTCTTGAAATGTAGAATCGATTGAAAGTCTAGTTTAGAAGATATCAATTTTCGATGACCAAAATTATGCTGAAAACAATGGATAGCCAAGTTTTCCGTATGGGAAAATTACATGGGATATGTGGTTTTTAACTTGATTGCATTTCAATCCCCATCCCCTTTTCAGAAGTTAATATTGTGTTGAAGAAACTTTTGATATGTTTAAATTGAGAAAAACGAGATCCTCTTTTTAGAAAATATTGCCTATTATTTTTTAAAAATTGACATAAACATAGGGTCCTAAACCATACTTTTTCAGGGAGTTGGTTTATATTATTATTGTCACAGGGACTTCAATTGAAAGAAAACACATTGTTTTAATAAAAGCCATTGTATTTATGGCCAGAAAGTACTCATGGTGAAAGATATGACTGTCCAAAATCACTTGCCATACTCAATCTGGTCCTTTAGAGGACAAGACTCTATTCTTCTATTATATCATCAAAATTGCCAATTTGATATCACTCAAAACAAAGGAAATGTGCAAGAATAATCCCTTTTTGTTTTGGTATAAACAGGAGAGAAAATCTGAGGAGGAAATGCTAAACATTTTTACCTAGTCTAGCCTGATTACTCAACAACAACAAGAAATATGTTAGCCAATTGTTAATTTTGTACAAATAGGCAGTCAATTTCACCACAAGTTCATTTTTCAAGAATGATTCTTTTGTATTGGAACTCCCATTTTATGGGTCAACAATTTATAAATTGACTATTTATTGATTGGTTTGTGATGTCATACAGATCAGAATAGACCTAATTTCATAGTTTGGCATGTATGGAGGTTCCTTTAATTCAACATATTTGCTCCAATATTCACAAATTTAGAGCAGCTTTAAGATTTGTGGTAGGAATCATTTGAATCTGATAAAATTGATCAATATGAGACCAACAGTGCGGCAAGATTTAGATATCAATTAAATGTGTGCTACAGACCAACATGATCAGATTATTGTAATAGGCATACACTAGTAATAATAAATTACAATGCACTGAATCACTTTCAAGTATTGGCCTCAAAAGTTCACCTCCTTGATTCGGAATGTTAGAATTCAATGCAATAGATCTAACAAAGGTATTAACTATTATTTGAACATATTGGTAAATATGAGAACTGTTGACTAGTTAAATGGTTCAATTATATAGAATCTCTTACAGATGAACATTTAAAGCATTTATTGTACATATCAAACAATCCAACAGGGTTCTCACTAGGCTTTTAGATTCCAGATATTCTCTGGGGTCTTATGTCTTTAGACCCTCTTGCTCAAGAGTCTAATAGCTTTTCCAGAGTCTAAAGTGTTTTTCCGGAGTCTAATTTTTTATCAAATTACGAAAATACATAAAACTGGATACAAACAAGGAAGATAATCTTAAGAAGTATTTTGAAAAGTATACAAATAGGATATCTCTGATCACACATGGGGAAGAGTAGTCACAATCCGCGAAAAATCTGGGGTCTAAAAATTTCCTGGTGAGAACCCAGACTCAACCTTCAATTCTGAAAAGCATTCATCATAAAGCCTGACTCACTCATAAACAAAACCAGTGAGCATTCTGATTTAAAGTTTCATAAGGATTTTAAACCTCTTTATGTATAGACTTATTATTTATCTACAGTTTACTTTAGGCATCATTTTATCATCAGGGACAGTGTGCTTTCAAAACATCATTGTTCTCTGGGGACACAACTACTACGCTATTTGCAATTCTACTAAGCAGAGCATGCATTTCATCAGTACCAAGTTCCTTCTCCCAACGTTTAATTAGGAACCTCTCAACTGCCCCATCCCAGTCCGATACAGAAATATACGTTGAGTCCAACTGGAGAATGAAAAAATATACAACATCTTTATAAGGTGCATTTTCATTATCACAAAACGCATGAAGCATTAATCCAGCAGAGGCAGGCATCAAGTCGAGATTGGTTATTTCTGCTACTTTATTCCCTTTACTGAATCCGTCACGTAGTTTGTCATCCACCTCTAATTTAGCTTGGTCAGGATTTTTCGGAAGCCGCGAGCTATGAATTTCTACAATGGACGTTGAGTTACTGTACTTCTGCAGGCTTGATAAGATGCGGTTGCTAAAGCATTCTGTTGCTTCCATGGCCCCGGACACGGCAGCAATCATCACAACTGCTGGAGATTTTAGAGTCTCCCGTTTCTCAACCCAAGATTTTAGTACAGGTTTGATCGCCGAAGATGTTGATACAAACAGCCTCCTGTCTTGTGATTTAAATGTACTTTTCAAATTATGCATGAGGGAGTCAAAATCAGCGAGTATATTTATTGGTTCAGGAGGTGGAATTTCACGAGACATAAGGCCGCTGAAGTAAATAGCAGCAACAAAAACAAGCACTGCCACGATAAACAAACACACATAAGAACCACTTTCATCATTTTCTGGAGTAGCGTCTTCTACAGATTCTCCTATTACGCTTCTATCTAGCTTTGGATATATTGGAGAACTTTGAGGATATTTAGGTGACGAGCAAACTGATGTAAAGCTATGATCCGATAAATCTCCCCTTGGACTGTTGGCAGCTCTCCTAGGAGATCTCTTTGGCCTAGGTGACCTAGTTGGAGAAGCATCAGAATGGATTGATGGACGTGAACTTATATGGTCTTCTAGATTAGGGTACAAGCGATTCCTTGTTCTCCCTGCAATGGGCACATCCTGAAAATACAAAACTGATGTTGAACAAAATAATATTACTTTTACATGCACTTTGAGTTGGTAAATAATCATGCACCTTTAAAGCTATAACCATATTTCATCATCAAAATTCACATTCACAATGTTTTTTGTTTTTTTAGTCCAAAACATTTTGTTTCATTTGTAAATATGACATTTCATAATACCATGCCTTGTCGGTTAATCAAGATATCAATTTTCCATAAACACAAACAGAAGATTCTTCACCAATTAAAGGTGAAATTGATAATCAAAATTTCACTTTATGATATTCTTGAAACATACATGTAACAGTGTAAAAGAAACAAACATCAAATTTTGAAAAATACCAGTGTCACTTTCGAAAGTACTTATCCCCAAAAGATTGTAAAAGATACAAAGGTATTAAAAACATTAACTTACTTTACTATCAGTCGATTGGTCCAAACTTTCAGAGCTAACATGATGTTTGTCATCTTCAGACTCTGAGTTTAGACTCTCATCATCTTCACTTCTCTCTGCCCTATAACTTCTATATGAGCCATTAAGGTCATCTGATTCCAAGCTACTATCCACTAAAGAACGATCCTTCCTTTTTCGGGGCATTTTTGTTCTTTATTTTGGTGTTATCTCAATGATGACATATCTCTCTTTGGCAGAACTGAAAAACACAACCACATGGAATTCTGTAAAGATTTTGCGTAAATGTTGGAATGAGTGGTGACAGATTAATAATTTTGTATTGTGTAGAGGAAATAGACCAGTGATAAGGCAACTTTTTTTAATCTGTTTTCATTGAATGAAATAAATTCCAAAAAGGCTCTAATGTTTGGTTCAGTTTGAATGTTTGGAAATTTGAATATACGGTTTCAGAGATCTTCCCAAAACATCAATTTTATTACGATGGACAACATATTCCTAATTTTTCTGACTAACTGATACACACTCTCTTTATACTGAAGTATGCAAAAAAATACTGGAGTCTATAACCAAAGCTAGAGCTATTTCAACCATGGGGCTATTTCAACATTGGCTTATATTTCTGATTCACACAGTTTACCATGTCTGTTTTTTGAAAATTTAAAAGAATAAATCAAAATCTCCAACTTCCGAAATCTTATCCAAGATGGCTGACCCCGTAAATATAAATTATTGACAATGGTCGAAGTTACCCCATGGTTGAAGTACTGTACCCCAGGCCTGTCAACTTGGGAACACCTAACATGAGTGACTTGGAAATGTTGAACACCTCCCCTCAAAATGTGGATACCTTGGTCCAAATCTGAACACCTTGATCCAAATTGTGAACACCTTGGTTTAAATTTTATTACATCTTGCCAAATTTTGAACACCTCAAATTTTTCGCTCTCGCTACGCTCCCGTTTCAAACATCCATCAACGGAGGGGGGGTAGGTATGAAAAATTTCGAACGGAATGCGTGACATATACGTAATTCCCGTGAAAAGTCCGAACGAAATGCGTACGTTTTTTTTCGGCGTTCGTATTTTTGCTGTGTAGACGAACTTTTTTAGAATTTTTTCTACAGAAATATTTTTGCTTGACAATTACCAGGTAAAATGCGTATTTGCGTGACATTTTATGTCACGCAAAAATAACTGGCGTGTCTTCAAATTCTTCAGCAAATGCGTGACAAATACGCAAATTGCGGGACAGTTGACAGGCCTGGTACCCCCATGGCGAAGTAACACCATATGTCAAAGTTCGATGCTTCTCCCCTCTAGCCTTGTAGAAGGCTTAGCATTTGTTGATTTTTAAAATCAACAAATGCTAAGCCTTCTACAAGGCTACTCCCCTATAGCATGGGCTTTCAACTAGAAGGAATGGAGGAAAGGCACAATTATAAGAAGTACATAAGCGGATACATATTTTACGCAAGGCCAGAAAACAGAGAAAGCCATTGTAAAAAACAAAAGGCTTAATGCTTATATCACTTTAGTTTAGTCATTGACAGATTTTTCTTCATTTCTTCAAGTCAAAGTGGGCGATAATATGTTAAAAATTCAATTTATTTCACAAAATGTCTCACAGTAAGGTATAAGCTTACTAAAATCATACATTATTATGCTTTGTTTGTTGAAATATTATAAAATACTATTACTTCATCAATTTTCAAAGATGTTGTAAGCTAAATACTACCTTTTGTGTACCCGGAAAATTTTTCGGTCTTTCAATAATGAACGCGACAATAATGTCACAAATTGTCACTAAAAATATTTTTAGCTTACTTGGAAATTCATTGTATTTTGTCTACAATAACAGAAACGATTGGTTTGAAATGTTTGTCTCATGTGTTTTTCATTGGTAGTAAAATACGTGAAATACAAATGATATCAGAGTAAATGTATCTATATCCATATAGTCTAGTCACGAAATAGGGCGTAATCCAGCAGAGCGGCTGTTTGAAAAAAAAAGTAAAAATAGAAGGTCCTCATTTCATGTGTAATTTGCAGAAATTTTGAGATGTTATACCACAAAGGAAGTGTTGTTCTTACCGAAGATCCCTTTGTCCATGTTCTAATGCAAAGTGAAAGGGAACAACGGTGTGATGAGTGCCTCGAAATGTAAGACCAAATTTTTCTAAAATGAATTCGACTTGGGTATTTTGGGACATATGGGATTATCGGACAATCTATCAGGTAGTAGAGCCCATGGTCTAAATGTAAATTCAGACCAAATTTATATTCGGTCTGTTGGATACATACTAGTCTAACCATTGGGCTATCAAAGCCCTGGATTCTTTTTTTCTATACTGGATTTTCACCTGATACCAAGGGTTTGTCCGGGAATGACCCATGGCCAAGAATGCCCCTATGTACTCTACCACTTACCAGTATATAATCATAACCGCAGTCATTACCATCATCTATATTACAGTAGAATCATACCTTCTCCCAAGCCCAAGTCGCTGAAGTTGCTATTATATTCATAAGTTTTCACCTGTGCTTCTGATCGCTTGCTATTTATGAACAGAATTTTCTAAAAACATTTGGGTAATTTTGTCTGGTATGACGAAATTATGCAATATCTCACTTAGGACATTGTTAAGATTTGATTTCAGTTCAATAACTATTCCCATGAATATTGTTTCAATTACAAAATAATTTGAATACGATTATTTGCAAACATCAAAATTTTTAAGAATACACACTCCAAAGCAGGTCCATAGCCAGGGGGATTTTTGGGGCATTCGAGTGAGCCACCCTTGAATATTTTGAAATGTGAAACCCCCTTTGCAAAAGCTTGGTATAGGCCTGAAATTCAATGATTTCTGGCCAAATTATTGTCTCGAGACTCAAGAAAGTAGAATCATTCTAATAATGCACAGTCAGCACCATCAGCAACTATCAAATATCTAATATAATAGAAATTTAGAAAAAAATCTATAAATATTGTTTTTAAACTTGGCCCAAAAAGTAAGAAAATGTGCTTCAAACTCAATATCTACAGTTTGCAAGTGATTCTGGCAATGGTTTTAAGTATCAAGATAAAGCTTAGAGAATTGAGAGTCAACTGAAGCTACAAAATAAGGTGAACTATACACAACTTGATGATCATGACCAAAACTGGAAGTCAAAAGAATTGCCCTACTTTCAGTCTAATAATTTAATTAAGTGCTCAATCATAGTGCTAACGATGATTTGGAAAAACTCAAATTTCATAAGAGTCATCATGAAAACCATGACATCTCATATCTTCTCAGCCCTGAGATGTTTTGGGCGAAACAGAAAGATTCTATGAGTATCAGAATGGATAACAGCCAATTTAGCATCATTTAGATGCTTCATTTCTATTTTCCTTGAACTGAACAATGAACATAATACAGGAACACAAGAACTTGTTGAGAGTGTAATAAAAGTTCATTAAAAGAATATTTATTATATTATATTGTCTCTTATTGTATAGATGCAGATGCTGTCACTGTTTTCTAATAATACATGTATATCTTATCTCGAAAATGAGAAGAACAGACATGAAAAACATTGTAAAAGAAATAAAATAAATTCTAAAAAATGACCATCGCAAAATATGACCTTTGTACTGCATTTAACTTGTACCTTCTGTCAAGCATTGTGCTCATTTCTTTGAACAATGAAATTTAAGACGTAGCAAAACTCCAAAATAATGACGTCATATATAATATATAATATAGCAAGTTCAGTCTTGGTCCCTGCTGAGACTAGGTCTCTGGTATGGTAATTAAACCCTTCCTGGAGGGAAGAAATGTGTGAGGAAGAGCGGATAATATTGACTAAATTAGAAAATTAGGGGCTTAAATTAGGGCCTCCTAGTACTAGAACAGTAACACACTGATGAGAAGGGGACTATCAAATACCACAGACCCAAAGAAGTATTAAGAATGAAAATCTTTTTTCCTATTACAGGTGTGATAAACTGCTCAGATGTACAGCATGTAAGATGTTATATTACTGTGGGACAAAATGTCAGGTAAAAGTTAATTAATATATTACAGGGTTAGTCTATCTAGATGTTTTATGTTCAAAGAAAGTAATTTTTGTAGTATACAGTACATGGGCATTCAATCTATTGAAAGCCCTTTTTGAAGTGAGAAATAAATAAATTCATATAACGTTATTTTAATTAACCTTTTTGCCAAATCTGAACACATCAGTATCTACAGTTCACTTTTTCTTTATAACATTAAACACTGTTTTGTAGAAAAAGAATTGGAAACTTCATAAAGAGGAGTGTCCATTACTGAAGAATTGTGCTCCTAAAGTACCCACTGATAGCGTGCGACTGCTTTTCAAACTCATTCAAAAGTTCAAGGTACATTGTTTTTTGTTTAATATTTATATAAAAAATGCTCTATGTATTATACATGTATTTAATTAAGAATGACTTATTAAACTACATATTAAACTAAATTTTTTTGCTTATTGCAGATTGTTGATTTTTGCCAAAAGAAGCGAACTCCTTAATAGTTGTCCAGTTTAAGAAAATATTTTTCGATTGTAAAAATGACTCTCTAAACTCCCCTTTAATTTGTTTTTAAAAATTATGTTTTAGATTAATAACCCCAAGGATGTTGGAATCAATGGAAATACAGAGACTCGTCTTAAAGATCTAATGTCCCGTAAGTTACATTCTATACATACTTGTACATTATTCTATAAAGTACTAAAATATGTGTTTGAATAAATTCTAGCTTCAGTTTGATCTGTATTTAATTTTGAACTAATCAGGGGTCCATTACCAGAAGCTTTCATGAAGTTCTTTTATTATGAGATGATGATTTCTATAGCTACAATTGAATTAGCAATCTTTAAAGGATTTTGGTGACAAACTCCAGTAACAGGGTCATATATTGAAATATCAGGGACTTATCAGATCACGGCAAGGTTGGTTGTCATTATAATGTTATATTGGATATCGTGTACATGTACATGTATGTAATTTTGCTTCAATAATACTCTTGGATAACCTATTTAAATACATAATCGTTTTCACACAAAAGAAGATTCAATGTTAAATGACAGATATTATCCCTGAGATTTTCACAATTTGTGTATTGTGTATTTTACATGTATTGGGCATAATATCCCTTTATTTTGATATTTATGTTTTTAGATGCTAGTGAAATCAAAGAAGATGTAAAACGAAATGAGGAATTTGCAAAGATCTGTTACACACTGTCCAAATTCATAGATGGGAAGAAGTTTGAACTTCCACCACTTGCAGATGTTCTAGATTTATTTGGAAAAGTAAGGGTTGAATCTGTTTTTATCTTAGGCCACAATTACATTTGCTCCGCTTTGAGTACCATTGCCCGGCCAATGAGTATTTTGTTCTGGTACTGAAAATCGGACAAAATGTGACCACGTTATTACATTAGATTTTAACTCAGACCTAGAATAGTTGTTTCATTCATTTCACTTTTCATGACTTGTACTTGTACTTGTAAAAAGTGTTCACTGTAGGTAGGTGTTCGCTACAGAGAGGGGATTTTATACATGATCAATGTAAATAGTGCCTTGAAGTGGTGTTCACTAAACACAGGTGTTAACTAGAGAAAGATGTTCAATAAGCCAGGTTTTACTGTGGATGGAAAGTAATTTCCAAACTCTTAAAATCAAATTTTAATAAAAATCATTTTTTTATTTTTCCAGATGTGCATTAACAGCTTTACGATTTGTGATGGGGAAATGCAAGCTATTGGAGTTGGAATATACATGAAGTAAGGGATTTGTATTCATATTTTCAAGAATGTTCTTATCCCCAGATGAATAAGAAAATCTTTATGATCAATTTGTATTATAGAATTAAATGAAAAAGACATTCTTCCAAGAAAATCACTGATTAATGCAAATTAAATACTGTACATGACTTTTATTGAGTCCTTCATGTCAATGAATGACATGATCAATTTAGTTATAACCAGTAAACATATTTATAGATTGAATATTGGTATTAAAACTGTTTCAGTGGGTCTCGACTCAACCACTCCTGTCTGCCAAATGCTGTAGCTGTATTTTCTGGCAAACAATTAACTGTTCGGTCAACTACAGATATAGATGCTGATGAAGAGGTATGTGTGATGTAGCAGTCTGTTGCACAAGCTTAGATAATTAACCAATATCAGACTTCTATTTTTGATTCTTATTTTAGCTTTCTATTTGATTACATAGAAATAAATAAATTGACTTTAAAAAAGAATTCCTCAAAATCTTTTTCATAATATGAGTACTGCAAGAGTATTTTAAATAAAACTTTAAAACAATAACATTTTTAGTTTTTGAATACATTTCTTACTATTGTTCAAAAAATTAAGAGAGCAGACAATATTAGTACATGTATCCTTACCCTAATAGACAGCTAGACCAAATGGAGGGTAGTTATGTTTGGTCCTGTGGGGAGATCTGTCACCATTCCCATGTTTCTATTTTCAGATCTTGATCAGTTACATAGAACAATTAGGTCCAAGTGCTGAGAGACAGAGATATCTTAAGTCTAGTTACTATTTTGACTGTACATGCCCAAGATGCCGAGATAAAGATTTGGTAAGTATACTGTATTTGTTCACACTTCAACGCATATGATAATGGCATTCTTGGGGGCAGAAAAAAATAGTCGTGTTTCTGGTCACTGGACCAGTGGCAAGTATTTCAAGAAAACTGGAGTTGAGAGTGGCCTTTCTTTTAGTCTTAAGAATAAATCTCTTACTCAGGAGATTTTTTCACCTTAATGTACATGCAAAGGCCTGTAGCCAGGGAGGTTCAGGGGGTCCAAAGAAGGCAGCACAATGTGGGCCATTTTCTACTTTTTGTGACTAGTGCTTGGGGGTTTATGTAGACAGTCAGTGTCGGTGTCTGGAGCACTTTTATAACCATTTGGGGGTGGTGATATTTTGTCATGTTAATACCCCATTGTAAATTTATTGTGAAAATTCAAAATCAAACAAAGACTTTATTGTACATTCATACCCATATGGGCTAGCATATACGAGGGCATATCATAAAGTTCTCATAATATCGCTCTAATTTTTTTATTTTTCAATATATTCTAATGAAATTTTCATGAAATCTGCAGTATAGAACACTGTATTAATCTATCAAAAAATATTTGGTATAACAGACAAATAAAAATAATTGAGAAAATGAGCTTAATTAACCATGTTTACATTTATAATAAACGCTCATAAATTAACACATTAAAATGTTATGTTAAATATGTTGTTAAATGCTTTTACTATAAAATAAATCGATCAAGTGATGTCTTAGGGGATGCTTACATGCTTCATTAGATGTAATACCAGACTCTGGGAATCAAAGCTTAATGATCAGAGATGACAGAGTAAGATAATGCATAGATGCAGAGATCATCAGAAAAATAAAATTCATACTGACAAAAAGTTTGGTTAAGTTCGAAAAGTCCTTTGATCATACTAAAGATGATCTAAAACAAATATGTTGCAAAGATATCAACATAATTACCCGCCTATTTGTGGTCTAAACATATTTAAGATAAACTAAAGGGGGAAAATAGACTTTCCTTGGAATATTTGACAATTTTTTATTTGCCCCGGGTGCCTTGATTTTGGGTTACTATGGCAACCATTTCTTAAATAATATTTCTGTTATACCAAATATTTTTTATAGATTAATACAGCATTCTATACTACACATTCTGTGAAAAATTCATCAGAATATATTGAAAAATAAAAAAATTAGAGAGATATTATGAGAACTTTATGATATACCCTCGTATATAGTATTGTTTCATTTCATACAAATATATAATTATTAATATACAAACCATAGATTTTTATAATGATAAATTATGAATAAAAAACAATAAATGGATCACACTGAACTTTATAGACACACATGCAAATTGAAAAGCATGACTAGTACATGTATGCAGAATCTAGTTACTTTTGTATCCCATGATGTTACATTTCCCATATCTTTACAACTTCAGCAACAAGTTTATATTTAACATATTGTGATATGCTTATAAACTCTGTCTCTGGGACACAAACCTGATACAAAAATTTGAATCACCTTGATTTTTGAGACTTCATTTTTTCTTGAGCCTCGTTAAATCAGTTTCTTACTTCTTCCCTGAACCACTTCAATCATTCACCCTCATGCACTAAAGTTCCATATACTGCATACATATTATAAACCAATCAGGATGTAGCATTTACTGCTGGAATGTCTGTTTCAGGATGGAAAGATGCTGGCATGCAAGTGCCCAGGGCTGAACTGTGAGGTACCTATTACTACACAAGGTAAGGCACTTTAGATTTTGTGAAGGCATAATAGTCAGCAGGGAAGTTCTTATTCTTATACATGTATCTTCTCTGATAAAACATACACCCAATACTTTTTGTTTTAACAAAGGCCCCACCCACATCATAGATCTAGGCATCCAAACTGTAAATGGCAACATTGCAGTATTGTGTGTCTTTGATTAAAGGCCCACTATACTTGTACTTAATTTAGATGAAAAAATAATCATTGAAACAATTTGTTACTTACACACTCGCTCAATTATGACACAAAGTTTGATTTGCTTTAATATTGAACCAAGAAAAAATAACTCACATAGAAAAAAGCATTTGAAGTTCAGAGATCATAAGAAGTGCGTGAACATTTTAAACAAAGTGCATGTTTTAAATAACTGTTGATTTAAAAGATGGCTCACTTTTATAAAAATGAATGTATCATGTAACACAAACAACTTTGCCATCTTTCAATGACATTGATAAAAACTTGATATAAGAAGCTTGACAAATCAAAAATATTTTTTGACAATCTATTGTAAGCTTTGATGTGGTCCGTTTGAGCTGTTGTTGGTTTCAAATGAAAGATAGGGTTCTTATCAATACATTGGACATATACTCTGAAATTCAAATGTATTTTGCCCAAAAAATTTAAAATACTCAAAGTTCCATGGCAATGAGATTTGATTGTTCTACTTAACAAAACAATTTGGATTTCATATTTTTCCATTCCTTTTTGCTGTTTTCGTAAGACCTCCTATCATTGCGTTCCATATATGGTGTTGCAACTTTATATGAGTAGATAAACACCAGAAAAAGTATTAATAATGTGTGATTTCATGCACGAAGCAATGGTTTCATCACTATTTACAATTTATAAAGTTTGCCAGATAGATTGTACTTTGCTATTGATAATATGTATGAAAGCAATCCAAAAATGTAATCAAGTAATCACCAAATCACAATACCATTGATGCTATTTACACAGAAAAATACCACAATTCAGAGTTATTCCAAAATTAAAAGTTTTGAATTTTAGTACCACCCTGTATCTCCTCCTCACCCTTCTAATAATGAAGATTTTCATTTAATCCGTACATGATTTACTCCTACAGGGTATAACAGAGTGCACTGGTTTACAGTCCATGTGAGCTTTACATCGCAGGCACAGTCTAGATGAATCTTCTATTGTCTCACCACCTCCTTTTATATGCTCCTCAAACACTGAAACTGTTCATATAAAAACATATGATAACGTACTAATTAATAGGAGTCATGAAAATGCAAGTGGTTGCAGGACTCATAATAATAATGCAGTGAATCAAATTATTAAGAGCGTGTGTACACTGAATGTAACATGCTAGAAAGAATGAATTAATTGAGCTCTTAACTTTTACAAAGTATCTCGAGGGGTTCTGTGAATATGATAGAATTCTTTATCAGATGTTTATTGTTTTGACCAATCGCAATGTTCATGTTTCTTGAAGAGCGACATATCTTATTAACCATAAAAGAGAATAGACAAGTTCAATGATTGCCTTTTATCACACATTATATTCTAAAATAATTTATGTTATCATTAAAGGTTGAAATAAACAAACATAAATAAAATACATAAGGTGTAACATTAAAAGTACCAATTACAATACTTAATTTTATAATACATTTCTCTAGTATTAATTAAGTTATATAAGGGGTGATCAATAAGTAATGGGTGCTTTTTTACACTGATGTACATCCATGGCCTTCATTCTCTGGCAATTCCAACTTGATTAAAGCTTTTGTATAAGTATTTATTGAATTCAATGAATTGACTTGTGCTGACATAAATATGGTGGTGTATCTTGTATACCTGGTTGAACAGTCGTTATGCCCGGTGGGCCACCCAAATTGCCAGAAACCTTGCGTTTATATGTCCGCCAGCAAGTCATCTCCCATATTAGGATTCCGCAAAATAGTGCTAGCCAGACACCTAATGCTACAAGCATCCATGTTGTCTCAAAACCAAGTAACCTGGCTGTAGTCTTTGGCCCCTCTCTTCCCTTTTCTTGCTAGAAGTGTAAGAAATGACTACATAAATATACTATACAGTAAAACTTGTGATATTGAACAGCATTGGAACCACATAAGTGTTTACTATAGGAAGGTATCCAGGAATTTTTAATAAAGAAGTCAATGTTCCAAAGTGGTGGTTGAGAGGTGTTTGCTTAGTAGGTTCTAATGTATTGTTAATTGATTCATCGAGGTTTGAAACTGTCAGTTGCCTGATTACCAATGGCAATGGCAATCACTTTTCACTCTTTGCAATGAACTTAGTTACCTTTTGGACTGAATGCCAATATGGTAAATTGTGGCAACAATGTTTTTAAGTCTAAGCTTGTATTCATGGGAATGCAACTTTCAGCTGTTAGCTACCAGATTAACCTACTATTTTATGGGCAACTCATTTAATATGAATAGTACCTGCAACTATTCCACGATTTGAAGTATGGTAGATCCAAATGCATTCTGAGTAATTAATTAGCAAACAAGAAAGAGAAGAAGTATCAGAATGAAGAAACAAATGGTACTCAAAGAAAGAGACCTTAGAAAGAGAACTTAATCCTACTAAATAGTGAGTGATTACATTCAAACAAGCAATTGCAAATGAACGACGATTCCAGGCACTAATCCAAAATCGAACTATAGCAAAGACAGGAAACCATTCTCACATATCTTTATTGTACCAGCATGTATACAAATATTGAAGAAAGGAAATATAATTACATTTAAAAGAGTGTCTATACGATGATAACATTTTACCTTAAAAGACTCTCTACTCTTGTAGTCATTCAGCTTGTGGTAAACATCTGCCTTGTTTTTAGAGTTAACTGTTAATATGCATTCCACCAATTCCTGTGTCATGTTAATTGTCTGCATTAGTATTCCATGCATACCAGGGTGTTCAACAATTCCTTGGATGTCTAGCAAGTCACTCATTTCATCCTGGAATTTACATTGTATTTATGATAGTGCTTTTACAATTGTTATATATTTTGTCAGGTCCTAGCGTATCAATGTGTGTTCATTGTTGTTCTGCAATATTCATTTGGACTTTTTGATCAAAAAATTTGTTAGCTATATGGGTATAAACTTGTATTTTAGCTTCTTCTTCAAAAGCGTGGATGTCTAGTTCCTTATTCTTTTGGACTCTTGGATTATTAAGTATTTGCAATAATTGGTATTTTATTTATATTATACTGTTCATGACATGATTTTTAATTAGGATTAACCTAATATACAATCCCTCCCAAGGTATAACCTCTGTGTTAAAGACAACTGTTGCATTTTAATATACATACTTCTTGGAACATGTAGCTGTCAACCAGAGCCTTTGTTATTCCACCATTTCCAGCCTCTAATGCCCGTTTTATATCATGTAGGGACTCAAACACTAAAAACGAGATGTAGAAGTGATTTCATTAACCACAACCTGATATCTCTCATTTAAGTAGCATCAGAGATAGAGAAGCACTGGAGTTGGAAAAAGATAGTAGAGTTGTACATCTGGGTTTATCATACTTTATTTCATATGAGTAAGAGAGTACATGTATTTAGAATATAGCTAAGTATTGTAGTTTTAGGTAAAGAAAATGTGCATTTTCCATGGGATACAAGTCACCGGTTATATGTATATATTGATTATAGTAGAATCTGTGTAAGTGGAACACCCTTGAGACTGTTCCACTTGTGAGGTGTTCCACTTACAGAGATGTTCCACTTAGTAGTTTCTACTTAGTAGTTTCTATCATCTCATCTTTGATTACCAAGGTACGACATTTTCATTGATTGAAAATCAATCATGGTAAATGTGATCATCTATGATTTATCTCAACCTGAACTTGGATTAAATAACCAGGTGGTCATTAACAGAAACTTTGTAAAGTTACGAATTCATAAATCGATGTTGTAACCATGGATATAATGATGTCACAGTTAGAGAAAAACTGACTTTACGAATTCTTAACTTAACAAAGTTTCTGTTAATGACCCCCAGAAAACAATGTTCATATTCAGTTACCGATTAAGGAATTTTTATGAAGAAATTGTGTCTTACATTCTGGATCAGCTCCCAGTTGTTCTGCTAAGGTGTGAAGACTTGTTCCTTTAATAACACCTACCTGTCAATTTAATTAATTAACATTCAAATCGAGAATTCAATCAATCAACTTTAAAACCTCCAGATCATCAATTTTTAAACAAAAAGTCAATTTTTGATTGCCCTATGAATGCAATAAATCTAGAAAATATTGAATATGAATAAGTTATGTAAACCTTGTGGTACTCCTAACTTTAAAAGACTAGTCTCAATTTAGAGAACAAAGTTCATCAGTCTACTTCATGTTACACCTGCTTCGGACAATTTTGATATTTTTACATCTTGTAGATTTAAATGTCCTCTTTTGAATATCCATAATTTGATTTGGTTGTTATTTCTATACTTTTCATAAACATTTTTTTAGTGGTGTAGACTGTTCTCCAAACCGAGTCTTTTGATCACCATCAAGGACAGCGAGGATAAGCAAGATGAAAACTTGAAAAAAGAATCTTATTGCCAAAATTAAAGCAATTCGTTTCATCTACCACAGATAAGTGCTACAATATATAGACCATACAATTACAATATTTCAAAACGTAGATAGAAACATTTGAAGAGCACAATTAATCATAAGGAAAACAAACCCATAATATCCCAAATTGACCCACTTACCTGTTCTCCCTTAATGTCAACAGTGCCTTGAGTGTCAGCACTCAATGATGTTGTTAGAGCTGCAGTGAAGACACCCATTATAACCAGGCCTACAATAATCCACACTGATGCAAATATTCTTGCTATCACTGATTTAGGAACTCTGTCACCATACCTGGAAGGAAGAAAATAAATTGGAATTTAAGAAAATAATATACTTTTATTGACAATTCAATATGACATTTTTAGCTCCATTGACTGTCCATACTTTTTGCCCCAGAATAATCAATTACGACAAGGATCACTATAACACAGGCCAAACTTTTTAATATTTGAGTTTGAATGGCGATTTATAATATCATATACAGGATTTCATTACATGTTTTCTATATTGTTTCTATACAGATAAGAAACAATTCAAAGTGATGAAACCACATGTGTTTATCATATTATTGTTTATATGTTGTCATGGTAGTGATGCACTTAATGCACTTGGAGTTAGTGCAGGATCATATTGCTATTTTATTACTGCAATTACACGTATATTAGAGAGAAGTTTTGATATATGGTTACATTGCATGGTAATAAACTGTATTGAACCTGGGTGTGTTTCTGGTAGAAAAGTTAAGCATATTTTGAGAGGGGTACTGCTATTAAAATGGGTAGAATAATTAATAAAAAACATGTAAAATAAGGGTGGTATCCCCGCTCAGTATTGCTTTGTAGAGAAAATTGGTTTTGTGACCTTAGGCTCTGTATATATATTTTCAGAATTAAATATTCCTATGGAAACCTTCAAAATGTAATCATAAAAAATGTTGTCATAAAAATTTGTATCGTGACCAATATGTTTGAGAGACTGACATATTCAAGAATCATTGATGAAAGATATATTGTTCTATTTATTATTCCATTATACCTGCATTTACAGCTATAATACGTGATGTTGTATAATAAAATAAATTTTTTTTAATCAGTGAGATGGCATATCCTATACTCCATGTAATAGCATTCTGTCGTTTGATGCGATTTTTATTCTCAGTATAGTTACTCATTTGATGAAAATGTTGTTTTAGTCTCTTCTCGCTAATGTACATATGCTGGTACAATACAAGCTGCATCCAATATAATGGTAAACATAATCAAGCATTTTTATTACAGTTCAAATATTCTGCACTGAATGAACTTGTGCTTTTATTTTATTTTAATAATAGATAGAAATAAGGGTAAAAGTAATATAAAGACCGGAATACCTCTAATTGGATTTTACATTTGCATTCAGAAAATCAATGGACATCCTTGGGATGGACAATCCAACGTGATGGGTTTTATTTCTTTACATGCATTGATTCCAAATGTTTTCCTATTATTGTGTCTAGGAGTGAGGGATTCAGTATGATTAATATTATGCCTGGATGCAGAGATTGAATGTGTCTATTTATTCCATGTGGAATAGTCTACTATACTCGCAAAATAGTCCATCTTTGGTGCAAATCTATTTTAAGATTATTTAGATAAATGAGACTTGAAAATGTTCCATGACTTCTGTGGTTTTATTATGTCAAATAATAGCACATTTATTGAAGTGAGTTATTCAACAAAGAACATACAGTAGTATAAAATCAGACATTTTCCCCTAAAATAAACATTCAATGCTCTGCATCTCATGCACATTTCGGAAAGCAACACCTTCAAGGAATGATCATTCTACATTGCAATGAGTCCAGGGCTCAAATCCTTAAGGTCAGGGTGCATGATGGGAAATTTTCTGCATTCCATTATTGAGTCACATGTTATTTTTCAAACAAGAATCACTCCTTCCCCACATTGTCTATATCTTCCAGTTTTGCACAAAGAGTGCTATTATGTGCCTAGAAAAGACTTGTGAGAAGAATGTTTTGATAAAGTGTATAAAAAACAAGAAAATTCAGTGAAAAAATTCAGAAATTTTTTTCACTGAATTTTCTCGTTTTTTATACATTTTTCAAAATATCACTGGTGATCCACTCGATTACGCTGGTTACCAAAACGAACCGTTTTGGTAACAAAATGTCGGAACGTCGAAGGCACGATTTTTCTTTTTTCCTTATTTCACGCGTTGTAGGCAGAATCCCCACGACGTTTTTTTCTCACAACTTGCATCAGTATCATATGTTTTAGAAAATGTACATGTTTGCGAAAAAATAGCTCAGAGGACAACAGAATCGTCGATTTACTTCCTCACTTAAGTTACATAAACGGTTTTTCGAAAAACAGTTAAGATCTGCACTTTTAACCCAAACCGTTTATGTAACTTAAGTGAGGAAGTAAATCGACGATTCTGTTGTCTTCTGAACTATTCGTTCGCAAATATGTACAATTTCTTAAACATATGATACTGATACACGTTTGTGTTAAAAAATGTCGTGGGAATTCTGCCTAAAACGTGTAAAATAAGGAAACGAGAAAAATCGTACCTTCCGGATGTTCCGACATTTTGTTACCAAAACGAACCGTTTCGGTAACCAGCGTAATCGAGTGGATCACCAGTGCATATGCACACATGAATTTTGTAAGTATGAGTATAAAACGAAGTCTCACCCCACTGTTGTCATAGTGACGAATGCCCACCAGAAGCCTTCCCATAATCCAATGTGAAAGTCATGTGGGAAATCTGTAGGATTCCTATGAGTGTCCTAAAATAATGTAAAATAGATCTTAAAAATGAAGTTAAATATGCATGGTTTGATACGGTACTTAAGATTGTTTTATTTTTCAAAAATCTTTTTAACTCTTAATTGATCATTAATACTAGATATGGTAGTAATTTTCCTTGAAAAATGTTAATTCTCCTGAAGGACCATATTAGGTCTGGTGATCATGCAGGTCAAGGTCAAGGTCAACAAATAATAGGTCATGAATTAGACCATGATTTATATGACTTAACAGGAATTATACCTGTATTTCAGTTGTTTAATCATTAAATATACTGTAAATGTTTATTATAGTTTTACCAATATCCAGACTAAAATGGCTGCATACATAGCTGCCAGTACAACAAGAGCCAGTAAAGGCCAGCTTGATTCTAAGATCTGTATGATGACTAGGCTGTTAACACTGTCTTGTCTCACAACATATAGAGCACCTGGAATGTGTTGAATAAACTGTAGTGTATGAGCATGAGTATAATCCAAAGTTTTGAATGTTTTACTCTTATTCATTCTTGCTGAAAATTGGTTTATAAAGGATGGGCAAAAATAAGCCAATTCCCAATTGGAAATTGAAATGAAAATAACATCATTCATCGATATATGATATTTTACGTTGTGGTATCACATCAACAGGATCACAGATATGTATGTTTTTGAAAGGAATTGTCTGATAAAAAATATACAACATTTTCATTAAAACAATTATGTTTCCTCCAAGTAAGTCCCAAAATAATAATAAGTTTATTGCATTAACTGATATTGTCCCTGCTGATTGACGTGCAAATCTTGTTATAGATGAGATTTTACAGGATTTCAAAGCTATCTGGCAAAATACCTATGTTAATGCATTTAGGCATTTTGCATTTAATATTTTCACTAATTTGCATAATTGATCAGATTCTTATTTCATTTCCACATGAAACAATTTATTATCTTAAAGAATGCGATTCAATAAAAATTGAATATTTGTAAATGTATGTGACAAAATTACCTTTTTTATTTTACTCTCAAATGACGAAAAGACAAAATTAAGGAAGAGTTTGACCAGTAAGGTCTAAGGGATGACCTGAAATGTAGTGCTAAAATTTTACCTGGTGTTTCTAAAACTGGTATGAAAAGGAGGTTTGGAATATTTGGCTCAAATGCATGTTCTACATGACTCCTTGTAATTGGCATAGCAAATGTCTCTTCCTCCCATTTTAGCTCCATAACATGTGCATTTCGATGTGGATTTTCGTTAAAATCAATGTATGCATCAATATGACAACATTTCTTAACTATGTCGTTTAACAGTTTATGGAATACTCCTTTAGGACCATTACTTGATTGGCCCATTTGGCCGGTAGCTTCCTGTATGTTTGGTCCACTAGATGGCGCATTAACATTTGGTCCATTATTATGTACACTGCCTTGTTGACTTGACTTCATAATAAATGGTGAGGCCTCCCACCATGCCGCTTTAAAGCCTCGTCCATTTGTACAAAGGTTGTGTGATGCTTGATTAGAACTCTCTGATGATACAAATTTTATGGCAAAGTTCAAAATCAGCAAAATTAATGACATTGATTCGCCCATCTTTTCTTACAATATTTGAGGATATCTGAATAATTCTCTCATACTGAATTTCCTGCTCTACATATAAGCTACATTGTAGCTTTATGCCTGGATAATTTAGATTTTATGATAAAATCTCATATACTGGTACCTCACACTGTTATTAACTTATATACTGTTGCCATAGAAATGACATCTTCGATCATACCAAGTGTTTGCCTCCCTTTCTCTCAATATTCGAGGATATGCGATTCTTGTGTAAAAATCAAAAGTCATTCTATTCATTTTCCATAAGTCTGTAATTTATTTTTTATTGTTCAGGTTTGTTTTGTAACTATTGAAATATACAGAACATGGAAATGTATTGGTATTTAATATCTAATGGAAAACCAATCATAGAGTGTCTTATTTCACACTGTAGATACTGAAGTTATGAAGATTTTGTTTTTCATAATAATGCTTTTTGTGACGGTTTAGTCATTTATTTTATTGAAATTAACATTATCTTCAAATTATCCAATTTCAATATCTCCTTGTTTCCTTCTTGCATTCCAAAGTTAGTTTGAAAGATTATGTGTCCACATAACTGATGATGTTGTAACAAAGCTATTACTCTGAAATATTTCGATTCCAGCAATGTATACTCAGGTACAAGTTATTAATGTTAAAACCTTTAGCTGCAATACTTGTCTCATTGAGAAGTATAAGTTTGATCAATAAGGCCAGAGAAAAAATACTCTTGGTCAATTAGGCCAGGCAAAATAGTGTTGTTTTTGGTCAATAAGATCAGGGAAACTAGTAATGTTTCTGGTCAATGGTCCAACAGGGGGAATTTTCAATAAAAAGTTGGACAATGACACTGGTAAATATGACAGTAGTAAATGAATAGTATCATGGGTACTGGGTTCACATTGTGAAAGTGCATTTCACTTTTCACTCATTTTTGGCAACAAAAGACCTCCATTTCGAAATGAGACAAGTTTTTGAGACACCTGTTATAGGAAAATAATTGGAGACATATTTTAAAAGTGAAACATTTTGCGGCTATTATATTTTCTATTGAATTTGCCAAAAACCCTGTGAAAAGGGTGAAATATAGAAGCATGCAAAAATTTCTGGGAGAACTGTAATTTGGATAATTTTTAATTCATTGTATGGGTCGATAAGTCTTTCTCATTTAAGTAGGTTTAATGGCAAGTTGACAATGTATATAACTTAAGCATGGATGTAATCTGGTATATTAGGATGAGAGTAGGTAATTGATTAAGTGGTCACCTCTTGTTTATTAATTCAGTGAATTTAAAAGTAAATACAGTATGCTTACAAAAATTGATTATTCTCCTTATGCAATGTGATGTGATGTCATGCTTTAAAATACAAAAAAACATCAGGGAATTAAACAATAGTGTTTACTCCAAAATCTAAATTGAATCCTGAAAATCAGAGTCAAAATTGAACAGTATACAATTGTAGACCTCTCTTGAGGTCAACTGGCAAAATTGTATACCAATACTGTAAACCTTGAAAGTACTGTTGACCGAGACCGGAGGTCGAGTTTTTTTCAAAATTAAAAAAAATTCAACATTTAAAAATTCATTTCATTCATTCATCAACAGTATCTAGTAGCAGTCAACAGTATACAATTGTTGACCTCTCCAGAGGTCAACCGGCAAAATTGTATACCGAGACTGTAAACCGAGAAACTACTGTTGACAGAGACCGAAGGTCGAGGTCAACAGTAGTTTCAAGGTTTACAGTTGAGGTGTATGATTTTGACGGTTGACCGAATGGAGAGGTCTACAATTGTTTTGTTAGTCAGAAGAAACTAATAATACACATATAGACGACAGTCATCAATCATGGCTTCATTTCACAATCTTTTCTCCGAACCACGCCAGCAATAATTTGTTAAGAAAATCAGAAGACAGTGGTAGCTAGACTCTCTGTAGTAAATTAATGTTAATTTTGCGTTTCTATTTGTATTTTTGCTATACTCGTCGTCTAGCAAAGTCAAAATATCACTTTCATCAACGTTTACAAAATGTCCGTCTTCAATTAATGTAAACATTGTGACGTCATATTCCCCATAATTCACAAGTGTAGTACAGTAACATACGTGGTCAAAAATATGATATCCCATGATGCACAGGTGAGGTACAGGCAAAAATGTTGACCGCTAATTGACCAATCAGATGCGAGTATTTACACTGAGGTACTAACAATACATATTGTTGACCGCTCATCAACCAAACGGGATTGAGTATTTCAAATGAGGTACTAACAATATGATATGTACCATGACCATTAAAATATCTGAGCTGGAAATCCAATTTCCATCCTCTCAGCCTGCATTAATTGTTCTTGTATTGGGAGTACCATTATGCAAAGCCTGATTTAAAGGTCTATGTTTATATTGTTCTGGTTTCCATTTACATAGACAGCCACCGTGATTATAAAATGGATGCAAATATTATGAAAAATCATGAATGACAAAAGAATCCTGATGGAGTTCATATTCCTTTTTATCCTGTCGCATGGGAATCCATTAATAGTGCTTTAAAGAATTAACATGTAATAGTAAAGTACCTCAATCGGTATTTCTAAATAATTTTCACATTAAATTGTTGTCAATCAGTCAACATTACATAAAATACCATGTTTTTTTACAGAATGTTTTCAATGATTGGTTTAAGAGAAAAACATTGTTGAATTCAGTTCTCCATATCGATACCTATCCTTTTCATATGATGGCCTTTTACCACACCTCAGCCATTTATACACTATTATCTATTTGACATGCTGTATATATATAACTGTTCAAACATCATATCAAAAATCAATTATTTTCAAACTTATATTATTTCTCTCACAGAGAGTCTTTATAAATGCTAAAGCTTTTGTCTTCATAGATCACTCTTTTATATGTGCAAAGTCAAACTTTTCACCTGGTCTGTTGAATGATTCCTCACGATTGTCTGTAATTGCTCCGTCGCCCAAAGGATTTGATGCAAGGCGAGCAATAGTTTCATATTGTTTTTTCTCAGGACAATAAGTTGTTTTAGGCTAAGTTTTGTTCAATAAATAAACGCTTTGTTCTTCAGGTGCCTTAAGTTGCCCAGCATGCAACGCTGATCTGTCTGCCACCTATTGGGATGAACAGGAACAAGCTGCATTGAAGGCCAAGCAGTTGATCGCAAAATCTGAACGTTTGCGAAAACAAAGAGGTAACTGTTTTTCATTACAATCCTTAACCATTACTGTACATACCTATTGAAGAGGATAATAGATTATTAAACACTCGGGCTCTTTATTTACAAAACTCTTTCAAATTGATTGTAATGTTCAAATTTCTTTCTAATTCAATGACAAGCTATGGATTAATTCATTCGGAGATAATGTATTCTGCAAATATCACCTTAAATCTTTTCATCACCCTTTTTATTATGATGGCATTGGTGGGAAATAGTCATGATTATAGCGATTTAATCATGATTGGCCCATTTTTTGTCATCATAATACCAGGGAAACCAGCTAGTCTCAATCATACATTCATGTGTTACACTTTTAAATTTTCTTTCTAATGATGCTTGATGATTATTTACATGGCTCAGGTTAAAACATTAATTGATGTCCATAAAAATGTAATTACTAAAAATACTTAGGGGGGAGATTATATACCATCTTTAAGCTGTACTACAGGTTTTTTGCTATATCAATTCTTTGTGTTATTTTAAGACGAAATGGTTTTGATGCGAAAGTAATCAATTATTATTTGACAGATATCTATGGTATGATAAGTCTTAATTTAGAGACCTAATAATCAAGACTGTATCAAGTATAACATTACAAGTTTGATGTTTGGATTTCATTTCATTAACAAGCAAGTGTGGGATCAGGGTTCATTTGACATATTTACTCAGAGAATATCAATTAATTTTCCAATACATATGGGTGGTCAAAAAAACTGGAAGCCCTTACCCCATTTTCCTTATATCTTTGTAATTTAGAGAAATAACTTTGCACATTTGTACATCATTCAATTTTCTTCCTCCCTACCTTATTTCTTGACCATCAGATTGATAGTCACAGTGTTACAGCACTTTAAAGAACATTCCCTTGGCCACTATTGCGCTGTAGAGAAACCTGCACATGTTGTCCAAAATGTCCCTACCTATGGGGATATGGCAGAGATAGAGTGTATAAGAATGACCTCGGGACAATTGCAGACCTCAAAAGTAAGATCATCTGTATCATTCAGGCCATACCTGCTGAGGAATGCATTTGGATCATTAACAACTGTGCAGGTTTGCCTACAGTGCAATGATGGCCAAACCTGAAGCATGTTGTTCAAAGTGCTGTAAAATTGTGACTATCAGTCTGATGGTTATGAAATATGGTAGAATGGTAGGAAATTAAATGGTTTACAAATGTGTGAAATATCAGGGAGTAATTTCTTAAAATGACAAAGATATGAGGAAAATGCACGGTTTCCGTTTTTTTGACCACCCTGTATAAAACATGGCTTAGTGAAACCTCTTTCTAGTGAACACCTGTCTCTAATGGACTGGATAACTTTCCTCCGGAAATACTGACTTCTGTATAAATTACCTTCTCTGCAGTGAACACCTACCGACATTGAATGTTTTTCTTGGTAAAAAAATTTCAATACACATGTTTACTGTATTTAAACATTGTGAATTCTGTAAAAATCGTGGATAATTGTTCAAATGTTATATATGAGAGTCTAAACCATAATACATTGATTTTGCCATGTAATTCAAAATAAATGTACTCTCCAGTGAAATTGTAAGTGTCACATCTAATATGTGCTGTTGCTTTCTGTTTTCTAAGTTGTTGAAATGAACGGACAGGTTGCAGAAAAATGGTAAGATGTTAAGGCATCACTTTTTTATTCAAAGGGTGTGGTGTAGTTGTGAGCTTGAAATATAAAAATATAGCCATACAACCTCAAAACCAGATCCAAATTATAAATGAAAGAGAAAATTAGTCCAGAACTCCATCACTATTGAGATTTGATGGTGTAAAGTGGAAAAATTGAAATGTATTTTCAGGAAATCATAATTTATTTGCCTTTATCCTGTTGTTTCATTATATTTGCAAATTGAAAAAGTTATTTCAATTTCTTCATCACATATCACTTAAAGCATTAATACACACCACACACGCTTGAAAAAATTATTTCATGAAATTTTTCTACAAGATAGGACAGGCTTGCGTTGAAATACCTGGCAAATAAGAGAAATGTAACAAAGTATCTGTACATAATACTATTCACTTGAATAATGTTTATAAGACACACATTGTATGATGTGTCTGCTTTTTTACTTTCCTAGGTATAAAAAATGTATCTCTATTACTGTCACTGATATTTGGATTTAGCAATATAGAGGTTCCACTTTGGTAAAACGATATCAAATACGACAATTTTGGTCATTGTACTTTGACCTGAAAACGTTTCGAGTCTGTTGAACAATGGTGAACACTAATAGAAAATATGTACTTGATTATGAGAAATTGTATGAATTTCACCAATTATTAATTTGGCATATTCCACAACGAACTGAAATATAGTATTGGAAAAAGATTAAGAGCTATTCCTGGAGAGCTCGATTTTATATTGAGTGAACATTGTATGCATGCTTGTACTTCATTGCATACATGTAGCTACGCCACTGATATATGAGACCACAAATGACACTCTATTTTCTTATTGCATATTAGCCCTATCTGTTAATTGCATCACTAAAATTTGCAAATCAGATATTCCTCATTTTTTAATTAGACATTGTACTTGCACATGAAATGCACAACAGTATTGAGTAACCATTTCATTTTCTGAGCTAACTTAAGATTAGAAGGTTAAGCATTTTTGGGCTATAGACTTAATTTATATACTTTTGATAATTGATATTAAAATGCAAATGAAAAAGACCTCTATTGAGAACAGAACTATGACTTACAGCTTTGAGTCCACTTTGAAATTTATTTTTCACATTTTTGATTTTCACATGAGAAAGAATGCATTGAAAAAAACGTTAAATTAGTTATCCTGAACAAAGGGTCCATTGATTGTGATTTACATGGGGTATATGTTGATGTCTATCACTCGGCAGGCGGTGTAGTAGCCATTTCATCTGGAAAAGGAAATGAACCTTGTATTCATATGTTGATTTTTCAAATATTAAAGAACTAAGTTACACGTTTTTAAGAGAACCTGTACATGAGCAAGTAATATTTCGACCACCGGGATTACTGTTCCACTCTCAATTCATGTTCCCGGGGACCTAATTACATTTATTTTCCATTTACCTTTATACGCAGTTGGACAAATAAACATTACAAATAGAACTAATCGAGGACCATAATTCTACACGTTAATGTTCAAGTTTTTAAAGAAGGCGTACACTTTTAAGGGGACCTGTATGTGGGCATGTAATATTTTGAACCCCAGGGATTACTGGTCCACTCTCAGTTCACTTTCCAGGGACCTAAGTACTAATTACTTTTCATATACCTTTACCTAATTCATAGAAGACCATAATTCTTCACGTTCATGTACAAAAAAAAAGTGTCATTTACCTATTGTTTTTCCAACTGATCATAAGCCTTACTTTTATTCTTATAACCATCTTGTAAGTCTTTTTGATGTTGGAAGAATTATGACATTTAGACTAAAACAAAACTTATTTATACTTTATACTTATTCAAGTTTTTACCATTGCCATCCCTACCTTTGGTACAGCATTGATGCTCTTTAAGTTCTTCAAATTTGGCAAGCAGTTTCACCTCAAGCTTGATAATTTCCCGGAAGAAAAAAACCTTGAGTGCAACAATATCAGACACCAGCGTATTCTCAAGTTCAGTGAAATCAGAATTCAGCGTGCCTTCAAGTTTAGTGATATCAGCTTTCTTGCATACAGGGTTCTTCCCTCTCTTCTTTTTGGCATCAATGACTGATGCGAAAACGAGCAGAAGAATAACAGCGCATATGAGAACCTTCATGATGATGTTGTTGTCTCTTGGAGCACACCAGTTGAAGTGATTCATTTGTTGAAGTGAATTTACTTAATTTAATGAGTCTAATACGTGTCCATGTATTGTAAAACATTCCTCTCACTCCAGTTTATCGAGAGCTGTATGTTGCAATTTTGGAACTCAATGTATCCACAACACATAAAATTGGGGTGATATTCCAATAATACAAATTAAACCTGAGATGACATTAAGGGGCATATTCAAAAATAGAATGTGTATCTTTTACAATCTTGTTTGGTTTACGGTAACTTTATGGACCACAAGAGCATTTAGAAAACATCAACAAGTAGATTTCTGAAAAATGTGGATTTAATTCAACTATTATTAAAACATGCGATCAAAACAAAATGATGTTCATTAATGGACATTAAATGGTACTTTTATTGCCATTAACTGTGTCTAATTAATGTGATTTTGCAGTTGTTACAATAGCAGATTTTGTTTGCAAATTGTCTACAGAAAATGACTTTCTTCAAAAACTATTATCTTTGAAGAGGGTGAGAAATATGATAGAAATACTATAAAATGATTGAAATATATACACGTCCAAAATTGAAAAATGAGTGCTTTTCAGATATCAGTGACAGCAATAGAGATAGTATTACATTTTTTTATACCTAGGAAAGTAAAAAAAAGTAGACATAAACATTATTCTAGTAAATATGTACAGATACTTTGTAACATTTCTCTTATTTGCCAGGTATTTCATTCAATTGTGGTATCTGTTACATGTGTGTATTAAAGCCTTAAGTGATATTTAGTGATGAAATTGAAATAACTTTTTCAATTTGCAAATAAATTGAAAAAACTGGGATTAAGGTGAACAAATCATGATTTTCTAAAGAAGACATTACGATTTTACAACTTTACACCATCAACTCTCCACAATGAGTTCTGTACTAATTTTCTCTTTCATTTATAATTTGGATCTGTTTTTGAGGTTACATGACTATACTTTTATATTTCAAGCTTAAAAGAACGCCACGGATTTCAATTAAAAGGTGATTTGTTGACATCTTACCATTTTTCTGCAACTGGTCCCTTAATTAAAACGGTGAATTTGAGTCTTATCTCATTACATGGGGTGTATTTATTACTCTGCATCCTGATTGGCTAGTAACACCTTTCTCTGACTACTACAATTGGATTCATAATTGTAATATTGATAAAATCTCATTAATCTCAAATGAAGTTTTGGTGATCTTTCATAGAAGTTTGAATGTGAATGGATGTTAGTGCTTACCAATATACAATGTTATTACATGATTTTCTGATTCCATATTTTTATTTAGGTTATATACTCAATCGAAGAAGTACTTTAATCTCAAGAGTGTAGACAAACTCATAGTTGAAAGCCCATGGACAAACTAGATCATTTATGAGGGTATTTTGTCCTCTATAGAAATGTGATTTCTTTATTATTATGTCACCACCAAAAGTGGTGACATATTGTTATGGTCTCCGTTTTTTTGCGACGGCGGTTGGTGGTTGGAGGTTGGCGTCCGGCGTCTGTAACAATTTCTTACAACTTCCTATAACTAAACAAATACTGTTTAGACTGACTTCAATTTTTTTCTAAATCATCTACATGTTCTCAGAAGTTCAAATCTGACTTTAGATTTGACATTTGACCTTCAATGACCTTCTCAAGGTCAAAAAGGTCTTTTTCAACTTGCTTCTTTACTTAATTTTTTTTCAAAATCATCTACATGTTCTCAGAAGTTCAAATCTGACTTTACATTTGACATTGACCTTCAATGACCTTCTCAATGTCAAAAAAGTCAAAGAGGTATTTTTTCAACTTGCTTCAAATTGACGAATTTTTTTTTCAAAACCATCTACATGTTCTAAGAAGTTCAAATCAAACCTTCTTAAGGTCAAAAGGTATTTTCCAACTTGCTTTAAATTGACCAAATTTTTTTAGGTGGTGACATTTTGTCATGTTAATGCCTTGTTTTTTCTAGATTGGGACAGTTTGATAAACTTTGACAATGATCCACTTGTCAGGAGGCTTCTGCACGAGACCAATGTATACAGGGTGACACTCCAGATGTCTGCCATGGATGGATATATCAACCTAGAACAATGGGACAAGGCTGTAGAAAGTGCAAGATTTTTGGCACAACCTGTAATGTAAGAACTATAGTGCTGACATCTATCTCATCGCATACACTCTAATTCACTTACCCTACTATCACACCAAACTAGTTCTTACTGCGTTCTCGAAAACGGGCTTCAACTTTATACGAACGGACTGGACCTACTAAGAACCGTTTGGGATCTATTTACAAACTTCATCGAACGTACTCGAACGGGTAGGTCCTCTAGAACTTAGACAATGCTCAAAATGTTCTCTTGGTCGTCACGTTCTACAATTAGAACGAGTGACAAGGTACTAACGACGAGCTGGACATACTACGAACGGAACCGTCGTACTTCAATCCTACTAGGGACGTTTTAACAACAAGTTGAACTGTCTGCGGATGTGTTGAGAACAAGGTAGAACTAATTGCAAACGGGTTTAAACTGATTAGGAACGTATTTAACACTGCTTATGAACGAGTTAGCAAAAATATAGCTATCACGCCAAACAAGTTGCCACTGCGTTCTTCAAAACTGGTTTTAAACTGTGTGCGAACGGAATGAACGTAGCTGCAACTTTCTAAGGTCTATTTACGAACTTTATGAACGTTTTCAGACGGGAATGTGATTTTAGAATTTTGAATCGATTCAAAATTCGATGACGACCATACCGTTCTGTAATCAGGTCATGTTGACCTTCTAGACTAAGGGACACGTTCTACGACGTTGCAATCCGATGTGGTGCGACCTGAACGAACTGCGAACGAGATGGACGTATTGAAGACTGTTTAAGAACGAAGAAGCTAATTATTTCAGACATATTTCCCGACCACAGCCAGATTGAGCCCGTTTGACGACGTTTTCGTAGGACTGGCAAGAACGGGTAAGAACTAGTTTGGTGTGATAGGGGGGTTAGATAGAATATAATGCTTCCTTCTTTCATGTGACAGTCCAATAATTGAATCCTACTTTTAGGTTAAACAAGATAAATCTTTTAAAACTCTGTAAATTCATATGAAAAGGCAAATGATGTATGTGTCTTGTTAGGTCTTACTACCCTCCCAACAGCCCAATGATTGGAGTGCATTTGATGAAGCTAGGGAAGCTGGAACTGTACATCAAACAGAACAAGTCAGCCTTGCAACATCTCCAGCAGGTAATTGTATATTTCAACATGTAACATGACTGTAATATTTTAATATATATAACATATTTTTACATATGAATTATATAAAATTAATACATGTAATATATGGGACTTTATGAATAGGATAAGTTTTAATTTCAGACTATTCAGTTTAAATTTTTTGTGTTATACTTTCCAATGGGAAGTCATTAATACATATTCTTGAAAATTAATATTTCCAGGCAGAGACAATATTGAAGGTATCTCATGGTGTCAACCACACACTCTACAAGGATCTCACATCTCTCTTGGACCAATGCATGGAGGAACTCAGAGTCACACTCGACCAATCATGAAGTGCGTAATAGAATAGCGTTTTGACCAATCAGGAAGTGCCTACTAGATTAGTGTACCCATCTTTTGGACCAATCAGGATGTGGCGACTAGGCTATTGATTCAACATTTCAAACTGACGTGAAGTGCCAACTTGAATATTGACTCAACATTTTGGACCAATCAGGAATACCCATTTTTGGACCAATCAGGAGTACCCATTTTTGACCAGTCATCAAATATCTCCATCTGTTCAACTCATAAAAATGTGCCAACTAGAAGAAGGTCTCCACTGTTTTGGATTGAATATTAGTTTTATTTTAAAGGACTCATGCAACATGATCTAAATATGTGTTCATGACTGAAACTTAGGAATAGCTAGAGCATATGCTCTTTCCTGCGCTAACCATTTGGCTAACAGTAAGTGTTAGTTAAGGGTACTAACATGACCATAGAATAGCTACTAATTCTTATTTCTGAAGAAACTTCATAGCTGAAATATTCTATTTATAGGAAAACCTGTGCCTTTTTATTGTAATAGGGGTTTATGCAAAACATAATATCCAGTGCAATATATGTTGAATTGCTGGTGATCCAGTAAATATCTGATTTGAACAACATCTGTTTTTGTAATATTATTAATGCATGCTGATAGTTAAAGCTATATAATATATATGCATGTTAGTTTTTGATAGATTTTTTTTTCTTTGTTCAATATTTCCATTTTATCAAACTCACTTTCTACCTCTACTTCTACAAGTATGTAACAAATGTTCAATTGTTCTTATGTATACACTAAAGGAATTGATGCCCTTTCAAAACCTTAAATGACTTTTATATAATTATCTCACGTAACGTAGTTTTAGTAGGGATATGGAGAAGCCAACCATCTGTTTGTCCTTATGTCTGTCCACATGATAACTCAATTACTGGTGGACAGATTTGGTTACAATTTTATAGGCCGATACCTTTTGGGCATAGAACTTCTACTCATGAAGAAATTACCATTATGGCCATTCAGTTAAAAATAGCCATTTTTAGTAAAAATGTAATATTTGTTAACTCAAATACCAGTTGTCAGATTTGGTTGATATTTTCCAGGCTGATGCAGAAGGACATGGAATATATATTGTTTCAATAAAGGTATATATTAAAAACAGATTGTTTACACTGCCATCTTTTATGATCATCCTTTCTATTACCTGTTGCTTCCCTGGGCAAGACATTGAAAAAATTATCATTTTACAAATTCCAAGAACAACGTTGAGCAGATTTCATTTTACACTGCACTAAATATTTATTTTAGTTTCTCGCATATGTGTTACATACATTATTGTTTGAAAGCATCAAATATTTATCAAAAATATTTACTATTAAAATATAAAGTAATTGCTGAAACTATTTAATACTGGAACCAGTTTTAACTGATTTAAAATCTAACTACACTTATAGCAATGACTGAATACCGAAGGTAAATCCTTTCAATTTCCTTTTTTATTTGGATAAAGTAATACTTGTTTGGTAAGACATGTATGATGATACCCTTTGATAATGAGAGCGTTTTTTGAGTGTTGACATTTGGCAGTTTTTTAATATGTATGATTTGAGATTTGAGTATTTGATTCACAGAATGATTCTCTAATCTCCATGGCTTCAGTGTGTTTGAAAGAAAAAATATTGAAACTTCTTTTTGAAAGTTTATCCTTGCTGTTAATTGATATACTCGTACCTGTGTAAATGCACTGTGAATACAGCAGTCTATCAAAAGTTTAAGTTTTTTTGTTATATCCCTATGTTATTGCTTTTATGTTACCAAATAGATGGTGCTCATTTACAGCTGGTGCTAGTCTCTAGTGTTGTGATATGCTACTCTTGTGTCATGGAGATTGTTCCTTTCTTTGTCATTAAATCCTAAATGTTATTGAGATGTCACATTTATTCATTAATGATTGTGATGCTCCCAAGCTCTTAATTTACATGCGGCATTCCCTTTACTCTCTACGTGAGCTTTAAACAGATGCATAAGGCCCCAAAACCCCAGTTGCTTGGCCCCTGTTTCCTCGAATTGTGAAGTTACGTCTACTGGATTTGTCTGGGAGACCTGGATCGTATGCCCCTGGACCTGGAGTTGTTTCTGGAAATGTGAAAGTCAAATATGTGTAAAAGTAAAACAATGAAATGGGAAACAAAATGTGAAAATGGAATTTAAAACAAAATAGTGGAACAACAAAAATATGAAACAAAATTTTGAAACTGATGAGAACAATATATTGTGATTATGTTTCACAGAATTGTCATAACATTGAGTGAAATGCAATTACTATATAATCCCTCTTCATGGAAAAGGTCAATATTGCCAAAAAGTAATTTTACTTAGTCCATAATATTTGCTATGTACTGAGTAATGGTAAATACATAATTAAAAGGAGGTGAAAGGGGTTACATGACTTGTGTTTATCACACGGGTTTATCTTTGCAAGCCAAATTACAGGTTAATTACAAGACTATTGAAGATCACTTAGGGGGATTGCGGGAGGGTTGTATGTATATACCTGTATTGTGCCAAAGGACAGTACCCCCATGGCGGAAACTATGTGAAAGTGTTGGGGCTCGGTTCATGGTCAGGTTATCTGCATTGTCTCGGTTATAGTCATTTGGGGCTGGTTCCCTTCCTGCTCCTATAAGAGAAAACATACAAGTGTCTTACATGATATGTATTATAGTGATAAAGAAACTGCTTGCTTGGATATACAATGTACAATATTTTCAGAAAAAGTTCTCATTTTGTAGGATCAAAAACCCTGAATATGCCATTTGAGCACTTAGCACTTACCTTTCTTGGCCATGCCTTTTCCATTGAGCTTCAGTCCAAATGTAAAGGCTGGGTAGGTCAAAGATGTAGGTTGTCTCACACCTAGTAGAGGTTGCTTTTTGTAGTGAGCAGGTGTGGGCCATGTTCTCTCTGAGTAAAAGTCTGCCTTTTGGTGGTAGGGGTGAGAGCTTTGGAACCATTGCTTTGCCCATGATGTTCTTCCTCCACCATATGCTGTATAAATAGTATAATACTTCATTTGTAGATAACTTTATTATGTCATATCATTTCGAGAGTGCAATGCTGTTTAAAAAATGTTTCTTGTTGCATTGAATTTAAATATATTGAGATTATTGAGAATGATGCTAGATTGATAGAGATTCATAGTATATGATTCGATATACTGTTTGAATATAGAATTATGCTGTATGAATATAGCATATAGCACAGTCAAAAATATTTTTTGATAGGGACATCATGCTGTGTACATTCTAGGAGTTGAGGTCTATACTACTCTACCCAACCATCATTGATGAAATGATAAACAATTCAGAATGGACTGTTAATTGACCAATTAATAGAATTATAGAATGCCATCCATTGCTCTAAGACAAGCCTAAAGTTTGCATAATATAATATCCTTACGTTTATCTGTATAAGGCTTGCTTCCAAATGTATATTTCGGTGAGTTGGTCTCATTCAGCGGTGCATTACGTGGAGAGTATGTGACAGGGTCAGGTCCATCCATATCTATCCTGAGTGGGGGCCTTGCATCTGTTGCCTCATTCCATTTGATCACCTTCTCTGGCTTTGGAGGCATCTCCACATAGTGACTAGCACTGGCTCTACCATTTGTTTTGGCTTGCCTGAATAATGTAACATTATCATAGTTTAAAGAAACAGTAGTGTTTAATCATTATATTTTTTAAACTCTTTTGGACTGATGGGTGTCATGCTATTGAAACTTTGAGTTTATTAAAAATTGTAATAATTTCCATAGGGTGAGAGCATTATGCCAAAACACATTGTACAAAAATGCATATCAACTAAAGTTTCATGTGGTAATGAAAGTCTTAGATATTTAGGTTAAACTTTTAAATGACATACTTCATGTGAAATTCGATGTATGATTTATACGTTATTGGGATGCAATTTGAGATATGTTTACCTAGCTGACATAGTGACTGTTGTCAGTTTCATGGCTTTTGGAGGATTTCTACATCTTTGAATTTCACGATTCAGGGACATCATGGACCATTCTTTCTGTATATGGTAAGGTGGGGATGGTATGGCAGCTATCTGAGCTCTGTTTGGCTCTAATACTGGCAGCTCTCTAGGGCTGCGTGCTATGTTAGTGTTTCTTGGGGTTTTTGGTTCTGAAGATTCATAATAAGAAGCATCATCAGTGTCCTGGTTTGTAAGATCAGGAAGATGTGTTGCTGAATTTTCAGTTGAATCTCTGTTTTTGTGATTAGTCTTTGAATTAGATATGTTTCGATCCATATTGTCTGTATGTGTTGTGGTGTCATCTTTAATACTTTTACTTTCTGATCTTGGTGTTTTTCGTGAAAGTGTTCCATCATTTTCTGATTTATGTTTTAGTTTTTCAGATTTTGAGGTATTTGATTGTGTTCCTACAATGTCACTTTCATGATTCTCAGATGTGTCTTTGGTATTGGTATTTTCAGCTGGCTCATTTGACACATTTTTGGCCTCATTCTGGGCTTGGGGATTACCCTTAGATGGTTCAGAGGTTTGTGTATTGTCTTCCATGTTGTGATATGTGGTCAATCTGGATCAAAGCAGGTACATTGCAGTAGGAAGCAGTTTGAACAAGTTGGTTGCAGGCTAGAAGATGCTCAGTTGTACACCTGGAAAACAGAATTTCATAATTTTATATTTTGGCACATTCTAGGAGGTGTTCCTGGGTTCGTATTTTATTGTTGTCCATACATTGTGGGTATCAAAGTAGTTATGCTGTTTACCTTCATCAGTGGTAAACAAAAGCAATACAATAACATAATGATGCCTTTTAGTGTAATACACTTCAGTTTAGATATACCTCAATACAGCTACCTTATCTCAACAATGTAAAGTAATATATGATTCACTAACGACCCATAGAAAAATTTTATGGTGACTATCATATTTGAAACACTCATATATTGTATGTAATAAAAGTAAATGATAAAAAAAAAAAATGAAATTCAAGATCAAGTGTGAAGAAATATTATAATGGCAGATACTAATCATTCCTGTTTTAGGGATAAATATTTTGAAATGATATGATGAGCCAAGAGCTAAGAGCTGAAAATCTAAATCGGCTTTAACAAAGAATAAGAATCATTGATTTTCTATAGCTATTGTGGTATCCATGAACATCATAGAGAAAAGAAAGAATATGGTGTGATTTCTTGTGATGAACCATTGATTTATAGACTTTTTGACCAATTCAATTTTATTTCAATACATTTGATAAAATTACGATTAAGATTAAGAATAAATAGAATCAAATACTACATAAATTAAGTTTTTATTTAGATAAAAAAAACATTTAAATTAAATATTTTTACTTAACGCCATTGACTGCTCTAATAGTTGTGTGACACTATTTCTTTGATGAAGGTCTTGTCATTAGTTAGGACCATGTTTCTAATACTGGCTAGTTTTATATTCTCCTTTTTCTTTAAAATATTTTAAGTTTATTCATATAGGCCATTATGCAGTCATTCTTTCAATTGGTATGTGCTTATGTCAATAGATTGTCATCCAATATTATCACTAATTAAATTGCAATTACCTTAAATCCTAGTTACACCCTGTATTTATAATAACTAGCACTTAATACATTTAAGAAGGGCACTGTACTCTACTATGTTAAATATAATTCTGAATTTGAAGATATTCAAGATAACGCTGTTTATCAATTGTATATGTAATGTTATAATGACATTTTTTACTAATACAGTGACAAGACACTTTGTCACCTAATCCACCACTATTTTGTTTACTTACTCAGCCTTGGCAGATATTATTTTATTTCATGTTTTATCCAATTTATATCCCTCATAAGTCCTTGGTTGGTTATCTCCAAGACTATATGTCTAGATCATTATGACCTTCATTATGGACTCTCTCTTGATTATAAGGTAAATGCATAATTTATAAAGCTAAGAATCAATGCAATGTCTGTGATGTGTGATCCAACATCATATTTCATAGTCCCGTTTCATTAAATATTAACAATCTTTCACACTTGAGACCAGATAGTCAATTATTATTGCAATTTGATTTTGGCAAGTCCAAATCAGATCCTATCAGTAAGTTAACTGCAATCAACTGTGCTTCAGACACATACATTTTGTCTTAACTGTCCCACGTTTTATATATATCAAAAATGTTCATTTATATCATTAAATTCTTGTTCACTTACCTATCTACTCATTCATGCAATCCAATCATGTCCATCAAATATTTCCACATGTTAGACCTATCCCTGTAAAATAGTACCTTTACATGTAGAAATTCAATGTTTTGGTTATACCCAAGACACTGGTTACCATGTAGGGCTATGTCACATTTTAGTATATCAATAGGCTTAACTACTTCCCTTTATGCTCATGTAAATAAAATGAACAATGTGAATCTATAACCTGTAGAATTTAAGTCTAGCCACAATAATAGCTGCATATTGGCTTATTTCAGGGGTTATACTGTAGAATGCAAATAGATGTATTGATATGGAATCTCGCTTTTAATCCCCAATTGAACTTTGATTGATTTATGACATTGAATAATAATAATATTTTATATATTATAACGCTAAATTAATTCATGATTTTATTAAAGAAAATAATAGTTTTTACTTGTAAGAATTTATATCAAACTTTCTCAAAGTAGTTTTATTTGAATAAAAATTTATATCTTTATAATGATAATGATTATCTTCACATTGCCATTGTATATTAGCAATTATTATTAAAATTTTGTCCAATGAGTATTATTAGTTGCAAACTTACATTATGGGGGAATCGAGCACATATATGATGATTGATGTATGTTTGTCAAATGGGTAATGCACATCATATTTAATGTCCTTTATCAGAGTAAATTAAGTGCCCTTTTTTGTGAAACTGAGAAAAAAATATAACTGCAAACTCCAGATATACTGATACTGATATGAATTTAGATTTATATTTTATAATATCACCACTTACATGTACAAGTGATGACATATTGTAATTCCCAACATTTTGTGTCTCAAAGTGTTTGTTTTTATCATCAACATCTGTAACATTGTTTGCTGTAATATGCATATAAAAAACAATTTTCACTCTGAGAAATCACATCCTCCTAAGCAGGTTTACAGAATCTGTTCCCCCTTCCAGGTATTCTGGATAATGAAGCTCTGCAATGGAGGATGAGAACTGATAGATTGAGAACAAAGTTTAGACATAGATAATACAACATGATCCTTAATTTCCATTACAAAAATAAAGTTAAGAGTAATTGTATTTTATTATATAGATGTCGCCTCTTGCAACTCATGATTATCCTTTTATCTAGTTTAATGATGATCAGGGTATTAACTTATACTTTACAAATAATAACGAGACAGAAGATGACCCACATAAATAAAGAGCATGTGATAAAACACTACAAAGAATACAAAATACTGTAATTAATAAAAAAAAAAGTGAGACATACAAACTTTGTCAACAAACTAAGGTCATATTTCCCAAGCATAAGATTTCCTCATTAAATCCATGTTTTGCTTAGTTTCTCTTTAAAATGTATTATTTAGTGCTAGATTTTGTGGAATTAGTAATTTTAAGTGCATACCTGCTTACTTATATTTTTGTATTTCAAACTCCTAACTATACAGTTGTTGGTTTTGAAATTTGTTTGTGATGATTTCTTTCATGGGTAATCTTTGATCTATTTACTAATTTTAATTTTGATAATGGTATCAAAGGTGCATTTTTAGGATGCATTCACATTTTTATTGCATACGGAAATTCTAACATTAAAAACTTCAAATTATTGGATTATTGTTTTATTCATATAAAAACAAACTCCTTTATTGGGGAAAGAGTAAAGTACTTCTTAGGAAATCATGGCACATTATGTGCTCATGAGGATGCTACTTTTATGGTTTTTCAGTCTCTATGTTGTGTTTGCAAGGCCACAAGAAAGACCAGAATGCAGTAGGAAATATTTACCTCAAGTTGGAGATTTTGATCTGAAAAAGGTAAGTCCAGTGATCAAAAGGATAATTTTCCTGTTTACATATTTAACATAAATTATTTTGATGTGTTATATGCAGTTACCAGCCATGATATCAATATCTGATTCTTTTACTGTCAGACAATTTCTGAAACTATAAGACACAAAAGTGAGCGAAGTCTTTTATTAGATGAAAAATTAGGGTTCTTAAGTTCTTTTTTACAAGAAAAATCCAAAATATATATAGAGCTATAGAAAAACCTTCTGTCCATCTGTTCATTCATTCAACTGTTGATGACTTATTTTATAGGCTAATGCATTATGGGTATATAGGCCCCTCTATTAGATGAAATTCTGAGTATGGAGGCTGCCCAATTAAAAATGCGGCCATTTTTCTTAAAAATGTAATTGAGTGCCTCTTTAGCTTCCTTGGGTCATATTTAAAATAATCTTTATTCAAGAGAGAATTTCCAAAATGGTCTTTAAATTCAAAATGGCTGCCATTTTTGTGAAAAAAAGAATTTATTATATTTTGAAATATATGTATCAACTCGTATAGTTGATTTTTTCGTATTCCATTTTGTAGTTTGGAGGAATTTGGCATGCTGTTGCCTCTACAGACCGTGATGATATATTTCACCTCAATGGAACTATTCTTCACATCAGACCACATGATGAGTTGCATGCAGGTCTAAATATTGCTGGCATAGATGCTGAAGTCTGTACTGCATCCAGACATATCCACATCAATGTAGTAGAGAAATCAAAACTAAATCTACTAAATCTTGAAGGTAATAAGTAGGCCAAGTGATGTGTTTAAACAAACAAGTGTTCATATGAGTGTTTTTTCTTGTGGTTATCCCCATTGCTAGTAAAAGGATATATCTGATTCATGATATTTGTTTGTTTGTTCTATTTTCTTCAGAAGTTTATTTCTTAAATAATGTGATGTCTGCACCTTTTGTCCTTAAATGCCTTGAACATTTTTACTGTTTGAGTTATTTATCCTACTTGAAAAACAGATAAGAGACAAACATTTCTCACTACATCAAGCACTTTTACTAGAGACATATATTCCATTTGTCATTGTGACATATTCATATATGTATCTTAAATTTTTATACAATATGCTTCTCGAATTCATATGTAGTTAATTGTCAATTTTCTCAAAGATTGAATATTTCTTGGCTTACCCTGTACTTTCCTTTAAATCTGTTTTTTCAGAGACCTATTGGGTGACATCAACAGATTACAAGCAGTTTGCTGTGTTATTCCAAGCACCTCATGCTGTGCACATTCTCAGTAGAAGGAGACAGCTTCAACATGGGGCTAATCTCAGACATAAAATACACAGACACTTAGAGCATCAATTATGTGTTCCACCAAGAAGGCTTCAGTATAGAAACTCGAAGGGTACATTTATTTTAACATTGGTTATGTTGTATTGGATTTGTTTAATGCCTCTGACTGTTTTTAAAACTTTTTGTTGTTATTTTTCTTTTAGGGCAAGAATATTTAGAATGCTTCCAGTTCCCACCTGAATGTTTTAAATGCAATAACATATTGAAAATCATATCAGTATTATTATCAACTGCATAAAATGAATGTTCTGGCTATTAGTCATGTGGTATGGCAAATTCATTTCCGAAAAATTCTGTCATATTTTGCATGATTAGCCAATAATTGACCTGATTTGCTTGTTCACATTTGTTTTAAATCTTTTTTAAATGATCATTGATAAATAGAACTGAACTGTTCTTATTTGACTGGTCATACAAGTTCCCATTTAGAGTTTGAGTTAACTTATGAGTGAAATGTTCTATGTGGAATCCGATAGTGATGTTCAAACATTTATATTTTCTATACTTCAGTGTTTTGCCCGCTGTCAGAAGATAATCATGACAGGAACAAGAAATACTTAATGAAAATGTTAGATAATTTTATGCAAAATGGTAAGTCATATACTAGTATTACTTAATAGCCAAAACGGCATTAGGGGAGGTCAACATCCATAAAGGACAACATACACCAAAAAGTATCAACTATATTTTAGAATTATACAGTTGACTACTGTAATATCTAAACATAATATCTCCTTTAAGTAGAAAAACAACATAGAAATAGTTAACAGTAAAATGTGGTAGTGTTGATAACAATCAAAATTATAGTTATGTTTTTAATCAGAATATTTGAATTTCCATTTCAGATGAGCACGATACTGATATTCACATTAATGGTGACTTGAGAGAAGCTGTAGCAAATGAAATTGTGGAAGAGATCAATACAGACAGCAAAAGGGAACTGAAGCATGCAGCAATAGAGAAATTTAAACTTGAAGAGGCACAGAAATTTGCTAATGAGATTACAGAAAATATTGCACCTGTTCTTGTACATAATGTTGACAATGGTAGTATCACAAGTATACAAGAAATTGAAGGGTCTGGAGCTACTGAAAGTATTGTTGATTTTGTAAACAAAAATATAGATAGCCTAGACAGGTGCAGCGTTGAAGGTTATCCTGTAATGAAGGATTTTAACATTGAAAAGGTTAGCAAATTAATTTCTACTTTATCTTCATAAGATTATTAAAGGTTATCTTTAGTACGTAATTGATTTGTGCAGTAATGCTCTAAGAATAGTTACTTAATGTTCTATTTTTGATAAACGCTCCACAATCATTATGTGGGTATGTGGTAAAAGTCAATATCATTGTGATTTTAAGAGATTTCTATATTTCATAATTAATTTCTTAAATTTTATGTATGCAATTTTTTCTAGAAGTATATGTACTGTGATTTCCCAAGTTAGATTTTGCATTCAGTTTCCAATGATTTCCTGAAAAAGTTCATCAAATACTCTATCACCATTGACATAATACCTGGAAATTATAATACCAGTTGATTTACTCTTTTAAGGCACACAATTGTTATGTTATCACAATATGCATGTCAACGAGATCTTAGATGAATTAAGTTTCTTCACAAAAGAGATGAGCAAACTTGCCTGACCAAAGCTACTGGTGCCATCTATCTATTCATCTGTATTGCAAGTCCATAACATAAGTTAACAGGGAGTAAAGACTATAGATGGTTTGAGAGTAAATCTGGACAAAAATTGTTACAGTTTTGAAATATTTTTTGCTCTCATCATTTCTCCATCTGCCTCCCAAAGTGCTGAATTTACCTCAGAATAATTCTTTGATTTTGAAAGTTATCCAGTAAAATTGAAAAAGTGTTTCAAATGTTTTTGCATGGTTGCAGTTGATTGGCAAATGGTATATTCTGTCTAGACTAAAGGGTACCACAGTATGGAGTTCAGGTGTTACAAAATTCTACCGTCTACCAAAGGACAAAAGTACACTAATAAGAATCATCTCCTCGGGAGCAATGTAACTAGATTCCTTTTTAACATTTAAAGTCAGAAAGAAGTTTTATACACATATTATACATTTACCTTCTTCTTATTACTAAATAGTTACATATCACCTTATTACTGTATTGTAAGTAGGTTAATTACAGTCAAACTTTTCTTTCAAATGTCTTGTTTCATTTTTAATAAATGATTACTTTAAATCTGATAAAATGAAAAAGATGGAAATGATTTTTGAAGTAATTTTTTTAGAGATGGGAAGTGTCTACCTCCAACTGATGGATATGTGACTCTCACTGACACCCCAGGGGACATGTATTCCCATTATGTATCATTTCATGGTAAGTATCTTGTTAAGCAGTAGTATAGTTTTTATATATTTTAGTGAATCTGATATGTTATTTAAAGAAATTGACTAATAGGTGTCTTATCTATTAAATATAAAACTTCATTGAACAAGCATATATCTTAATTATATAAACTTGTTATTAATTGTACAAGACTGAAATACATTATTTTGCTGAATAAATTCAAAGAACTTACCTGTTGTTGTTATGTGTTAACAATTAAAACATACTTTTCTTATTGAATGAATGTCAAAACCAAACATTCAAAATTCTTGATCAACAATTTTTAAATATATTTAAAATAATGATTTCAGATGCAAAACATAATGGGTCTCGACACGATTGTAAGTACATGTGCTAATCAAATGTGTTATCATGTGATACATTGTGGTAAATTATTGCTAGATAATGCATTAGTGTGACAATTAATGTTTCATTTGAATAAATCCACAAGAAGAACTTTTACTCAACATTTCAAAATAGAGAATTTAAGTTGAGTGTTATAGCTTTGACAAATTAATTTTTCAGACCGACTAAAGATTATAGCGATAACTGAGAGTCACATGCTGACCATGATGTGTAATAAAGTGAATGCAGATGGAAAGTGTATAAAAGACAAGCTTCAGATTGACATCCTTGGAAAAACACGTGACATAGCATCTGATCTGCCAGTTAAATTCCATGAAGAGCTTGAAAGTCTTTGTATTGGGGAAGAAAATATGGAATTACTATCACAAGCAGGTAATCATTTTTGTAAGGTCTATATGAAACCTAAATGTTTTTATTAGACTCCAGATGAAAATCTGGAGTCTATTGCTTTTGCCAGTTTTCCTATTATTCTTTCTTTCTTTCCGAACACTTTTTCTCAGCAACTAGAAGAACTTACTTAAATCTGCTAACATAGTCAAGTAGGTAATGAAACCTAGTTTCTGGGAAATTAGGTCAAATGTTTATCTAGGTCAAAGGTCAAGAACTAGGTCAAATCGTGGGTTTTCACTATTTTACAAGTTTTCTCAGTCGTCCTTCGGTATTTTTGCTCCGGGTTTTTTTCATCATGTTCCTTAGAAAAAAAGCTAATTCCGTAATGCAAATCGTTTTTTGATTACTCTTACCGATTTTGAGAAATGACGTCCGAAAAGTAGGTCAGAACATAAAAAGTTCTCCAAATTCAACGTGTGAATTATCAAATAAGTGTAGAATTATCTCAGGAATCCGAATCTGCAAACAAAATTTCGATCCAAATACCGGTTCAGAAGTTATAGCATTTTGAAATCTCAAAATCGCTAAATTTGGTGCCCCATGTTAAGTCAATGGGGAAAAAGACTTCTTCGAAGTGTAAAATACGAGATATAGACTGAGTACAGCTTAACATAATGAAAGCCTATAAAAGAAGGGGACCTCGAAGGCTATCTAGCTTTAAAATTTGGACACCAAAATCGCAAGGTCAAAATCTAGGTCAAATTGATAGTTTTTCCTAATTTTTACGATTCTGACACTACACTTAAATGATTTGCTTCTAAAAGGGTAGAATTTTCTCAGGAATCCGAATCTGCAAACCAAATTTTGATTCGACATGTTATGTCAATAGGGAAAAAGTTTTTTTTGAAGTGTAAAATACCAATATAGACTGAGTACAGCTCAACATAATGGAAGCCTATAAAAGAAGGGGACCTCAAAGGCGACCTAGCTTTAAAATGTGGACAACAAAATGCCAAGGTCAAAATCTAGGTCAAATTCATAGTTTTTCCTTATTTTTGCGATTCTGACATTACACTTTTATAATTTGCTTCAAAATTTTGTATACATGTTGCAAAGAGTGTGCTTATAGTGTAAGCCTTTTGCCGTCAGAAAGTATTTTGACCCACTTTTAAGATATGGTGTCCGAAATATAGGTCAATATAAAAAGTTCTCCAAATTTAACTTATTAAGGGTAGAATTTTCTCAGGAATCCAAATCTGCAAAGCAACTTTCAATCCGACTCCCGGTTTAGATTCTGGGCCATTTTAAAATTCACATTTGTTTAAAATTCACATTTGCCAGTATCCACAATGCAGATCCATCAAATATACTTTCAACAATTCCTACTTACCTACTCGGCTACCTACTTAGCTACCTACTTCTCAGCTACCTACTCAGCTACTTACTCAGCTACCTACTCAGCTACTTACTCAGCTACCTACTCAGCTACCTACTCAGCTACTTACTCAATTACTTAATCATCTACGTACTCAGCTTCCTACTCAGCTCTTTACTCAAGTAAATCAATCTGGAGTCTTAAATTGAACTTTGTTCAATTTACCAATCTAGTTATTATTACTTACTGATGCTTCCTTTCTCAAAGAAGCAGGAATACACACAAAACTATCTGAAATGAAAGAGGTGTTTGAGAGAGGTTTTTTTCGATTTTGTTTCCAGAGAAATGTGATGTTCCTGATGATTTACAGACCAGTAGATGCCAACTTAATGATTTTCCCATCCAGAATAACTTTGATGATGAGAAGGTAGGTTTATAGGGTGTCTCAAAAAATGTACCCAAAAGTATATCAGCACCATAGACAAACCAATCAATATTTTCAGACATTTTTGCATGGTCTTGCAGATAAAAGATGAAAGTTTTTTCCCCTATACACAATTTTTAATTCAGTTTTGCCTTTTTGATACTTTAACCCGTTAACTTTTACACCACATATTCAATGTAACCTCATATTTCGATGACAGTCTGCGTCCTTACTCCTACATTGTTCACCACATTTGATATATCTGGTGGAATGTTTTAATTTCTGTTCGGATGCTGGTTTTAAGTTGTTCTTGGTCTCTTAGCTTGGGTTTAGCATAAAAATGGTCCTTCAAATAGCCTCAGAGAAAAAAGTATGGGCCATCAAATATGGTGAATAGGGAGGCCCTCACAATGTCTTATAGCCCCCTTATAAAGTGAGGTCAGAGGTTCAAGAAACTGCATTGGTTGGGATTCTAGTGTAGCTGTACGTTGGTATCAATTCGAGACCACTGTGTTTTCATTTGGATATCATTTGGTCTCCAGGCTAGCCTGCCTAACTCTGGAAGGTAACTCCTGAATCATTTGCTGATGATTGACCTGATTATCTGTATTTGTTCTGCCATCGTCATCCTCTAACATCTTTCTCTGTGGTTATTTGAAGGAGTGTTTTAATGCTCATTCCAAGCAAAAGCTCTAAAACAACTTAAGGGCAACATCCAAAGAGAAATCCAAAACATTCCACTGGAATTATTATCAAATGTGATGAACAATCTAACAGTAAGGATACAGCCTGTCGTCCAAATATGAGGTTACATCGATTATGTGGTGTAAAAGGTAAAGGGTTAAAGCATCAAAAAGACATGACTGAAATAAAAATGGTGTATTGGGGAGAAAACTTTCATGTTTCGGCTACATGACCATGCAAAAAATGTCTGAAAATATTGATTGGTTTATCTGTGCTCTTGATATACTTTTGGGTACATTTTTTTGAGACACCCTGTATATGCAGGGACTGATCATTCACTTAAAGTGTGTCTAAATTCCAGTGATGCTGACCATGCCGAGTGTTCATTTTAGATGAGTTGGTTTGAAAAACCTGACACACTTTTTTTTATTTCCTTAATTAATCTCATTAATTAATTAATTTCATTAATTATGACAGTGCCATATTGTTCATCATATTCATATGACATATGTGTATTTTGTTGAAAAGTTGTTTTGCAGATTCGAAAATGATGTTACAAATTGTATGTTATAATACAAGTGATTATGAGTATAATGTAATTTGTAATCTGATACTCATACTGTGAGGTATTTTTTGCATGTCAATCCTCCTATGAATTAGTCATTGAATATACACACTGTACTTTTGTACATGTATTTTAAGTTCACTGGACCTTGGTATGAAGTTGGCCATTCAGCAGAGTCCATTCATCAGTCTGGGGCATTCCAACTGGTCTTGAATCAGACACATACTACGTTTTCAGTAGTGTGGGCAGAGTAAGCTAGTTTTTGTAACTTTAAAATTTTTGGTATATTCTAACTTATCGGTGTTGTGGCCATTCTGTTGTTCTGTTGTCCCCAGCCTGAGCCTGATTTGGACAATTGATTTTTGAGGCAACTTCAGAAGAAAACTTTATACTTTCTTGTTATGATCACCAGAAGTGGTGATATACTGTATACTTTCTTGTTATGACCACCAGAAGTTGTGACATACTGTATACTTTCTTGTTATGACCACCAGAAGTGGTGACATACTGTATACTTTCTTGTTATGACCACCAGAAGTGGTGACATACTGTATACTTTCTTGTTATGACCACCAGAAGTGGTGACATACTGTATACTTTCTTGTTATGACCACCAGAAGTGGTGACATACTGTATACTTTCTTGTTATGACCACCAGAAGTGGTGACATACTGTATACTTTCTTGTTATGACCACCAGAAGTGGTGACATACTGTTAGTCTCCAACTTTTTTGTGGACAGTGTAGCGTTTTGTGTTCCACATCTCTAACCAATGACAAGTGTTGACATTTTGTATTGAAAACAATAAACTATAAGAATTGATAAAACTTGTATTTTTCATGTTGTAGAAATGGTCAATGTTCAGATATTTTACATAGTGAATCAACACATGCTCATATGACCGTTCCCATCCCTGATGTTACAGTATCATTCGGAGAGGGATCAGGTAGAGATTTTCTGATTGGAATCTTATATTGCATCAGTAGACCTTTCCAATAAATCCTGACCCCTATTAGTGAACCAAGGAAACGAGGGTATATTGGCTAGATTTATGATGTCATACTTTACAGCCAGCAATGCTTGTAAACAAAATTGAAAGTCAACGTTTTTGAAAATATTTTAATCCTATTTCTGCACTGAAATTGTAAGAATGACATCATAACCAATAAATGACATGATTTACTGGATTGGTCTATTAAACTGGGCCATTAATGTCTCATTTTAGTGTATAATGAATCCCCATCACTTACATTGTTTAGTAGGTATGAAGTTCTACAACTGATTGAATTTCCGTGCGGATCTTTTTCTGACAGCCATTTTACAAAATCTAATTAATCTTACTTTTGAGAAATTATTTCTTTGACACCTCTTTCCTGAAATTCCTTAACTGAATCCTTGTTTCCAGAAAGAATTCAAATCTTATGGACTGATTATACCAAGCATGCTATAATGTTTGCTTGTCGTGAAGTTGGGCCTGATGGAACCTGTATATTCCGACCAAACTTAACGCTTTATAGTAGGACACGAGGCATAATATCAAAAGAGCTGAGAGAGAAGTTTAAATATTTTGCAACCAGGACCTGTGTTCCATATGTTCTTACCCCAGTTTCTCATGGTGGTAAGTTCAATAGAATATGTACTTTTGTGTTCTCTTTATGTCACATGATGATTAATATGTTTCTCAAATATATAAAATGGATATCTCAGAAGAGTGCTGAATCAGGACAGTGGTATAACAGTAATAGGAAATGTCATATCTCTATTATAAACATCTTACCTTATGAAAATGACATACTCTCTTGCTTTCAGTGAGGTGTAACTTTGAAGAACCATTCAGAAAAGCATGCAGATTTGCTGACCTGCCTAAAGCTAACATGTCAACAGGAGATAGTGTAAATAAGATTGAGGAATCCCATCTTTAAATAAACTGTATATGGAATTATATATTCTTCCTTTTTTCAAAGATCTGTACATTTTCTTTTATAATATTATTCTAATTAGTACTGATATTTTATTAATGTGGCAATAATATTGGTATACACAACATGAAATAACATATACAGGGTGTCTCAAAAAAATGTACCCAAAAGTATATCAAAAGCACAGATAAACCAATCAATATTTTCAGACAATTTTTGCATGGTCATGTAGCCAAAACATGAAAGTTTTCTCCCCAATACACCATTTTTATTTCAGTCTCGTCTTTTTGATGCTTTTACCCTTTACCTTTTACATAACATAATCGATGTAACCTCAAATTTCGATGACAGCCTGTATCCTTAATGCTACATTGTTCATCACATTTGATAATAATTCCGGTGGAATGTTTTGGATTTCTCTTTGGATGTTGCTCTTAAGTTGTTCTAGGTCTTTCTGCTTGGAATTAGCATTAAAACACTCCTTCAAATAGCCACAGAGAAAGATGTTTGAGGATGACGATGGCAGAACAAACACAGATAATCAGGTCAATTATCGGCAAATGATTCAGGAGTTACAATCCAGAGTTAGGCAGGCTAGCCTGGAGACCAAATGATATCCAAATGAAAATACAGTGGTCTCAAATTGATACACACAACAAAAGCTACACTAGAATCCCAACCAATGCAGTTTCTTGAACCTCTGACCTCTCTGTATAAGGGGGCTATAAGACATTGTGAGGGCATCCCTATTCACCTTATTTGACGGCCCATACTTTTTTCTCTGAGGCTATTTGAAGGACCATTTTTATGCTAAACCCAAGCTAAGAGACCTAGAACAACTTAAGACCAGCATCCGAACAGAAATCAAAACATTCCACCAGAAATATCAAATGTGATGAACAATGTAGTGGTAAGGATGCAGACTGTCATCGAAATATGAGGTTACATTAAATATGTCGTGTAAAAGGTAATGGGTTAAAGTATCAAAAAGGCAAAACTGAATTAAAAACTGTGGATAGGGGAAAAAAATTTCATCTTTTATCTACAAGATCATGCAAAAAATGTCTGAAAATATTGATTGGTGTATCTATGGTGTTGATATACTTTTGGGTACATTTTTTTGAGACACCCTATATACTGATCTAGGAAGCATTTTACCAATTTGTGTAGCAAAGAAGCGTTGTATTAAGTAGTGTAGCTAGATGTACATGCATGTACTTATACAAAATAAGCACTTCTCTAAATATAAGAATGCATATATACACTTATCCTATGCCAAGTAGAGTTTTAGGGAGATAAGTTGGTAAGATATATCCCGTATCCTGATTTTGAGGTTTCCATATCCAGAACCTCCATATATCCCGCCATATCTCCTGGTTAGGTGCATATCTTCCTGCTTCCAGTGCATATCTTCCCGCTTCCGGTAATGCAGTTAAACGACTTTGCATATGAATGATTTGTTTATTTTTACACCTTGTACTATTGAAATGGCCATATGTCCCTGAAAACTCTACTTGGTATAGGATAAAGCAGTTATGTACGGTCGGTTGGGATATTGGGTTCATCCCTCGTGAGATATGCACATCTACCTTCGGTCCCTACGGTCCCTCAGGTAGATATGCATATCTCCCTCTGGATAAACCCCATATTTGAAACCTCCCAGTACATAACCCTTATATATTCATACTTCATGTGCATTTTTATTTCAGACTGTTGGTGACTGGTATCTTGTAGCATATCTTACAGATGCAATACGGGTCAGTGACGTCTCCTCGTCTGTTTCTAATGGAACACATCTCATATACACCCTCATACGAGAACAGTAAGTATTTCTAGCATATTTGGTGAATAACAACTTATTCTTGACTCAACCTTAAGTTGTACTTTGTTGAGGTTTCAAAACACCATTTTGTTTTAAAAATTTCTTCCTTCCTGACATGGTTACTGACCTTCGCCACAAAGTTATGTCGATCATGTGATCTCAGAATGGCTTTTATACATGTTGTCATTTACATGTGAAATCCCAAAGTTACACTTTTTATTATGTTTTATTTGTGAATTGACCATTCTTTTATCGTATACCTATTTTCCCCTTTATCCCTGCTATCAAGTCTTAAAATGGAGTGCCAGTCTATGAGTTATGGTCTTCTGAATTCTCAGTGTCTAATTATCTTCTTTTTGGATTAATGTTCAATGTATGGTAGATTTTTTTAGTCACATGCAAGTTACATATTATTACCTGAGTTACTTAAATCCACAACATAACAGGTAAATAATTTGTTTTCTTTCAGAAATGGAAAATGTTTGGCACCAAGGACGTTGGATTATCCTATTGACATATCAATTGACATAGCAGATAGTTCATTTGATTTGGGAAAGAATAAAAAATGTAAGAAATATACAGTATTTAGATATAATAATCACACCTCCAGGTGATATAAATGTCTTTGAAATAATGTTAGTTAAGTTAAATCAAATAATCACATGTATTTATGACAATGGCTTGTTAAGATTGTTTTATGATGTCATCACCAGAAGTGGTGACATAATTTTATAGTCTTCAATTTATTTGTATGTGGCAGTCCACAATTGGCGGTCGATGTCTGTAACAAATGGTAGGTGATGCATGTTAATGCCTTGTGTACTTCTGTATTCCATACCTACTGAGGTTCTAGGTACATAACAAGTCTGAAAATTTCACAAACTTAAAAATTGTGTACCTTAAAGTATGTATTGAATTTTGGAACTTTATGAGGTATAATGTACCTAGAATCTCAGTAGGTATGGAATACATCTGTTTTGTACACTTGGTTTCGGATACAGAGTTTATCCTTCAGGAAATATGTGTATCTTCCTCAGTCCCTGCGGTCCCATGGGAGATATATTTCCCTTGGGATAAACCCCGTATCCAAAACACCCTAGTACATAACCCTTATGTATTAGGGACATTTGCTGTGATTTTTTATTCCAGTCCGAATGAGGACTGTCTACTATGCCAATGGTCTTGAGATTACATACATGTGTATCAACCCTTTTGAGGATGGATACTGTCCCAGAGAGGGGATCATATTCACAGTCTTCTCAAAGAGACCAGTCAACCTAGATGACAAAGAGAAGGAAATTGTGTTAGATTTTGCAAAGAAGCTGTGTATCAGTAAAGAGAAAATATTTTTCAAATCATACAAAGGTTAGAAAACTTAGTTGAATTCTCCCACAATCTGTAAAAGTAAGACATTTCGGAACATTGGATTTATTTGATGTTAGAGACGTACATATAATAATTTGTTAGATATTTTACATGATTTAATGATATAAATGTATTTAATGTATAGTGTCTAAACATTTCTCTGATATTAAGTTCGTCATATGTCAAAACTGAGAGAGGTAGAAAGTTCATTTTGAATGTATAAAAGGATGACCTGATGTTGGCCTTAGATATTTCAAAGAATCATTACAAAATTTTATGTCTAAACCACTTTGTTGAAGTCTGAAGTTATGAAGTCATTCAATTACTGAATATAGTGTAAAATAATTCCTTTTTTCACTGTAGATTGGTGGTATACTCATGTAGTAAATAATACTGTTCCATTTGTTCATCTTTTCAGATAAGGAAGTGTGTTCTCTAGGAAGCAGGTGTCCAGATATTGCAGTAGATAAAATGCCAGTAGCAAAATATTCAGACCCACATCATTTGGTATGTACAGGGAGGGCCAAATATCCTTTTTTGTGTTAAAATGCATTTATTTATTGTCCAAGTCTACATTATCTCCAAGTAATTTAAAAAATAATATATGTTGAATTTGGCTTATGCATTCAACATACATTACTTTCACTTCTACTGTTAGTATAAATTAACTCCCTATAGGTAAGTATTAAAAAAGAGGCACTTATTTGTGTATCAGAGGAGGTTAACAGTTAGATTGCTTCAGCCTTCTACACTGAGTTAGACTGGGTTAGTCTTTTTCAGTTTTGCACTTGTGCTAACAATTATTTAAATGTCCTATTTCTGGTATGCCAATATATTTACCTAGAGTACTGTATCTGTCATTTATTTCATTCATTAGAGTGATAAAGGACCTCTGTATGTAACTGGTTATGCAGTTAAAAGGCACACAACTCCTCTTGGAGTAGCAGTTGATACATTCTCTAATGGTGAAAAGCTGTTTGTAAGATATAAGGCATGGAATTATAAGTAAGTATCTGTTTCAACATGAAATACGTCATAAAGATCATATTTTACAATATACCAGATACAGTATATGTTATATGGTATAATAGGGTATCTCTTTGTGGCAATCACCAATGATTGAGGGAAACACTTTACAGCAAGTGATGTTCTTGCTGTTACAAAAAGTTCATACAACATGAAAATGCCTGAAGTTTTGAATTTAGATAAAAATGATTTTAGGTGTCAAGGTGTGATACCCTGTATATATATTATACATGAAAAACATTAGTAATCTGATAATTAGTAATCCATTCTAACAAGTCCTCACTTATAAAATATAGTTTTTTCTCTTCTACTACTTGGATAATATGGCTCGTACAAGTAATGTATATGTACATTTAGGTCCCAGCAGTGTTCTGACGTTTACTTTGAGGAACACCTTAAAGATTCAATGTTGAGCACTTCTATGTACACAGTAAAGAACAATAGTAAGTGAATCTTACATAGCATTGCCACTTATTCAGTAATTCACCTAAAACAAATGATCAGTGAGTATTATTTTGTGCAGATTGGACTTAATTGCAGTGTGGATTAATTTTGAATGTAATTGGTGTGTCTTTGTGTGTGCATGGTTTGAATAGAACTTCCCAGTGATTTTTCTTCAGGTGTGGCGAACAAGTAAGAAATTTGCCAAAATAAAATGTGCCAAATTAACCTGCTTGATATCAGCCTTTACTTTAAAATATATATTGTTTTGGTTTCAGCTCATTATCGTTATCTGTACATGGATGATGAACTTGCTATAAGTTACAAGTGCAACTTGACAGAATCCAAAGATGACACCTTAATATGCTATGATAATCCTCAATGGATTGGACTCTTTACATTAAGCCCTGGCACTCCGAGTAAAAGGGCAAAAGCATTATTTGAAAAATATACAGAAGCATCTTGTATGAATGTAAATGATATTGTGTATTCCAACATTACTCAAGGTAGGGCTGGCGAGAACTACTGTAGTCTCGGAAAACTTTTAATTTTCTCACTAGAAAGTCAACATATATCATTAAAATGAATAAAATAAACATTTCAGATTTTAATTTTGAAAAATAAAATGTTGCATTACATGTTATCAGGATTTACCTTTCAGAGTCATGTCTTTATAAAGACCGCTTAAGATGTCAGATTTCAAATCTTCCTATTGCAAATCTGCAAAATTCTGAGCAGGTAAATATAACATTCTTTTACAGAAAGCTTATTAATCCTATATCAAGGTTCAGAATGGTCATTTTATGAAATGAACAGTGAGTTGATTAGTATAAATTGTACATGTCATTTAAACTCACCGAGGTTACTCTATGTTTAAAACATTTTGTATAATCCTGAATAATTCCATTTATATGTTTTTAAATGAATACTGATATTCTAAAATTGATTAAAACAAGGATAACAAGGAAGTATCTGGTCATAGCAGCTACCCTATATGAAAATGTATGTGATAATACATGTATAACAGTACATAACAATGAAAGACCTAAGCAGACAAATTCATGTATGACCCCGATGCAAGAGATGTTTCTAGCAGTAGATATCTACATTGAAAATCAACACTTACATGCAAATGTGTATATACAGTATACATGCGTTTCAGATACCAAGAATGGAATATTTATTGGCCTATAGTGGGAAATCAGATACAAAATGGGGTGTTATTAAAACAACAATGGAAGATGATGGCTTTGCCTTGAAATACAAAATAATTGATAGGTAAGATGCCACCCTTGGTACTCTTAATATTCCTCTTTATGTAAATGGTCTTGCATGTCACTCAAGGAACCCAATGTTTCAACTTTTGAAAAAAAGAAATAAAGATACTGATTGATACTTATTGATTGAGTTGATTGACACTCATACTATGAAAAAACTGGTTCAAGAAATCTGAAAAAACAAGAGAAAAGCTACATTATATAATTTAACTTAACACTATCTATTTTGGGATAATGGCCTACATGTATGATAATGTATGACTTATTTTAGGGATGGAGTGTGTGGAGATACAAAAGTGATAAAGGTGGTTGGGAATGATCCACTGTTGGTTCAAGGCTACAAAGAATTTCCATATGGGGAAAATATTAATAGTGTGTACTATGAGGTTATATCTTAGAACAGTTTTTGTGTTTTAAATTCTATAATTGTGCTTATGTTTCAAGTATAAATGATCTGTTCTTATTTTTAAGAATATTTGCTGTGCCTAGACCCAAGTTCTTTTCTGAGTTTGCTGAATTTCATATTTCTTTATGTTGACAGAATACATGCAGATTCTGTACATAGACTCTGATGTCAACATCATCTTGAGTTGCATCACTGACAAATCAGAGAAAAGACGTACATGCAAGAAGGGAACAATGTTGATTGAGTTGTTCAGTACAACTTTAGCACCCCCTAGTGAAAAAGCAAAGGAACTATTTAAGAAGTTCGTTGATGCTGCATGTGTTGATGTTGAGACAATTGTATTTATTGAGAAACCATCAGGTAATTGTTTGAGTTAGCATTCGTGAATTCAACTGCTGGCTGTCGGCTGACAATTTGATAGCTATTTTATGGCTAACTCACCTAAATATGAATATGAATAGTAGCACTGGTACTTTTCATATTTTAATGAGTTGATTATCGCAAGGCAGCAGTTGGTACCAGCGAACGCAATTTATCATCGAATCATTGATAGCATATGGATTTGAGTAACCATGTTTTAGATTTCAATTTAGTGTTGCATCAAATTTTTGGCAATCTCTCTGACTTATACTGCTTGCAATGACTGTCAAAAAGATACAGAATGTAAGAAAGATTGACTCAATGAATTTACAGCTGGGAAATGATGCTTTAACAGCTGGGTTGAAACAACTCATGAATGGATAGGATTTATGTTCTAGTGAAATACTTCAATTTTATTTCTATTTCTAGAGTCTTGTGTTTTAAAAGAAGAGATTAAGTGTCATATTGACAACTTTCCAAAGGCAATAGCCTCCAGTGATCTGCAAAAGGTAAATTATCTCACTAAATGAGGCTCAGCCTCAACTTTGAGGTGAAAAAGGAAAATAGACCATGTACATTTTGCAATTTGAAACTATTTATCAAGATATTCCAAAAATCATACTACCCTACCCCCATAATGTATCCTGTATTTCTGTCAAAGGGATGCAGGCTACATTGAAGTTGCAAATGGAGGATGCATACTCGATTTTACATATATTCCAAGTGTTTTACTATATATTGTGTAGATTCATCGGACAGTTTGGAGTGTATTATTACCAGAAAAGCCCTATAGACAAAGATGGAGAATCTCAGAATACCCGTTTCATTTGCAACTTCACTGTAGTCTGTATCCTTTTTAAACATGGTCATGTAGTAGGGTAGGGTGAAAATGAAACAAAAGTTATTGTCTCATTTAATTTTTTTTCATATCATATTATTTATTTCATATAGGACTATATACTACAACATTTTATACATGTTTTTAGTGTTTTTCGAATTGAAGGGTTAAAGGTTGTCTCCTACGTTGATTATATTTTTTAAACAAAAAACAAAAAAACTTTCATTTCAGTATGAAGGCCAGTGGTTCAGTGTAGCAAAGATGAAAGAAGAGATGGAAGACTCAAGAACATTCAAATTGAACTTTAATGACAATACCAAGTCTATTTCTTTCATTTCTACAGGATCTTTGTAAGTGATGGTATCATAGTTAAGACATATTCATTTATTATTGAAATTCATTATTGCAAGATGTTCTCATTTAGTGATTTTGGGTCTTTATAAACAATACATACAGACCTTTTTGGACATCCTAAATTGAATACCTTATCTTTTTTGACAAACTTTGAATCGGTATCGGTCTTAGTTTTTTTACATCACCATATTCCTTATGTCATTTGTATGAATGAAAAAGATGGCATATGATCAAGGATGAACTGTATCATATATTTAATTTGACAATCCAGTTTTTAAGAGATTTTACATCTTTCAGAAATGGAATTTGTTTACCCATTAGACGAGCATCCTACAACTTGACAGAATATGAGCAGAATAATTTTAACAACAATAAGTTTGAAGTTCAAGGCAGAAAATGTAAGTAATAATTATGTGAAAGTAATATGATAATGTTAAGAGCTACATTTACATACAGGGTGGTCAAAAAACCCTGCATTTTCCTAATATCTTTGTCATTTTAAAGAATTCCTCCCTGATATTTCACACATTTGTACATCATTCAATTTCCAACCACCCTACCAAATTTCATGACCATTAGACTGATAGTCACAATTTTACAGCACCTTGAAAAACATGCTTCATGTTTGGCCATCATCGCGCTGTAGGGAAAACAACACAGTTGTCAATGATCCAAATGCATTCCTCAGCAGGTATGGCCTGAATGATACAGGCCTGAATGATACAGATGATCTTACTTTTGAGGTTCGTGAATGCCCTGAGGTCATTCTCATACACTTTTTCCTTGCCATATCCCCACAGGTAGGGACATTTTGGACGACGAGTGCAGGTGGCCCAACAGCGCTATAGTGGCCACTAGGGCATGTTTTGTAAAGTGCTGTAACATTGTGACTATCAATCTGATGGTCATGAAATAAAGTAGGCTGGTAGGAAATTGAATGATGTACAAATGTGCAAAATATCAGGGAGTTATTCTTTAAAATGACAAATATATGAGGAAAATGGTGTTAGGGTTTCCATTTTTTTGACCACCCTGTATATACTCAGCAAAATATTTTTATTTCACATGTAGAAGTGATTACAGCCATTTTGCACCAGTATCAGCAAATTAACATCTGTGTGTGGTGCTAGAGTTATATATACAAGTCAAAAAGGTAATATGTTAAAGATTGCTTGCTATACATGTATTTATTTTGTACATGTTCTTCCTTATTACTTACTGATAGTGAGTTTTTCCATTACAGTTTGGACAAGGACTCTTTATCTTACTGACAACTACCTCATCCATTACCGCTGCGGTGGTCACTATCTGAATGGCACATGTTCTCCAGGGGGAGCCACTGTTGAAATGTATATGAGAACCACTGATACACCTTCGCAAGAAATGATGAAAACGTTACGTGATACTGTCACAGATACATGTCTTAGTGCCAATGATATTCGAATGACATCTCATGCTTGTGAGTGAAATAAATTAGTATCTGTTTAAAGCATGCATTCATGTATGTGTCCTGATTGCCATGATCAAAAATGTATATTATTGTAGATTTCAGGCAATATAATTTGAGTTTGTCATTTTTCATAAATGATCATATTTTCATTTGAATTGAATAGTAGGATTAGAAAAGATCACTGATACAGTTATGATTTAATTAAAGCAAACCAAAGTACTGTGATCTATGATACAATTTACCTATAGGGGGTCAAAATCCAAATATATGGATCTCAAAATGCTAGTTAATGCTAGTAAATTCTGATCTTTTCAGTAAGATGCTCTCTGGCTGACACTGATGAGGAAAGATGTAAATTTGAAAATCTTCCCAGATTGTCTGCAGAAAAACAGGTGCACAGACTGTTTTTCCATATCTTTCACTTTCAATGTTATCAGAACCGAGATTCTATTATAGTATATATTATATGTAAAGGGCAACACTGCATTTTTCGTTTCAATTATGTAGACATGTAAGTCTATAGTCAGTTGTCATGTATTCTATAATTTAAGTAGATATTCAATTGTTATATTTTACCCACATGTGACTATTTTAATGTAAGTTGATGTCTTGTACATGTGAGTAAATATTCTATAGTCAGCTCACAGACTTGAGATGTTCATTTGAATTAAACCTCATATACATGTGAGTAGGTATTATGCTGACATCTCATATTAATCTCATCATATTACAGGGTCGCTATGGGATATGGTATCAGTTAGCCCGCAGTAAAGGAGGGTTGCCCATACAGAATGTAAAGATGCTAACTTTTCCACCTATAGATGGACATTTTGCTGAAATTACAACTCTTGCAACATTGTGGGTAGATTAGAGTAACTTATTAGAAGTATAACTTAATTTGTATCACATGCTCATGCCAAGTATTTCATTTTAGAAAATGCCAACAATTAAAGTATATAAAGAAATAGCAAATTATCATTTAGCAAATTATGTTCAATATTCGAAAATTTGTAGCTGCAGCTTCCTAGATGAAAATTGGTCATTAATTACAACCGCTTAATTATTAATTATTTGAGAATCTTATTGTACACATACTTTATTATTTCAGCAATAATGTTTGTGTGCCAGCTATGACTGGTTACATAGTAAGCACCGATGGAAGTGAAATAGTGACCAGGATTAAAGGAACCACTGGTAATATAAAATATAAAGTTTCGCTGTTTGATTTCTGTAATCAATACTGTACTTCTACTTAATTTGGGTGCTGGAGATTTGCAACTTGTTAAAGTCTGCTAAATTAAATAGCTGTCAAATTCCCCTGTAATTTTAGTATCATGTACATTAGTACCATTAGTGCATTTTAATATTGCAAGTCTGCCAAATTAAGTAGCGTCCAAAATATTAGTAGTACAGTTATAAACATACCATTTTCATTATTTTTTCTGAAATGTTTTAGTATTATATTGTTTGAACTGTTAAATTGATGTTTGTTTTATTTGATTTCATCATGTTACTTTATAATCTAAATATTGCTGTCAGATAAAAAAGTTCTGATTTCTTATTGTATAGTTAAAGCAAGACTGGCTTATATAGACTCCAAGGGGCATTTCAGCATAAGTTATGGGTGTGATGCCTATGACAATGATGGAAAATGTGTAAAGGTACAAACTAGTTGTTACTTTAATTGAGAGCGATCAAATTAATTCTCAGTCACATTCTCTAGTTGAGAAATCGCGTAACCTTCAGTTATATAGAAGTCTTCAAATGGAAAATTTTTCTTGTGGTTTATTTTATCATTTTTTGAAATACTTGCACAATTTATTTGTAAAACTAAATCTATTAATTGTACATACGGTATGTAGTCTTATTGAATGGCAAATAATATACCAGACAATGTATCGAAATAAGTTTATTTCATTAAATCAGCTGGAGATAAAGGCTGGGGGAATGTCTACAGTAGTACCAGAGAGCATATTACAAGAGGCCCAAGAGGTGTTTAAGACCCTATGTATCAACAGTACAATGGACCTGGAGGACACAATACATGATAGTATGTGCATCTTTTATTCACATTTATTCCAATCGTATGAATCAGAAGGACAAAGTTATGGATGATACCTAGAATAACTGTCACACTAGTCCATGTGGGGTCACTATTTGCCACAGTGAGAATAATTTTGGGCATTCAGTTTTTAATTAAATTTTGTATATGGTGTAAAGATATCTTTCTATAAAGCTGTTTTGCACACCATGTGTCAATGCTGTGCCCTGCCATCTGTCCCTTAAAGTATTCACACCCTTAAAGTATTCACATGATGGTGAATGGTGGGCCCCACATCCATATGTGAGGTTTTTTCCAAAATGTTGTTGCTAAATATCATCTTCTCAGAAAGGTTTACAACTGATCAAAAGAATAGTCAAAAATGATTTTATATAATAGGAACTGAATACAATTTGACAAATTTAGGAGGGCTTTTATCCCACTTTTATGCCCTTTAACCAGGCAATGTTTAGCTAAAAACATGACTTTGATAATATACAGATTCAAAAGATTTCTGCAAGTGGATAATGTGATAATATTTTCAATTTTTTCAGCCCATTGCGCCTTTCCTAAAATGAATGGTTCCAGATGTGACTTCAACAATCTACCATCTGAGAATACCAATCAACCATTCGTGAGTTTACAAATGTTACCTATAATACAGAAAACAACAAAAAGCAACAGATTTAGATTGACAAAGAGACAACTGTTTTGTGTTGTTATAACTCCGCAGTTGAAATGAATCGAACATATTGATGAAGGGGAAGATTAAGGCCATATTATGCCCCATATAATATTCCAACCTTTTAAGATATCCTTATGACTAAATGATCAAGTAAAACTAGAAAAGGACTTCCTTGTTTTATAATTTATAGTGTATATCTTGAATTCTAAATGCTAATAATGAACAAAATTCTATGCTTTCTCTGTAAACTGAAATAACCAGCTTTTGCATGCATTTTATGATTCATGATTTCTTTTTTGAGTAATATTCTCTTTATTTTGATTCATGTCATGTCTTCGTGATATACCAGGGTGGGCAATAAAAAATCGGTAACTTTGTATATTTAAAAATTGAAAATATGGAACTGGAGAGATGATTGCTATATTTTGAAATGATAAATGGAGCAGACAAAAGATGGATAAACATGAAGTTCACTCTAAAAATTGTATAAAAATCCCTTTAAGTTGGATAAAGAGAGAAAATGCATGATATTAGCATTGGTATCAATATGTAATCTACCGGTATGTCTTTTCCATTCTTGTATAGCTTGAAAATAGGAAATGGTATGTCATTGCACAGTCAAAGGGAACAGTTGAATTAGAAAATGCCCGAAGTTGGGTACAAACATCAAGCTCTGGGATTGTGGAATTCATCATAGCTGGAGCCATGTAAGTCAGTCTGATCCTGCAATATTAAACCAGACCTACCTTGTATAGTGGTAGCAAAATGTATTCTTTACCATCTCAAATATATCTGCTAAAAGAACTATGATTTTTAATAAAATAGTGAAGACAATTTATTCGAAATAATAAATGGATATTCATAAAAAAATAAACTTGATTGAAAAAGTAATTGCTTTGGAATAAAGCATGAATTTTAGGATTTTTAGAAGAGATGTTTAAAGGATTGATACAATTGATTATTACTCAAAGAGTATTACTGCAATGTCTGAATTGACCTTTTAGTAAATGTTTTAAATCTTATTTTCCTACCCCCCTTATCAATATATATCTTAAAATGGAATGAGAATGAGAGGTGAAGTCTCTTGATAAAATTTTTAATGATATCAGGTTTTGTTTAGGAATGGAATATGTATTCCCCCATTGAAAGGTTACTATATCACTGAGGGTGATGAATTATATGCACAGTTGGGAGAATACAGAGGTGGGTGAAATTTTTGTTGTCTTGATTTTTTTTTATAAAATTGGAATCCTATTTTTCAAAACTGTCTCTGTTCCCAAAAATACTCATTTTTAGATCCGAAACTGAAATAAATGATTCTTGCGTTATACATAGACATGTACAAATGTATATGGAGATAATCTTTTTCATTGAAATGACCCCAAACAGAGGTGGATTTAGAGCTCAAAGATAAGAAAAAATTAGCATCTTCAATTTATAATTTCAAGTTGAATGGCATTTTACCTACAATTTGAGTGGTGTATTACACCCAAATTAATTATGTGAATTCACCACTGTTACATAATTCTACACCTTTTTAATTTCAGTTGAAGTTGGTAAAATAGTCTATAATGATCCCTATGACAGGTTTATGGTTATTTTGAAATGTCCCGTGAAGACTCCTGATGATAAATGTGACAAGGTAACGCTTTTATGAAGAAATTGACCAAATTTTTAAGTTTAATTGAAAAAGAAATATGAACTGGGATGTATCTTTAGCCTTATATCAAAAATATGTTGGTAATTGTTGGTAAATATGGTTAAAACTCCATATTACCATATAAATTGAGCAACATATGCCAAGAATATAGAATTAGTTGATTTTTCTAAACAAATATCGTTAGTGTTTCAAATTTTCCACATCAAAGCAGTTATTTTTCCTGTCATTCAATATTTTGTATTGTACAAATACACATTTTTCTTTGAAACTTCTATTTATATTAGATCGAAGTACAGATAGTATCCCCCACCAAGAAACTCCCAAAAGATGCTGACTTTACGATACAAGATATCTTAAATGGACTTTGCCTGTCTGTGGATGAATTACAGTACATAGATCATCAAGGTATGTGGCAGTCTCTTGTTGCTCCTGTTCCAAAATTTTCTTGGTCTTTTCCTTTTGATGGGTTTATGTCACCTTATATCTGTTGTAAGTACTGCGTGCATGTATGTTCATTTTGAGCTCTTTTTATTGCGAATTCTTAATGTACCCAAAACTTATTTTCGAGAGATTTGAAAATCATGATGCAACATAGGCATTATCTCTTTTATAATAAAATTGTGGGTAAAATGATGTTACAATAAAGCATTTACAGAAGTATTCCACTTCTAGAAGTTTTTCACATTACATGTTTTACAGTAGTTTAACATACTGGTATGTTTTCAATTTCTAGTTGACTGTCCCTTCCCAGTAGAATTTCCTTCTATGTTACGGCCAACGTGCAGCATCAAAGAAATGACCCTAGCGAAAAGTATGGAAATACACAAGGTAATAAAACGTCAACATAAAGGATGAGTCTGGGAATGAGTCTTGGTATCGACTTAGAAAATATTGAAAATTGTAATGTCTGAAACACCAACTCAATCACACATATTATTAAACATCAATATCTTATCCTTCTTCTGAGAGTACAAAAATATCAATTTGTATCACAATTAATGAAGAATATTGGCATCAAAGACAGTGCATATCACTTTGTCAGAATTGAAAAAAAGTCAATGGCAAATATTAAATGAATTATTTATACAAAAGGTTTGAAACATATCCTCCAAAACATTGCTTACTTTCTTTGTATAGACATTGAATGGCATTTCTGGATAAGTGAATTGGTGTTTATCTGGGTAATCAAGGGATTATAGTCACTCAAAGTTACTGAGCATCCAGTTTTGAGACTTCAATTGAGTTGGTGAAGTTACACATATTTCAGTCAAATTCATGCTGAGCACAACATTCCGGTTTCAATTTTATAATCTCTATACATGACCCTGGTGATGAAGAGTCAGAATCAGTCAAAAAACCTAAACCGGAAAACTGTGCTCATTGTGAAAACTAAAAGTGAAGCAACTTTTTTTCTGATATTTCTTACATCAAATGGCAGCCATCTTGTTTTTCCCCCTTCAAAATAAACTGGCGGGAAATTCAAAAATTTGAAAAAAATTTTAATCCTTAAATATATTTCAAAAATATGATTTTCTTTTAAATTCTTCATGGGTCTTAAGTTATTTCTTCTTTGCAAGTCATACATGTTGCCATTGCGGTGTTTTTGTCTATGATAATGACTATTTTTTGTTTGTAAAGATACTTATTCTGACTCTCAGCAGGGGGTTAATTTTGCATCAAAACTCGTGAAAAAGTAAATATACTTATCAAATATAACTAGGACAGTAATAAAAAACATATTTAACATACATTTGACTGAGGGACCAAAAGGGCATATACCCGGACACATCCTTTCACCCTTAAGTCATGTTACCATTTATACAGTAGTAGTATTTGTTATAAAGAAGCCAACATAAGAAAAAGAATTAAATGCTTTCAATACTGTAACATTTATTTTCTTTGGCTGTTATTTTAGATATATGGTAAATGGTATAATGTGCTTCGCCTTAAGGGTAATCATTCCTGGACAGATGGGTCACAGATTCTGAGGGAGGGGACAGTAGAAAATACTGTCCTTCTGACATACTTCTCAGCAGACAGGTACTGGATAGTCTTTCAAAATGGCCATGTTTCATTATCTTGTTCCGTATGGTCATGGTTTGATATAAAAGATGCAAAATGATATGGACAAGAGTGTAAACAGGAAAACATAATAACATTCTAAATTGAATTTTTTCATTTGAGAATCTAATTATTTATGCTAATTTCAATTTAAAATATTTATCAAAAGGTTCACCAATAGTTATTCATTTATTTTTTGTAATATCAAGACTGCTAGAGATACTTTGTACCTCATACAGCTATTGGCATTATAGAAAATAGCCTCTATGAACGTCAGTGTTTAGCTTTAGAAGGCAGAAGTTGGGTCACCTGAATAACATTATCTGAATAACCAACAATAACTCTGCACATTTATCTGTATACCCCTTTGCCTTCACATTTTCTTTTAACATCTCCAGATGAAGTTCCCTATAATAATTAACAATTTTTTATCTAGTGCTTCTGGGAAATGTTTACCTGTTGTGAAGGGGGTAATGGGATACCTAAAGGACACTCCTGCTGCTCTTTATAAGATGGATGGTGTTTCTGCAACCAGTGGTATGAGACTTTGTTGATTGTCAATAATTAAGGTGATGCCTTGCACCTGTAAGTTTTATACACATAAGCTCTACACAAAAATAATTTGTGTAGATTTTGGATGGTAAGAGGCATTTTTACTGGCTTAAATGGTGAAAAGATGTTTTCTCACTTTGCTTTAGGTCTGATATAAGTATGTTCAACTGATGGAATACATTCAGAAATTACTGCAAAACTTTTGAGACAATCCTAGTCAGGAATCAGCAGGGAATCAATGCAATAAAACCATTGAATTTCATACAGTGCACTTGTACTTTGGCTTTTACTTAGTCAAAAAGTGTATACTTGTGCATGGACTCACTGACAATGACAATATATGTGTTTTTCTTGTTCTATTGGCCATTTCATTTTGTGATGAACTAACCATGTATGATGCAACTATTGAATATTCTAACTATAAGTCTCAATAGTCTCAATTATCAATATTCATGTAATCTCGAATCTAAAATTGTACATTTGTGATTGTATTGTATGTTCATCTTCACATATGTTATATTCAAAAACAGATTATGTACGTCATGCATACATTGACCCTAACATGATGGTAGTGTATGGATGCGAGGATAGTGTCGTTAATGACATGTGTCCAGATGACAGAATCTTCGTGGAGGTCTATCACAGAGAAAAACAACTACCAAAACATGATGAAGAAAAATTTAGGATTCTTCTCAAAGACATTTGTTTCAGCTACAATGCTTTTGAAGTGGTTCATCAAAATGGTATGTGGACTTTTTATTGATATTTTTTTCAGTTTCTGTATTTGATTTTCAACCATGAGTCATAGTAATATTCTGCTGGAACCAGTTTGTCCCTAAGAATGGTGATCCAGGTGCTGATCGTTGCATATTTGTCAATTGTTTCATTTCTCTATCTCTATCCTTCTACTTCTCAGTTGACTGCAGTAAAGATGTTGATACAGTGTCAAAGGGGAATCCTGTACCAACCTGTTCTCTTCAGGATATGCCACTTGCGGAGGACATAACTGTAGATATGGTAGAAAGAGAAATTATAGTATAAAAAAGAGAATTTTTTAAAGATCAAATTACTGTTTGGTAAATTGAGTAATTTTTGATAGATAAATATTTGATTATTCAATTAAACAAGTTACTTTGGTCGGTTGTCTCCATTTTATGAATGGTATTTTTGCCTAACCAAAACTACTAACTCCATCTATTTATTTATCTTAATAGCAAATTCTCTATTGTCATGTACTTAGTCCGTTGGTACCTGGTATAATGTCATGAGACTGAAGGGAGACCACACCTGGACTAATGGGGTGTTAGTTCTACAGAAAGGTTATGGAGAACACCATTTTATATCAACATATTTCTCAACCGAGTAAGTTTTATATTATACTACATTGTTAATCAGGGGACTTTTCTTCAGACACTAAAAATGTTTATGATACTTCAGTAGGAATTAGCAAAGGAGACACATAAATATAAAATATACAATTAGCTGTTCAGTATAGTATAGATGTACATACTAAACATAATGTTTTGTGAGAATCAATACATGAGCCATCTTATTGACAACTTATCTCTAAGAGTAGGGATAATTGTTATGGTGGGTTATAAGTTAAATGATGATTCTGGTAGTTAATTAACTTTAATTATGCGCCAGCCCCTGCCCATTAAAGAAAATTTTGATGGAGATTCTATAATATATGTGGTAGTATATCTTTACCAGCAATAAAGGGTCATGTTTACCAGTGGCTAGAGGGGTGATGGAGTATGAGTCAAATCCAGCAGAAATGAGGAAGTTGCAGGGTGCCAGAGCAACATCAGGTATTGCATTTTGAAATAATACATTGAATTGCTATCAATATTATTGGAGTGACAATATCAGCCGTATAATTCTTATTCAAATATGTTTTGTCTAAGCCAATCAGGTTAGAGTATTCTTGTGCATTAATTCAAGTTATATGGTCAACTGACCTGAAACGTGTTTTTAAAGTGCATTATGGTTTCATAATGAACTGGGTAGTACCATTATTGGTAAAAGATTGACATTATCACAATACATTTTGGTTTCATAAAGAACTGGACAATGCCATATTTCTAATTTTCTATGTACTAAAATTGAATAAAGAAGAATAAAAAAAAAAAAAAAATTCTAGTTACTATTATTTGTATATCATTACCCATTCTAATTGCTTTTTATTTTAGATTTTGTGCGCCACGCCTATGTCGATGATGAGTTATTGGTTGTGTATGGTTGTGAAGATACTGTTGTCAATAATACTTGCCCGAATGACCGACTATTTGTTGAGATCTACCAAAAAGAATCAAATTTGAAAGAAGAAAACAAAGCAAAAGTACAAGAAATCATATCAACTCTATGTTACAAATTTGAAGATTTTGAATTTATAGAGACTAAAGGTGAGTACAGTTATGTTTATGGGTATATTCACACACTAATCATTTAATGATTTGCAAGTATATTTTGAGCATAACTAAATTAGATGTCTTGCTTGACGTTTCTTTTTCACAATGTTTTTATTAATTTGAGAATGAGTAAGTGAAATATAGTGGGCCTGTTTGCAGCATTACATGATATTTTGATGTTATGTTTATTATGATATCTGAAAAAAGTAGACACTGATTCTGGACACCTGCTCACGAGGATAGATATAATGTCACCCACAATTAATAATAAGTTTGATATATATAGTGTTGTATTTTAAGTATGTAGTTCAAACTGATCATCCTATTGTATTGTAGTGTCATGTGATCACTTAAATGATACATACTCTTGGAGTGCTCCACCAACATTTGCCTCAGATGTCTACAAACAAGTAAGGATCAGAAATCATACATGTACTGTACTACCTTTTAGCATTTCAAAGTTATATGATGATATTATTAGAGACCTTCAGGACATCCTGTATACACAGAATGTTGTACCGCAAGATATCGAAAAATGTAGTACTGTTTAACACTTTTTACACTGTCTAACCTTTTTCATATCAATTATGATGTAAACAAACTGTCATCAAATACAAGATGGCCATTTTAAATTTCAGAACATATTTTGATAATATACCAATGTAGCAGATCGATTCTTTTTGTGCAAATGATTTATCTGTGGTTGTTTGTAATTTATGCAAGTTTTAACAGGCAATGGATGACCAGGGTGAGCCAAAAAATGTAACCCAAATAAATACATGTATATGTTCGTAACTCATCATTCATCATGGGTTTAAAATCATATTTGCACAATTAAACCTTGTTCTATGTTCTTTCATTCAACTAAGTTTCATTGGTCTATCACCCATGGTCACAATTTTATAGCCATTTACAAAAAATGCTCAAAATGCCAAAACAGGCCACACCAGACAAGCAACACCCCAGGTTTTTATCTGTGGGGCTAATCACTATCAACCCTTGAAACATTGAAACAAGAGATAAGATAAGGTTAAAGTCATTACACAAGATGTCTGTGCTCGTGTAGTGAAAAACTTTTGCCTGAAACATTCAAGTTTGCCTCCAGACTTCATGCCAGCATTTTATTGCATGTTTTGTAAAATCGGTATAAAATTGTGATCATTAAGTATAGACTAGTGAAACTAAGTAGAATGAAAAACATTGAACAAGATTTGATTTTGCCAAGTATGAATACAAACCTATTCTGAATGACTGAGTTATGAAGAATTGTTTTGGTTACCTTTTTTCGGCTCACCCTGTATTTATGTCCAGTATTCATGCTTTGACTTATGTTTCCTTCCAACAATAGCTGTTAAATGGGAGATGGTACAGTATTGAAAGGTTCAACCATGAGGTGACAACAATGGCATCAGTAGTGACAGACATGAATCTACATGAAGATGGCCTTATAGATATGGCAATCTCAGGGCAGAGGTGAAAGTTACATCAATATCATCAATATTTCTGTATTCATGAATAAGCATTGATTTTATTGCAATGAGAAGTAAATAACATGTCATTTGAGACTAAAGGTGGTGAAAAGTTTATAAAGCTAATTACCAGTTATGTTTCCATTTTATATGTACATACATGTATATTCTCACTTGAAAGTGTTGTTTTTACTGTCTAGGAACGGTGAATGTAGACCAACCTCACACTTTAAAATTCAACTTGAAAAGAATGGGGAAATGAAACCAATGGATTTGGATACGAAGAAACCACTGAAAAGTAAGAATATTATTATGATGACTAATTCTAAATATACACAGTTTGTGTACATGTATTTTATGATTGTTAAGCCTCATAAAACCATGCTTTATTCATTTCAGCATCATGTAAGACTATAGGGGTAACCTCAGATATGAGATCACGTGTGCTTCTATGCTGTAAATTTACAAAATCAGAGGGGGAATGTAAACATATCGCAATGGCAGAGATATTGTCCAGGAATGTGACTATAGATATAGCAGACAAGAACAACCTGTATGATGTTCTACACATCGCTGGTATTGATGTGACTAAGATGCAAACTTATGATAATGACAGTAAGAATTTAAAAATTATTGTTAACATTGAAATTGTTGTTACTGCACCTTTTTTTTGCTAAATTGAATCGTCCTTTTGTACTTGTCCCTTTAGTCTATTTAGTACATTTCATTTGTGGTGGTTTGTTTTTCACTAAAAGTACATGGCGATATTTCAAAAATATGTTTTTGCAGTGTTATGTGAGCCGAGTACAGAGAAACATGTTGTTCATAACAAGTCATGCAAAGTGAATGACATTAGGCACCAACAAGCATTTGATGCATCTAAGGTGAGTGGTATAGCATTGAGGCAATTGCTGTATTTGTATGCCTGAATTATTCCAAAAATGTACTCTGTTTATTGTGTTCATATAGAGATGATAAACACAATATTCAGCTAGTCATTGTTATGAACTACTATTTTACATAAATAATGTTCCTCCATCCTAGCCTCATTTTGAACTAAATTTGCAATGACCTAAGGTAGAAAGCAACTTACTTTTTCACCCATTGGAATACATGTAAAATTGGCAAAGTTCAAATCATAATTTCTCAAATCACAGCCCATCGAATCCTCGCATCTTACTCACTTCGAGAGCCATGTTAGATTTTGAAACTTATGGCTCTCAAACGGGAAAGTGAACAGCTGATCAATAGTGACCTTTGAAATCGAATTAAGTCGATCAGCGGCTTACTTTTGGTCTCTAACTGTGTCTTACATCAGTATCATCAATCCTTGTAAGTATTGGAGCGCTGGAGTACTTCTTTTTCGATCAAGACTTGCAAATTGTTCATCGAGTGAAAGTTTTTTAGACCTATATCCAATATGGCAGTTCGCTAGGAGCGAGATACGCATCAAACGAAATGAATTTTGAGAATTAGTTAGGTTCGGACAACCTCCGGAGATTTACGAAAATGTCCGAGCAGAAACCGCCATATTGGAATTTGGCAGTAAAACGATTCACTCGACTAACAATTACAAGTCTTGATCGAAAAAGAAGTACTCCAGCGCTCCAATACTTACACGGATTGATGATACTGATGTAAGACACAGTTAGAGACCAAAAGTAAGCCGCTGATCGACTTAATTCGATTTCAAAGGTCACGATCATTGAGCTGTCCAAATGCTCCGTGGGAAAGCTATTATATCAAAATCCAAATAGCTTTCGCAGGAAGTAACTCGCATCCATTCAGATCATGTAGTCCTATTCAAAAACTTCCCGTACGGTTATATGGTGAAAAAAATATCCCACGAGCGAAAAAAGATTTTGCTACATTTATAAGAGAGCATTGATTTCTGGGCCTGTAAAAAGCACGTAGGACCTGATTACCCCATTGATTTACTGAGACCGCCAAAAATATAATTCAATTTTTTGGTTCAAAATTATAATCTGTCAGCGGTCCCTGACACTCCTACTAGCTATTACCAAACATTAATTGTCAATACATGTACACATATACGTGCCATACATCTACAAAGTAGCAAACTAGTGTTTTAAGTACTACTTTTCCTATACCATGACCAAAACAAATCCCACGTGGGTTGTATTGACCCTAATCCTTTACAAAACCGAGACCATAGACTATATCCAGATATTCCAAAGGTAACAAGACAGATTATCCATCATTAAAGATGATTGAATTCCCAGTATTTTGGTATTCTGTATAACATTACCACCTTATCTTAATTCCAAAGTAGTATCCTTATTTGTGAGGTACATGTACTGTCAGATTTATGATGTGAATTGCAGTCATAAATAATGAATAAAAGATTATTGGTTACTTCCAGAATGCTGGTGTATGGTATGCCATAGAACGTATTGAAGGATCAGGTGACCAAACCAACTTCTTCACTTTGGTCATTGGTGAAGAAAGACATGGTCATATTACAGCTGAAGCTATACCTCTTATGTAAGATATTCATTGCTGAATTTGTAATTGTTATACATGTACATGATACTATGTAGCTCAATTTTATTCCTTATTGTATGTATCAGTTACTAAGACATTTGATTCGTTTAGTTATATATACATCCTGTACATATATTATTCATGCTGTACTTTATAAATATGATATTGTTATTCGTTTGAAAACCGTTGAGAAGGTTTTGTTTGTAGCTTGTAAATTAAAGTTTATATTTCAAGTTTTAAAGGTCCTATGTATAAGTTATAGAACTGCACTTACAAAATAATAAAAAAGCATTGTCTTATGTTCATGATCATGTCTTTTGAAGCAATGGAGAGTGTGGTCGTGTAGTGATTTTTACTATGGAGAAAGTAGATGATACATATGCAGATACAATTGTCACTCTTGGCAAATTTAAAGGTAATAGTTATATAAATCTCGTATATTTGCCTTTATTGTATCCTTTTCTGGTATGATTCTCCATATCAGGACAATATATTAAAAACACACCAATGACACCCCTTTGTTTAATATTTAAATCAAATAGCAACATTCTTAGTTCTTTTGCCCAATGAAAATGTCCTAAAGAATTGTTTGATGTTTATTGAACAGAACAATTCATCATTAAATGATATATACGCTACCATATATACATATTGTTTTAGACTTTTCAATGGGAAGCCTATATATGGAAAAGCCATAAGCTGTTACACTGGGCATGTTATATTGACATTATAACCAGGTTTTACCTTACATGTGCCATCTGTATTATAAATATTGGTGTTATTCATATGATATAATGGTTTTGTAATATGTGTTTTTGTTACAGTAAGAACAAAGGTTATCTACAACGACTATAAGACTATAGCTGTGTTGTACAGATGTAGTCACATACTGGAGGATGGCACATGTGACCCGAATGCTTTAGATATTGATATCATATCTAGGGATCCTTCTAGAAAATTATATGGCTTCATCAGGGCAGAGCTGCATGACATGCTGAACTCCATATGTATAGACAGTGCTAAACTGGTCAAGAAAATGGATAAAGGTATTGTTGAATATGTTAGCTCAGGTGTTAAAAGAGAACCCAAAGAAAATACAAAACACTGTCGGAAAAAGAAGCATTAAAGAAAACAACTATTCACAAGGAAAACAAACCCCAATATCTGAAACTATCTAACCAACAATGAAAAATGTCTAACACCCCCCCCCCCTCCAAGCATCCATGAATTATTATCACAATATCACATATTTTAGAGTGATGAAATAGGATGTATTCACCAACTTTCACCTCTTAACCATTATACCTTTCAGACATACAATTGTGACATGTAATTGTGTACTTGATATTTTACTACATCTACTCTTTTAATGTTGTTTGTTGTTCTTTTAATCTAAGTTAGTATTATATCACCTGTATATAATCTTCAACATCTTATAGATAGCCATATATCAGGGTCCTTCTTTCTCCATTGCCACAATATACAAAACTGTACATATTGGATAATCAGATATGACATATTTGTTGTAGAGAGCTGCTCACCAGCGACACTAAATAAATGTTATGTCAAAGACATGCCTGTCGAGCAAAACTTAGATTTACAAAAGGTAATATTTCAAACGCAAATTGTGAATTCGTTTTTTTGTTGGTATCTCATTTCGTACTATCATATCAACTTTAAAATAAGTATAAAGGGGTAACCATGGTGCAAATAGTTTACGATAAATGAATCATTATGAAAACAGCTATACAGTATACAATAGGACACACTGTTTGATCAGTGTATATCCAAATACAGTAAAATCTTTGCACAAGGAACACTCTCCAGACTGGCTAAACTGTTCCTTGTAGACAGGTGTTTGTTACTGAGAGGTTCGAACTTGGTGCAACCAATATTGCTGAATAAGCATTTAATTATTAAATGAATTACCGATAAAATAAGTCAAGATGTTTCCAAGAATGGATATTTAAATTTCGTCAACTTCATTTTGTAGCATATATTTGAAATGTACTCGTCTTGTCACACATACATATATGTTATCCCTAAAAAGTCTCTAGATGAGCACATCTAGTAGGATATAATCAAGCTTAATGTCAAAAGATTTGCATTTCTGTCATTGTAATTAATAACAGATTCAATCATTGTTATTAAAGCATTGTGTTAATACTAGTAAGGGTAATTTACAGTGGGTCGGATGCCAAATCCTGTTCACTTATTGGCTTAACCTAATCTCATTCATATTAATCTAAGCTTTTAAGAATCAGATATTGGCTTAAGCTATTCATACTTTTGAAAAACAAGAGGATGTATATACAGTTTAAAAAATGTTCTTGTTTAACACCAGTAGAATCATTGATGACACAAACTAACCAATATTCATAAGTAATATCAGATGAATTAGGTGAATAATATATGAGACACTGATATTATATTATAATCTCTATTTTTGTAATATCTAGCTGTCTGGAATGTGGTACAGAAGGGCATCATTGGATCTCAAGAAGGGATCAATTGGAAATCCTCCTGCTCTTCAATTCTCAGTTGGTTCAAATGGAGAACTTAAAGGAAAATACAGGCTATCATTGTAAGTTACAAGTACTGCAGCTCAAATTGTTTAATCTCTGAAGTGAACATACCTACATTGATTTGATATGATTATTATCATTTAAAGGCACAATCAGCGGTATAGTGGGGGGGCAAATTTCAACATGTGGCAAAAATGTGGAAATCAGCATTTACATGAATGAATAAACGCACGGAGCACACCGCGTCTCGAACTCGCAACCTCGTGGTTGAGTTGAATGCAATCTAAATGGAACATGTCATTCATACTGCAACCTTCACAATATTTAAGTGAAAGAATAAAGTAAAAAAGATTTCTTATACTCTTGGTATCAACATAGCTGTAAATATCATTACTGTACAAGATTGAGCATTCAGTCTCAAATGATGTGGGACAGACAAAATGCAATCTCATGAATCCAGTCATTAAGAGTGGCATTTTAAGGTAAAATTGGTACTTAAGTCTCAATACTGGTTTCAAATGTATAATGATTATATTTTCAGCAAGGGCAGATGCTTACCTCCAAGAAGGTTCACAACAACCCCTGTTGAAAAAGGATCAGGAACATTTGTATTACGGAGTACTGACAGTGAGTGGGTATATATTCATCTATAGGTAACCTAAAATAATATGGTAGCAAAATGGCCACAAATAACAATACAGTGGTATCCATTGTTGTTCAGATATCCATGTGTGTTTTAAAATGAAACTTTACTTTCACATGTACATGTATATAAAATCCTTATAATACCAATTTACAGCAAATTAACAGTTAAAATTGATTTGCTATATTCAGACTGGCATTTGTTTAAAATTATAGGTACACTGAAAGTTATTGAGACGGATTACTCCAATCAGCTTATCCTATATAGATGCACTAAGATCATGTCAGATGGGACATGTAATAAAGATGCCCAACGTTTCAACGTCTTTTCAAGGTCGCTGTCTAAGATGGGACTCTCTCAAGAACTTAACAACACACTGAGAGAGCTCACTAAGAAGCTCTGTTTTGATATCAGTGAAATTTCACCAGTTAAAAATGATGATGGTAAGGAGTATATTCATTGTGATAATAATGACAGCATATCTATGTCATCTAATACAATGCAACATGGGATATATTGTGAAATTCATGAAACATTTAACATTCAAATATGCCTCGTGTGTTAATTTCAAGATATATTTTCAACTAAGCAGAAACATTATTTACAATGGATTATGGTTTCATTTTTTTCTCTGCCCTCGTGTATTATTATTGCACGTACACATACTTTAAATTTCTTTATTCCTTAATTAAATCTTGACAATTAAAATGATACTGAGAAAATGAAAAGGGCAATCATACAAGAAAATAATGTTGCAGTTGACATCATTTTGTGCATATTTTATTTTATTAAGTTTACTGTGAAATACCGATAGAGAATGAGGCATGCAAACTGAAGAACTTTCCCCTCCTATCTAAGAAAGAGATTGATACAGAAGCCCATCTCGTAAGTACATTCATACTTATCGCTATTCGATTTATTCGAAGAGTTCCTCCATACCAACATACATTTCATGGAAATGCTCCAATTTTTGAATATTTTAACATATATCATTCCTTGTCATATCTTTTTTAAAAATCCCCAAAGTATATAATTTATTTTAGCCAGGAAAACTGAAGGATTTTACATTGATGAATTTATGTGTCTATAAATGTGATAAGTAAAACTAAGCTCTTGTTTTTTACCTAGTTGTTTGGCCACTGGTACATAGTGGAGACCTTGTCCAGGGGATCATCTTGGGACAACCTGCAACAATATATTGCACTGGACTGGGGGGATATTGTCACTTATACATCTGGCTCAAGGTCAGTAGGTCACAACCTTTTCCGGAAAATACACAAACACTAGCTTGATGTCCATTTTCCATAACCATTTTACTAAGTTTAATAATGTTTGCAGATTTTAGGTGTACCAGAATGTTCTCATAATTGTTACACTTATATGTTTATCTCAGATTAAATCATAGCTTTGTAGAAGAAAGAGGTAATGGTCCCTGACCCTGACCTTTTATCAAATTAAATATCTATTAATGGTAATTTCATTGTGTTAATTTACAGTAAAGATTAGTAGTCTACAATGTGATGTTTTTCATTTGCAGAAATGGGCGATGTCTTCCTACATTTACGATCAGGTACACAGTTGATGAAAATAACCCTGGCATTCTAAAAAGCAAGAGCAGCTCAGCTAGAGGTCAGTTAGATGGGGATTCTGAAGAAAATGATAATGTTCATGCCCGTAGCCAGGGGGGGTTCGCAGGGTTCGGGCGAACCCCCCCTGGCCAAAAATTCTTTCAAAATCATGCAGTTTTTGACCATTTTGAGCACTTCTCAAGTGATTTTAGCCTAATTTGGGCCAAAATTGTCAAATGTGAACCCCCCCTGGAATTTTTTGAAAATTGAACCCCCCCTTGGCAAATCCTGGCTACGGGCCTGAATTGTTCACCTTGAAACTACAAATAATAGATTCAATTCAAAACCCAACATATTTTCTTATCATATTCTGTAAATTATTTTTATATTTATATTTTATTGTAACTAAGGTGGAATTGTGGCTTACAGTGTGATGGAATGTACATGTAAGCTATACTGTAGCTCTCTAGTGTGATAAGATGGCAACTTTGAGATGTTTCTAAAATGTACATTAGGTTCTTCCTCATTACAGTTGAAGGTAGATTTGTGGCATGGTCAGGTGACAGACAACATATGATGGTACATGGGTGCTTAGCAGGGGGGCAAAAAGAGGATGGGACTTGTGATGAGAGATATACTTTTGTAGACATCTCATCAAAAACAAAAGTTCTTCCACCTAAGATACAGCAAGAATTTTATGGAATCCTTCAGAAAATGTGTATAGATCCTGCATTCATGATTAAGATAAATCATACATGTGAGTAGAAGTAAATCATGATAAAATGGCATTTGCTTCAGTTTTGATGAAAATGGGATCAGTAGAACACTCAACCTGTGACGAACAGAAGACTTGTTATGTAAGCTTAGACATCAAGGGGAAAATATACTAAAATGTACTAAAGATATTTATGTCAGACACGTGTAAAATACATCTAAAATGTGTGGAAACGAATATCCAACATTCTGACAAATGATCCAGTGAGCAAATAAAAATTGTCAAATGACGCTCCCCTTTGCACCACGGTCAATAAGATCAACAAATATGTTAAGCATAAATTGCTATATTTTAGTAAAGTGTAATTTAACATATATGGATGGAAAAGCTGTTGAGGACATCCCTGGTGTTGTTGCAAGCATCGAAACACAACCTCTATTTGATATAGAAAAGGTAAGTTCTTGGATTTGTGTTGTAGTAAGCAAGTTCTGACTAGTATGAATATTGCAATGAAATGCTGTTGAAACTTGTTTTTGGAGCCAATTAAATGGGAGGTACTTGTTATGAATAATTAGTTTTTAATCCAAAGTTTGATATATATAATTTTACAGTTTTTAGGAACATGGCATGTGAACTCATATATTTCAAAGAAAATGGATGTTCCATATGAATGCTTTACTGTAAGCAGCCACACCTCCAGCAACAATGGTGATGTACAATATCATATGTAAGTATAACTCACAGTTGAACTTCTCTTTTCACTACTTTTAATGTGATATCCTCCATAAATGGACAACATTTTCATTTGGACTCCTCTTTAAAACTAAGCATATGAACTCTTCTTTTAAATGTGAGCAACTACTTACAGGGTGTCCAAAAAAAAACAGGACCGTAAGAAAGTTGAATAACTTGGTCAATTTTGCATATTTTGCCTTGAAATTTTAGAATTATTTAGTTCATTCAATGTGAATTTTGTTCTGAAAGTTTGATGATAATCTGTTTATTGTGTCAAAAACTACAGCCCTTTTCAAAACATGCTCAAAGTGGGCACTTCTCTTCTCTATGCACAAACGAATCCTGCGAACAAAGTTGTTAATGACTCTGACCTATACACATTAATGTGGATGGTAAATATTGGGGTAGTTATTGCCCTCTTAAGATGGTTAGGGGTCTGTCAGTATACACCCTGGCTTTGAGAAATCCTCAAAGATAAAAATTTGGGGGATTTAGATCTGGCGAATGAGCTGCCCATATGGTTTGCGTTCTGCAACTGATGAGCTGACCACCAAAGCATTGCCTAAACCATTTCAGCATATCATTTGCAGTGCTGGGTTGGTATTGGCTTGTTGAAACCACTGCTTAATTATCTCCTTAGATGTCCCTTCTGGTGCTTTGTGACCTCCAAAACTTGGTGAGAACTTACTGGTCCTTGTTCATGGTGATAGCACGTCCCCAGTCACCTTCGAACCAAAGGGATTGATGATTCCACGTTTCCTCATTGCCACCCAGGCAGTGCATTGTTCAGAATGCAATGGATGCTGTAACACTTCATCAGGAGGATGTAAGCCCCAGTAGCAATTGTTCTTGGAACAAACTTGTCCATTCAGAAAGAAATGTGTGTAGGAATCATCAACAACTTTATTCGCCGGATTGAATTGTGCATAGAGATGAGAGGTGCACATTTGGAGCATGTTTTGTAAGGAGCTGTAGTTTTTGACTCAATTGGTAGATTATTATCAAACTTTCACAACAAAATTCACAATGAATGAACTAAATAATTCTGAAATTTCAAGGCAAAATATGCAAAATTGACGGAGTTATTCAACTTTCTTACGGTCCTGTTTTTTTTTGGACACCCTGTATATAGTTCTACTACTTATTTTACGTTATTTTGCCATATACTAATGATACATATAGTCCTTTAGTACATGTAAGGCATGAAATACATGAAATCTTTTATGATGTACCATGTTTCCTCAGTTAGAATTGGCTTGGAATAAAGTCTGAACTCTGTCATTCTTCTGAAAAATAAAGAGCATGTGACTTACAGAAATGGTTTGCTTGTTGTATGTGAACATGTATTTTATATTGCATCTCCAGGACAACTACATTAAGTTGTTCCCAAATAGGAGAGACATATACTTATGAGGGGGACTCAACATTTCAGCACTCTATAGGTGGGACACAGAAAGGTTTGTTATGTAATACACAAATTGTTTTCATACTGTTACTAGTAAAGTAGTTCATGTGCCTTGTAGATATTGCTTGCTATGATATATAATCTTATTACATTTAGATTTTAGATATTATTTTTCTAAATTCTCTTCTATGTTGGGTTTGAATTTTTTTGTTTAAATGATTTATGTACTTGAATATTTGTTCTTTATATTCTTGTTGTTTATTGACTAGATACAAAACATAGTTTAAAACCCAACTACATTAGCTTGTATATTTTTGTACTATAGTGCTGAAGGTGATTGAGACAGATTACAATACAGCCAGTATCTATGCATGTAGTTCACTGCTGTTGGATGGGGAATGTGAAAAGGGTTCTTCAGCTATGCTTTTTGCAACAAGAAATTCAACATCAGGTTTCCCTAATAATGCATCTGTATATGGCGATTTAGTACATGACATCTTGGTGAACTTCATTGGGAGATCACATATCATTAGAAATGAAATCACAGGTATGTACTCATATTATCAAGGTTGAGTACAATAAAGATTAGTTCCTCAGAGGTATTAAATAAGGGATTTATACCAATGCCAAAAAGATGGGATACATATTATATTGACCTATTCCAGACTAAGTTGTATCACTATTAACTATAAAGATTATCTAAAATACCATAGCTAGAACTACATAATTATAATTTTCATGAAACTTTATAGATAGGATGTGGTATGATGATCAAACACACTTTCAAATAATAAGAATCATAGTGATAATGAAAAAATATGTGATAACCAATTCAGCATAACATTTGTCACATTCACACCATTGCTATGCAGATGACTGTGGACCTACACAAGAAACAGATGTTGGTCATACATGTAAATACAAAGATTCACCAGCTCAAGCCATAGTACACATGGAAAAGGTAGCTTTAAAATGATATATACACTACTAATATTATAGCAAGACAGTCTCAGGCACAACATATGTATAACAGTTTTATAGCCTCTGATAATACATGCGCAGTAATAGACTTTAAAATTGTTTAATTTTTATTAAACATATTAATTCTACACATAAAGAATTATCTGCCCACCCATGGTTTATTGACTTTTCCTAAGATTAAAAACATCTCAGTATTGGTATTCAATATTTTTGTTTTAGTTTGCTGGCATTTGGTATGGGGTTGCTGTATCAAAGAAGGAAGAATTCATGGTTACAGAAGTTCAGGTTATATCTGATGATGTCATATCCATGGTGTTCTATGCCAACCTGTAAGTTATGAAACCATGCCATTTTTGCCACAAAGTGGTGATATATTATTGGCATGCTTTTTGTGATTGCTATTGGGGGCTGGCTTTCATTTTCAGCCTGTCAGAAACAAATCGTCAAACTTCTGTAATTTCTACAGCATTTTGTCAATTTAGGTCCATGTTTATATTATAATCAAAACCAGAATGGTTTAAAGTTTACACTGGCCCATAAATAATAAATTACTTATCACAAAATTATATTTTTTGTCATTTAGAAACATATATTAACTTAAAGCATACAGTTATAGTCATACTGCTTTTCAAAGTGATTCACATCATCAAAAATGTCAGTATTATATGTACAATGTAGTGTACCTAAAATGCTCTTGTACTTTATGAACTTTAATGTACTTTACAGGAAAGGTGAATGTATTGCTCCAATGACAGTGCTGTTCAAAAGAAGGAATGACAGTTTCATTGGTGTAATTAGTGTTGGATTTGAAGGTACATGTAGACGAACACTACTATTGAAATACTTTGTCAATGTTCCATTTTGAAAAATATGGGAATCCTCTTATGGAATCAAATACATGTATGGAGGAACACCATTCTCTATTCTGTTTATTGACATTTTTTGAAACCTGGCTCAGAAATAATCATTTTTAAAATAGATTAAATATTACATCATTTATTCCACCTGTACATGATAAAGGATAAACCATCATTTTATTTGTAGTCACACTCAAGATAGTATATGCCGATGAGGACTTTGCTGTTATATACAGTTGCCTGTCAAAGGGCAAAGATATTCCATGCTCTGACAGTGAGAGTGGATCATCTCCTATTATTTATGTTAACAGCAGATCTAAAGATACAGAGTTAGAAGAAGTTGTGAAAAGATTACAGGAAAATAATCTCAATACAACATGTATAACAATGCAGAATCTCAAAACTACTCCGAAAGCAGGTATCTATACATAAGGGTTCGTGGTTATGTACTGGGAGGTTTTGGATATAGGGTTAATCCAGAGGGAAATATACATGTAGCCTTTTGCAGATCATTGACATATACATGTGTATTCCATACCTGATGAGGTTTCAGGGACATATCAACCGGGAATACATTCCATATCCGGGCTAATATTTTTCGTATGTCCCGGTCCCACTCAAAAAAGTTTTTAAAATAAATTCGGGAAAAAAAATTTGAAAAATAAAAATTTGTCAAAAATTGTGGAAAAAATTATGTAGAAAAATGTTGATTTTGAAAAAAAATTCTGAAAAAAAAATTATGGAAAAAATGTAAAAAAAAATTTGAAAAAAATGTGGAAAAAATTTTGGAATTATTTATTATTTTTGAATAAATTGAAAACAAATTAATTTTTTTTGAAAATGATAAAACACCAGAGCATATGGGATACATGCTTATTATTTCAAACCTCATCAGGTATGGAATACAACAGTTATGCACGGTCGGTTTGGATACAGGAAATATCCCTTGGGATATACAATATATCTTCCCTTGGTCCCTTCGGTCCCTCGGGAAGATATATTGTATATCCCTCGGGATATTCCCTGTATCCAAAACCTCCCAGTGCATAACCCCTATGTATTACATATCTAGCGAAGCACTTACAGTATGGAAGTCAATCACAAGACAAAATCGTATGGAATAAATGGCAATAAGATGGTTATTAAGCTTGTTATTATGGTCTTACTACTGGTTATTATTGAGTAATGGTACAGGTATCCGATATGGTATTGCAGCTTACACTTAAGTAATGGTACACGTATCCTTGGATTTTAGGCCCGAATACCGAGGTTTATTTTTTTGATTATCGTGTATTATTATTTTGTGTTAATATTAGTTAACCATCTAACTATTGGCTACCCTTTGCATTCGTTTGACTTCACTTCTTAAAATAGAGCTTCGTCTTCGTCTTGTAGTTTAACTACATGTAGACTCTGCACGCAGGGTAACTATTGGCATGATATTGATAACCTTGTTATATTAATATAGCGCATAGGCGTAGCCAGGGGGATGCGATGGGATGCGGTCGCACCCCCCCCTCCATAACCAATGAAAATAGAACCATTAGATAGAAGAGAAAAGTCTTAAAATGCTTTTTTTGAAGCTTCTAGCTCGATTTTGAACGAAGTTGCACCAATTTTTGTAAAATTCAAAACAAATCTTCAAAAACATTTTTAATGCCACGATCGCACCCCTCCCCCCCCCCGACTGTAAGCTGGCTACGCCACTGTAACGTGTAATCAAAACGTTACATTTTGTATGTTCAATTTGTATACTAAAAACTGTTATTAATCAACAGATTTAGATGAAGACAAGATAAAAATCCGAATCAAGAATGAAAAGGTGTCTAAGGATATAAATCTTAAGGGTAATGCATATTTGAATTAAACAGAGGCGGGTTAATTTATATTGTACTATGAATTACGCTATTATTCAAAATTGCAGCTAAGATGCCTGTTTTATGATACCCTGCGTGCAGAGTCTAGTTAAACTACGTATACACTAAGACGAAGCTCTCTTTTAAGAAGTGAAGTCAAACGAATGCAAAGGGTAGTTTTATGAAAAATATCACGAACGATGTATTCTAGATATCAGTAGTATTCTCAGAAATTTATTATCCGAAACGGATAACATCTTGCCACTCAGACAAACAATCGCAGACATAGGCTAAGCTTGTTTATTTAACAGTTAGATTTGTTGACTTACCGATCCGTATTTCAATCTCCGGGAAGACGTTCTTTTCACTTTGTATTTGCGTGCAGTGTAATATAAGTTGATACTTTTGTTCAAAAATGTACTTTTAATGGCCATTTTATGCCTTTTATTTTCAAATTATGTTTTGATGTAAGTGTGAAAAGTCAAGAAACGTCAACCCCGACTTTTAATTAAAAAATGTTGGTTAATCACTTATGGCAAATCACAAGGTTGATGATGTCAACGGACCATGATCGTGGAAGGCTATCAATATCAGGTGTATATCGGATAGAAAATAAATATAGCTAATTTTTCGCACTGATATGATGATGACTATTCTGGCGAATCGGGTAGATATTTCTCAGTTTTTTTCCGATAATAAAACTATTCATTTCTATCAATTTAACAAACAGGGTCCTTTGAATGCACATTAAAACTATAAAAGTATTTATTGGGCGTACATACTCGTTCTGTCATGTTACTTTCATTTCATTTGCAAGTTGTCCACATATTAATCCAGCGTTTTGTTTAATCAAATTTCCCGCCCCTTGAGGTTTCCGACTGTAAAACTTAATATTTAATACGAACCAATGCATCAGTTAATATTTTCAGAATACAAATTTTCCATTTTTATTTCTCTGATAGATAAAGTCTAATTTTGAATCTGTTCGTGTATTAAAGAGTATGCTTTTATAATGCCGTGGTCACATTTGCTCAGATTTTCAGCACCGGCGCCCGGCCGATGAGTATTTTGTTCAAAATTGTATTCAATTCTGAACAAGATACTCAATCGGCCGGGCGCCGTAATGAAAATCGGAGCAAATGTTATCAAGTCATAACTGATGAAAAATCAAATGAGAACATGAACATGGATAATAGGGGCTCTATTACGCTGCGTGCAGAGTCTAATTATAAACTACGAGAAGACGAAACTCTCATTTAAGAAGTGAAGTCGAACAAATGCAAAGGGTAGGGTACTATAGAAGGGGATCATATAAAAGCACGATCTATTTTACAACGCCTTTAAGTTTTGTTGCCCTTTGTGCATTTCAAAAATAAAATATCTTAATCTGATTTGTTCCACCTTTCTTTTCGCTCAGTTCTGCAATATTATGTCCATATGTTGTTTAAGATTATGTCATTTGCGAAATAGCTGTAAGACATTATGAGAATGAATATGGGAGATTCCACGATAATGTTGTTCACATGATTTTATGCACATACCTGCACAACAATCGCAGACAGAAGTCTTAATATTGTCCAATAAAAAATAAGAATCTAACATTTAATGATAACAAAAGGATTAATTGCTTAGTTCTCTTTGTTTTAGTCTTTGTTTTCTTAAATGCAGAAGTGTACCAACATCACCTAGATTACATAAGAGATCATCTAACAGTCTAAAATTGCTTTTAATTGCAAGTTAATGCATTCCGACCAAAATTTGTATACCTGTAATTTGGGGGGGGGGCGATGTTACATCACATAACTACAACGTTCATATAGAAATATACAATAAGCATGTCCGTATAAAAGCTAAAATTATAAAAACTCATTTCAAAGTCATTCTGTTCATGGAAGCGTCAAGTTATGAAAAACAATGCTAAACACTCAAACAAATCGACTTGATTACCTTTGAAAACTTCTTGAGAGGAAATGGACAAATGTATTTTTCTAACTCATTAGAGCGTCTGTCTGATTGAAATACTATTTTTTAAATACAAACATAAATGATTTAACCTTGGTCAGAAGTCTGAACATTGTCCAACAAAATAATAAGAATCTAACATTTAATGATTACAAAAGGATTAATTGCTATATAGTCTTTGTCTTAGTCTTTGTTTTTCTAACGGCGGAAGTGTACCAACATCACCTTGATTACAGAAGAGATCATCTAACAGTCTAAAATTGCTTTTAATTCCCGGGTTTTAATTACATTTTATGTATAGACTTTTTGCCTCTATTCTCATTTTTAAACCTGTTTCTGTTTGCTTATTTAACAATTGTGATAAATTATTCAGTTAGTGTCGAAATCAAAACAATTTTCTACTTTATAGTCCCCTCCTCTTGCACTGACTAAATATTAAAATAAGTCAGTCTGATTGCGAATTTACAAATCCTGTAAAAGTAGCTCCAAACCGCCTTTTAATCAGAGAAAACAATAAGTTAATTCATCTGATTGCGAAAATACGAATCAATCTGATTATCTGATCCCCATGCTATTTGATTCGAGCATTATCTACAAGTCAGTCGGGCAAGGGTGAAATTATTTCATTTGAAAACAGAAATAAATATCAGAACCCCTCTAGCATAACTATTCGGAAGAAATTCGTAAAAAAATAAGGTACACAACTGATGAAGGGTCGCACACAATGCACGCACCCCTGTCCTCATCCTCGGTGTTTGCCCACACACGACCACATTTGACAATTTTTCTAAAAGCATTTTCCCTGGGAATATAGGTGTAGCGGTTGCCAGAAGTCGCACAGCTTGGGAGTCAGGGTATCCTGATCAATGCCTCAACGCCTGACGGGTCTGATATTTAGAGGGGGCGCAAGAATAATTAGGGGGCGGGGTAAACGTGAAAGTTGCATATATATCCATAGGCGTAGCCAGGAGGGGGGGGGGAGTGCGATGGGTGCGATAACAATAGGCTTTATATATGCTTTAATGTTTTATTTAGCATGATAATTTTATGTAGGCTATTAATTACAGTTCTTTTTGCAATATAAAACTGGTATGTTTATGCAAATTCCGATTGGACTAATATAAAGGGATATTGTTTCATTATGTGGACTTGAGAAAGTCCGACATACTCATTGCTTTCAACCCAAAACTTAAAATAGGAAGTTATCAAGATTCCAAGAACACGATCGCTACTTAAACAATACGTTTGTAAAATCCCGGCGATCGAAATGCAATCAAACTTTCGCAATCAGGTGCCTAATTAGTCTTTTGATCTCTAAAGTTTTACGACTGAACGTTTCAATGAACTCGTGAGAAGCAAACGCAATCATCATATAAACATTTTTGAAAAGTCAGTCTCGGAAGAATTTTCCAAGCATTCCCTGCTTCGATGCGTTTTTATTTCAAGGGCCGTTTAGCGCCGATAATATAATTCATTATAGGGCATTAGCAGGGTTGTGCTTTATTTGTTTTATTTATATAATGTTATAAATGTGTACGACACTTTAATGAATTATTTTTAGGGTTACAATGCATATTTGACTTTTCCCTCTAAACGTTTAAAATTCATCTTTATACTTTTCTTAGTTTGCTTCAATAAAATTTAACATTGGATCCCAGACAGTTATCAAATTCTCAGACATTTGATTAATATAGATATTTGTACTTCCGTTGACCAGTGGTGCTGGTGTGACTGAGATTCGAATCTAATATGTTTCATTTTTATGTAAATTGAGAGGAATAAAATTTTATTTTAAGCGTTTTAACAATCTTAACGTTTGGCGTGCAGCTCAACTTAATACACAATCAAAGGTCAGAATACAGAAATAAGAACATGCTTTTTATTTGTTATTCAAGCTCCAGCAATATCCCCGTTATAAAACCAAAATAACTGCGGTTAGGTACCATATCTTGATTACAGTTAAGACAGGCCATCTCATTTTGGTATGCCAGAGCCACTCTTATCTGCCGATTGTGGAAAGATAAAGACAAAGGGGTTGCGGCTATCGCGATGAGGCCATCTTATTTCTAGGAATTATTTCTGCCTCTCATTCCTTAAACCGGCTTTGTTAAACAGTGCCAAAATATATAAGTCGGAGCCAAAAACAAGACTATTTTTATATTTAAATCCCCTCACCTTGTCAATGTCTATGCTAAGCCTCAGGCCTGTCAACTTGGGAACACCTAACATGAGTGACTTGGAAATGTTGAACACCTCCCCTCTAAATGTGGACACCTTGGTCCAAATCTGAACACCTTGATCCAAATTTTGAACACCTTGGTTTAAATTTTATTACATCTTGTGAAATTTTGAACACCTCAAATTTTTCGCGATCGCTACGCTCGCGTTTCAAACATCCATCAACGGGGGGGGGGGGGTAGGTACGAACATTTTCGGGACGGAATGCGTGACATATTAGTGATTCGCGTGAAAAGTCCGAACGAAATGCGTACGTTTTTTTTCGGCGTTCGTATTTTTGCTGTGTAGACGAACTTTTTTAGACATTTTTCTACAGTAATTTTTTTGCTTGACAATTACCAGGTAAAATGCGTATTTGCGTGACATTTTCTGTCACGCAAAAATAACTGGCGTGACTTCAAATTCTTCAGCAAATGCGTGACAAATACGCAAATTGCAGGACAGTTGACAGGCCTGATGCCTGAATCTGGTTTTCCCACCTTTGGGAGGGAGCCAATATACACATAGATTACTTACTGGCCATGGACGGGGGGGGGGGGCACAGAAACGAATATTCTGGGGTCATAAGGGATACTTGGGGAAGAGGGAGGGGTGGTGGTGAATAGTGAAGTCCGGGAGTGAAGTTAAGGGGTACTGAAATCTTTCTTTTGATATTTAGTGCTTCAATGGAGACTTGTTTCCACTCCCCGCATTCTAGTAGAATTTAAATATTTGATCCAAAGGAGTTATTTTAAATCAAACTTGCATTCCGATTAATTAACACTCCAATGATTGTACCGCTTCACTATTGTCTAAGATAATTATAATGAATTCACGGGACACTATAGTATATAGTATATTTAAACTTTAGTGGTTGGATGGAGACTTGTTTCCCCACCCGATACACTAGTAAATTTGTAAATTTTAAATATTTGATTTAGGGAGGTATTTGCAATCCAACTCTGATGATGCAAGACTAGTCAACCAAGACTAAATTATGAACTTATTATCATTTAGACTATTGAGTTCATTAAATTATAATTCCATAGATATCATATTTAATCCTGTCAACACAATAATGGTATTAATTGGCATGATATGTAGTCAGAGACGGTTTAAAAAGTTGTTTAGATTAATGATAGTATTAGGAAAAATCCTAACTCAAAGTTTTTGTTCTCTCGCAATCCAGAGCAAACCACTCGCCGGGCAAGCATTCTTTAAAAACGTGAAGTTTTCACCATGTTGAACAGTTTTGAAAATTGTCCAATTTGAACCATCGCCTTGTATATTTCTGTAACTGCCCCCCCCCTTGACACTCGAGTGTAAGAATCCTTTCCACACTGTCAATGGTTTTACAAAATAGTTCATGTCAGGAAGGGGGAGGGGTGAGTGTAGAGAACAATCACTGACTGCGATTTGTATGATTGAACATTATACACTTATCATAAATTCGTAAAGAATAGTTTTAAAATAAACAGCTTGTTTTATTTTATGATTGGAGTGATGTATGCATAGAAGAATGACACTGGTTTTGAAATATCTTAATTATCCCATTGAATGAAGCCATCCGTCCCTCTGTCCATTTTTAACTCAAACTGGTGGACTGATTTGATTTAAAGGAGAAGTCTCGGTGTAGAACGTGTACACACTAATGGGAACGAATTTTACTCATTTATATTTAGGATTCGTTCATATACTAGCGGGGCTTTAGAGCATTTACAAACGCACGAATTGTATTGTTTTAAGGCAACTTTTATGACATATAATGTATTTAAAGCTGATTAATTTTAGATTATATTCGGTTCAATTTTACAAATAATGAATAGTATTACAGTATATCGAAAAATATACAATGATTTACATTAAATTGCGCAGACTGCAAGCAATGTACATGGTTGGCGAATTTGCATGCGCGTTCTTGATAATAAGAATTAAAGGTTGAACTTAAAAACCAAACATTTTCTTTTTTAAACATAATAAATCTTTAAATCAAGAAAATAAAAATAAGATTGATGATTGAACTTTTCATAGTCAACTGCGACTGTGTCGACGCATGTTTATTTACTTAGCTAATTAGATATGTAAAATTGTTAATGGCCGCAACGGATAATACGTACATGTAAGCTGTTCGGATAAGACATTTCTATATGATTAATAACAAATGTTATTCAGCAGAATGTTATTCAGCAGTAACAGATCTTATTAGTTATTATTCAATTTGGATAATAAATCTATTATCTCGTCGTATTGATGTTTATTATATAGTGTTTCTCGTTGTGAATGGAACTGAAGGTCGGCTATATATTCCTGTATAGCCGCCAAACTTTTTTACCATGACAATCTTTTGACGTCATGTTTCATTTCTTCCAAATTTCACTTGCAAACAGACGTGTGACATCATTGATATATAACGTAGGCATGGAAATAAAGGTAACACAACAAGTGTCTCTATTGATGACAGACCTCAGGCATATATTCAATAATAGGGACATAACTGCTAAGTGCATATCTCATGAGGGACATATCCCATGTCTAAGTACATTTTGAAGTTTCAAAATTGTAAAAAACTCAGAAGAATACTTCCATATTCATAACAATAATACAATTTGCATTTATAATACCTTCGCTTTAATAATAACGGGCACAGTACTACCTCAGTCAAATAATATAATAAGAAATTTAATTATGAAATAATTTTGATCATTGATATGTGACTGGCCATCTCTCCTAGATAACTGTCTTCAAGATGCCGAACCTTGTAAAGTGAACTTCAATGCTGCAACGAGGATAAGCAAATTTATGGGAAGGCAATACCCTATTCAGGTAATCAGATCAATCAAATGAAAAATTTCATTATTCACTATTTATCTTAGGTCCTTTTTATGTCCCCACCACATAGTGTGGGGCCATATTGTCGGCCTAGGCGCGTCCGTCTGTCCGTCCGTACGTCCGTACGTCCGTCCGTCCGTCTGTCCGTACGTCCGGGAATTTTCTCCAAAACCGCTACAGATATCACCTTCAAATTTTCAGGGATAACTTATGAGTGCATACAGATGTGGATGAAAAAATTTTAACTCAATACCTACTTCCTGTCGGCCATTTTGAAGTCAAATGCTAAAATCCTTGTCTGCAAACTTTAAGAAAAACGGCTTCACAGTTGCTTTTAAAACTTTAACATCTTGTTCAGCTTACTTCATTCTAGATCTGATTAGGTTTAAGACCTGTTAGCTCAGTCATGTCAGCCATTTTGAATGTCTTAAGAAAAGTTAGCGCACGATAATACTTTGTATCATATTGAATGGTGTTTTTGAGTTTTCATACTTTAACTATTTAGTAGCTTTATAAATAATTTCAGATCTACTTTGTTGTAAAAGCCTATGTTATTGTTAACAGTAGTAATATGTGATAATTTTGTAAGAAGAAATCAGCAAAAACACATAATCACTTTTTTATTGTCGGCCATTTTGGAATTTTTCCATCCTTAAATCTTGTCTGTGAAGTCTTGTCTACGTGTTTTCAGGTGAACTGTTTGGTGGATCAATTTCAAATTTTCAGTGATGATTCCTAGTATAAAAATCTAGATCTGATTAGTTTTTTGGCATTCTGGATAAATGTCAAGGCAGCCATTTTGGATTTTCCGTCCTAAAATCTTGTCTGTAAAGTCTTGTCTATGCATTTCCAGGTGAACCGTTCTGTAGATCAATTTCAAATTTTTAGGGATGATTCTTAGTATGAAAATCTAGATCTGATTAGTTTTTTGGCATTCTGGATAAATGTCAAGGCTGCCATTTTGGATTTTCCGTCTTAAAATCTTGCCTGTAAAGTCTTGTCTACGCGTTTTTAGGTGAACCGTTTGGTAGATCAATTTCAAATTTTCAGGGATAATTCTTAGTGTGAAAATCTACATCTGATTAGTTTTTTGGCATTCTGTGTAAATGTCATAGCAGCCATTTTGGATTTTCTGTCCTAAAATCTTGTCTGTAAAGTCTTGTCTACGCGTTTTCAGGTGAACCATTTGTTAGATCAATGTCATATTTTCAGGGATGATTCTTAGTATGAAAATCTAGGAACAGATTAGTTTTTTGACATTCTGGGTAAATGTCAAGGCAGCCATTTTGGATTTTCCATCCTAAAATCTTGTCTGTAAAGTCTTGTTTACATGTTTTCTAGTTAACTGTGTGACGGATCAATTAAAATTGTGTTGGTAAAGTCTTGTCTACTCATTTTCAGGATAACCATTTCATGGGATCACCCATTGGTGGGGACATTTTGTACACATTTGTGTTCTTGTTTTGTTTATATTATATAGTATGATAACATCAAGTATATTTCCTAGGATATTGACATTCCCACCAAATACTAAATATAGTATTGACTGAATCTGTGATGTTAATGCTACCTTTGTTATGGTCTCTGGTGTTTGGTGACTGTAACAAATGGCATGTGATGACATTCTCCAAGGTAATGCCTTGTTTTCTTTTACAATAGGCACTGAGTGGAGTACATTACATCAACCATGGGATAGTTGAAGAAGATCCTTTTAAGATGAAAGTTACCATTGATGAAAATAAAGCATTCATAGATCTTGCAAAACATTCAAGGTAAATGTATGTTTTACTGTTAATTGATATCACCATAGCCCATGATATCACGTTATAGTCTCATCTTGACATATAAATTGGCATAGAATTTTGGTACAATATTGATCGCAGTATAGATGTTTTTGTGTTTTGTGTTTGAATTCTAAATGCAGCTACTTTTCTCAAAGTTGTTTGTTATGTTTTCAGTGAATGCACACAGTCACCAAGAATAAGAGGCTATTATATCCCAAAGCGCAATAGTATTTTTTATCCTGATTATGACAGTAAGTTTTCTTGGAACTAATAACTCTACAATTACTATTTGATCTGATGTCCTAATGAGTATATACAATGAATCCAAAGTATACCGACTTAATCAAATTGTATTTTAAATTTCAAATTTCAAATTTTGTGCTTTATGTGACCTTGACTTCATGGTCTATACATATACATACATGATATGCATTTCATTCCTTATTAGTCTTGACAACATATATCCCATATGAAGATTGGCTGACCACAGATAGCTCTCCCCCAGGACTAATTCACGTATCTTGCTGGGGGGTTGAGGATCCAGACTCTGACTATGAATGCAAAGATGTATTTGTGACTTGGAGTTCCCGCCAGCCAATCATGATGGAAGAAACTGAAGTATTATTGGATAAAATATCATCTGTTTTCTGTTATGATACTTCAAAAATCAACAAAAAGGATTTAGAATGTAAGTCAGTTTGGGATATTAATGAATGAAATGGCAATATACAGTCATAAGGATATATAAGTGTCCATCCTCCTAAGCAGGTGTTCAGAATCCGTACCTCCTTCAAGAAAGAAGGTATTCTGGATTGATTTTGGAGCCCCGTGTGTACGGAGGATGATAAGTGTCAGACTATAGGAAAATAAAACGACAATTAGAAAGAGAGAACAATTAACCATAAGAACTCCTCAAGCTAAATGTTTTGTTATTGGTTATACAAGTCCCTCAAAAATAATATGTTGACATTCTTATTACTGTTGCAGCTGTGGAAAAGTGTGAATTTGCTGACTTCAACGCAGAAGATATTAAGACATGTGAAGTTTCCAAGATACAAACTCAAAATCATTTAGACATGCAAAAAGTAGGTTTTTCATTTTCATGCTTATTTTTACAAATTAAGCATTTGTGCCAGGGAAGCATTTTTAAACATTTTTAAAATAGAATACCTAAATAACTTTTTTTGTTTCCAATTATGAAATCATAATTTCCATAGTTACAACAGTGGATCTATATATTTTATTGGTACAGATGTTGAGATTTGTTTTATCATTTTGTAAACATATCTGAGCTATTTTATTCAATTTCTTGAATATTGAGTTTTCTTTTTGACTATTCTACTCAGATTACTAGTATTTTATAACATTGGTCTTTTTGTCTAGATGCTAGGGAAGTGGTATGGAGTTGCAACATTAAGGTACACCGCAACATCATTTGGTCATTCTGCACTGCTAAACATCTACATGGATGGTGACATACTCAAGATCAAATATACATCATCAATGTAAGTTCATATTTTATATGTAGCATAAGAACCTAGAGAGTACATGTAGGTGTCACTATATCTTTTGATTTCTTTCATGCTAAATACATACTTTTTTGTTTTTAATGATAAAAGCAAACTTTGCCCAATTGCTCATTGCACAATAATTATTAAATGTGAGTATTACATTGTATTGTTCTTGTGTAAATGTGTATCCAGCACAACATTCATTTATGATCATATTTTAGAATATATGTAATTAAAATAAACTTTTTATCTTTCAGAAAGGGCCAATGTTTGCCCCCTGTAGTAGCAACACTGAGACCAGATGGCACTAATGTTGGTTCTTATACAACAGAAGCACTTGGGCAATCCAGTATGTTTACTTTGGGTCATGTGGGTTATCAGAGAAAAAGATCTATAATAATTGGTCATCTCAATTTGCATAGTCAAAACGGACTACATAGTTTACCATCATCTAGGAATCAAGATCAGTCCATTCATCAGTTATTATTAACCATTCAACATAACAAAGAAATTGTGTTAGAAACTTTAATCAAGATTAACATTACAACCATATACCTACAAATCATTTGAAATTCAAAAGTCTACATTGATATACAATTTTTCAACAATTATAAACACATGGAATTGTATTCATAAAACATATACATGATTAAAATTATACTACCTGTAACTGATTATTACAATAGGTGTCTTAAAGGTCACCTACCTGGATGATGACTACGCAGTGATCTACCAATGTGACAAGATGAACATCTATGGGAACTGTCACCATTCCTCCACCTATGTGAACATCCTTAGTAGAGAGGACAATATTGATGATGCTACTTTTAAAACATTAGCTGATAAGCTTATTCCATTGTGTATACCCCCTGGTGATCTTCTTCAGACTGAACATGATGGTAATTATGTCACCACCAGAAGTGGTGACATATTGTCTCAATTTTTTTTTTGGACAGTGTTCAGCAATTTGGCATTTGACAGTCAAGGTTCGGTGGTTGGTGTTTGCCTGTTGGCGTTCAGCAATTGTAACAAATGGCAAGTGATGACATTTTGGATGTAAATGCCTTGTTAATTATAGTAATAAAATACTTCTGCCCTGAAATTGCAAGAATGACACCATAACTAATAGGTGACATGAAGTACTGGATTGGTCTATCATATGTTTTAGTTGTTTGTTCTCTGGAAGAGGAATGTAAAGCGGTGATAAACAATATGAGAACACCTCTGAACTTCAGCCCTGAGCAGGTATAGTAAATATACAGTCACTTTCTATACATAGTGTCACATGATACAACTGCAATGAATTTTGATGAAAAGATGATACAGTATATACCACAACACGAATCAAACAATATGTGTATTTTATATACAATGTATCGGTAAGCTTAGCAGATGTTGACTTGGAAAAATGATGGTAAGATTATGATTTGGTCTTATGTACTGTTTCAGATATACACTGGTACATATTATAGTACACATACAAAAAGAGGGATGACCTCATGGCAGTCTATAAGTACTCACTTTATATTGCTTGGACCTGGAAGGGTTAAGATGTGGACCACTGGAGCAAGGTTGGTTATTTCTTGCTTCGTTCTTTTTGACTGCTAACTTTATTAAATGGAAAGAATAAATAAATAATTAGAATAAATTGCAATAAATGTTCAATTACATATATTTGGAGAATAAAAAAGAATAATTTGAATTGAGATTTTGAAATTATGTTTTGGGCCAACCTTTGAACTGTTGAACAGTGTATATCCGATCATGATATCATTATTATTCACAACAATGACGCAGTACAGTACAGTGTCTTTAAAGTAGAAGCCTTAGTGATCAGGGTCTCTCGGAGGGAACTGAGAATTTGAATCGAATGAAATATTTAATTAGCTTAAGGTGGCAGGCAAGGTATTATGTTAAATAATGGTACATGTTTATGGGCAATTGTTATGGTTTCAGCGGTGGACAATGTCTTAGAATTGTTGATTTTGGAACAATAACTTATAATGACACCGAGCCCTACAAATCCATGGCAACAGCAATAAACTGTGAGTTTAAATTTTTCTCATGCCATGTATCTAGTTCCATTATTATCACTAATACACATTTAATACCAGGAGAAATGTGAAGGATTCACATTCAGGGGTCACGTTTTGAACTATGAATCATTTAAAATATTTATTTTCAAAAATATTATTTATTTGTTATATTATACATGTGATATCATGGTTTATAAAGGTTGGTTGTATACATGTAGTCTTTTTATGTTTTCTTCAGCAATATTTCACATCCCTTACCTTAGTAAAGATAAGCAAGCTTTTATCCTGTTTGGTTGTGCTGGGAATACCAACTATGGCAAAGCCTGTCCAGATGAGTACCTGTTTGTTGAGTACTACTCCAGATCACGCCACCTGCCAGCCGCTATAAAGCAGGAGCTTGATGGACAGTTGGAACTTCTTTGTACAAAGCCCAACGAAATGGATGAGATTAGTCATTCTTGTAAGTACTTGTACATACATCTAACTTTAATTTGAATTTCGCTTATTTCTGAGTCACAAATGTATTATTTGATTGGTGTAGATGTTATTTCTAAAATAAAACTTTATTGTATCCGCATGTAAAATCTGAAATAGGTTGATACATGGCTTGATACTTGTACTTAAAACCACTTTTATTGTATAATCTTATCTTTGATCCTAACTGTCTTTATTGACAGTGAATTGTCCATTTAATATTGGAACCAGATCATTGTCAGAGTGCAGGGTTACAAAGATGACAACCTTTCAAGACTTAGACTATGTGAAGGTATTGATTCTACATACATCAGGCCCGTAGCCAGGGGCTCGAACTCCCCCCCCCCCTGGCCAAATATTATTTTAAAACCATACAGTTTTTCACCATTCTGAGCACTTTTCAAGTGATTTTGGCCATTTTTGGACCAAAGTCCAAAGGACCCCCCTCTGGAATTTTCTAAAAAGTGAACACCCCTTTGTAAATCCTGGCTTCCGACCTGCACAAGTAGCATATCTATATAAATAGGCATAAAAAATAAGGTTTAGTACATAGTCTACATGGATATGTGCTTATCATTGTGACAAAGATTGTTAGAGTAATAGTAATTTCCCCTTCAAAAGCTCAAAATTTATCACAAAAGTTTTTTTTAAATATCTACATATAGCAATGATTAGACATTTATATTGTATATATTGTACTTTTAATGATGGTTGTCTAGTTTTCTGGCACGTGGTATGGTATTGCAACATTGAGGAATGACGTTGGGACATTTGGGGACTCAGCTATTGTTCACATCACCAGTGACATCATAAAGGATCACATTGATATCTCATATACATCATCATTGTTAGTATACACTTTTTCGTTTATCCTCATCTCACTTTTTTATATTTATTTGTTGTAAGGTAAATGTATGATCTCATATTTGTAAAACATTGTCTACTAAGAAAAAATTATATACCATGGCCGAAACAGTAGTTCATTGGAATTTGGTTATTCTAAGATGTTTCATACAGCGAATTGAAAGGAATGTGATTAAAAAGCATTTCCTGCTGAAGTACTTAATTTATGCTAAAACTGTTGATCCATATTTGCTTGAAGAATACCTTTCATGTAGATGCACAACTGCTTTTTTCCACAAAAGATTTGGTAATAATTGTATGAACTTTCCCTCCATATAGGCATGGGAATTGCCTGCCCTCTACAAAGCTAAGACTGGAGCCAGACTTAGAGGATGCATCAGCTTTCAATGTAGTCGACTTTGGTATTAAAAGTAAGTAATGACATGCTCAATACATTCTGTTAAAAATGATTGAAGATTGGATACAGATGGTTTAATATTTTAAAAATCCTAAGTCACTAGTAATTGCCACGGTCCAAATGCATTTATTGGATGATACAATTTATAAATAAATCTACATAACGTTTGATTCCATCAAAATATATTGAAATAAATTTTTGTTTCATAACTCATAGGTCATATCAGGGTGGTCTGGACAGACTACCAGCTCAGTGTGCTTTACCAATGTGACCACATAGAGGAAGATGGCTTATGTGAGCCAGAGTCCACACATGTTACCATACTCAGTAGAAACCCAGGAAGCAGGCTAAATGAGGTGCTCATTAAAGAGCTGAAAGTAACACTCGATTCACTGTGTGTTGATACAAATGATGTGGTAGCAGCTAAACATGATGGTGAGTTATGAATAATGTGGTAGGCATACACAAAAAATATTTCAAGCCAATTCAAATTTCTGATACAGAACATGTACATTTATATAGTAGTATAGTCTTGGAATAATTGTATACCTGTATTTTGCAGTTATATGCCATGTCAGAAGACCTCAGAGGTCTTGTCCATTTACACATGCTGAAGTTCTTCCTTTTCCTGCAGAAAATGTAAGCACATATTGTATTTAATCACTTGTCTCCTAGCAGATATTGTATTTAATCACTTGTCTGCAAGCAGATATTGTATTTAAATACTTGTCTGCAAGCAGATATTGTATTTAATCACTTGTCTCCAAGCAGATATTGTATTTAATCACTTGTCTGCAAGCAGATATTGTATTTAATCACTTGTCTCCAAGCAGATATTGTATTTAACCACTTGTCTTCAAGCAGATATTGTATTTAATCACTTTTCTGCAAGCAGATATTGTATTTAACCACTTGTCTTCAAGCATGTATAAAAGTAAGTTAAAAAGTAGTGAAAACCAATAAAAGATAGTTGAAAACACATACAAATATGTACACAATATTTTTTCAGTAACTAGCAGCAAAGTTCAGAAATGATATGGAACATCTTTTTTCTTTGCTTACATGGAGTTTAAAAGTGTTAAAAAGCCATATATTTTAAAATGGAAAGAATGCAACTCGTCAAATCAAAGTGTACTGTCTCTTTTTATTACTAAAAGTGTATATGTAAACTGTATCATAACCATAATGTAGAAGGTATATTGGATATCATTTGTGTCTCATAGCTGGTGAAAAACTTTATGAAAGGCTACTATGTGACACACACTAAAGGAATCCCATTGATGGACTCCGTGAGTGTGAGACCTTTACCCAAAAAGGATGCAAGAAATAATCCAAAAACAATGGATGTCATGATATCAAGATCAAGGTAATAAGAAATTTATAAGTACAAATGCCATTAGGGCAAAAATTTATTGGAAACACAGATGTAGAAATTTGATATTACAACCAGTCAGAAGAAAACAAAGAAATTCCTTCCCCTGAGTTAGTAAATTAAACATATATGAAGTGTAATTACGAAGTAATCTGTAAATAAATCACATTATATTCGATCTGTAAAAAACACATTTATATTTGTTAGCTGTACACTATCCATTTATATGCAATCTCAATCAAAATTATTTATTTCTCACATGCAAGATATATAATGATCACTGAATGGTTCCTATTTTTCAGGAATGGAACGTGTCAACCAACATTTCTTCAACAATATGAATATGTCTCCAGGGGAATTGCAAAAACAGCAGAACATGAAAGTAATGTGATTACTTTAAATTAATCAGGAGATTGCCCAAATAGGGTCTAGAAAATTGTCTGTCATACATATGTATTTACGTAGTTTTTGATAGCTCTTTCAAAACTGACCCAGTATATAGTATACCGTATCTCATTTATATCTCTTATAACATTGCAGCTTATCTAAAGTACATGGCATTAACAGACACAGGTGCTTCGATGATTTATATATGTCGTGGCCCTCTAGATGGAGATGGTAACTGTATGTTAGAGAATGTGTATGTGGAATATTATTCCCTTGACACCGTTCTCTCTCCACAAGATGAAGCTGTCTTCTCTAAACTTCTGGAGAGAACGTGCACTGATCCTACACAAATGAAGCCTGTCAATCATAAAGGTTAGTAGTACTTGTTCCAAAATGTTTGGGGCATAAACTTGGCACTATTTGGAACATTTTTCAAAAATGGGTAAAAAATAAATAAATTTAAAAACAATCTTAAAAACTTTACCCATACCAATTTCCTAGCCCCAGGTGTGTGGTTGTAATTTGATCACTCCATAAACAAATTATTGCCCTTTGAATTAGTCTTTTCTTTAGTTGAAGAACGATCCCCAAGTTGTTTTTGTGAATAACAGAATCAGCAATTGAGATGTGTCTATGTTACAGTAAAATGCTTCACAAGAGAAAAGTTGGATAAGATATGCAAGGTTGATGACATCAAGACTCAGCAAGACTTTGATAATTATAAGGTATTATTTTATATCAAAAGGTAGTATTGTATATGCTTATTGCATGGTTGAAAGGAGAAGGGGACTTAATCCATAAAACACAAAAATGAAAATCTATCATGTTATTTATGTATTTTTGAGAACATAAAGCTTGAAATATTATTTTTAAAGTGAAATATATAGAATTTTAAAATTTAATAAGGTATTTCATTTTAATGTAGGCTGCAGGTCTGTGGTATGGAGTTGGTGGTTTGCCTAGTAGTTTGGAATCATTTGGTAGTTCAGCTGTTGTCTATGTACAGCCTATAGACCAGGACTCCTTCACTGCTACATATACATCTTCAGAGTAAGTAACTGCTAAAGTGACTCAATGGCAGCATGTCTTTCTGATTCTGATGACATGCTGTCACTGGTTCAAATCCCCACTTAGGCAAAATGTTTACAAAGCATTTATGAAGAAAATGGTATGGCTGAGTATTTTCGAGCTTATATGGATGGCTGTTGTGTGTACTTATATGCTTGAGTTAAAATACAAGAACAGAGCCCCTAAAAGAGCTTTCTAGACTGTCCACATGGTTACATGCATTAATTATGACTAAATAACACAGGATATATACCAAATTAGTAGGGCTCACCTTAATTGGGAAAATGAAATAATTTCATAAGTTGAATGTTTTTTGGAATCAATATCAATATGGCAAATAAGCAAATCAATAATGGCTGTAAACTGTTGAAATAGAAAATAATTTTGTAGAAAGGCTGCTGATGTACATGTACAATCCAAGTAAGTACCACTTGTTAAACATACCATGTATCTTCATCTGCAGTGGTGTGACCTGTTTTGAGCCTGTGAATGTTCGCTTTAACAGATCATCAGCAGACGGGGGAACATATATAGGAACATATCAGAACATTACAAGTAAGATAATTGATCTACAGGGTGATCAAAAAAACGGCAACCCTAGTTTTTCCTAATATCTTTGTCATTCTAAGAAATAACTCACTGATATTTTACACATTTGTACATCATTCAATTTCCTACCAACCTACCATGTTTCATGACCATGAGACTGATAGTCACAATATTACTGCATTTTAAGCAACATGCCCCATTTGGCCACTTTTGGGCTGTCTGAGCTGGTCTCGTATTCAAATGAACTCCATTTCCAACTTGATGCACTGGTAAACTCTAACAATTATGTATTCTTGGGGAGCCAAGCACTTGATGAAGTAGTGGAGAGGCACCTTCACACAGACAGATGCACAGTTTAGTGTGTTCTCAGAAGACAGGGACTTTAGTTGAACCCAGGGGGGTTGATAGGCAGCAACAGTGGTTCCACCAAGAGAGAACCATACCCCATACACCCAATGATGCACAATAATGGCTTTGGGACCACTTCAATGACCACATTATCAGCAGTACAACAGACAATGAATGGCCACCCCATAGCCCAGATATGGCCCCATTTAATCTTTACCAGTGGGGATACCCCAAAGATAGAGTGTAGGGTAATAATACCAGAAAGACATTTAACCTCAAAATAAAGATCACATGTGTCGTTCAGGCCATACTTGCTGAGGAATGCAGTTAGGTCATTAACAGGTTTGGAAAATGTGTGCAGGTTTGCCTACAGCACGATATTGGAAAACTGGGGCACCTTGATTAAAGTGCTGTAACATTGCGACTATCAGTCCAATGTTCATGAAATAACACAGTCTAGTATGAAATTGAATGATGTACATGTGTGCCAAATATCAGGGCAAAATTTCTAAAAATGACAAAGATATGAGGAAAAATTAGGGTTGCCGTTTTTTTGACCACCCTGTACTATAACATATGGGCCTGTTTGCATTCAAGCAAGAATTGTACAATATTGGTAGAATTTTATGCAAAAAGTATATACACCTTATAAACTGGATTGCTTTATGTGCATTTATGTATTTTTCTATATAAGGTGTTTTTTGTTTTCCAAAGGTCATCTCAAAATCATAAGAAGTATCTACGACTGGGCAACAATTGTCTACCAATGTGACAAAATACTCCCTGATGGCCAGTGTGATCCCTCTATGCTTTACTTTAATGTTATCACAAGAAAGTATCCTGCCATTTACTCAGACCAGGATATAAAACACCTGAACCATATTCTTTCTTCTGTTTGTCTGTCATTCCAGGATATCATCTCCTTCCAGAATACAGGTAAGACAGGGTTATACTATGGGGGGGGGGTCTGAATGTCTGGTATCCAGAGGAATACATCTTCCTAAATTACAATGGGACAAGTTTAAGATATAAACTCTCATACCAATAAGCAAGCATGAATGCAATATTTCAAAAAATAACATAAATCACAATTAGAACAGTTTATAGTCACGTCAGAGGCAAAAACTAGGCCATTTTTGTTCCTCAAAATTATTCCAATGACTTCACTTTTTGTGGTTCTTAATTATTATATAATATAGAAAAAATTAATTTTGAAATTTGTTCCTCATGACTTGTTATGTTGAGTGTTATTATAGGTGGTGACATTTTGTTAGTGCCTTGTATATTTCTGCTCTTCGGAGTCCTGTACAGTTTGTCTATTTTCTCTTTTACAGCAAAATGCTCTTTGGATACTGGACTTGTTCATACCTGTGCAATAAATCAGTTTACAACACACCGGGACTTTGATAAACAGAGGGTTTGTACCTTACTGCACCTTTATGTGTAGAATACCCATTTTCATGTAATTTTGAAATAGATTTGAAATATACTTATTTTGTACTCTGAAAGGTGTAACATGTTAACCTCAAATGATGATAATCTTGCAACTATATTTATTTAGTTTGAAGGTATATGGTATGGTGTAGCAACACTGGATAGTTCATTTTCATCATTTGGCGATGCAGCAGTGGTTAACATAACATCAGCACCAACTGGATTGAAGCTAAAATACACCTCATTATAGTAAGTCTTTAATTAGTTAAGGATTTAAGCCCTGTGCATTGTTTGCTAGAATCATACCATGAAGGTGTTGTTTCCAAATTTTTGCATGACTGCGCAGCCTGAGTGGAATGAAGCAGCTACAATGCATTGAGTCTTGGGGCTTAAATTCTTTTCACACATTGCAAAATATTTTCTCCAAAAAGAATGAAATCACTAAAAGTGCAATGATCAAGTTGCCAAGTCATCAAATCCAATGTGAAAAGTCCATTCATCACCATGACAACTGTTTAACTAGTGACCTTGAGTGCGTTATTGATTATTTAAATACACTGCTGTCATGTATGACTTTGAATATATATCAATATGTACACTTAAAAAATAAAACAACAATTAATACAAATTGTATATTTCAGTGAAGGTAGATGCTTGCCACCGATCACTGTCAGCATACAGCAATCTGAAAAAGATCCTGCTACATTTGGGGCAGAAGCATATGGAATTCAAAGTAAGAGAAATATTTACAGTAGTGGATTGGCTACTTATGATTCACATACTCTTGTTTGAACAATTTATCTTTAACTCAAAAATAACCAATATTTGAATCGAGTCTAATTCAGGTGAACACAATTTTCAAAAGTGATACTTTATGAAAGATATTGTGTTTTCATTAGTTAATGACATTGTTACATTGGTGAGTATTGCATATTGAATATCTTGAACTGAAATACTTGATCTCTGTTGGATAACTATGACACTTTTCTTCAACAATACAGGTATCATGAAAGTGATCTACACAGACTATACTGTAGCATTGATATACCAGTGTGATGCTATTAAAGATGATGGTCTATGTGAGAATGATAAAGTACACTTGAACGTGATACACAGGGACCCCAATGTTAAGTTCAGTAGATCCCTCATTGAGAGATTTAAGGTGTTAATTGACTGGATGTGTGTCGACGTGTCACAGATGACTAACAGCAAGCATGATGGTAAGCGTTCATATACATGAAAGTCAGAAAGATTTCTATTGATTGATTAATAATATTCTTGTGCCCATTGCAGATTTTGTATTCTTTAATATGATGTTTATTGCACTAATGTGCCCTCTGATTTTCATCTTAATACATCTAATCTGTGTCATATCTCAGCACTATTCTAACAGTGCTGAACAGAAAATTAAAACAGTTTTGATCAAGCATTACAAAACTGTTTTATTTTTCTGTTCTGTAATTTTAATACCAGTTTGTAGCACTGTATAGTGCTCCTTAATTTCATCATGTGTTATCTTCATGCTGATTTTATCTTAAAAGGGTACTTTTATCCAGTGAGGTGACAAAATTCTAACCATCCTTTAGGATTAAAATACATTTTGAATAACATACTTTTCAGTTGATGGATTATTATCTTTACAAGTTTTAATTCATTGAATGTGTATGTTCAGTTAGTTGCAGTATCAAATATGACCCAAGTGCAGCGTGCCAGTGGGATGACATCCCAGGAGTTCATAGAGGTTTTAACATGGTATGTGTGCTCATTTCATGAATACTTTCACATTTCTGGAAAGTCATTGAAAATACATGCAGGTAGATCTGGAAACCTTGAATTGAGGTGGGCCATAAATTTAAAAATATAAAATAATCCAAATGAAGTACAAATGATGATTCCCCTGGTAAATTTTGGGAAAATTTGGGCTATTTTACAAAGAAAAGCTTGGCGCTTTAGCTAATTAAGTGCATTTTAAAAATGTCATGTCTGGCCCCTGATCTCACAGTGTCAACTATAAATCTTCTTGTGTCCTTTGAATAGTATTTGTATCACTGTTGTGTATTTTTAGGTGAGGGGATTGCAAACGAAGACTCATTTCAGGAACACTGATCCAAGCTTTGCAAAAGTGCATTACATGTATAATAAAACAGAGAGTGTGGAGGTCATATTCAGAATTGCTGTGTAAGAACATGTACAATTACATATTTTATGGAACAAATATTTTAAAGTAAGGAGAGATTACACTTTGATAGATATATTGATGGCCAAGAAATGTATGATAGCTTTTTATGGTATTGAGTGACATAACATTGCTCCCTGTATTACACTATGATTAGTTATTTTCGACTGATGTATTGTATTTTATTTTTTAGAGATGGTATATGTCAGGATCAAAAGTCGTTGAAAATTTCAGGCTACCAAAGTATTGATGGAACAGAAATTGTAACTGAGGGTGCAAATGGTATGGAATTTTATTTGTTCTCATATGTTTAATCATAGCTTAAGATTGTTGGTGAGAACTAGGGAGTTATGGAACAAATATTTGAGGCTTTATTTAGACAACTTGAGTTCTATCCCTTTGGCACTTGTGCTTACACATAGGAAATTCGATTTAACTTGGGCACTTGGGAGTTGGAAGTTTAGGTAATGTGAGAATTTTCATTGCTTACATAATTAGAAACATAGAATACACTACAACTAGCAGATTGTCAACATCTAATCCCTCATGAGAACAACCTTGTTAAATACTGTAGCCGTATAATTATCCCACATCGTACACCCTTATGGGTGTAGGATGGTCAAGGGTGTTGACACCATTTTTTGTAAAAAATGTAATCTTTGTCAACTCAAATACTGTAGATCACAGATTTGGTTCAAATTTTATATGCCTAGGGTCAAAGGAGCTTTGCTCAAGGAGAGATTTTTAAGATGGCCACTGAATTTCAAAATGGCTGGCATTTATAGTAGAGAAACATTATGTTTGATAACTCAGATGATGCATGGGGACACAAAAGTTTGGCTCAAAAAGGAATTGTCAAGATGGCAGCTGAATTTAAAAATGGTTGCCATTTTTCATAAAATACGTAATATTTGATAACCAAAATACCAGTGGACTGATTGGGTTCAATTTTTTTCTATGCTGATGCCTAGAAAGACAAGAGTTCTGCTCTGAAGGAATTCTATTTCTAAACTAAATTGTTTTCAGCTGTCATGAAGGTTATTGCTGCAACAAAGAATAATGAGTTTGCCATATTATCCTGTGTAAAGTATGATGATGTTGTCAACACTGGAGTCTGCCCAGCACAATACGTAGTTATGGAATACATATCTGATAAGATGGAGATTGATTCTAAAGTAAAGGAAGAGTTTGATGAGATAGTTGCAAATGCCTGTGTTGACCCATCTACAATCAAGCCTGTTCCATTAGGTGTGTGTATATAACCATTACAGCATTTACAATTACTGTAGTCATTGTACATGCATACCACTAACACAAAACATTTACAATGGAGCCTGTTGCTCTAGATACATTTATACTATTAACAATTTACATACAGCATCTACAGTCAAGGTTGTTGCACTAGGTACTTACATGTGATTTTTTCAAAATCTCAGAATGTACCAGAATTTCATTTTCTATTTTACAGTGGACTGTCCCTTGGATATAGAAAAAGGGGCCATCACTGAACTGGAAAATAAGAAATGCCTCTTTAGTGATATTCATTCAATGGAAGGATTTCAATTAGACAAGGTCTGACTGTATAATATCGTATTTTTGTTAATCACAAAACTGTGTTAAAATCAGTGATATTTTCTTAAATTTTAATGTTTTTAGATTTACCGAAATTTCATGTCACATTTGTAGAAGAGTAACCTGATAGTATTTGTCTATACTTAAGCTTTGCAAGGAAGGAATACAACTCAGTGTATTTTTTTAATTAGATATCATTAACCCTTTTTAGTTTTCTGGTACCTGGTATGGTCTTGCCACATCGAAGAGAAGTTCTAACTCTTTTGGTGATGCCTCTGTGTTGAAGATTTATAGAGGGGAGATGGGGGAAATGGAGATCAGATACACTTCTTTAGTGTAAGTGATTATATTCAAATAACTTGAATATTTCATGATGCAAAATTGTCATTTTAAAAAGATTAAAAGGTTATTTAGAACGGTCTTAGTTACAGTTCCTAATTAGTTATCATATACATGTAGTACTAATAAAGGATAAGATAGACAAATGTTGAAATACATGTGTATGGATTAAACTTTCTATTGAAAGTAGATGTATTTGCTGAGTAATGCCAAGTAACATTGACAATTAAAAAGAATAAGGTCCACAAGAAATGCAACAACACGGTCCATTATTTTATGTAATTTTGTTAGCTCTGTATGTTTTACTTTTAGAAATGGCATTTGCCTCCCCCATGTGTTAGTGTCTCTGCATCAGTATGGGACTAAAACTGGTTCTTTCATTGCCAGAGCACATGGTGTAACAAGTGAGTAAATATCATGAATATAATATTAACCAATATGGCAAAGTTTATAAATTATAAACGCATTATAACATTTCAATCTGTATTGTACAAGTGTGATATGACGAAAGATAATAACTGTAGTTTATGGAATTTTCGCGGTAAGGTTTCATCAAGGTTTTGACAACTGACTACAATAGTTTGGCATTGATATACCAGTGTGATGTAATAGCAGAAGACGGCCAGTGTGATCCAACAGGCAGACATGTTGATATACTGACTAGGTATGTCCCATCAAAGATGTGGTGCACTTTTATTGCTTGAATGTCAATCTAATACAAGAGGGAATTGATGAGATCAGGTTATAGTTTATATGAACATGGTTAGGCAACAATGGTGGTCTACAAAATAAAACATTACAAAAACAGTGTACAAATTGTAATGAATGCCTCTAAAAGTCCTATGTTTGATATTTTGATTTAAGGAATAGGTCTCTGGAGTTAAATCTTATGTCAGTGTTTAACTACAAAGTGTCACTTGCCAGTGTCTGTGTAAAGGAGGAAGACCTCGTCAGCAGAGACCACAGTAGTATGTTTATATGTAACATTCTCAATTTTCAGTGGGACATGGGGATAGAGTCACAGTCCTAATTTTTTAACTCTTAGAAACTAGGCAGAATTTTGAATGACCAATTTTTAAAAGTGCATGACAATTTTTAGAAATAAATTTTCCTCTCTATTTTACATTTTGAGCTTGTTGCTTTAACTGATGACAATCATTGATGGATTTTGTGGAGTTTGAGGTAATTCATATATTATATCAAAATCTATCAGACCAAAAGCCTTGTCAGTTTAATCATGGACGTATATCTACTGGATATCTACATGTAACAACCAGTCGACCTACTTTTTGTCTGTGTTTCGGTCACGTGACAAGCCTCGGTTTGAATAAAAATGTGAGCCTCGTAATAATATATGTCTATGGTTTAATGTTACCCTTTGTGAAATGCATTTTCGTACAATTGCACTTGATGTATACCCATCAATATGAATGTACACTGCTCTAGTCTTGTCCTCACAAGTTCATATTATTACATTAAGTATATTACATTTCAATGTTACGGTCTTCTATATTAATGGCATTATTTCTATTATTTGTTTCTGAAAACGTGTATATATGTGTTGTTGTAGTTGGATGTTCTCTGGATGTGAAGCCACTGGATGAGTGTACACCTCAGTCTGTGCCCCTTGCCACCAATCTGGATGCAGCAACCATTGTATGTGCTATTTAGGAATTTTGCGCTACCCGAATGACATATTTTATCTTAGTTTGCAAATATTTAAAAATGAATAGCGCTTTGCAAACTTAGATAAAATATGTCATTCGGGAAAACCTGTCTAATCTGAATGCCAAAGTGTTCAGATTGGCAGGTGTTCACATTTCTATGCCAGATTAAAAAGGGACTTGGAAATGTGCTCACATTTAGAGGTGTTCAGATCAGAGAGGTGTTAGAATATACAGGTTTTATTGTACTCAGCATATTTACATTTTGTTTCATCCCTAGTTTTAATGTTATGAAACGCATCCTGATAGTAGACCTCCATCCAAATAAATATACACCATGTTTGCTGTAATATAGATTAAGCAACTCACAATTGGCATCTATTTTATTTTAGTTCCAAGGCAAATGGTTCATCACACACATCTTAAAAGGATCAAGGAGCTGGGATTCCTTAGCTCTTTTATTTTCCAATTATCACATTGATCCTGAGGAAAATGAAATCCACTTCAAAGCATGTGCCACTGGAGCCAGGTAAGTTGAATTGTTCTCACACGACCCTCAAATCCAGCCATCTTTACTCCAAAAAAGATACAGCAATGTATTTTAAGATAAAAACTAAGATAAAATTACTTGTGACATCATTTGTTTATAACAATTTGTGAATGTTAACTGATGTCTCTAATTCGAACATTATATGTGTTGAATAATTGATTAAGTAAGTATTGGGGTAAGTATGACTTGTAAATTTCGACCAGTAAATGTAGTGGCTGTGAAAGATAGACAACATTTCCATGCTGGTGTTTGAAAGCAGCCAGTCAACACCAATCAACTTCAATTAGTTTCATTTATTTTATGTGAACTCAGAGGAGGAACCCATAAATAGAATCACCAAAACATTGAGAATTTTCCCCGTGAAAGTATTTGAACATGAAAATAATAGAAAATGTTGCTTTTCTTAATAATGACCTTGATTCTTTGATTTATGGCAAGTATCATTCTTAACCATTCAAAATAAAAGGTTTAGTTGTATACGTTGTGTTTTTAACAGGAATGGTGTTTGCCAGCCTAAGTTATGTAAACACATTGATGTTGACAGAAACAATACAGCAGTTTTTCCAGTTAGATCTGGCAATAGTAAGTTTAGTTTTTCCAGTAAGATCTGGCAATAGTAAGTTTAGTTTTTCCAGTAAGATCTGCCAATAGTAAGTTTTGTTTTTCCAGTAAGATCTGCCAATAGTAAGTTTTGCATGCATTACGTATACATGTAAGTCATTGATCTCAACTACCTTTCAACAGCAATGACTCACATTCTAAATAAGTTCGATACCATGACCTATGACATTTCTCAAATAAATGTGGAAACTCTCACATGTACAGTATGTATGATAAATATGAAGTATATGAAATATTGTATTATATGAAACCCAAGCTATTAAGTTTCTTCTCTAATTACATAATCATGTCTATATATTGTATTGTAGGTATTACAAAGTTTATGATCGTGTCTGTATCTCCTGATGGACGCTCAATGTTGGCCTACACCTGTCTCACTGAAACTGAACAAGACAAGCCATGTCCTTATAATCTTAGACTTGTAGAATACAGGTACATCCATGAGAGAAGTATTTTGTCTTTGTTGGTCATGATTTAATATGAAAAATAGAGTGCTATGTCAATTAACAAATGTATCCTTAGGAAAACAGTCCATATTAGCTGCAATGATCCTAATTACAGCTGTTTTTACAGGTCTCGAGAGAGTATTTTACCAGCTGAACACAAAACCCAGTTTGACAGCTTGCTTCCACAGCAACTATGTACTGACCCTGCCAACTTGGAGCAAGTGGACCATGATACAGGTAAAAATAGAAAGCAAAACAGGGTGTCTAGCAGGACTCATTCTTCTTCCTGTTTGACAGGATAGACAAACTGTACGAGTATTTGTCTTTACAATAGAAAGAACTCTAGTTCAAAGAAGGCCATACATATAAGTTAATTCAGTGGATGCTGTCGCATGGTAACAAGTAAATATCTCGAAAATAGATCTGAGCATTGGTTCTGACAAATAGCAGATACATGTACAGAAACAATTGAATGAAAATTCTTGATCAACAGACTGGTTGGCACAATAGGCTCGTCAGGTGAAAAAGTGCTGAATTCAATGCATTTTCCTAAGTTGTTTGATTGCAGCTGAATGTGACTATGACCGGGTGTACACTTGTAAAGTAGAAGATATAGAAAGTCATAAAGATCTAGAAGTGACCAAGGTAGGTAAATTAATAACATTAAACATTTGATCAATTTGTATTCATTTGACATTTGTCAATTTTCCAGAGCTCTTATCACTGTTAGGGTACAGACAATTAAACAATTCATTGCTTCATTGATATGCCTTTAACTTTGTACATGTACACTGGTTGTTGAGATTGTGGACTGTTTTCAGACTATTCCAGTGTGAAATAAAACAATACATTGTCAAACTTTATATTTCATTCCAGCTCCAAGGTATTTGGTATGGTGCATCCAGTCTAAAAGGATCAGAGGCTTCATTTGGTAGTTCGTCAGTCCTGAGGATAAATTCAAGCTCTGATGGCAGCTTAGAAGTCACATATGCTTCATCATTGTAAGTTATGGGTTGTTTGGGTTTGATGCACTTTAGGAATTATTCAGTTTTCAATTATTTGAGGTATAATACTAATATCAATGTAAGATTGTTGTTTTGAATATTATCCTGCCTCCTCCGATAGCAAAAGTTATTCCCGCACCCCCATCAAAATCATTTATAAAATAATGTACGTATTATGAACAAGGGTAATAGAAATAAACGAATTTGGATTATTTGGCCCACACTGTACTTGTATAATATGGTTAGAATAAGGCATTTGTTTTAGGGATAGTAAATGTCTTATGTATGTATATATTATGTATGTATATGTATAATATGGTCAGAATAAGGTATTTGTTTTAGGGAAAGTAAATGTCTTATACCTGTAACATTGTCTCTGGTACCTGTACACAGTAAGCCCTCTACATTCACTGCCACAGCCTATGGATTACACAGTAAGAAAACATATAGAATATACCGCTTTGATTTTAAGATACAAAATTATAACCATATATCCTTTTCTAAAATTCTCAAGAAGTGTTGAAACATATATGTTGGATACACATTTTCTTTAGACATTTAATTCAAGGTTGAATAAGTCAGCTTTAGGAACGATCTACAGCATACATATCAAATATGTATAAAGTATATATGTTCAAATAATTGAATGGTTTATCTGCCATAATCAAAACCAATGAAAACTTTCAACTGGCTTCTCTTATTAGTACAGTAATGTCATTTCTAAGGGCGATATAGTGAAATATTGGACCGAGGGCCAAAGGCCCAAGGTCCAATATTTCACTATATTGCTCGCAGAAATGACGTTATTAGTATTATTACCACCGTTAATGACCAGGACTGAAACAGCAAGAAAATCTTACGCATTGAACGATATCTAATTTCCCGGGGAAAATTGCCGGTCCAGAATATATTCTAGACCGGTCCATATGGACCACCACTATGACGTCACACATTTCTCAGGTCGATATAGTAAAATAAACGCCTTCTAAACTAGCACTAAAACCCCTAGAACTGGCCCGGCAAGGTGGTAATAATAAGCTTTTAACATAAATCTCTCTGTTCTTTTTAAGGTGTGATTAAGGTTATGTACACTGACTATGACAATGTACTCACCATATATCAGTGTGATAAAATCACACAAGATGGCACATGTGACCCAACAAAGCACCATCTAAACATGCTATCCAGAACTAGAAACTCAAAATTTGATTTGCTGAAAACATTGGAATTTGTTGGTGCAGCGAAAACAATGTGTATTAATATTAAGGATGTGGTCCCAACAGAACATGCAGGTACCAGTTATCATTCTTCAATAAATTTATTCTTAGGGTTAATGCATATCTCTGACCCTATACACGGAAGTAAAGAGGTATTTCTTATGTTTAACAAATAGAAATGAAGATCAATTTATATCATGTATGTGCATTTTAGTTGAGTGTCCACTGGAAAAGACATGTACAATGAACTCTGTTCCAGCAGCTGTATTTGAGGCATCAGAGGCAAGTGTATTATATATGTATTGTATTGCTTTTTTCCCAGAAGGGACTACAATGTCCTCTGGGGCATCGTGTATATTTTTTAATTCGACCTTTGGTTTGCTTCATTTGTTAGATGTTTATGGTTTAAGAAGAATCTTGTGAAGAATTGCTAATATTCCTGTACTTCATTCATTGCATTGATACCCTTAATTTATTGATGTACATGTATATTTCTTTTTCTGGAATTTTCAACTTTCTTGAGCACTCAAACTATAATAGATGACAATGTGATCTTAAGAATTTTGTAAAACTTGTAAAACCTGGCAATTTGTACAATATACAGTAACCCTTGTTGAATTTCTCAGATGTATTCTGGTGTGAAGTACACAACACATATAATGTACGGAGAATCTTCCTGGGAGTCGATTATGTCATACTATGAGGTATCCTCCGATCCATTATCGAATGAGGTCAGCATTTGGGTGACAGGGGCACAAAATGGCAGATGTCTACCTACTCTGTATGGTATCCTGGCCCCATTCATCACTTGGCCTAATTATTACATTTCGTTATCCATAAAAAGTAAGTTAAATATTAATGAGATTTGAGATTAAAGAAAGGGTTTAGTATTAGAACATTATTATTCATAGAAAATTTTTATACTTTGATCATGATAAAAATGCTATATTTTTTTGATTATCATGAAGTATTTTGAATTTTCTTTGATTGTTGACAATGTTAACTAGTTGTTAGTGAGTACAAGTATTTCAACACAATCAAAATGTTTTCATTAAATGTAAAATATCTACCATATTAACCATTTTATATTTAAAGCCATTTCCAAAGTTGTGTATCTATCTGAGGACAGAGCCACAGGGATAGTATATGGCTGTAGTGGGAATATGGCACGTGATAAACCATGTCCCAATGGACTTGCTTATGTGGAATACTTCTCAAATACAAGGTCTATAAGTGAACAAGATAAAGCTGTTATGGATGCATTTGTATTGGACAACTTGTGTGAGGACCCAAGATTCATAGTGCCTGTTAACCATGAAGGTGATCATTTTGCAAATCAATGATTCGGTCAATATCAGATTCTGATTCAAGTAATAGAGGAAAATCAATAAAGTAAAGGAATATTAACAGGAAAGAGTCTATATTTATAAACTGTTCCTCTTGCATAATCAATAATAGACCTTGGTACAAACTTATTTTCTCAAAACATCAAAGCGTGGAAATGGTTCTTGGCTTATTAAACATTGACAAGTTCCAAATTGCAAACACTACTTTTTTAAAAGCACTTTTTTTAAAAGCACTTTTTTAATTTTAAAAGACAACTCACATAACGTTTATATTATTTTTCAATGATATTTCTGCAACTGATAAAATGTATATACATGTATCATTATGAATTTGTGTTGCGATATACAGGGTGACCGGAAAAAAAGGAGACCATTGAAGTAATCAATTTCTCCTAAACTAGACAAGTGCCATCAATGAAATTTTGCATACACTGGAACAGTTATATGGAAATTTGTTACTGAAGGTTTCAATACAAGCATTCAACTGGTTCAGGAGCTATGATCATTTACATAACATGCTCCAAATAGGCACAATTGAGACCAACGCAGAGTTGGATTCATATGGCAAACTACCCTTACATGTTCTGCCCTCTATGGCATTATTATGGCATTACATATAGCAGTGATTGCCTTCTTTAGGTCAACAATAGTCTGAGGATTGTTTTGGTATAGATTGTCTTTCAAATATCCATACAAAAAGAAATCAGCAGGATTCAAGTCTAGGCTGTAATGGCAATGAAGGGTTATCTGACATGTGGTTCATCATCCTGTTGCCAAAGTGCTGATTTACCAAATCTTAAGAGTCACTTTAGGTATTGGGCATAGTGCCATGTTACTAAAACCACTATATGGCACAATATGAAAACTAAGGGCTGCAAAACCTCCTTAGGATGATACTGTAACTGAGTGGGACCACTGAGTCAGAAGCCATAGGTCAGATAAGCTTCGTCTCCATACACCTCAAATTTGAATCCACCTGATTTCTTTTTGTGGGGCAATTTGAAAGACAATGTGTACCAAAACAATCCTGAGACAATTGCTGACCTAAAGGTGGCAATAAATGCTAAATGTAATGCCATAACAAGGTCGGAATATGTAAGGGTATTTGCCAAATGTATCCAGCTCTGCGTTGGTCTCAATTGCGCCTATTTGGAGCATGTTATGTAAATGATCATAGCTCCTGAACCAGTTGACTGCTTGTATTGACACTTTCAGGAACAAATTTCCATAGAACTGTCCTGATGTATGCAAAATTTCATTGATGTCACTAGTCTATTTTAGGAGATATTGCCTATTTCAATGGTCTCCTTTTTTTCCGGTCACCCTGTAGAATGAGAATTACAGCTATTTTGTTTCTAGATCTATGACTGTGTTTGAATGTTTTTGATCCTTTGACTTTTTGTATTATACATGTAGTTCATTGTGAAATAGACCGTGAAGTGAGCCAACCTGAATACTCATGCAACTTGAATGACATTACAAGTCAGAAAGACATTGACATGGAAAAGGTAGTGTAGCTTTATATAGCGCTTGACATTCTAAAATATATTCTAAAATAAAAGAGCACTGTGGAGCACTGTACATTTATAAATACATTTTTTTACTTAAGGTAAATGTTTTTAACTCTGGGCATGGTAAAGGAATTACAGGGGTAAAGGAATTACAGGATCCAGACAAAATATTGCTTGTTTCTTTCTACATTGTATGTAACGTTTTATGTCTTCATTAGTTTTGAGGGCTATCAAGAGTTGACATGGCTGCCACCAGCCTTTGGAAAATTAGAACATCAAAATTTACATGCTACATTGCAAATGAGTTTATTCTCAGCACTAATTTTCACCTAACATAGAGATTTATACAAATAATTTTCACTGATTCTAATTATCTAATAAACAAGCTGATGTTAGAGACTTTAAAGATTTATTTACATACATTGATTACCATATTTGTAAAACAAAGGGAAATGTGGATATCACTATAACACTAAAACCTGGTCAACCAACACAACTCATCATTAACATTCTTAAGGTCATCATCTCATGTTTTTTTCAAAATTTGAATAATTACATTTTAGACTGATTCTCTAAAAATTGATGAATGCAAACATAAATAATGTACTTTCATAATAATCTTTCCCTCATTAATGCATAAATATATTGAAATATTATGAAGTTGTTTTATTTGTCCAATGTTAAGTCTCAGACTCTTGTCTTCCTTCTTTTAACTTCTCATGGAAATGTTGAAATATTGGCTCCATAAACATACTGCTCCTGTTCCTGCATGAATAAGAGATGTAACAAATTGCAGGCAGTAAATAGAGAACTTGTACATGTAGAATTATGGTCCTCTTGGGATTAGTTTTCCCCTATGTAATGTTGACTACTTGCTTGATTGAGTATATGTAGACATTTTAGGAAAAACCAATTGAGAGGGGGACAGTATTTGCTTGGGGTCATAATATTGAATGATTACATCCAAGTGTAGGGTAATGTTATTCCCTATACTTTATTATATAGATGGAGCCATAATGGTCCCCAACAATTAAGTGTCCTTCACCATCTATTGTTGCAGCACCAGGGTACTCCATATCAACATTTTGTGTGATACATCTGATGTAATTTCCCTTATGGTTGAGCATGTGGATCCTAACATAATCAGTATCAGTCACAAATATGTTATCTTTATTATCTGTACTTAGGTATGTGAGATAACTTGAAAATCTCTCACCCCAATCTTGCTCAGAATATTCAAATACATTTCCTCCATTTCTGTCTATGCCTTTGATGCAAAGTTCATCATCAGATGTTTTACCACATACAATTATCACATCCTTGGAGTTACATGTTATAGCACATAGATACTTCCACATACCCATTTTAGATTCAGCTGTTGTTTCACCATTAATTGGGTCCACATGATACACCTCCTTCCTGGTAGAGTCATATACAACAAGCTCACCAACTGAGTTCGATGTTATACAAGTGAGCTCTGATAATCCTGTGCACTCAGTGTCGTGTTTGTACGTACCATCTGATTCATACAGTTGAATGATGTTTGAACCATCTATAAATGCAAGATAATCATCTTTTGTGAGGGTTGCATCTACAAACTCATTACCCATATTCTTTTTAAGTTGACACTCAGTACCATATATCGCTGCATTCGATGTGCCACCACCTGTTACAACGTAATCACCAGCTGCTGTAACAATAAGACCTTCTATATTGCTTGGGTGTAGGATTTCTTTCTTCAATAGAGTTGGTTCACATAAGGTAACAGTCTCTTTCTTTATCAGTACCTTTCCAAAGATCAAATTATCATCTCTGATAACTCCATCCTTGAACCGAATATCCATTTTGAAATCGAGGGCAACATCTGGCTGTTGAGACCATTTTTGCATCTGGTTCTCAACTTGCTTGGCCAGGCCTGCTATTTCTGCTGGTGGTCCATGTTCTTCAATGGTGCAGTACTTTTTGACATGGCCTTCAATGGTGGCTTTATGAAGCTTCAAGTTATCAATGTAGGATAAGACCTGCTTTATATTGGTTTCCTTTTCTTTCACCATTTGCTCTATGTAGGAGTTATACTTAGTACGAATAACTTGCATCAGGTTGTTCATATCATTGTTTATAATAGCTGAAATGTTTTCAACATTTTTCTCTTGTTGATTTGTATACATCTGTGCTTCCTCAATTGCCTGTTGGTAAATGTCCACAAGTCCTTTGCCTTGTGTTATTACTGTGCCAATGGGCTTCATATTTTTGGCAGCAGTATGCTTAATGTCCTCAGCAGGATGACCTGAATGGTTCAATGTGTAGCAAAGCTGGCACAACACTGCCTCGTCTACCTTACAGAAGATTTCCAGGGGTTTGTTTGGATGTTGATGGCAGAACACAGTACATTCTTTTATAGACTGTACTGCAGTTTGAAAGTCAGATGCACTATCACCTGTCAAGTTGAACATTTTGTGGTGAGGTAATACAGAGTCATGTGTTTTACGACATCTTTTACAAAATCTTTTGTTACAGTCCAGACATTTAATTTTTGCTGGAACATTGACATTGTCTGTTTCTGAACAAACATTGCAATTTGGCCCATGTATGTTTTGTGTTGGATTAATATCCATATAGTTGTCCAATAGAAGCTTAATTGTAGGGCTAATTGTGTACCCTTCCACCCCTTTTTCTGGCACAGGGTATTCATTGCTGCATTCTGGGCATTTTAAACTTCCTCCTTTGATTCCATCTTCTTTCTGTACTAGACTTTGTAGACACTTTAAACAATATTGGTGTAAACATGGTAATGTTCTAGGTTCAGTTAATATGTCTTTACATAGTACACAAGTGAGAGCTTCCGTATAACAATCCCCAGTATATGACGCCATTTTGAACTTCACTTCAGTACAAATGTGAGTCTATTGATCGCTTCGTGTACATTAACCTCACACTCAAACATCTCATAAGTGCTGCTGTATAAAATATTTCAGGCCATTCAAAGAAAAATATATGTTAAACAAAGTCTCCTCCCTTGTATGGTTTAGGCAAATTTTCAGAAATCAAAAGAAATTGAAGTGCCTAAATATGTACTTAAAGTGAATTCAATTGACAATACTAGTAAAAGTTTTGATCTTTGATCATATAAAAGTGAAAGGAGTTCTTAGATTGAAAACTCCATTTATTGAAGCTTTCATTATTGCCTTCATTTAAATGTAAAGGTGAACTCAATATTGGTGAGACACTTAATAAGTTGCACTTTTTGTATTTTAGTGGTGTTTTTACTATTGAAATAATACGAGTATAGATAATTAAAGAAATACAGTAAATTTTAATTGTTTTTGTACATTCCACCCTCCTAAGGTGGCCCTTTATCAGGATGTTAAACATATTAATTATGAATGGCCATATTACAAGCAGTTTTATTTATCATTTAATACATGCACTGAGTAACATAAAAAGTGGCTATTTTATAATCTCTTACATACTTTGTTACCGAATTGGTATTACAATTATTTTTTAAATTCATAAACACATTGTATTTGTCATTTTTAATTTCAAATACCCTGCGTGCAGAGTCTAGTTAAACTACACTCTGCCTAGTAGAGACCATATTACAGTTTAGTAGCCCCACCCCCGGCATCGGGTACCGGTGACAGTTTGGGTAATAAATCACTTTTGACCTACGCGCTGACCTTTCTTCCACCAATTAGCGAGCTTGAAGAAACATACGCCAAATGCGTTCTAATTATATATGCGCATGTCATTGGTCAATTCCGGGCTCAACGATGACGTCAGAAGGAATGACCATATATAGAACGTCGGTAAAATTTGGCCGACGAAAACTGATTGGCGCGGTGAGTTCACAGGTTTATTTTAGTTTGAAAGAGTGAAGACGAAGCTCTCTTTTAAGAAGTGAAGTCAAACGAATGCAAAGGGTAAATTTCAAAGCATTCCTACAATGGATTCTATTATGTACTCCCTCACTTTGCAAAAATCTTTAGAATTGAAACACCCGAGATTCAATATTTAAAAACATGTTAAATATACACATAAAAATATCACCCGATTTATCAATAAAAATCAATCACTAACATAGAAATTTGCATATACATGTATAGAAATGTGGATTAAAAAACAACATTTTCTTAAGTTTAGTTGAGTGCCATTGATAAAACCAATAATGCAAGTGTTTTACATGCTACAATAGAAGTTTTCATAGCTATAACGTGAAAGTCCTTGACCTTTTTATCACACATAGTGACACTTAATGTTAAAATTGATAAAATACTCTTTTGATACTTTACACCAAAACATGGTGTTGAACACTTTTTTCTGTATGATTGTAATTTCAAAGATATAAACCCAAAGCCTCATGTTGGAAATATTCATGAATTCTACACATTTTTTTAGTTAAATGTTGGTATTAAAAAGAAGTAAATGAGTTTCAAATGAAGATATAATTTGGAACAGAAACAATTCTTATAGAAACAATGTTATGTACATGTACATGTACATGTATTTCCAAAGTTGGAAACATGCTGGGTTAAATACATTGGCTTATAAAATGGATGAGAATAAGCATGACCACAATAAGTAATTCCTTTTAGATAGAGTGGAAAACAATATTTCCCATGTTATTTTCCCATAGGGGAAACTCATGCGATCCATTGCTTTCAGCTTAATTTTGGTCACCCATAATGGATATCTTTAAAACCCCTGTAGGAATTACTTATTCCTTTAAAGGGGTTAACTGTGTGTCAAAACGCAAAATATTGATGCAACAAAAATTGAAAAGCAGGGGTGGAAGGGGTTGAAAATCAGGACAACATTTCAGTAAAAACATGTGGGTGGGTTGTTTGCATCTTCCCTGTCTCAAAGTTGAAATTATTTTATCATCTCTATGAGTGCTTTTCCTGGAGGTAATGCATTGGCCTAACATATGCACCTGTTTAAATCCTCAGAAAATAGCCAAAATCCAACATATGTCCGAAATCTGTTGCGATACTTTCCGTCCTCCTTTACGATAATTGATAATTTCAAATCTTCTCAAATTCTGGTATTCTACCAAAGCCTGCGCCATGTTTGTTAATATGAACAACATTTAATGTGTGCTTTTTTAATGCCAACACAAGTGGTTATCATGACCATGCAATATATACTAAAAACATTGCTTATTAATTCTTAAAAATATTTTTAATGATGATTTTGTTTCACAAAAATTTCACAAAGTTTGCTAATATTAACTAAGACAACATAACAAATAATGTATTGTATGCTTTGATAATATCCAACTTGTTAATCAAGTATGAGTTTACATTAGCAAACTTTGATTTTTGTTTGAAAAAAATCATGTTAGAGCTCTTTTAAAGAATTAATAAGCATTATTTTCAGTATATTGAATGGTCATGATAACCAGTTATGTTAACATTAATATAGCACACATTAAATGTCATTGACATTAACACACACGGCGCAGGCTTTGGTAGATTAACAGAATTTGAGTACATTTTTAAATATCAATTATCGTAAATTTCCCCATATGGACTGATGTAAGAACGTCTTTAAAGAAAAAGTGTAAAAACATCGCCTTCACAGATGTAGATATACTTTTATTTTATGAACAATTCGAAATCTGTACAATGTAGGTCAAGTCATGCTCATTGCAAAAAACAACTGCATAAGAAAATTTAAATATGTATGATGATCATCCAAACATAACTTTTCTATTTCAAAAAGAACTTGAAATAAGAAGTGAACAAGTTTAGTATTTTTATCGTACCTAAAAAAGGTACGATATTGTCGTCAGCTTGACGGGCGGTCGGCGGGCGGCTTCTCACTTTCTTGTCATCATGATTCGAGGAAAACCACTTGACGGATTTACTTCAAATTTTCACACATGTTACATGATAAGAAGTTCTAGAGCTGATTAACTTTTGGGTGGCAATCTTGCATTCTGGCGGCCATCTTGGAAGTTTTAAGATAAATCTTGTCATCGCAATTCCAGGAAAACTACTTGACAGATTTCCTTCAAATTTTCACACATATTACAAGATAAAAAGTTCTAGAGCTGATTAACTTTTCGGAGGCCATCTTGCATTCTGGCGGCCATCTTGGAAGTTTTTAGATAAATCTTGTCATCGGCATTCCAGGAAAACCACTAAACAAATTTCTTCAAATTTTCACACATGTTGCATGGTCAGAAGTTCTAGAGCTGATTAACTTTTGGGTGGCAATCTTGCATTCTGGTGGCCATCTTGGAAGTTTTAAGATAAATCTTGTCATCGCAATTCCAGGAAAACTACTTGACAGATTTCCTTCAAATTTTCACACATATTACAAGATAAAAAGTTCTAGAGCTGATAAACTTTTCGGAGGCCATCTTGCATTCTGGCGGCCATCTTGGAAGTTTTTAGATAAATCTTGTCATCTGCATTCTAGGAAAACCACTAAACAAATTTCTTCAAATTTTCACACATGTTGCATGGTCAGAAGTTCTAGAGCTGATTAACTTTTAGGCGGCCATCTTGCATTCTGGCAGTCATCTTGGACGTTTTTAGATAAATCAGTCGTCGTGATTTCAGGAAAACTACTTGACAGATTTCCTTAAAATTTTAACACATATTACAAAATATGAAGTTCTACAGCTGATTAACTTTTGGGTGGCCATCTTACATTCTGGTGGCCATCTTGGAAGTTTTTAGATTAATCTTGTCATCGCGATTCCAGGAAAACTACCTGACAGATTTCCTTCAAATTTTCACACATATTATTACAAGACAAGAAGTTCTAGAACTGATTAACTTTTCGCCGGCCATCTTGCATTCTGGTGGCCGTCTCCGCTGTTTTTAGATAAATCTTGTCATCGCGATTCCAGGAAAACCACTTAAAGAATTTGTTTCAAATTTTCACACATGGATGATGGTACGAAGTTCTAGAGCTGATTAACTTTTCAGTGGCCATCTTGCATTCTGGTTGCCATCTTGGAAGTTTTTAGATAAATCTTGATTTCACCATTCCAGGAAAACCACTTAATGGATTCACTTCAAATTTTCACACATGTTACACGGTAAGAAGTTCTAGAACTGATTAAATTTTCGGCAGCCTTCTTGCATTCTGGTGGTCATTTTGGAAGTTTTTACATAAATCTTGTCATCGCGATTCCAGGAAAACCACTTAACAGATTTACTTCAAATTTTTACACATGTTACATGGTAAAAAGTTCTAGAACTGCTCAACAGTTTGGTGGCCATCTTGCTTTCTGGGTCATGAAGCCCACAATGGTATATTTTAGGTACGATATTGTTCCCCCTGTGCCTTGTTGTTTCATTCTCATATTCTTGTTAGTTACTAAATGCCTTATTGTAAGTCTCTGATACTTTGTATTGTAAAACTTTGAATAGGAAATAAAAAGATAAAAAAAAAATTTACACTAACACATTGAATTTCAGATGTCAGGATTGTGGTATGGTTTGGCTTATCATAAGACAAACTCAGCTTCCTTTGGTGAGGCGTCTGTGGCTCAGTTGGTGCCACAGAATGGAGGCAAAGTAAAGATCACATACACATCAGCCAGGTAAGGAGGTGTTAACTTTACACTATGGGGGCAATTAAAGATCACATAAATGTCAAATATGACACACAGTAACGAGGAATGGACATGCACACCAGTCTGGTAAAATATGTCCCATCGATGAGGTCCCTAAGACCAAAAATTTGGCCCAAATTTGGAAATTTAAGGCCCATCTTTTGGTAACTTGGCCCAAAAAATGTCCAAAAAGGTCCATTTTTTGAGCCCCTACAAAACTTTTATTTATAGAAATGGAGAGTGTCTGACCCCAATTACTGCTGAATTGATTCCTATAAAGGAAAACTCGGGTAGATACCTTGGTAAAGCTATGGGAGTGCTCAGTAAGTATACATGCTATATTTTATCAATTATGTACATTATCATACTTCACAGAATTTCATGTGCACCTCTATATCACAAATCATTGTAAATACCATTATGTGGCACCTAATACTCCCTCTTGGGGGTCATAGCCACTACAACCTGTAAATATGTTACATTGATTTTAATATAAAAAAATCTATATTAAATTGATAGACATACTGTTTACTTCACATACATGTATTATTTGATATATTTTGGTGACTCATTACAATTTGCACTTAAGGTCATGTGATTATCTTGTACACGAACTATGAAATAGTGATGATGTACCAGTGTGACAAAGTAAACAAAGATGGCACTTGTGTTAAGAACGCCACCTATGTTGATGTCCTGGCAAGAGACCCTAAAACAAAGCTGAATCAGATTATGCTGGCTGAGATGATATTCTCACTGGACTCTCTTTGTATTGATATAAGGGACGTGCAGAGTACTAAACATCCTTGTAAGTACTAACAAATTGTATTGTCATAACAATCATACAGTATTCTGTCACTGGGAAAATGACAACCAACTGAGAGGGAAGAAGATGACATTGTTAATTACCAATCAGTTGATATGTGAGGACTTTCTACATATTCAAAAGTTTATTTCATGGCCAATCAGATTTTAAATTTGTTTGATTGGAAAAGACAAATATTTTTGAACAAAATTCTTCCAGTCGAGTCCAGCCCATCAGTGAATGTTCTGTGAATGTGATGATGTGTTACATTTAACTGGATCTATCGGTATTGTGTTTTAATTGTGCTAGTTTATATATGTCTTAATGTACTTTCAGTTTCCTGTCCCCTTGAGTCTTCATGTACAATACAAAACAGTCCAACACCAGATGTATTCAACTATGAACTGGCAAGTAGAATACATGCGCAACACTCATTCAAATATAAAACAATTTAAGTGGGGACATATTATTAATAATGACCCTTTTGTGACCAGGTGGTGACATTATGTCATGCTAATGTAGCTTTATTTTGTATTTTTCAAAAATGCCTGTCTACTTAAAGTCAAAATAGTTTTGGTTTTACCAATACCAAATATCAATATTAACCCTTATATCCAAGATGAGGGAAAGCCTAGAGCTTAGAGATAACAGACATCATTATGTGTCTTGCTTACCACTTTGTTTGTTCAATTTTTTACTGGCTTAGTTTCCAAATACTACACTTCAATGTGATGCTTTTATTGATGTAGGCATATTCCATACACATTTCTTTATCTTGATATGAAATAAGAATAGAAGCTATGATATTGGTTAACATGCCAGAAATTAACAAAATATTATTCAAAGTGATTTCGAAAATTTTGAAGCCGCCATTTTTGTTTGTTGATTTTGACCAATCGGAGATGTAGGTCATCTCAATACAGGTTTACATTATAAGCGCAGGTCATCTTTGAACTCTTAAGTTAATCCTCCTGCTTATATCCTGTAATACAATCCCAGTATGTAGCATCACAGTAATGGGAATTGGTTCTAAAATTACATGATTGATCTATATTCTTTTTGTAGATTTACTCTGGGAGATGGTACACAACTCATGCTATTAAATCACACAATATCTTAGATTCTACTAGTAATTTGATTGGTCTTACTCGATACAACACATCAGTTCTTGATATTTATGGAGAGAAAAAATCTACAATGGCTTTCACAAATTGGGGAACTTTTTCGGAGTAAGTCTCGTAATCTAAATATATCTACTTTAGAATACTAGGTGAAAAGTCTTTTCCTTATTATGCTAAAATGCTATTATGTTAAAATTAATATTAAAATGAAAATTAATATTATTTTCCTTATGTCTTAACCTTACCTTTTTACTATTTGATTCTATGTAGAACTAATGGGCCCCCCCACTAATGCTTCAGAAATATGTTTTTTATTTGTGTATTTTGACTTTTACTGTATATATGATACAGAGTCATTAAGATTCATACAGGGGCCCAGAAAAAGGGCCCCAGATTTTTCCCCATCATTGATTTTTTGTTAATTTCTCCCTTCCCGGATCCTGCACATGACCAGAGATAAGTCACTGGCTTCTTAAGGAAGAATATGTATACATGTTCATGGGCATAAAAAATAGAAATAGAAAACCCATTATGTCTTACATATTTTCTAGCCATGGAAAGTGTATTGGCAGCCCATACATACAAGGACAATTCCTGAACAATGATCCACTTTTAGCAGTCTATAAGGTTCCTGAAACTGAAAGTAAGTATTCTGTATCTTTTCTTTTCCAAGACTCACATTGTGAAGAAAAATGAAGATAAATTGTCATCAGTATAATGGACTTAAAGGCCCACTTTGCGAATTTTCAATGTTTTAAGGCAAAATAAAGACTTTTATTTGAATTCTATAGAATGTCCAATGTATTGATAACACCAAAAACAGCTCAAACAGACCACATCAAAGCTTACAATAATTGATCAAAAAATATTTTCAATCTGTCAAGCTTTATATATCAAGTTTTTATCAATGTCATTGAAAGTTGGCGAAGTGATATATTCATTTTTATAGAAGTATTGCCATCTTTAAAAGCAAAAGTAATTAAAAACATGCATTTTCTTCAGCATGTGCATGCATGTCTAATGATCTCTGAACTTCAAATGTTTTTTTCTATGTGAGTTATTTTTTTCTTGGTTCAATATTAAAGCAAATCAAACTTTGTGTCATATTTGAGCGAGTGTGTGAGTAATATGTTTCAATGATCATTTTTTCTTTTTTCTTCTAAATTAAGTATAGTGGGGCTTCTATAAACATTCTTTAAAGAATTTAATTCATGCCTTTAATTCATATTGTATATTACTCGTTTAAGTACACAATGGCACTAGTGTAACTCAAAAAAGTCAACTTGGAGAATTGAGAGCCGTTATTTAAACTTATACTCCATTGGTCCACTAAATTGTTCTACGCCGGGCAACAGAGCATCGAATTTGAATAATGGCTACCAATCCTCCTTGAAGGTCAATGCACATTAGAGGAGATTTTTCACATGTTTAAACAGATTACTTGATCAATGAGCTTTTGAATATTTTAGGGATGCTGGAAGAATACATGGGGATGGACAAAGATGATAGCGATGTCATTTGTAAGTCATTATGATGTTATATAGATGGCAGTAGTAGTTTTGGTCAGGCTTAAATACATATATGGAAAAACTGACATAGGCTTTTTTGACTTGATCTCAAACATTTACAATTAGAATCAATGTAAAACACCAATGACATGCAACTAGATAATCCTGTTGACATAAAGGGTGTGATTCACCCTTGCGATTGTGATTATTATAAGGATAAATGAAAATTGATTAATAACTGTAAAAATCAAGGTACTTCTATTTGGATATTATACTCGGATTTCAAATATGTCATCAAGCCATTAATGTTTCAAAATAAAAATCTCCTGGAATTTCATTGAAAATGAGTCTATACCAAGGTATAGCATATATATATATTGGTTGGTACATTTATATAGCAAAGTCTAGATTTATTACAAACAAGAATGTGATTTCAAGTTATCTGCAGGCATTGTTGAAAAACTATTTTTGTTTCAGCAATTTTCAAGCCAGTGTACATTCATGCCAGTAATAAGTACATGATTTGGTATGGGTGCTCCAAAACTGTCAGTGTGGATGAACCATGCCCCACTGAGTTCCAGTATGTAGAGTATGCCTCTAGGGAGCCTAGCATACCCCCTGAGGTGAAATCTGAGATGGATACCTTTGCAGAGAAGAATCTGTGTATTCTAGCAGAGTGGATGGGAGAAGTGAACCACGAAGGTACGTGTGAAGAGGACATGTATATAATAATAAAAACATTAATTGAAAGAGATTGATTAAAATGAAATAATAAAATTTAATAAAAATTATTTAGGCCTTGTACATAGAAAGCTGAAACTCATTTGATTTTGTGACATCACTCTTCACATATACAGTATAAACAGATACTACCATAATCCTTATTTGTGAACAGATAATTTTCAGTTAGTGTCAAACATATTGAATTGGGAGCTATGTTCAGTTCCATCTATCCCCTCTTACTCCCTACATTTCTAATATAATGTCTTTGGCTTGTTTAAATGTATCATGTAACTGAAATTGGTAGACTTGTGTACACATTTGTACATGTATACGATTGATTGAATTTACATGTACAGGTATATATGAGTAAAGTTAAGAATTATTGTATTTTCAGTTGAGTGCCCACTTGAGAAAACATGCACCAGCAACTCATTCCCAAAGCCGGAACATTTTGATGTAAGCTAAGAGTTTTAATGCTTACAGGGGTCTTTTTAGAGCTCAAAAATTGATACAGCTCAGTGAAGTTCACTAGTTCAGCTAGGGTGAACAGATAAAATCAAAAATTCTCTGCATCATATGTACATTTACTTATATAAAGTTCCTGTGGCATTCATTAGATATGGCAAATTTAAATTTTGAATGTGTTTTATTGCACATATAACCATGGGCTTTCAACTCTAATTGAAAGCCCATGCACATACTAAGCCCAAGGATGTAAGATTAATAAAAACTTCTTCTACAATTCCATAGTTAAAATTTAATAAGTCATAGTAACACCCACCTTACGAGTATTTTGATTGTCCCAGAAAATAAGTTCTTATACACCTTTTACCAATTAAATGTAAAAATATGAAAATCACCTATGTACTCAGCACATTTATATGTTTTCTTGCAGACCTATGATGGACTGTATTATGCAACCCACATACTAAAGGGAGGGACTACATTGCAAGCAGTGACAAGCTTGGCTAATGTATCAGGAAATGATTCTGTGTACTGGTTTAGTGGTATATTGAGGTGAATAATAATGGTGTAGTATATGATTCAATGATGTAAATAAAAAATTGTTGATAAAGAAATAAAACAAGTAAATGCTTTTCAAATTGAGTTTTTCAAACTCACATTTCTGTCATGAAATGTTTAAAAGCTCGATTTGCTACTCTTTGGAGTTGCTATTTTTTCTAGTTGTTTTCATGCTTTTTGAAATGAAAATTTTATCAGTGATAGAACATTTAGCAACTTAGAACTATTTTATGTAATGAAACATTTTGTTTTGAAATATCAAAAATGTTTATGCCTAATTTAATGATATGGAGTTTTTAACATTATATATGTAATTTTTGCATTTTTTAGCAATGGGGACTGCATGAATCAACTTCGCTTTGAGGGGAAGAATGTCATGATTAACTCATATACAGCTGAACTTGCAAATATAAATTGTAAGAATCATTTTTCTCAATACTCATATTGTACATTTCACAGTGCATCCTATTGTTATATAGGTTCTGACAAATTATACCCAAATTAATATGTACATGTACAGTATGCACAAATACCAGAGTGAAGAGTAAAATGTGTAACAGAAAAGAAATTGATGTGAAACATGTAAAAGTGCAACCAGTCAAATGGAAAATAATCCCCAATGATCTATTGTGTAAAGAAACAGTCTTATACCCACCCCCCACCATTATCACAATGGAAGATAGACCATGGGACATTGTATCCATGTTAGGAGGTTAAGATTAGCGTAAAAATATATGTGTACCTATCCCTATCCATATGTTTGTTACGGATGAGTATAGGTAATGCCTATCGCAAAATGAGTTTAAGATTAACGTAAAATGCAAGGAAACTGTATGCTACAATTTATGATAAAATCAACATCCTAATTATAGAATGAAAACCATGCGATGGCTTATACACGGTGCCCATGTCAAGCTGCGCGCCTACTTAGGCGCGCAGTTTGTTTCGATCACAAACTGCGTGCCTAAGAACATTGCATCATTTAAGTTGGAGTCTGTATTTTGAAACGTAATTTAAAGACATTTATCCTGCATTGTTTTCTTGTTCAATGCGTTCATTCTGTGGCGAATATACGAATCTTTCAAATACTAGCAAAAACTATGTGCAAATGAATCTAAGTTTTAAAACATAAGCAGATTAATGGCATTTTCGTCACTGATTTAACGGGAATTTATACGTAAATCGATCTAGCACTTTAAACATAAATGACAAATACTTTAGACTCGTTTTATATTTAATTCCTTACACATTTATCATGTATCATTCAAAATATTTCGAGATAAAACAGATAATCAGGAGATTAAAAAGAAATAAATCACAAACTGCGCGCCTGTTTTAGCCAGAAATTACAAACTGTGCGCATACACTATTAAAACTACATATTATCATTGGAATTTCTACAGAGGCACGTGTAGGTGTTTTTCATGTAGCTTTGGAAATTTTGCTTTATCGTCAGATTTTATGAGATTTTCATATTGAAAGTCAAAATGTATAATAGAAGTGACAATTAAGTTGGGAACGAAAAAAACTTTTATTTTCAGATCACCATCTTGGTGGATGGACTCTCATAGTGTTTCAATTATGGGGTTCTACTATTAGACACATATGGGCCTTGTATGGCGCTTATGTTTTCTAATAATACAAAACAAGCTTGGATAAGCAAGCAGTTTGGAAATATTAGGCACGTAGTTTGGCAAATGCATGTGAATATAGGCGCGCAGTTTGACAAGAAAAATGTTTAAATCACGTTTAAGGCGTATTATCGTTTTGAACACAAACTTTGCTGATTTAATCAGATGGAGTGATCCTATATATTCTAGCATACACAGACACAATGGCTGAATAAACGGCAAATGACGATAAAAAGACATAGATATAACTTTACACTGTAAATTTTGAACACAGAAGTTACTTAAGACCCTTATATTGAGATAACTGGGTTTACATCGGGAAAAACTTTGAGTACTATGAGTAAATTAAGTTCATCTTCACAGAATGGTACTATCTTTAGAACGAGACTAACCTTGTATTTTTCGTATTTTGGCTCTTTTTGGGAGTCGTGTCCTCCCCGTCTCACATTTTGAAATATGCGCGCAGTTTGTCAGAGTTTCAAACTGCGTGCCTAGTAGGCACGCTGCTTGGCATGGGCATCGTGTTATATGGCATATACCAGTACATGTCACCTCCAAAAACTGTTATATACTTCAGAGAGAGAGAGAGTGTGGTGTAGCTACTGTAGTTGGGAGGGGGTGTTGCTTGTTGGCCCGCTAATGCGGCAGTGACTTAAGATGAAATGTTAAATTTCTAGCATGATCCAGCATTGAGAGTGACCAAATAGTGATTAAACAATTAAAACCACAAGAAAATGGCTGATTTCATACATTTATAATAAGCAAAACTGATAAAGAATGTGTAAATTCAACAATTTCATGCATCACCACATGGCATCATTCATCGTATCAATGAATGTGTTCGACCACCATGCAGATTGAATGAGAAATTTTTGTTGTTACTATTTTAAAGTTTACTGATTGATGTTGGATCTACAAATGACATAATTTGTTGGATAAAAACATACGTTTTCGAATTACCTATCTTCGGCCATTAATAGGTAATTAAATGTATGTATCACGAATCCTGTAACTTGGGTAAAATACCGCTTAGTGTAATAAAAACTACGATTAGGTATAGGTAAATGGGTTATTTACGCTAATCTTAAACTCCCTATAGACTGAAATGTCAAATTCTTAAATGAAATTTTTAATATCGAACTGTAAGTGAAATAATTTACAATTTATCAAACAATCTTGAATTGTTTCAGCCTATTACCAGATTGTCTATGTGACACCAGACAAGCTAAGTAGAATTGAAATTGGATGCTTTGCCAGTATAGACAGAGACTCACCATGTCCACATGAGGCTTCTACAATACAGTATCAGACAAAGCAGCCACCATTGACAGATGAAGATAAGCAGAGCTTTGATGCTTTTGTTGAGTCTACTGGATGTCTTTCAGCATCAGATATGATTCCATTGGAGATTGACATTGAAGGTAAAATGTTTAATCTGTTTAATTATTGAAATTTAAGGTAATATGTACATGTAAGGGTAAAAATCTTAGTTAAACATTTTTCATATTAAGGTTCTCTGAATATCCTTTTGCGAGTAATTGAATTATCTAATCATAGAAACTATTATTGTGAATTGCTTTTAAATGTTCAATCCACCTTCCAGACAGGTGCATTCCAGACCCTAGTAAACCATATAACCAGCCAGTTGTTGGCGTCTGTCGAGTCAATGATATGAAGACACAGATAGGATTTGATAAACTAAAGGTATGAAGCTATATTTGAGACAACCAAAGACAACATCGATACAGATACAATGTACATGTTTTACTTCTTGAAGTTTTAAGTAGGCTATATTCCTAAGTTGACACATGCATCCAGACAGTCTGAGAAGTGTTTAGATTTTTTATTTTATTGGAATTTGATACTTTATGAAACTTATTAGGTATTATGAATTCTCCATAGGAAAGAAGAATTAGTCTAGCGGTAGACACAGTAGGGGTCGTTTTGTAGTAGAAAGTTTTTTTCTTTGCATTTTTGGATACCTTATTGTGTCTGCATAACATATTAGGAAGATGCAAAATTGTGCAGGTTGAGCATTTTTTATAAAATGACATTGAAATTATGTAATCATTTCAGAGGTGGGCGTGGCACTTTACTTAACATATTGTCATATAAAGGTTGTATTTTCACCTCAATAGACTGATATCTTAAAGTGTAAGCATGCTAGTAATAACTACAGATAGCTAGAAATGATTTATGAGCACAATGTAAAGCAATTAAATGATATATTATGTAACAATTTCAGGTGGATGTGGCGATTTTGCTACTTTTTACTCATTTTCACTTTTTCAGCTGAGCTTGATATTTTTGTAACTATTCCTATTAAGAATAGAATATCCAAGTGTGCATGTTTATGCAGAAATATGAGCTTAATGCACATTTCTGCAATTTGAATATCTTTTTAAGTAGGCATTGGAATTACGTAATTATTTGAGAAGGGGGCGTGGCACTATTTACCTAACACTATCATATAAAGGTTGTTCCTGTACATGAAATAACCGTTTTTCAAAGGTAATGCCTGCTTGTTGTAACTATAGATACCTAAAATGAAATATGTGCAAAATTAATTAATTGCATAATAAATTATGTAACAATTACAGGTGGGTGTGACAATTTCTATTTCCTCATCTTAAATTTTTCAGCAGAGCTTCCTAAAATTTGTACCGTGTAGTTATGTAACTATGATATGATTTTTGTGTAATTCTACTATTATAATTATTATGTGAGTATATTTCATAAAGAGCATTGGAATTATGTAATCACTCAAAAAATGGGCATTGTAGTGTTGTTAATATACCAGCAGGTATGGGTTGGTTCGCACCTGGGATGGAAATTTTTTCTTTGTAAATGGTTACTGTATCATATTCTAGATAAATTACGATTCAAATAGACATGGCAAATTATGAAATACACTAGTAGACTCAATATTCAGATTATATATTGCATAATGCGTATTGCTTGATATTTCGGGATATGATACAAATCTGATGTTTTTAAATTTACTGTGCCTCCAAATATATAATCTACCTAATGTCCAAGAAATGAGTTTTAACAATAACATTACAAGATTCAAAAGAGGCAATCTTTCAAAGAAGGTGTGCTGAATTGTTGACTCGGTTTATAGTAAAATTTGGACAATATCATCTCTTTCATAATCATATGCCAACTCATCAAGATCTCTTTCTCTGAACTCATATTAGGATCCGATATAGTTTAATGAATACTGGGTTTGACCCCATAGCAGTATGCAAGTATCCGTTTTACAGTTTTCTGATATCCTGTTCTCCTAATTGTGTGGTTGGAGTTTGCAGAGAAAGAGGGGTTGTTGGGATCAGGTTGTGGATTCAATTTGCAGACATCTCTGTTGTCTGATGACTGTGTGCATCCCTTTGGTAGTCTTCATAGCAACTCTCAAATAAAAGGTTGACATCAAGATCACAAGATCTTTGTTCAGCTGACTACACACGTTCAGACTATACTGTATGTAAAGATTTATGGTTCCTGGTTTCAAAGTTATTGTAACGCTTTGTCCACATCCACACTTGATAAACATTGTTTTAAGAACAAATCGGTCCACATTCAATACCAGAGGCTAATCTGACATGCTACACTATCAAATATGCATTTTGGAGGCATTCCATGTCATTCAGATAAATAAGGGTTATGTACTGGGAGGTTTTGGATATGGGGTTTATCCAGAGGGATATATGCATATCTACCTGAGGGACCGTAGGGATGAACCCTATATCCAAACCGACCATGCATAACTGGTTTATCCTATACCGAGTTTTCAGGGGCATATGGTCATTTCAATACTACAAGGTGTAAAAATATACAAATCATCCATATGCAAAGTCATTTTATTGCATTACCGGAAGCGGGAAGATATGCATCGGAAGTGGGAAGAAATGCACCGAAGCGGGAGATATGGCGGGAGATATGGAGGTTCTGGATATAGAAACCTCAAAATCAGGATAGGATACAGGATATATCTTACCAACTTATCTCCCTAAAACTCTACTTGGCATAGGATAAATAACCATATCTAGCATAATTGATGTGACATGGGGAAGCATATCTTTAACTGTCCCATATATAGCAGCTACTCTGCCTCTCGCTCAGCTCTTGTTAAAGTCATCATAGTGAAGACTGGTTAATTAGGTTCTGACTGCACCCAATGTTTAGGAGTGGGGCTTCTGGTTGTTTTTTATCTTCAAAATGGCCACCCGTGTAGCTCAGCGGTAGCGCAGGTACCTCTTACGCAATAGGTCTCTGAGCTTCCATCAACAATGCCATTTTTGTTGTTAGTTTCATTGACTTCATAATGGTTTGATATACAGCGATGTAGTAAGCCCCTTATCTCTTGCTAACTTTGTATTGTGGCCACCATACTATGGAATGAATCTCCCTGTCAGATGATATCAAAGCCTTGATTCTGAGCATGTGTCAGTGGTTTTGTCAGAAAACATGTTTGTATCATGGCACTGATTTATACAGCACCTGGGGCTATTATCATCTTAATCTGCATTTAGGTAATCAAACGGGTGATATAGCATTATAAACCACAATTTTATATAAAATGATGTAATTTTTGATGTAACTAATTATTATTTTGCATATAAAATAATTTATAAATATCTGTAGTTATACCTAGCATGCTTATATTCTAAAATATCAGTCGATTCATGTGCAAAGAAAACTTTTATAAGGTGTTTTTAAGTGGAGAGAGTGCCACACCCCCATCTATAATGATTACATAATTCCAATGCCAATTTATGAAGAATACTCAACCTGCGGTATTTTGAAACCTTGGTAATACCTTTTCAATTACCCAAATGCGAGTAGGTAGTTACCAGTTTCACCACCAGGTGGCTGATTCGGGTCAATTAACATGGCAGGTATATAAGAAAGTTCCCTTAAACTTGAATATTATCAATTTAAGTGGCTCAATTTTCATATAACCCTTATGTGTCTGATACTTATACTAATGAAAATATGTCCAGTAAAGCAAAATATTATCTGTCCACTAAAAGAAAAGATATTTCATTTTTTGTGATTTTATAGCATGGGGTCTATGGGGAATCTCCCCGAGCTAGAAGTCACATTTTCAAAGAAAATTAATTTTTCAAAGTTGATAAACACTTTTTAAAACCACATTTCTAGATGTAATTTTACATGTAGATTTCAAATATGATATTACTTTGACTTAATTTTGAATTTTTAATGACGTAAATCAAGATTATTTCTACTAGCATCTGGGTTATTGATGAAGATATATATTTGGGTCATACTTTAGCAGTCACAAAAATATGAAGAAACTCTGCTAAAAAAGTGAAAACAGTGACAAAATTGAACCTCCCACCTTAGATTGTAACGTCATGATGTAATTAATTAAGATTTTACACATGAACCATTTATACCTGTATATATAACATCCTAATTTCAATACACCAGTTGGTTTGTGTGCAGAAACAACCTTGATTTTGTGGTTTGTAAAGTAAAGCACCATGCCCCTGGTATGTTGGCAAAATTGACACACCTACCTTAGATTGTTACGTCATTAATTATGTAATTAATTAACATATTGCACATCAATTATTTATAGCTATCTGAAGTTATTACTAGCATGTTTACACTTAAACAAAACAGTTGGTTCTTGAGCAGAAACAACCTTCATATGATGGTTTTTGAAGTAAAGTGTCACTCCGCCTCCTAAAATCATTACATAATTTTAATGCCTAATTATGAAAAATAAAAACCTGCAGTATTTTGCAACTTGCTAATATTTGTTCAGTTGTTAAACATAGAATACCTAGCATACTTACACTATAAGATATCAGTCTATTGAGGTGAAGATGCAACCTTTATATGATAATATTTTAAGTAAAGTGCCACGCCCACCTCTAAAATGATTACATAATTTCAATGGCATTTTATAAAAAATGCTCAACCTGCACAATTTTGCATCTTCCTAATATTTTATGCAGACACAATAAGGTATCCAAAAATGCAAAGAAAAAAACTTTCTACCACAAAACGACCTTTGGTGTCATATTCCTATTTGGCAACTGGACTAAATGCCTTGTTTCATTTTCAAAATGTTGCCCTTTGAGTTGAGTTTTCTAATAATATATTGTGAAAGCTGTATCATGTCTAATGGTATTGCTAATCCTAACATAGTAGGCTATTTTCACATTGATAATAAAACCATTTTATGCGACATTTTTCAGTAGACCAATTGGTTATATAAACATGTTATCAAAAATACATGTACATTAGAGTAGCACGAATGAAATCTCCAATATTTCAGCTGGAAGGAGTCTGGTATGGTGTTGGTACTCTTCCCACAAGTGAGAAATCTTTTGGATCATCAGCAACAGCCATGGTTCACACTGCAAGTGACGCAATGTACATAGATTATACTTCTGCTATGTAAGTACTTACAGCCATGATTCACACTGCAAGTTACACAATGTACATATACTATACTTCTGCAATGTAAGTATTGACAGCCATGGTTCACACTGCAAGTGACACAATGTACATAGATTATACTTCTGCAATGTAAGTACTGACAGCCATGGTTCACACTGCAAGTGACACAATGTACATAGACTATACTTCTGCTATGTAAGTATTGACAGCCATGGTTCAAACTACAAGTGACACAATGTACATAGACTACACTTCTGCTATGTAAGTAGTAATGGTTCACACTGCAAGTGACGCAATGTACATAGACTATACTTCTGCTATGTAAGTATTGACAGCCATGGTTCACACTGCAAGTGACACAATGTACATAGACTATACTTCTGCTATGTTAGTATTGACAGCCATGGTTCACACTGCAAGTGACGCAATGTACATAGACTATACTTCTGCTATGTAAGTATTGACAGCCATGGTTCACACTGCAAGTGATGCAATGTACATAGACTATACTTCTGCTATGTAAGTATTGACAGCCATGGTTCACACCGCAAGTGACGCAATGTACATAGACTATACTTCTGCTATGTAAGTATTGACAGCCATGGTTCACACTGCAAGTGACACAATGTACATAGACTATACTTCTGCTATGTTAGTATTGACAGCCATGGTTCACACTGCAAGTGACGCAATGTACATAGACTATACTTCTGCTATGTAAGTATTGACAGCCATGGTTCACACTGCAAGTGACGCAATGTACATAGACTATACTTCTGCTATGTAAGTATTGACAGCCATGGTTCACACTGCAAGTGACACAATGTACATAGACTATACTTCTGCTATGTTAGTATTGACAGCCATGGTTCACACTGCAAGTGACGCAATGTACATAGACTATACTTCTGCTATGTAAGTATTGACAGCCATGGTTCACACTGCAAGTGATGCAATGTACATAGACTATACTTCTGCTATGTAAGTATTGACAGCCATGGTTCACACTGCAAGTGACGCAATGTACATAGACTATACTTCTGCTATGTAAGTATTGACAGCCATGGTTCACACTGCAAGTGACACAATGTACATAGACTATACTTCTGCTATGTTAGTATTGACAGCCATGGTTCACACTGCAAGTGACACAATGTACATAGACTATACTTCTGCTATGTTAGTATTGACAGCCATGGTTCACACTGCAAGTGACGCAATGTACATAGACTATACTTCTGCTATGTAAGTATTGACAGCCTAGCCATGGTTCACACTGCAAGTGACACAATGTACATAGACTATACTTCTGCTATGTAAGTATTGACAGCCATGGTTCACACTGCAAGTGACACAATGTACATAGACTATACTTCTGCTATGTAAGTATTGACAGCCATGGTTCACACTGCAAGTGACACAATGTACATAGACTATACTTCTGCTATGTAAGTACTTACAGCAATGGTTCACACTGCTAGTGACGCAATGTACATAGACTATACTTCTGCTATGTAAGTATTGACAGCCATGGTTCACACTGCAAGTGACACAATGTACATAGACTATACTTCTGCTATGTAAGTATTGACAGCCATGGTTCACACTGCAAGTGATGCAATGTACATAGACTACACTTCTGCTATGTAAGTATTGACAGCCATGGTTCACACTGCAAGTGACGCAATGTACATAAATTATACTTCTGCTATGTAAGTATTGACAGCCATGGTTCACACTGCAAGTGACGCATTGTACATATACTATACTTCTGCTATGTAAGTATTGACAGCCATGGTTCACACTGCAAGTGATGCAATGTACATAGATTATACTTCTGCTATGTAAGTATTGACAGCCATGGTTCACACTGCAAGTGATGCAATGTACATAGATTATACTTCTGCTATGTAAGTATTGACAGCCATGGTTCACACTGCAAGTGACGCAATGTACATATACTATACTTCTGCTATGTAAGTATTGACAGCCATGGTTCACACTGCAAGTGATGCAATGTACATAGACTACACTTCTGCTATGTAAGTATTGACAGCCATGGTTCACACTGCAAGTGACACAATGTACATAGACTATACTTCTGCTATGTAAGTATTGACAGCCATGGTTCACACTGCAAGTGACGCAATGTACATAGACTATACTTCTGCTATGTAAGTATTGACAGCCATGGTTCACACTGCAAGTGACACAATGTACATAGACTATACTTCTGCTATGTAAGTATTGACAGCAATGGTTCACACTGCAAGTGACGCAATGTACATAGACTATACTTCTGCTATGTAAGTATTGACAGCCATGGTTCACACTGCAAGTGACGCAATGTACATAGATTATACTTCTGCTATGTAAGTATTGACAGCCATGGTTCACACTGCAAGTGACACAATGTACATAGACTATACTTCTGCTATGTAAGTATTGACAGCCATGGTTCACACTGAAAGTGACGCAATGTACATAGACTATACTTCTGCTATGTAAGTATTGACAGCCATGGTTCACACTGCAAGTGACGCAATGTACATAGATTATACTTCTGCTATGTAAGTATTGACAGCCATGGTTCACACTGCAAGTGACGCAATGTACATAGACTATACTTCTGCTATGTAAGTATTGACAGTCATGGTTCACACTGCAAGTGACACAATGTACATAGATTATACTTCTGCTATGTAAGTATTGACAGCAATGGTTCACACTGCAAGTGACACAATGTACATAGACTATACTTCTGCTATGTAAGTATTGACAGCAACGGTTCACACTGCAAGTGACACAATGTACATAGACTATACTTCTGCTATGTAAGTATTGACAGCCATGGTTCACACTGCAAGTGACGCAATGTACATAGACTATACTTCTGCTATGTAAGTATTGACAGCCATGGTTCACACTGCAAGTGACGCAATGTACATAGACTATACTTCTGCTATGTAAGTACTTACAGCCATGGTTCACACTGCAAGTGACACAATGTACATAGACTACACTTCTGCTATGTAAGTATTTACAGCCATGGTTCACACTGCAAGTGACACAATGTACATAGACTACACTTCTGCTATGTAAGTATTGACAGCCATGGTTCACACTGCAAGTGATGCAATGTACATAGACTATACTTCTGCTATGTAAGTATTGACAGCCATGGTTCACACTGCAAGTGACGCAATGTACATAGACTATACTTCTGTTATGTAAACTATCAGGGAACATTCAAAAACATCGTCCCTAATATTTTGAAATATCCGGAAAATTGCTAAAACATGAAATATTTTAAGATAAAAATGTTGACATACCAATTCCACTTATTAGATCTAATGATATATTTTCAGAAAGAACAGGTGCCAAGCTCCTGTTAGGGTGAGTTTGACTGGAACAAATGATCCTGGAACCTTCATTGCTGAGGCCTTAGGAGTTAAAAGTAAGTGCAGCAAAATATTAAACTACTAAAAATTAATACCCAATTCCAATAACATTGACATTTGTGAAAAATTATGAATCCAATATAACACACAGTTGCATCGATCATAGTTTTGTAAGTAAATAGATTCTGAGAAGATATATATATATACATGTATATCTTTCATTGACTCTCTGATGTCATTACAATGACATATTAGTCACTAAAAAAAAGAAACTAATAACTACAATCTAAGAATTGACCTAAGACTAAACTAACTACTGAATACAAAAATAAAGTTGTAGTAAAATACAATTCTAATTACATCATCAAATGTAGAATACAAAAATACAAGATAATTGTAAAATACAGACACAAATTTAAATATCAGTGTGATGTTTCATTGACACATTAATCCAATTTTTTGAGTGAATGATAGATGAACTTTGCTAAATGTGAAATTACATAAGAATTTTTGTGAGACATCGGTTTTTTAAAAATAATGTCAGAACTGCCTACAAAATTAAATTATGTAAGGGTGTCAAACAAAAGTTTTCTTTCTGTAGTGTTTTTCTTACAAATCATGATGAAATGTTGTTCATCTTCTAAAATACCACAAATATTACATAAACGTTCATCTACAGGTTTTGGCTTTGGCTTCAAATGACGACCAAGTTCAATCTGTAACTTGTGGGAACTAAGCCTAAATCTACAAATTGCTTGCCTGTAATTTTTATTTTGGATATTTAAATAACTCTCTCTTTAAAAGACATTTGAATTCAGCAAAAACTCATAATCACTTTTTTATTGTCGGCCATTTTGGATTTTCCGTCCTAAAATCTTGTCTGTAAAGTCTTGTCTACGCGTTTTCAGGTGAACCGTTTGGTAGACCAATTTCAAATTTTCAGGGATGATTCTTAGTATGAAAATCTAGATCTGATTAGTTTTTGGGCATTCTGAGTAAATGTCAAGGCAGCCATTTTGGATTTTCCGTCCTAAAATCTTGTCTGTAAAGTCTTGTCTACGCATTTTCAGGTGAACTGTTTGGTAGATCAATTTCAAATTTTCAGGGATGATTCTCAGTATGAAACTAGATCTGATTAGTTTTTGGGCATTCTGGGTAAATGTCAAGGCAGCCATTTTGGATTTTCCGTCTTAAAATCTTGCCCGTAAAGTCTTGTCTACGCTTTTTAGGTGAACCGTTTGGTAGATCAATTTGAAATTTTCATGGAAGATTCTCAGTATTTAAATCTAGATCTGATTAGTTGTTGGGCATTCTGGGTAAATGTCGAGGCAGCCATTTTGGATTTTCTGTCCTAAAATCTTGTCTGTAAAGTCTTGTCTACACATTTCCAGGTGAACTGTTTGGTAGATCAATTTCAAATTTTCAGGGATGATTCTTAGCATGAAAATCTAGATCTGATTAGTTTTTATGCATTCTGGATGAATGTCAAGGCAGCCATTTTGGATTTTCCGTCTTAAAATCTTGCCCGTAAAGTCTTGTCTACGCGTTTTTAGGTGAACCGTTTGGTAGATCAATTTCAAATTTTCAGGAATGATTCTTAGTATGAAAATCTAGATCTGATAAGTTTTTGGGCATTCTGGGTAAATGTCAAGGCAGCCATTTTGGATTTTCTGTCCTAAAATCTTGTTTGTAAAGTCTTATCTACGCATTTCCAGGTGAACCGTTTGGTAGATCAATTTCAAATTTTCAGGGATGATTCTTAGTATGAAAATCTAGAACAGATTAGTTTTTTGGCATTCTGGATAAATGTCAAGGCAGCCATTTTGGATTTTCTGTCCTCAAATCTTGTCTGTATAGTCTTGTTTACATGTTTTCTGGTTAACTGTGTGACGGATCACTTTCAAATTTTCAGGGGTGGTTCTTAGTATTAAAATCTAGAACTGACTAATTTTTCAGGGGTGGTTCTTAGTATGAAAATCTAGAACTGACTAATTTTTGGGCATTCTGGGCAAATTTTAAGGTGGCCATTTTGGATTTTCCGTCCTCAAATTGTGTCGGTAAAGTCTTGTCTACTAACTTTTAGGATAACCATTTAATGGGATCACCCAAAGGTGGGGACATTTTGTACACATTTATGTTCTTGTATAATTCTGGTACAGTGTTTTTGTTATTGTCTTGATAAAAATATTGTCATCATCAATCTCTGGAGTATCCCAATCACTGGTGATCCACTCGATTATGCTGGTTACCAAAACAAACCGTTTTGGTAACAAAATGTCGGAACGTCGAAGGCACGATTTTTCCTTTGTCCTTATTTCATGCGTTGTAGGCAGAATCCCCACGACGTTTTTTCTCTCAACGTGCATCAGTATCATATGCTTTAGAAAATGTACATGTTTGCGAAAAAATAGCTCAGAAGACAACAGAATCTAATTCAGAACAGAAGGTAATTCTGCCTACAACGTGTAAAATAAGGAAACGAGAAAAATCGTACCTTCGATGTTCCGACATTTTGTTACCAAACGAACCGTTTTGGTAACCAGCGTAATCGAGTGGATCACCAGTGCCAATAAGATAATAATAAATCACACTTTTTTAATATATCAATGACTTTGTTTGACCAAGTGCCTTTAAAACCAAATTGACTCATTTCACGGTCATACATATATGTTTTATGAAGAATGTTTCCCGGTGATAGATGAAGTAAACGGAGCCAATATTTAATTAATTTGATTTCAAAACGTATTTTTAATTGGTAGCGTCCCAATTCTCTGTAAATTGCTGGTGTTGCAGTTGATTTTTAACACCCAACAGACATTTAAGAAAAGATAGGTGCATTGTCTCTATTGTCTTTAGATGTTTTTCATTGATCCATACCTCTGAGGCATAAGTTAGAATAGGTTCAACTAAGGAATCAAAAAGGTGCAATGCAACATTAACTGGAATCTCATTAAATTTTTTATATTGCTGTTTAACTTTAAACAAAGCTTTTCTTGCTTGCTCTTTCAAGTAAAATACATGCTGGTCAAAATTATTTGTTTTACTGAGTACACATCCAAGATATTTGTACTGCTCAACATTTTCTATAGCACTATCATTGAATGTGAAAACCGCATCAACTTTTGAGTTAAAAACAATTGATTTTGTCTTCATTGTGTTAACTATGAGATGATATCTCTTACCAAAATCAAACGGGCAATTGAACAAAGTTTGGGCACCATCTTTACTATTTGACATCAAGATAAGATCATCGGCCCAAAGTAAGTGGTTTAACATATTTCCATTAAATTGAATGCCATTTTCTTTTGGTAAATTGTCTTTTAAGTCATCAAGGAAATGGTTGAATAAATAGGTACTAAGTACAGAGCCCTGCATTACTCCAACATTTGTTTCAAAAGTGGGGGTGATACCTTCTTTAAATTTTAGACATGCTTTTGATTTTTACATGTATATGTAGAATAGTTCCATTGTTTCTAGGTGCTTTAGATAATAGGCTGTGATATTGAGTATTTGTTTTCCTTATGACTGCTCTGTTTTGCTTTTTATTTTGCATTTTGTGTTGTAACCAACCCCATAGCAACCAGTGAAATATTTTTACAAAATCATTCAATTTCCATCATTTTGAGCCATTTTCAAGTGATTTTGGGCAAAAATTCAAATTTTTTTAAAACCTTTTTTAAAAACTCAATTCCCTTCGGCAAAAACAGGCTACGGGCCTGGTTTTAATGAATCTCAAGTTTGGCTCCTGCCTCTTTCTCAACTTTACTTGAATTTTTTTTATTGAATTATTTGAATATTTAATTAAAGGTGTATTGAAGGTGATCTACCTTGCAAATGACGCAACCTTAGTGTACCAATGTGATATGGTTCTGGAAAGTGGTGAATGTAGCAAAGATGCAGTCCATCTTGATGTGTTGACACGTAAACAGAATCCTAAACTGAATACTGTTGTTATAGCTGAACTTCAGATGCTGTACTTTGAAAAGTTATGCATTAATGCATCTGAGATACAAATTACAAAACAAGAAGGTATATCTTAACATTGTTCTCTTCTTTCATTTTCAACATCTTTTACAGTCATGTTATCGATCTTTTTTCTATACAACAACATAAGAACCATTTCCAAGTGACCATTGTACTCGTACATGTGTATTGTTTTCAGTAACTTGTTCCTTGGTATCACAATGTTCTGTTAACAAGTCCCCATCACCAAAAGTATTCAATTACAAAGAGGTAAGAAGCTTTTCTAATTATTGACTATTACAGTAATGTATTTTCCAAATACCAGATATAGAATAATAACTAAAACATAATTTATCCCCACTCGGCTCTCAGATACATGTATGTCTTTTAAGTATTCATTAAAATATCATGAATTAAAGACCTGCTTATAACAATATTTAGTGTTTATTATAAGCAATATGCATGTTTTGTAGATTTACTCTGGACAGTGGTACATCACACATTCCATCAGGAATTCAGGAACCATGGATTCATGGACCCATACTTTTAGTATTTCCAACATGACCATTGATGGAAAACCAAATTTTGCATTCATAAACAGGATTACAAATGCCAGGTACATGTAGGTTGGATTTGTTAAATTTTTAAATGACTGACTGACACAGCTTATAAAACCTTTGGATTATGTATGCATGCACATGTGCCAATGGAAAAGCACCAAAAATGGTTAAAGCTAGCTATAATATAAAAAGAAAATGAAAACGTCCAAAAGTACACCAGTCATAAGGAAAATAAACCCCAACTGTCCCAAATCATAATCCAACATTAAAAGAAACTGTGTTTAATACCCCCTCCCCCACCATATGATTACATAACCAGAAGCCATTCAAAATCAAATCTTATATACTTGGGATTTACCTTCAGGTTAATTTTTAAAATGAAAACATAAAAGGCATACAAGTGAGAATGCTTGAGTGGGCAACATTAAAAACACTAGGAAAACCTTGGTAGATGATTTATACTTATTTCTGAATTTTGTTTATAGGAACGGTTCCTGTGAATCTGAAATGATTCTGCATGGTCGGTTTATCAATAATAATCCACTGTATGCGGCTACAGGCTTCTCTGAACATAGTTGAGTATTTCAATAATTTTCAATAAATACTCTCTTGTGAGACAAATATGACAAAAGAATGATGTTTGCAAGTAATTATGTAATTGTGTGAGTAGTTATAGTATTTGTATGATAATTTATAATAACCTGGGGGTCAATAACAGAAACTTCATAAAGTTAAGATTTCATAAAGTCCATTGTTCTCTAACTGTGACATCATTATATCCATGGTAACAACAATTGATTTACAAATTCATAAGATTCTGTTAATGACCCCCTGAATATATTTTTTGTTTTCTTAGCGCCACATATTACAAAGCCTGTGTACATCACCTCAGATGAGAAACATGTGATATGGTATGGCTGCACTGGCCAGATCGATGACCCCTGCCCGGCGGAGTCCATCATTTATACATCTAGGGAACCTAGCTTACCCTATGTGGTAGAATCAGAGTTTGATCTCTTCATCGAGGAACACTTGTGCGCTGATCCAGACTGGATGGAAACAGTTAACCATGATGGTATTCTTTTATTCCAAACTAAATTGAGGATATCCTATGATTTATGAGTGATATGATTTTTATCCATGAATGGATATGAGCACAGAGAGTACAGATATTATTATCCATGAGTGAATAAAAATTATATGAGTTAATCACCAAATGCTCTTTTTATTCCATAGATAAAGGGTTCCGGATCCATTGTTACCGTCAGCCTCATTTTGAGTCAAGTAGTAAAAATTGTTAACTCACCCTATGCAGACAGAGCCTGTGGGAAATATTGGGTGGGGAGCAAATGAGCGGAGGGTGCGGAGCCAACGGTCATTTTTGAATTTAAAATTGGGGTATTTCTGAAACTAAGCCGTTTTGGGACTTCAAATATACCAAGATATGTGTATTTGACACCAAATATCAATACAATTGTGAAAATAGTAGCGCAATTCATTCTATAGCGACGCAGTGTGCCTTAAACATTTCCCAGACCTATATATTTTGAAATTATCCTTTTAATCCTGAGTCCCCAGCATTCATAAAAAATGATGTTCAAGGTACACTATCTATACAAATTATTTTTGCATCTTGGAAGCCAGGCAGTATCAATGTGATTTTATAAAAATTCGGAAATGTTTTTCAGATATGAGCCCCCTCTAAATATTGGGTGCGGAGCAGCTCCATAAACGTAGCTCCGCACCCAATATTTAGAGGGGGCTCATATCTGAAGAACATTTCCGAATTTTTATAAAATCACACAGATACTGCCTGGCTTCCAAGATGCAAAAATAATTTGCTTGGGTAGTGAATCTTGAACACCATTTTTTATGAATGCTGGGGACGCAGTATTAAAAGGATAGTCTCAAAATATATAGGTCTGGGAAATGTTTAAGGCATACTGCGTCGCTATAAAATGAATTGCACTACTATTTTCACAATTTTATTGATATTTGGTGTCAAATACACATATCTTGGTATATTTGAAGTCCCAAAACGGCTTAGTTTCAGAAATACCCCAATTTTAAATTCAAAAATGACCGTTAGCTCCGCACCCTCCGCTCATTTGCGCCGCACCCAATATTTCCCACAGGCTCTGTCTGCATAGGGTGTAACTGTTCAATACGACATGAAGTAATGTTAACTGTATTAAATTAAAATCATGGTAATTAGTACATCAAATGCCTTGAATTAGTAGTTAACTCAATATGAAATAAAAATATTACATTATAACATATCCAGGCTTGTAAATCGCAAGCAAGTTCCCACTGACAGCACGAGCAATGAGCTCATGTTAGAAGCGGGGCCTTGAGAGATATGATAAACTATAGTTATAGTTGAAGAACGTCATTGCCCTCCAAATGAAATAGCCATTGTACTATGAAATAAAGTTGTCCTGAGTTTTATACTTACTAAAGTTTCAGAGAAAAACCTCTCAAGGTCGCGCTTCTAACAGAAGCTCATTACTCGTGATGTCAGCGGGGCCTGGATAGTCCCCGTGCATATGTAAATCTAAGGTTTAACATGTCAAATGTTCTGGCTTCAGTGAAGTGTCCTGATAAAGAGATGTGTTCCAGTAATAACCTACCACAACCAGCACCTTTTACAGCAGAGGTGAGATCTACATGTGATATTAGCAACAATAACTTAAAAGACCTTTAAATATGATTTTAGATAGGCTGTATAACTTTATGAATACTAGTATTGGATAATTTTAGTATACACTGGAGTGTTCTATGGCATGCAACTTACATGTACAGTAACTCTGGTTGTCTCAAATGTCTATTTCCAGAATTTGAAAGGAGTTTGGTATGTTGCCTATACAGTGAAGTTTGAATCCACTTTACATACCATAACAGTGGATTATGATGTCACAATAGATAATGTGACTGGGTCAGCTACTTTTGACTGTGTAATGGGTGGTATTACAGGGTAAGACATCTGGAAAAATCTTTTTATTTAAATATACCATCATTTGTTAAAAAATGATTAAAATAGTGTATCTAAGCCTTGCATAATCTATGTACAGTAAAACGTGTCTAAGTGGAATACTTTTGGTACCTCTAATTAGTGTTCCACTTGAGAGATGTTCCTCTTATAGAGGTTGCTTAACATTAAGTCAGTCAGTCTTGGGTCTCTGAAAAGTGTTCCACTTACAGAGGTGTTCCACTTTAGAGGTGTTCCAGCTTACAGGTTTCACTGTATTTTAAGACGTGTGTATATATATTTTCAGTGTTGGAGAGTGTCTGCAACAAAGAGGAGTTTCACTTCCAATGGCTAGATCAAACTTAATGACCATCAATGGTAATATTTATAATGGTAAATGGTAATCTAATGGTAAGAGAAGTCTCTGCTATTTCATTGTCACATTGATTATAGTCCACATCATTACAATGAATGTACATATCTTACATGTAGGTAGGAACACCCTTTTTGGCTATATGTAATGTTGGATCATCCAATGTTTTTGTCTTTTTGGTATTTGTTTGTATTGATATTTACTTGCGCTCTACATATGCGTGTCATTTGATGTCATTACTAAAATGTTCTAAGAATAGAATTGCATATTAAACAAGAAAAGGGTGAAACCTGTCTAAGTGGAACACTTTTGGTATCTCTTAAAAGTATTCCACTCGGTAGATATTTCACTCAGAGAGGTTCATTTAACATTAAGTCAGTTGGTCTTTGGACTTAACACTAACAGAGGTGTTCCACTTCTAGAGATGTTCCACTTAAAAGGTTTCACTGTATTTTGTTTATATTTCAGGCTATTACCAGATTCTGGACATCTCCCCTGACAATTCCAGTATTCTCTTCTTTGGCTGTAACAACTACATTGATCTTGGCACACCTTGCGCTCCTGAATCTTTCTACCTAGAATACCTTACTAAGACTCCTCCATTAAGCGATGATGTTAAGAAACAGTTTGATTTAACAGTTGAAAGGTCTGGTTGTGCTTCAGCTGCTGATGTACGTCCTATGCATATAGATTATGATGGTAAAGTACTTATGCTTTGAGACCATGTTAATACTGTGTTATTTAAAAAAAAGTATTGAGTTCATGTTTTATTTAAATATTAAAAGAGTGATATGACATTAAAAGTATGTTACCATACAGAGTGGGAAAGAAATATTACATGTAGTAATGATCTTGTGGTTTGGGATTGTGATAGGATACCAGAATGGTGGACATTGTTTCTTTTTTTGTCTTTTTGGTTTATGTGGGTTTCTTAGGGAGTAGTTTTTATTGTTACACATTTTTTTTTCTAATTAGCTAAAAATAGAATAGTACATCTGATCAATACCATGGTGATTATTTTGGTTGCTTACCTTCATGTACCACTAACAATAACTATCTTACCATTTCTTGATCTCACCTTAGTTGGGGGATAATTCATGGGTGGTAAATGGGGGAGGGATGGCGGGCGAGATTCACTCAGATAACAACCTGCTTTCTCCTTGTATCAAGAAATAAATGGAAAATGGCGTTCTTCTGCGCATGTGCGTTGACCTACATTCAACTCTACTTCCTAGTAACCGATTTGTTTACATCAAATTCTGACAATCGCAACAACAATTAACTACTCCCATAAAACACACATAAAACCAATTAATTTTCAATTAATTGACATTTGTATGCTAGATCATAATTTACAATATCGTAAGTGTGTTCACGTACCTGGCTGTGCCCTTACTCGTAGATATTTTTCTTCTTTATCTGCATTAATATTGTATGATCTGTAAAATGAAGCCCTCTGATTGGTTAGATCTTGTGCTGCACCAATCTGTAGTGCTACTGAAATTGTCCCCATCTCTGGAGCAATATAGAAAATATTGGTAAGAATCTCAGTAGCAATACAGAGAATACAGAGTATTTCCTATACTAGGGATTATCTCCCTAAGTAAAATGTATTTGCCTAAGATCACACAATAAAAATAGAATGATTTGAAGTGCAACAGGATAAATTCTGCTCTCAATATTCTCAACTTAGCCTCTTGCCAATACAGGATTTCTTGAGCAGAATATATCCAGTATTGCACTTCAAATCATTCAATAACTTATAACACTGCTTAGTCTCTCTTCTTGTGCTTACTATATACAGTAAAACCTGTCTAATCCGAACGCCACTGGGACCAGTCAAATTGTTAAGATTAGCAGGTGTTTGACATAACAGGTGTTTTCATAGTATGGGAGATAGCATTGAGACGTAGAAAAATTGTTCACATTACATTGAGATTTGAGTATAGCAGGTATTAGGAAATACAGGTTTTACTGCAATTGCAATATTGTTGTATGTATTAGTTCCATGGCTTTTATTTCAGGCCAGTGCCTTCCAGACCGAAGTAAGCCAATCAACCAGCCTTATACTGAGACTTGCCAGGTGAAAGATATCAAAACTCAAGTTGACTTAGATAAAAAACTAGTAAGTTCATTCATATTGCAGTTGCCCAATCTCATTAACTGTCAACTTTTCTGCAACATCTTCATTAACAGGTGGCACAACTTCAAGAGTAGATGGTAAATAAAAACGGGATATTTTGCACATTGTGGACTACCACTGGGTTCAAACTAAGAACATAACTTACTTTTTAGTTCAAAGGTCGGTGGTATGGAAGAGTTCATATCTCTGACACAAGTGAATCATCATTTGGGTCATCATCAACAGCTTATGTTGATGTACTCGAGGATGGCAACATAACAATAACATACACCTCTGTAATGTGAGTATTTTGTTTAATAACAGAGTAAATACATGTACACGATAGCCATTCTATTGAGTTGGTGTAAATGTCAAAGCATTTAATAAATACAGAATATCACATCATTTTGAGTGATATCATTTTTATCGCCGAGTTGATATCAAATATCAACACGAGTGAGCGAAGCGAATGAGTGTTGATATTTGATATCTACGAGGCGATAAAATGATATCACGAGAAATTATGTGATATTGGGTTTATCCCATGATTACGATCACCTTGTGATATAGTTCGTCATAAATACAATTTTTTAATCGTTATTTAGCAGCCTTCTAATCAAATTATATACACAATCGTAATTTAGTACACCAATGAAACTTAAAGAGAATAAATTAACGGACCTATTTTCTAAAAAGAGAATAAATTATCTGACCTGATTTCCAACAATATTGTGGCGCGAAATGCAAATTAGATATCACACAGATATGCGTGAGATAAACGATATCACACGCATATGAGTTTGATAAACGATTTTCTGGAAAATATCACAAGGATTTCAATGATATCAGAAATATCAATAGCTGTTATTGTACAGATAACACATTAATCGTGGGATAAAAATGTTTATCACATCTCAAACTAGAATGATGGACTCTAATTGGTCAGATCACGTCACACTCTCCATCGTGTAATAATGCTATAATATTCTTTATCTTGTTCGAAGCTTTTTATTAGATCATGATATTTTGAAATGTTGAGTAAGAATTTTGGAATATTGTTATGACACTTGAGGTTTGATTAATAATTTAGATGTAAGGATTATATAGATACTAATTGGTTGTTTTACTCAGTGATGGAGAATGTCAAGAACCTGTTAAAGCCATGTTGACCCCAACAGAAGACCCTGGTACTTTCCTTGGATATGCTCTTGGTGTAACAAGTAAGTCAATTTTAAACATTTGGCTGAATAGTTCACTGTTATTCTTTGTCTTATTGTAATCAACAGAGTGAATACTTTGCACTTATGTCACAATTGTCTTTCCAATCATCTGTTATGTCTAATTTATGTATGTATATCTAAAGTAGACACATATACAATTGTACACCTATTAATTTCCTTTTTTCTAGGCATAATAAAAATTATCTTTACGAATTATGAGATTGCCTTGGTGTACCAGTGTGACAGTGTGTTGGAAACTGGAGAATGCAGTGAAAAGCATCTTCATCTTGATGTTCTTAGTCGAACCACATCAGATAAAATAAACACCATCCTAATAGCTGAGCTGAATATATACTTACAGAAATACTGTATTGATTCTACGCGATTGAAAAAAACAGACCAGGAAGGTAACTGTGAAATTATTGAATGTGAGATAATGTTTTAGGATGTTGGGAGGTTCTTTCCTTTCGAGTTCATTTTCTGGATTTCACATTTTGATTTAGATTCTGTACATAATCAATGATACTGTGAAGGGCAGCATTGGAATGAAACATGAATTATAAAGTAACCCCTATAAATGATACCAAGTAGAACTCATCTTGAACGTGGTTACATTACATACAGTAAAACCTGTAAAGTGGGACACCTCCTTTAGTGTAACACTTAAAATTATCAACTAATTAATGTCAAATAAACCTCTGTAAATGGAACACCTCTCTAGTGCAACATTAGGCCTATTTTAAAATATCAAATATATAAAATATCAAAATTGTTCCTCTTACACAGGTCAATGTACTTAAATATTTTTATATATATGGTTTTAAAATTGGTTGTGCTTTTCTTCTTAATGTGTTTTTGTTCTCCGTTTTCCCCTTTCATAGCACTTGTTCTTATATATTTAGGTAGATGTAATGTGTATTCAAGCCTCAACAGAACATGTAACGTTGACGAAGTGGCAGTGCAGCAACAGTTTAATGCTTCTAAAGTAAGGACAAAATATTTGTTGTGGATAATGGAATGATGGCCCAAATTCGTCAATCCTCAATTTTTATTACAATTAGATAGCATTCATGTTAAAGTGATAAATTCTGGATAAAAGAATAACAACTATTCCAGCATATTTCTATGTTTCAGTTCTATGGTAAATGGTATGATATCGCTCGAACAAGGTACACTGAGGGAAATACATACGAGCAGGGTATAGGTGTCTTCCAACCAGGAGGTAGTGATGATGAAATGTATATGTACTATGTAGGCCTAGATAAGTAAGTACCAGTTCAGTGATAGAGAGGTTCAGAAGAGAACCTGCATTTGAGCATGTAATATTTTGACCCCAGTAGATTACTATTTCGCTCTCAATTCACCTCTCCATGGGCCTAATTACAATTATTTTCCATATATCATTACACTCAATCGGCCAAGAACTAATTCATAGTTCTACACATTCGCATACAAGTTCTTTAAAAAACATGTTCCTAAACCTTCCTAATTACTACATGTACATATAACTAGATTATGAGTTGTGTGGGTCTAATTGTCTGTATGTTAAAGTTAAGCAATTGCAAAACACTATTTTATTTCATCCAAAAGTCCATGTGCCACATAGTGGTGATGATTGGTCATTCCTACAGATTCCCAGCAGACATAGAATAAGTTAATTTTATAAAATAATATGATAATTGGAACAATTTGGTGAAATACGTGTATACTGTATATACCCCATGATAATGTACGCTTTTACTGTAGAGCTGGAGTTTGTATAGATCCTGTGAAAGGACTTCTGAAATTCAGAGACCCCTCCAAGCAAAATGGTGACTTCATGATATACATAGATATTGCTGTAGATCAATGGAAAACAGAAATAAGTAAGCCATAGATTAATAATGTGTATGATACTAATGCTATTTCAAAGGATAATCCATTTGGGAAAATATGTAAATATGGTTAATGATGAAAAAAGAAAATCACATTCAGGCCTATAATAGCTAAACAGATATATTGTCATTACTCCTAGTCAAAGTACCTCCAAAGTGAAATAAGTTTTAATTTCGCAAATTTTGAGAAAACATGATTTCATGGCCACTAAGTTTTGCGGATTTCACAAGTTAAGATCCCATTATTCTCTGAATCCTAATGGGCTTTCAATTAGCCCATGGAATCCTCAAGCTCTCTAAATAAGGTTACCTCATGTACAGTAAGTAAACCGAACGTATGTCATATTTGGATAAGACAATTACTACTAGATCTTGGTCAATGGTACGTTGCACCTTAACCTCTATTACATCGTCATTTTCAATTTATTTAATCTAATAAGCCACTGTAACAGACATTGTTGCTTAGTATCTCATTTATTGCCTAATAACACTCGACAAATGTACAAGTCACAAAATACAATGGAGTCACAAGTAATTTCAAAAATCCCCGGGGATTTAATTGACAATTTCGCATGAAAAATAACAGGAGTATAAGCATATTTTATTCGTGTTTCAGATTATAATTATAAAGTTGTGTACACTGACTACCATAATGCTGTTATCTACTCTTGTTACAATCAGGCCTCTGATGGGACATGCAAACGAGAATTCCTGCAGGTAACTCAAAATTAATTCAATCAGATTGACATAGCCTAACCAGTCTACACACACAACCCATGTTGTGAAGATGTATGAATGAATTAAATTTATGAATGTATGTATGTATGAATTGAAAAAGTTGAGTGAATGTACAGTATATTAGTGAGAGTGCAAAAACTATTAATAAGAAAGCATTAATGGCAGTATTTAAAACACGAAAACTCCCAAAGTCCTAATTAACAAAACGCAGTGATCTACCTAGCACTTTCACATGACACCTCTTAATTCTAATTTTTGATAGGGTGGCATGTTGCAGGAGAAAACACTGACCAGTTTAATGCAAAATGTGAATGATTTATAATTTCTTTTTCAGGTGGATGTCCTCAGCAGATCACCTAGTATACCATATCATAAACAGCTAGATTTGGCGAAAATCATAGATGGCCTTTGTATAGATGTAGAAGATATCATCTTCACAAAACATGGAGGTTACTATTTTTATTAGCTAATTACTAACTTTTATTTGAGCAATAAAAAATGATAGGCCATTCAATATGGTGAAAATCAGCTCGAGTTGGAAAGAATGATGTAAAAGCAGTATACGAAGGTGTGTGCATTTTATTTGTACTGACATTCTGTTCAAGGAGAGTGGAATTTCGCCCATTATTATTTATTCCAATTCAAACATAAAACATGTAGAAAACATTGTTTAACTTGTCATTCTGTCATCAAAATTTGTAATTGGCCATCCCCAGACAGAGCCCAAAGTGGATTCATGGATGTGGATAATGCACGGTTCTTCATGTATGGAGAATTAAAGAATGGCTACGCTGCATACTGATTGGTTTAGAAACTCAATTTGAGAATGTCATGTTTGAACAAGGAGTAAAGAATTCTGTATTTGATCATTGCATGCTTTAATTCCATGATACTTCTCTATTTTCAGATACTTGCCAGCTGCCACAAGGATTCAATGGCTACTAATATCTGCTACAAAGAAAAGCTGTTTCTATCCAAACTTTGAGTGCCACTCATATCTACAAAATACAAAACTTTGAGGACTATGAATGTTCAGTTCTTATCTCTAGACTTTGAAGACTTAACCACAATTTGGTGAATTGATATCCCTACTTTGATGGATCCAAACTTTAATGAAGACTCTATCCAGACTTTGATGGATACTAAATGTCCAGATAATGTGCCAACATTGTGCTCACTAAATAATGCAACAGAGCAATTATAACTACAGTAATGATGCTACAACATTTTGAAATCTTTGGATGTTTGAAAATTAATTGTACTATTATTTTAAATATAGATATGCCATTAGGGAAAATAAAAGTGGAATGAGTTTTTTGAATCTTTGAATAATTATGTCTATTTTTAAAAATTAGTTCAAGTAGTAAGTTAATAAAAATATACACCCATGACAAGGCACCCATAAGAGTTTTCAAAACTTACATTTTTCATCTTGAAAGTTCCTCTTGAGAAGCGTACTATGCACATAATGAATACATAAGACATTAATATCCATTATCAAAATTTAGATTTTTTATGGACAAGTAATTGCCATTTTGAATTGAGCAGCCATACTGCAATTTCTTTCTTAAACAAAGGTCTTATTCGACATGAACCTATTTAATTTGGACCAAATCAGATTACTGGTGTTAAAAAATACATTTTTCATGTAACATGGCACCAAATTCAGAGGCCATCTTAGAAATTTCTTCTTTGCAAGATCTCCTATATTTATAAGGCATTAGCAAATAAAATTTGAACTGAATTTATCCATCTGTACTCGAGTTATCCACACTTTTAATTGAAATTTTTGCAAGTACTCCGTGTCAAGATCTGATTAGATTTTGGGCATGTTGGGTAAATTATTTGGTGACCATTTTGGGTTTTTGATAAAAATGTTTGACTTGTGTTATCTCTGTCTTATTCATATTTTTTTAATATCTAAGCTAATTAACAAAAATTACTTCACAAAAATTAAGAGTTCTGGTACTTTTTACAGGTTTATTTACAAAAATACAAATACAAGAACAATACATGTAGAGTGTACAATGTACATAAAGAATGTAGATTTACACATTGGAAGATCAGATCTTCAACAGCATTTCTGTTATTTGTCTAATATTTTCTTCATGCTTATCTGTTTCTTCCTTTAAATAACCCTTTAACTAAAATTTTAAATAGGTCTCGTACTACAGGATATGAACCCATCCTTGGGATGTCATATATTCTTGGCATATTCCACTGAAATCTGTTTATAGCTTTACTGCATAGCTCAAGAAAATCTGAATACAGATCAACGAATAGTTTAGTTCTGAGAATATAAACCAGCCAATATAGAATAAACCAGGTGGGCCCTGCTAGACATAAAGAAGTCCCATGTATGATACCTCTTAGTATATGTTTCACTGCATTCCCACTGCATACATCAATATGAGCTAATTGTAATGTAACATCCAAATCCCTGATGAATACTTGAAATGTGAAGTGGACTAAACGGAAAAAGTTAATTATGTATCCATATAGTAAAGCAATGTCATTTTTTAGATCATCACACACCTGTTTAAATCTGAGATGTACAGTATCCATAATCATCTACAAACACCTAATCCCCTTTAATCAACTAATTTTATATCAATTATGATTCCAATCTGTAACAACTAAGTCAGAGTTTCCTTCTGCGCAACCTATGAGCCCTGCTGCCTGTCCAAGATGGTAGTACTTGTACTATCGTGCCTTGCTCTGTGCAGCTTCTTTCCTGGCTGCATCTTGTAGTAGCTGAGTGTCACATTCATCAGCTGGTAGCTGCACGTACCTCACAACAGAACCACGGATAAAACAATTCTTCACAGACAACTGAAAACACAAAATCAAAAGAAATATTTTAAGTATAATACCAAGGGAAATGAATCAAACCACATGACTTACTTAGTATTGATAACAAAATAGCTTTATTAGTCTTTATTTAGAATTGATAAAAAAAAGAAAATTGGAGCTCAATAAAAGACAAAAGACAATGGGATATTTGTTATACATTGGTGTTAAATATTACTTACTAATGTATGTGGGTGATAACTAAATCTTTATTTCAAATAGATTCACATTTTTTGTACAAAAAATCAACTTTTGAAACTAAATTGAAATGTTTCATATAGCACATTTTGATTGCATTGGGTACTGGGTAGGACTATAATATAAGCCAAAGTGATTTAAACTTTATTCAGAGCCTTTAAACAATTTTCATAGAAAAATAATCTTATGTTACATGTGATCAATCTAATACAAAGATTCATATACATGTACTTTACTGTTTGGTACAATAGTGTTAAAGACTCCTAGTGTGTGAGAATTTCTCACCATAATAATTTCTCTAGTCACTTTTTCATCATTTTTTTCTCATTTTCAAGTGAATGCAAATTAGTTTCCATGTGAAGGCAGTATAAGGATAGGGAGATCACAGTCAATACTTACCATATGAGGGTATTTGTCTGGATCTGTCACACTAATGTCTGTCAGTTTAATGTTTAGAAACTGATCCACTGAATGAAGGGTACCACAAATACTGGAAAACAATAAGAGAACATGTCTACATGTATTACACACACAAAACAGCATACCTACGAGAGTCCTGGATCAGATTATGATGATTAATAGTCTGGGGGTCATTAACAGAACTTTCGCAAAGTTAAGAATTCGCAAGTCAATTGTTAATTTTACGAATTTGGTAAATGTGCATTAACAGAACTTTCGTAAAGTTACGAACGATTCGCAAAGTTACGAAAAAATGACATCACATGTGCTTTCGTTCGTAACTTTAATAGCACCTCAGACCCTTTCATAACTTTGCGAATGGCATATTTCTCATCCAATTCTTATGTAAGGTATACAGGTTGGCAATAAGAAATTGTTCTTTATATGCATGCTAAGTTTCAAGCTAAAATATCCACCTATTCTTACATGATAAGCAAATATGTTCCTGAGCTGGGAATCTTTGAAATTGCGGAGACAGGTTTAATCACAGCGCGCAATGATATCAAATGACATCATATTTTTATTTGTGCTAAATAATGATATAAGATGACGACACAATTTGAAATTCATTTACGAACGATAAAAACTTATGAATGACTTACGAAAGTGTTCTGTTAATGGCCGATTCGTAACTTGATGAATTCGTAAGTCATTCGTAACTTTTTAAATATTTACGAATTTCAAAAAAATACGAATTACGAAATCGTAACTTTTCGAAAGTTCTGTTAATGCCCCCTGATAATTTCGATTGAGGGAAGAGGTAAATGTCCATAATGGTATTTTACATTACAGGGATGCAGTGTCATCCATGTCATGAGGGTAATTATTGAGAAAATTGCTGCTAACCAGAATGTGATGGATGAGATATTTAAGGAGAAAAAAACAATAGGTCAGAGATTTTGACATTTGTCAATGAAAAATTGGCATGGTTCAAATCTTTATTTAAATGTGTTGAACATGTTACTAAGAAATGATTAAATCAGGAAAATAATCTATTTTCAAAACGGGACACATTTGAGCTATTTTGGACAACTAAAAATGTCAGCTTTTAACTTTTAAACAGCTTCCTTTAAATCAAAATTTAACTTTGTTTTAACTGGTGCTATGTTAATGGCCTAGTCACATAGCCCGGCCGATGAGGTTACGATGAGCCAGCGATGCAATTTTCACCGAACTCGGCCGAACACCGGCCGGACATCCGTGGCGTTTGTTGCTTAAAACCGCATCGGTGGTAGCTCGGTGAAATTTTAACTTCGGAGTTAAATTTCACCGGGCTCTCACCGAGCTCCCTCATTATGTCATCGCAGCCCCATCGTAACCACATCGGAAAACACGTCGGCCGGTGCACGGCCGAGTATCGGCCGGTGTCCCGTGCATCTGAGACAACCAGAGGACGAGGTTTTTTAACGGACAGCGGCCGAGCTCCGACCGAGCTCCGGCCGATGTGGGACAGAGCATCGGCCGGTCACTGTTCAAAGCCCGTGAACAACCCGGCCGGCGATCGCACGGTGTCCTGTTACCTGCTCGGGTACCGGCCGTATTCCTTCGGATGTCCGGCCGACCTCCGGCCGGTAGTTGCTGCCACATCGGCAGAAAAAAACTACCATTTTGAGACAGACTCCGTACGGTCACCGGCCGGTGTTCGGTCGGTCGCCTGAAGATGTCCGGACGGAGTCCGTTCACGTCACCGAGCTCTGCTTCCGATGAGGAGAGCTCGGTGGCACCAAAAAAAATCCACCGAGCTCTACCGATGCCGGACATCGGCCGGGCTATGTGACTAGGCCATAAAGAAGACAATGTACATGTCAAGATACTTTCCTGAAAAAAGCAATGAAAAATACACATGGCAGTAAGGTATGCAATGAATGAAATGAGGCTCGACTGCTTTGAACAAACTGCTAGGAGATTTCGACAAAAAAAATGGAAAATTTTTTCGATTAAATTTTACTTCCTGAGAATACGCCCTTCATTGTCATGCTTGGATGAGTTGCACAATGTAACCGAGGAGGAGAGAGGACATAGAACATACTGGTAAGTAGATAATTATGTGGTATGACATCATTTCATTGTTTATCCACAGACCTCTGCCAGATACCTCTTCTTAAGGCTCAATGAATATACTCAAGGACAAGACACAAAATCTTGGGAAAATTTATACTTCTTTGATTTTGGAGTCAGTTTATCAATAAATATCACATGTCATACCTCAAACGATGCGTACTGTTAGCTTCATCTCCAATCACTAAAGCCTGACACATTCAAAAAGTGTCTGTTGATAAAAGCATAAAATAACTGAGCATATTTATAATTGAGTGTTTCGGCTATTTTCGTTGTTCAAATGTTTATTCCCGAAGTCAAATGTCTTTTCTGAGAATGTGACGCCACTCAGGATGGCGAAACACTCCAATTATCTTTACGCTCTGAAAATTTGAAATAATTGTCCCGGGAAAACTTGATTTACGGCTTCATTAATTGATATCATGTGTCCATTCAAACTTATACAGGCTTTACATGAAGAAGAGATTACAGGGGAAATACTGATCACTCAAGGTTTGAGGGATTAGGTAAAGATAACGGAGTGGCTCCAGGACCGACAATTGTCGGTACTGGAGACTGTCCAGGGGTATTTGCTGGGGTACCGACAATTGTCGGCACTCTATCGTCAACTAGTAGTGCCAGATAGAGAACCGACAATTGTCGGTACGCAAGTGGCTGCTACGTGTTTTTGATAGAGAGCCGACAATTTCATAAATAAATGCACTACTTTTACTTTTGAGATAACCTCATCACTGGTAGCCTAGTGGTTAGCGAGCACGACTCGAACACACTCGGTCCCGAGTTCGAATCCCGGCAAGACCTACTTTTTTCTTTTGAGGGGGGGGGAGGGCATAGTGCTTCTTTTGCAGTATGGAATCGTACAGGCATTAACTTGTAGTGAGCCATAGTTTATTTCGACAAAAATTGATACAACTTCCATCAAAATTGTCCTACAAGCTTCAATTAAAAAACATTTTAAAGCTCTTTTCTTGTTCTATCTAATGGGTCGATATATACAGTTAGGGGAGGGGATGCTTTCGCCCCCGTCGCTCTCTACCCTTACTACGCCATGGCACAGGAGAAATATCTCATTTGGAATATATCACTGTTTACTTTGCGTTTGGTAGCTCTCTCATGCGAGATGGAATCGTGGCCATTAACTAAGGGAGCCAAATGCAACTTCCATCAAACTTTGTGCTATAAGGTAACCGTAATCCAACACCAAATTCGAAAATTCATAACAATACTTTGCACATATGGCGTTCGTGACCAACTATGAAACGCTTACCCCCCATAGTGTTATATATCAAAATGCACCTGTCCATATAGGGGTTCAATTGACCTACATCAAATTATAGGGAGTCAGGTTACTTTTGAGATATCAGCGTCCGTTTATTGTAACTCGCGTTTGCTACCACTTCCTCAATTCTGATATGACGGGCAAACGAGTAGTAAACATGCTCACGTTTGGAACTATTTTGACCTACATCGCTATTTTCGTAATTCAAATGAAAGTTGAACTCCTCTTTATTTTGACACCAAATAGTGGAATACTAGGTACCCTAGAAAGAGAAGCCAACTATGGGTTATTTAGAACGATACCACAGGTTTTTAAATGGACTATATAGGGGTTATACCTTTTGGCGGATGGATATGGAACCTCATACCATAAGCTTCAAATAAAAAACATTCTAGCTATTTTCTTCTATCTAATGGGTAGCAGGGCTCTCACCAGGAAATATTTAGGGTGTGGTGCTAACATCTTCAGAATCACCGTTCAATCATGATAAATCATATTTATGCTATGTTTTATCCTTTTTACATGCTATTTTTGTGTATTCAGTCAAGTTTAGACTGTGGAAACAGTCATGATTTGCCAATAGGGTGTGGAGGGAGCTAAATAGAGTGTGGTGCTGCGCCACAGTCTAAAAGCCTAGCGAGAGCCCTGGGTAGCAAACGCCCCTTTCTACGCCTGATCGGCTCAGGAGAAATATCCTGTCTGTTTATAATATATATAGCCGTTTACTCTGTATTAATAGCTCTCTTACGTCTTACTTGTTCATGTTTTTTTATTGGGCCTTTCAATGTTTACTACCATTCCCTGTTCCCGGGCTACCATTTTTTGACTGGGTTTGGTAATCCCCGGGTAACCGGGGCTAATGCCCTCCCCGGGTTTTGCACTTGTTCCCAAAATATCCGTATGATATCTGAAATATCCCCCCGCGCATTGCGCCAGAAAATTCGAAAATTAATATTTGTCGGTCCTCTAGCGTGTAAACACAGCATATCTCCCGTACCGACAATTTATTTGTCGGTCCTCTAGCGTGCCACCACATCAGAGTCTAGAGTACCGACAATTGTCGGTACTCTAGCCTTTACGTAAAGATAAAAGTTAGTGCGAGAGTCATATTCTTGGGAATTCAATTTTTGGATGCACCATTTTGGGTTTATATCCGATTTTCTTATTTATTCATTGAGCCTACTGCCAAAAGAGGCTGGATCTGGCTCCGGATCTGTATGTTTATCATTCAAACTTCTGACTGACTCATTGACTGAAAAAGAACTGAAAATGTGCTCACCTCAAGTCGTTTTTCAGTTCCACAACTACATCTTTTCCAACCAAGGACTTGAAGAAGGAGTAGAACAACTGCAAATGAACATACAAGTGGCATTATTAGCGTGTATAAACATAAGGTGCTTAATAAATAAGCTAAATAGAAGCAAAATCTTGAAAATCGGTGAAATATTGTTCTCACCATGGCTGCGCAGAGAATATGCGCACAAATTTTGAGCGAGACTTCGTCGTTACCAACCAAGACAGCAGAACCAAATGATACAAAGAGCCCAAATTTTCCTGGGGAATTCTATGTGGAAAGGGTATTTTGAACACAGTAGGAATTCAATTGCATATGTCTCAAACTTTAGAAATCTAGATGAAAACTTTAGGTCACATGATCAACTCGAGATTTGGCAGCCATCTTTTTGACCTACTTTCTTCATGCCGCAAAAATTTTCACATTCTTTCAAAACAACCTAAAATCTCAGTAAATATCGGACAAATGGATACTGTTGAAGAGTACCAGCATGGTGGGCCAAAGCAGGCATACTTCAACCCATATGCATTTAACGGAGGGTGCGTATATTCGTAATTAATCCACTTTGAATGCAAACTTCAAAACAATATATTTTCCATGATCAATTCATGACACTGCAAAATTTGTCTTTACTATTTAGATCTGCAAATGATTTATACAGTTGTATTCAAAGACAGTTCAATTCAATAGTGTAGCAAATATAACCTCAAGTTGTTGAATTTTCCTACAGCAGATTTTGATAGGAGAGCTAGACTACAGTCTATTACACTGCTTCAAAGTAGTCATATAAATCCGACTGTTGTATGCTGTTCTTCGATATTCCTTGTTCCTATTTGGATATTTATTATCCCATCGAACGAAGTTCGGAGGGATATAGGGAACGCCTCCGTCCGTACGTACGTCCGTCCGTCCGTCCGGGCAATAACTCAAATAGCGTTGGCCCGATTTTGTTCATATTTTGTACACATATACCCAATGGGGGTAGAAGTTCTGCTTGAAAACAGATTTTCAAAATGGCCGCTCATTTAAAAATGGCGGCCATTTTAGTGCCGATTTTACAGTAATTTAGGTTCTGCGTATAAAACTGTAATAGCAATATGTTTTAAATGTAAAAAAGTTATATAGGACATTGATTAAGCTAGAAATGTAAATACAGGAGAAATACATGGCAGCCATCTTGAAAAATGGCTGCCTTTGCACGTCATTTTACGATTTTTGCTGTAACTTGAAAAGTAGTGGAGCGATTTTGTTCATATTTGGTATGTGAATACTTTAAGCATGGCCCAATGTCTAGTGACATTTTGGGTTGTAGGTGGCCATTTTGAAAAATGGCCGCCATTTTAATGTGTGTTATTATCAAAAAGTAGTAGAGCGATTTTGTTCATATTTTATATGTGAATACTATAGCAAGGCACGCTGTCTAATGACATTTTTTGTAGTAGGTGGCCATTTTGAAAAATGGCCACCATTTTTTACCTTTTTTACTATAACTTGAAAAGTAGTGGAGCGATTTTGTTCATATTTGATATGTGAATACTTATGAACCTTGCACACTGTCTCTACACTTCGCATAGTAGGTTGCCATTTCTAAAATGGCTGTCATTTTTACATTTTTTACTATAACTCGAAAAGTATTGGAGCGATTTTGTTCATATTTGATATGTGAATACTTTAAGCATGGCACATTGTCTAATAAAACTTTGGGGAGTAGTCGGCCATTTTGAAAAATGGCCACCATTTTTATGTGTGTTATTTACATTTTTTATTATACTTCAAAAGTAATAGAGCGATTTTTTCATATTTGATATAGGAATACTCGTAAGGATCGCATACTGTCTTATGACATTTTGGGTAGAAGGTGGTCATTTTGAAAAATGGCCAGCATTTACATGTATGTGTAGCAATTTAAAAAAAAAATTTATGTGGCTACTTAAAAGCATTTTACTTCTTCTGATGACAACTTGGCTAGTGAGCAACCATTTTGAAAATGGTGGCCTTTCTTATGGGATCGATGGGATTCGCTACGCTTTGGCGTTGCCGTTGTTCTGGTTTTTTATCATTTTCTTAGCATATACGGTCGTAGATATTATTGCTGACAAATTGCGGTAAACCCTTTTCTGGCCTGTCTTGGTAACCATAGTTACCATACTAACCAAAGTCACACAAATTATCGAGTAATTATTTATTTCCAACATCAAAGTGTTAAATCTTACCTTAGACATGTAAAACGCTTGATAATTGACGAAATATAATCAATTGAATTATATTTTCATTATCGCCCGCCATGTTGCTGAATGTTGTTTCCGGTAGTCTAAATGTAAAACATGTAACGAAACGGAATCACAATTATTTATTACACAGAGATCGATTCCAAAGCCGTTCTCTCATACTTATTACTTTTCTCATTTTGAAACAATAACTTTTCCAAATAGCTTCCCTTCTTAACGACACTGCATCCCTTTCAACTGAATCTTCGTGTAACAAGTACTTATGATTTCGTTTGATATAGTTTTACATCTAGACTCAGATTAACCCGGAAGTGACCTTGGCATGGCAAAATGAAAAAATTTTAAAATTCAAGCGGCATGCTTATATTTCTTCAATTACCAAGCGTTTTACGTGTCTAAGGTAAGATTAAATACTTTATAGTTGAAGCAAATATATTTATTTATCATTTGTGTGAATTTGGTTGGGTAGACAGGCCAGGAAAGTATTTCCCGCAATTTAGATGCGCGGAGTGTGTATGACCCTAGTATGCAAGAAAATAAGAAAAAATAAATATCCAAATCAGAAAAAATAACAACAAATAACATCATACGAGGGTCAGATTTATATGACTACTTCAAAGACAAGCAGTTGAACCTGAAAAATAAGAAATCTGAAGACTTACCATATATATGGTCACTGAACTCACCTTCATTGATCTTTACACGCAGTCCTTGTTCACAGTATCGTCTACCTCGCATGATATTTATTCTTTTTTATAATAAAATAAAATTTCTCAGATTTCCACCATTTTCCTGTCGAGTCTAGTGCCTTACGGTTATGCCGGGTTGTCGGCAGTAGATACTCTCAATTGCCGGCAATAAAATCCATTGCCAATAATCGCCGAGCTGCTGCAACATGATGATTGGCATTGCGATTCATTGTCAAATTTATGAAATGATGTTCGTTTAGAATGTTTTATCATCATGTATATTTCAATCTCCACATTTGAAGGCTAATCTGTCAATCAACTGCACAGCAATCGTAAAAGGCGGGAGGATAAGCAAAACTCACCCACTTCTGTCAATCATCTCCCAGGCCGCGAGATTTACAAATCACGTGATGTGAGATTTCGGCGAAGTAAAAAACAAACACAAATAGTTTGATCAATTTTGATCGAATTCACTCTTTATTATCGTTTCAAAGACTTCCTAACAATACACAATCACACACGAGATACACGCAATATTTCCACTGCAGTTCATGTAAGCGGGAAATCAAGCTGAGAAATCATCTTCGTTAAGGATTTTTCCAAATATTTTAGTTTCACTTTCAGGTTTTTCCCATGGATTTTAGAAACATTATCAGTATCAACGATTATCGGTAACTGCAAGGTAATGGAGGTGAAATTTACCGGCAATGAGATCCATTACCGTTGCAAGCACTAGTCAACTAGGCTGCCATCTATATGTAAGCTTATTGAGAACAGACAAAAATGGGACGACTTCTATTTTAAACGAAAACTTTCAATATCTCATCAAGACAATCGGTTACCATTTCAATTCATGAAATATTAACATGATGGTTTTTAGAATTTTACTTTTTATTGAACACTGGCTAGAAATTTTACAATAGTTTACGGTGTTCCAGATGGAATTACTTCTTAGACTCTAGTAACTAAAGACCATTGTGCATTAATAGAGAAAGATATATTCACATTGCACATGAATGACATTTGTATATCTTCGATTGCTTGTGAATTGGCTTATAAAATCTGTAACCTGTTATATTTTGATGTTTTTCTTCCATGTTAAGGTCTCGGGGTAGTTATCAGAAATTTACAGCAAACAGGAAATTAAAAGACCATGTGGATTTTAGATTTTAGAATTTTTTAAAATAAGATAACAGAGTTCAGCTTTGATCTTTAGTCAATTGTACTACTCCCATATATCATTTACATGGCCAGGATCACAATGGTCGTGGTCAAAATGACCCTTAATGCTGAAATAACTTTTTCAACCCTCTGGAAATGTGACTGAAAAAAGTTAAAAGTTAGCATTTCGGAAAGGTCACCAAACAGAATATTTTAAATATTTCAGAAAATGTGCCCAACATATTGCTTTAAATTATAGGAATAGGAGCTTTCAATATTGGAATTCATTTCCTTCTTATGACCACGATTTTTGTTTCAGACAATTTTTCTAATTTTCAAAGCTCCTATCATTTAAAGGAATATATTGAGCACATTTTCTGAAAAATTCAAAATGTTCTGTTCTTTTTTCAGTCACAATTTTAGATGGCTGAAAAAGCTATTTCAGCGTGGTAAGGCTCATTTTGACCATAAGCATTGTGATCCTGGTCATGTAAATAATATATTGCCAATGTGATTGTTGGGAATTTAGCTTTTTTGGAAGGTGTCATATAATTCAAAGTTGAAAAACTTTCAAATGAAACCTTCAGTTACATATCCCATATTTGTAGTCATATAAATTCAACTGTTGTATGCTGTTCTTCAATGTTCCTTGTGCTTACTTGGATATTTATTTTTTATAATTTTCTTCGCATACACGGTCGTAGATATAACAGCTAACAAATTGCGGGAAACGCTTTCCTGGCATGTCTAGGCCAAGTCACACAAATGATTGATTAATTATTTTGCTCTAACTTCAAAGTGTTAAATCTTACCTTAGACATGTAAAACGCTTGATAATTGATGAAATATAATCAATTGAAGTAAATTTTCATTATCGCCAGCCATGTTGCTGAATGTTATTTCCGTTAGTCTAAATTTAAACATGTTTTGAAACGGAATCTAAATCATAATTATTTATTACACAGAGATTCAAAAGCCGTTCTCTCATACGACTCACTTTTCTCATCTCTGAGACAATAACTTTTCCATGTTACGTCCGACACTGCTTGCATTTCAAGTTTTCAACTGAATCTTCGTGTTAAAAAAATACCTATGATTTCATTTCGATATAGTTTTATATCTAGACTAACAGATTAACCCGGAAGTGACTTTGGTACAGCAAAATTTCAAGCAGCATGCTTATATTTCTTCAATTGCCAAGCATTTTACGTGCCTTAGGTAAGATTGAGTACTTTAAGTTGAAGCAAAGCAATTAATTTATCATTTCTGTGAATTTGGTTGCGTAGACAGACCAGGAAAGCGTTCCCCGCAATATAGAAGCAGGTAATGTTTACGACCACCGTATGCAAGAAAATAATAGAAAATAAATATCCGAAAAAAGATAAAATAACAATAAATAACAGCATACGGTTGTCAGATTTATATTTGCAATATATGATAATGACAAACTAGATGAAAATTATTGAATTATTAAATTATACTGTTTCCTTTAGGCTGTCCTTTAAATGGTGTCTTATCTTCATAATGCAAATCAAATGACAAAACTGATATGGAGTAGACATCTAAAGTATGAACAGATGTAAACTGCATACTAAAACAGATTTTGGTTTCATTTCAGAGGGTTACATTTGGGATATAACTAACAAGGTTTCGAAAATATATAAAGTCCTGATGTTTTTTGTTTTCAGTACAGTACTTGCGGTAGCAGGGGAGGATTTCTCTGTGGTTGCCTCTGATACCAGACTTAGTGAGGGTTTCTCCATCTTCACAAGGGATAACCCCAAAACATACAATCTGTAAGCTCACAGTTCTGTCATATCCCCAGTGCAAGTAAACAATTTTACTTTATTGTGAACTAAGATGAAAATCTATTTGCCCACAGATTGGAATTTGGAAAATCATAAAAAATTGGGCACTTCAATTCTTTATTTCTTTCTTTACCAAAATCGGTGAATAAGAATTTTGTTGAGAATGAATCATGCAAAGAAGGAATAGATAACCTATAATTCCTTATATCTTAGTTGAGCCTTTAACCCCTGGTTGATAAATAAATCATACTGGGTGATTATGTTATTGAATTTTTTTTAAATAACGAATATTTTCGTTAATTCCAGAACTAGCAACACAGTTTTGGGATGTACAGGTTTCCATGGTGATGCCCTGACTCTTACTAAAGTTCTTGAAGCAAGACTTAAGGTATGACGTTAATACTTTATGTAGGCCTATTTAGTGTTTTATGATAGAATCATTAATTAGGAATATGATGACATGCAAAGTTAAGTTCACAGTCCTGTTTATACATCTGTATGTTGTGTATCATGCCATTTAATTTTAACCCTATTTAAAAAACAGATGCTATGTGTGTTTTCATAATAGATTACTTTAGTACAAAGTTTATGTTTCAATATATTATGCTCAGAGCATATTCAAATGATAGATATCAATATTTCGGTCATTCAACATTTTCAAATGAAAAAACACGCCATTATCTCAAACATCAGTTCCCCCATCGCTATATATAAATTAAATATTGGATTACAGTGCTCTGGTTGAACTGTTGAACTTACTTGTTACCATCTTACATGTCTAACCAAATCTCTGCATGTTAATCTGTTCCAGATGTATGAACACGAGCATCACAAACCCATGTCCACAAAAGCAATTGCTGCTATGTTATCCACTATATTATACTACAAGCGTTTCTTTCCATATTACGTCAACAACATACTTGGTGGCCTGGATGAAGAGGGTGAGTAAATTTCAAAAGTTTTGGATAACATTTCCTTATAGATTGACAGATATCCCAGGGGCGTAGCCAGCTTTCAGTCAGGGGGGTTGCGATTGTGGCATAAACAAGCCAAAAATATGATTTATTTTGGACTTTACAAAAATTGATGCAACTTAATTCAAAATTGAGCTTCAAAGCTTCAAATAAAAAGCATTTTAAAGCTCTTTTCTTCCTCTTTCATGATTTATTTGTATTGGTTATGAGGGGGGGGGGTGCGACCCTGGCTACGTCTATGTATCCCTTTTTTCTTTAAATCAAATTTAGGGAAGACACAATTTTGCGATTTTGTTCAGGTTTTTACTGATGAAAAAAAATGAATTTGTAGTAAATATTTAAAGATTTACAACCAATTCCACATTAAAAATGAAATCTGTCGTTTCAACCATAAATATTTGTCCCTTTTGTAAATTTTTTGTTCATTTTCTATTGTTTTTCTATTGTTGTATTTTACCTTCATTATTCATGTATTAACTTCATGGTGTGACACTTTTAGGTAAAGGATGTGTGTACAGTTTTGATCCTGTAGGTTCCTATGAGAGAGAATCATTCCGTGCTGGAGGTACAGCCAGCTCTATGCTGCAGCCCCTGTTAGATAACCAGGTTTGAACAGATTATTAACTACAGTATCATGTACATATTTAATACTCAGTCAATTTTGTTAATAGCATCTTGAGTGAAAATCTTAACTTTGACAAAATGTATCCAATTCACATAAATTATGCTTTAAAATGTGCTGAGTGGGTTCATCTTCAGTTTTACTCCATCCATTTTAAATGTAATCCTTCATTCTAACCTCTCATTAATATTTTTAAGAAGATTTAAAAAAACATTTTTTTAGACATTAGATTGCCAAGCATGTTTTTGGGCTTGTTTTGCAAGCAGGTCTAAAAAAAACTAAAAAACAAAAAACTCAATAAATATTGTTGTTGATGAATCTGTGAATTCTTTTAGAAATTCAAGTTGACATGATATACTGTTACTTTTCTTAATTTGGATGGCAAAATTGGCACAGATATAATTTGGCGCATTACTATAACTACTATAACCCCTATTTTATCCTTCTTACTAGAATCCTCATTATGACAACATTCACCTCTCCTTGGCCATGTTAGAATGACATGATCTGATGAAAAAAACTTTGAAAACTACAAAACGAAAACATGGATCAGAATTTCTTAATGCTCATGCAAATGCACCAGATGAAAATCATTCCTGGGTATTTTTTGGAAAAATTGGTGAAGACATCAATTGTCAAATTTTTGCAAATCACCAAATTAAAACAGGCATCAAATTAAGTAGAGTAACAGTAATATGCATTGTAAGAACTGCAAGATTTGGCCATTTAGATTTGGAAATGATGTTCATTGTTCAGGTTTTGCCTTAGTCAATATACAGTGTATTTCAAAATCAAAGTAGAGTATTGAAATGTTATTGGACTTAAGCGAGTAATCTGATTGGATTGGTGCAGAGCAGCAGGTTATATTTTGTTCTTTTCCAGATTGGTTTCAAGAACCAGATTGGTGTTGACCAGACCCCCCTAACTAAAGAAAAGGCAATTTTCCTTGTGAAAGATGTATTTACATCCGCTGCAGAGAGAGACATTTACACAGGAGATCAACTCATTATTAATGTTATAACTAAAGATGGAACAAGAACAGAATATTTCCCACTCAGGAGAGATTGATCCACAGGGACGTTAGATCTGTACAACATAAAAAAGTACTTTGTACTCTGTGAAATAAAAAGGACTTTGTTCTCCGTGAAATAAAAAGGACTTTGATTCCTGTTTGGTATCATAAGAATGTTGAGAAAACATGTATCCTTTAATAACATCGTTCATCTTGTTTATTACGTCAGTAAAAATTTGAAATTCATCACAAAATGATTTGGAAAATATGTGCCCACTTTTACAAATTGTGTATAGTATAACAGAATTTTTATGCCAACTCTTAATATTTCTCCAGTACAAGTGTAAATTTCAAAAGATTTCAATCTTCATTGCCAAAGTGAATCCGAGTTGTAAATAAATGATTTGAAATGTATGATTTGTCATGTTTTGTGTTCGTAATGTAAATATTAATTCTGTTCATACTGTATAACTATACCCTTATGACCTGATTGATGCATTTAAGGAACAGACTTGCATGAGAATCTATTGTTTTGCATTAAGTTCTAATTTAACATGTTCCCTCTATTGTCTTTATAGTTGATTGGGTAATGTGTCCAGATTTTCACTGATGAAAAAAACTAATTTACAGTATACCTTTAGTTAAACCACCAATCACATCCAATGCCCAAAAATAAAATAAAAAGTTTCATTTTCAGCTATAAACATTTGGTCGTACTCTCCCATCTGGTCAACGTTCTTAACGTTATAATAATTTTGATCAAAATTTTAGTGAGTCTGTAACTTAATGTGGAATGTGGTTTCACAAGAAATGGTGCAAATGTGCAATGATAGCAAAACTCAGAAAGTTCATCAAATAGATAAAAACAATCTAATTTATTTAAGTATAAAAGCATAATTACAGAATAACTTGTAGACTGATTTTTTATTTGATTGATCAATGATCATCCCTTACACCTTTATATATCAATTAATTTGAATTTTCAAAATTTTGGATATTATACATGTTATGTGCTAATTATCTCATGGCATCTAAAAAGCTAGTGGTTATTATCAGGCTATTTACAATATAAAAAATGAGTGAAGATATACAATGCATCTTTAAAGTCACCGCCTTATTGTTGGTTTACATATATGGTACACAGTATGTACATATTGAGAGTGCCAAATATTCAGAAGTGATGAGTCCCTGTAAACAGAAATGTTCAACGATATTAAAGGTAGAATCTTTTATAGAGGGCTGAAACAATTTCCGTTTGAACTTGATTTTTAATTTATACCATCCAACATTTATAAAAGAAATTCACCTAATGATGTAGTCTATCAACTTTGGGATGTAGCCAGGATTTAATATTAGGCTAAACAAAAATTTGAATAGGGACTCTTTATGCTTAAGAATGTACAGTGCATGGATATTGCCATTTTCTATCTTCATTTCCAAAGTTTTTGGTTGAAAAACTGAAGAAATACTGTATGTCTAAAACTGGCTGCGGCCACACAAATGAAGTGGATCAAGCTACACAACTAGAAAGGTCTTTTTAAGTATAAAACTTGTAAGAAAAATAAACATAAACAAAAATCAACTTGTTGAACAAAAAAAGTAAAAAGAAAATAGTCATTTTTGAAATGGTGACTATGTCTGATTCTCCCTTTAATAGATTCGTTGAATCCTCTGTGATATGAATACATAAGGTCCTTCATCTATACATCATGTTCCATGTTTTTCCTTCAATGTCAGATGACAGTGCCTCTTACATTAGGCATTGGTATCACCGGGTCTAAAGTCAAGATTTTGCCCGGTTGCGGCAGGGGGCGAGGATGGGATTGGTGCCATGGGGGCTGGTCGCTGGATGTTATATTGTGGCTTAGGTGCACCCCCTACTGCTCCTTCGTCATCTAGCCCATCTATACCACTGGCCCCACTTGCAACAGATGCACGTTGTTGTAGGACGCGCATAGGGGACGCAGGGCGGCCAAATTGATCCACCACCTTAATGTCAGTGAGCCTCCCCGGTTTGTTCGGGTCTTCACTCTCAATATGAACATGTGGCTCCTCAGAGAACATCGCATCGGAGTCGTAATCCAAAGGATCCATTCCTCTTGTAGAGGGGCGTGACTGACGGTATCGCGGGCTCTCTCTATTCGGGCTCTTGCGGCCTGTTGGTGTACCTCGTCCTGTCGGAGTATCTCTGCCCCCGCTAAGTGGAATCCCACTCCTCTCTTGGGGCACTTTCTGCATCTCTAGATCCAGCTTCTCTCCGGATGGGTCCATATGAGAGGGGTACGACCCATGTTCTGACATTGAGTGAGGGGCTGATTCAACATAGGCAAGATTCTCTTTAGAGATGTCACTCACGGCTGGTATTGGAGGCTAAAAAAACAATTACAAAAAGCTACATTTTGTAGTTCATGCACTCAGTTCTTTAACTTACAGTTTATATTCATTGCAGTTGATGACGGTTTATACATGAAGGAATCACATACATAATTTCGAAATGATTTGAATTGTTTAAAACTTAATAAGTCCATTATTATTGATAGTACTTGAAACAATAGCCAAACAGCACGATGGGTATAATTAAAACATCCTCCGAATGCAGAGTTCCAGAGGCATAGTTACGTCTAGAGCGTGTGTTCATATTCTACACCCATGCGTTTGGAGAATGTGTAAAACCCGGTGTGAAAGAAATGATGGTCCCCTAGGGATTATGGTCCCCTTTTTTAACGGCCCTTACTGGCCCTGATTGTGTATAAGATAATGAGGGAAAGAGTTGTATTTAGGTCACCATATAATTCAATGGAGAGTAGGACCCTTTTACACCGGTGTAAAATCGACTTACTGGTTTCATATGCTTCCTATATGTTTTGTCCCAGTACTTCAGCGGATCTGGTCCACACTCACAGTAGAAAACCAATATATAGCGAGTTATCCATGCAATGAGGAAGAACACTGTGGTCAGGAGGGCAGCCAGTATGATAAATCCGTACTTTTGTACGGGATCGTACGATAGCCTCCAAGGTGCTGCTCCGGTGTGGGGTGCGAATGGCGGTGAAAAGGTTGGAAACCATATCGTTGTTGTTGAGATACCAGTAGTTGTACTCCCCAGTGGAGTAGTGGACAACGTGCTTGTCTGAATAAAATACAGAAATGATTTATTGTTCAGCTGATAATTATTGCATCTTTAAGTATAAGTTCTCTAAAGCCTAACTTTTCCAAGTAACTTCCGTTACGGATTTGGGGACTTTCTGCGAGTCCGTTCCAAATACGGTTTTGAGAACCAAATGTATTGTAATCGGATATCATAAAAATGGAATCAAATTAATTGGTCCCCGACCGGTTACTTGGCATCTTAGATTTGGGTTATGGAATGAAGAGATTTATTAGATTTCAAATAATCCAAATATTGCTATCGTTATTTCCCACGATCCGAGGTTTTTAATTCGGAGTTCAGGCAATAGCATAAATACTCGTAAGCATAACAGTATGAATAATTTGAAATTCACTTTTAGATGACTCATTGTGTTCTTTGATGTAGATCTCAGAAAAAATTTTCGAACTCCTTATATTATTTACCACAAAAACTAGAACAACACGTTACTATCGAATGCTCGGTATTGGTATATTCCCGGAGTCGAAATTACTTACCGAATCCATGATTCAATTAACCGTTTTTATTTTGCATTTTATCCATTTGCCATTTTACAAAATGGTGGCTGTTATTAGTTGAAGGTATATCCGGAGTCCAAAGTTTGCAAAATACATAGATAACTAATACTGTTATTTCGTGACCTCATCATAAATAAGTTAATCGTCAATGAATAATTTTAATGTCTGATAGTAATTAAACGTTAATGTTTAACAAACAATTCAAACAAAACCATGCCTTTATATTCAGACGAATAGGTCAATAGTGGTTATTGACAGAATTTCATTTGACATCAGTCATTTTAAATATCTGTTCAACAAAGATTAACGTTTTTCTGTGTTTGGTATGAGGCTGAGCTCCCTCTAAAATTCCTTACCGAAAAAAAACCCGAAAACGAATGATAACGACATGTAGTCATCAAGTCCCTAAACCCGTTAATATAATGTATTATATTCCCCATTGATTGGTGGGAACCCGGGGGTAAGAAGAAAAGAAATAATTCACCACAGATAATTTTATATAACCGTGGCCTTCAAAACCATACAAAAACTAGACATTTACAGAGGCAACAAGGCCTGTAGGGAGAAAATACGAAAATGTTAACTTTTTCTGAGCTATCAAGGCAACATTTGGCTTAACATCTTCTTTAGCATACCTATTTTCTTAAAATGTATGGATAAACTATCAATTTCAGCATTAGAAGTGTAAATTCAGTTCAAAGCTTAGAGTCCCACTTTTTATATTTTTAAGATCCACCATGTTTCAAGATGTATATAAGCTGAAATACTGTTTATCTAGGGGGCTTCTTTGTAGATAATAAAGATAGATTAGTCTTGATGAAATATCCAAACTTTAATATACTTTGACACTAGTCCATGATCGTCCAATAATTGTTGCACCTTCAAGATTGCAAGCAATCTCATCGAGGCCTTCATAGACATTTTAGAAAGAATTGAAGGTCAACTAAACATCTAATCTCAAATCTGAGGTCAGATGGGAACTCCTGAAAATTTGTAGATGATTTTTAAAAAAATGGTTTGGTGTATTAGAACTCAGGCGAGGCGTTTAGGCATTCATCATTACATGGAATACCGTAATCATGATAATGTTAAGTGATGCATAGTGGACTTTTTTGTCAACCTCTCAAAGTAAGACTTTGGATCTTACTTTGATTACATCGATGAACGACGAATTTTATCCGGCGGATGAGAGACGAGTTAACATGTTACTCCAGTTGGTGTCATTCAACTTTGGACCAGTTACGTGAGAGATGTTCACAGATATGACCGATCGTGCGAAAGTGTAACCCTCCGCTTTTTTCTAGTTTTTAAAACAGTGCTAATAGTTCATGGAATTCATTGCAAAAATGGTCCTAATTAATACGATTTTGGACGGAACAGATCGTGATTGTTGAGCTTATATGTGAGATATTTTATTTTCAATCGCCTGTACAAAGTTCTAAAGCTGTTTTGGGTGAGAAAAATGATTTTATACTCCAGACCTCTGATTTTCAGGGGGGAAAATTCCCCGAAACCATTGTGAGTTCATAACATAAAGCAAGATAAACCTACCACGGTGTTATAGCATGACGTCGAGGCGATTTGCAAAATTTTGCGGTAACGATAACAAAAATTGGCGGATGGGAAAGACAGCATGTCCTCTTCCTCGCCTGTAGGCAAGATAAGATAGATAAGATTTCCTTTTCAACTAGTTCCATTCGGTGACGTATATGTGGTTATAAAGACTGGGTCAAATCTATCAGGTGGTTTACTAGAAGCAGAATATAAGCTGTAAACTTACCGACTGAGATATCCAAGCTCATAATTTTTAGTCCATTCTCGTGTTTTCTCATAATATGTGCCTCAGAGGCACCCAAACTATCAACTGTAAGTAAACTGTATATAAACAAGTCATAACATGACAAATCCAGAACAGGAACGTGGTGTATATTGTAAATAATAAGGTTTCAAACGCAATGTCGTTAGACGACTCTATATTAATTCTATGGACGGCAACGTATTGTTTTAGTTGTACATTTAGCGGATGGTTACGTGCAATCAACCTTTCAAGTCAAGGTTGCTAGTTCTGATAGCCTCTTTCCATGTCATTGTTATAATGGGTAAGAAATGGAATATTGAATTGCTTATATTTGTTTTCAGGACTCGCAAGAGACGCTCTTGTTTGTGCTTCTATCATGTCTGTAGGTCAAAGAAAAAATTGTGTCTTGCTTTATTTATGAAACTAATGAAAGTCAAAAAGATAACAATGAAGAGGCAAAAGAAGAATTAGCATCAAGTACTGATGAATATGAGAAAATTTATAACAATGAATCGGGGAAACATATTTGAACGAGGTTCGCGTAACCGTCCATCAATTTTTTGCGTAACCGCAAATTCAAAATACATTATTATGGCTTGTGTAGAACATATTAGGTGGTTTCCAATGCTCAATTGGCTTTTATGATCGTATGTAGGTTACATCTATGTACCCCAAGGTCGTCAGGCAATGTAGACCATGCCCTACTAAATAATCGAAATAAATTAATATCGGATGGAGGGGGGGGGGGGATCACGTGTATATAAGACATGATAAGACATGCTACTTGAATTTATTCCTATGACTCTAAATTTTCCCATTTTTCATTCTCCAGAGATATAATATCCAGTTTCTTACTGGGGTACTGAGTTTTTTTTAAATACACGAGTTCTTGTGAATTTGCTCCATCGTAAAGACATATTAATCCCCCCTCCATCCGATCCCCCTCCATCCAATATTAATTTATTTCGATTATTTTTTGTATAACGCTTAGAAACTTTAAAAAGTGAGCAATGTCATTAGTATTCAGTATTAGTATTACAGTAGTATTGTGATTATAACGTGCCATATACCTATTTATTACAGGTCGTGTAGACCATTGTTGCCCGATTTATAGCAAAAACATTGACTTTTGCACGTTGGTGATGATGCGCCTTTCTTAATAGATCTCATATCTTAGAAGGGTATCAGTTCAAAAAAAATACTAGATGACCTAACCTATTTTGCCATGCACTGCGCCTATTTATTTGGCAATTCAGTTGTAAATTTTCTCTTGAAAAATTAAGTCTTCCAAATTTTTTAAGTTTTCTTGCAGAAATCGCCTAATCCCCCCCCCTCCATCGATCACCGGGCGTGTCCATATCGATACCACACCTTTTGTGTAGTTTTGAATTTCCAGTTTTTCGCTTATTTCATGTTATCCCCAGGCATCAATTTGCAAAGACTACGTTCAAAATACATTACTAAATGCATCACCGAATGGGATGCTCATCCTTTCATTGATACACAGTTGTAGAAAATAATGCACCAACCTTAGTTTTCTGTTCCATCGAGGCCATTTTATTGGATAAATCAGTGAACGTAGCCGTCCAACCTCGTTTTCAGTCGTGGCGTAACCGTCATGCTATAGCAGGGTCACTACTGTACATGTAAATACATGCAGACATGATTTGAAATAAATATCTCGTTTATAAAATTGACCATCGAAGGGAACATTGGCATCTCTCAGATTTGGGAAATCTCTGTTCATTTATTAAATTAGTTAAAAGCGATTGTTCTGCTCAACCTCTCCTCACGGTTAGACCGGGCGGTTAGACCAGGTTCTACTTGTTTGGGTTACATCGGACGACGGCTTTGTCTACTATTTCGGATGAGAGTACATGTAACTCCAATTAGCGCCATCATGCTGCACACCAGTGATATGAAGACCGATCGTGTGTCCTTCTGCGCTTTTATCATCTTGGATTACCAAAGCATGAAGTTTTCATACGTGTGATTCAAAATCAAATTGGTAAAGGCCCGGTCACACCGCCTAAACGTTGCTGGAGCGTTCCTTGAACGTTGAAAAAAATCATCAACGCTCGTAAACGTTCACCACCGTTTAACAAAAGTTGGCATCCGTTAAAGCAACGCTGTAAACGCTCGGCCAACTCGGATGTTTCTCGAGTGGCCATCCTAACGCTCCAAAAGTTTTGAGCTGCTCAAAATATTGCGAGCGTTGAAAAAGGGACAATTTTACGCCCTGGCAAAGTTTATCACCGATCCACCAACGCCCAGTCAAAGTTTGGCACCGCTAGACGCAAGTTCGTGGACGCTTGAATCCGCTAGACCAACGCAGAAATCTTAAACGCTGGACCACCGCTGCTTCGCCAGCGTTGCCCGGGCGGCGATTAAACGTTGCACAAACGTCGGTGGAGCGGCTGTTAGCGTTTTATCAGCGTACATGGGGTTGTTGGAACGGTGTCGGACGTTGTCGCAGCGTTCCATGGCGGCGATGAACTTTGCTTTGGCGTTGGTATAGAGGTGTCGGAGCGGGACCAGAATTTGGCTATAAATACGTGGAGAAATGCACCACGAGCTCTTTTGGAATAGATCCGTTCAGCTCAGTAGTCAAACGCGATATGCTGCTAAACCAACGCTGCTGCTATTTATACCCCCGCCGAGGCAACGCTCTCATGCGCAGAACGCCGCTATACCAACGCTCGCATTACCGCTAAACAAACGCTAGCTACCGCTCGCAACCGCTTAACCAACGCTAAAGCAACGCCGGCTTCAGCGGTGCACCGCTAAGCCAACGCCCGTGTTTTTGTTTTTTTCCCCATTTTGTGCGCGTTGACGAGCGTTGATGAATTTTTTCAACGTTCAAGGAACGCTCCAGCAACGTCCGGGCGGTGTGACCGGGCCTTTACGAGTATGCATTTTCATAGTTCTCAAAACAGTGCATTGGTATGAGGCACTAGTGGTTCAGTGGTAAAAATGTTCGCCTGTCACCCGGCGTGACAGGCGGGGATACTCACCACATAATTATCGAGGACGTGGCTGACACAAAACGCAAGTCTTGTCATCTTTGAAAAATATTTTACACAAATATTTCATTCTATTGAAGTGATTACCTGGCTGTGAATCTTTCACAAGAGATGCACATATAATGTCAAGCTATGATTTATACAAACGTAAAATCACAACTGCCGATACACCCACAGATGTTGGTCAGATCGTTTTGTAGTACGATCTCATTGGCTCAAAGAATAATACAGAAGATGCGTCACTTAAACTTATTTTATAGCTGAGATCTTCATCTTTCTATTTCTACTTGTTTGGT